GCCAGTGTCAAATCCGTCCTGACAAAATGTGAAATGACACTTGACGATAGAACCGTGATGAGTGTCGTTGTTGGAGGTACCTGTAAACATAACCACCCGCAGTTCAATTGTCGATACAAGTCATCGTCCTGATTTATCGGTTCCATGACAGATATTTCAAGATATGAGGTCCTGATTATATCTCGAGTGACAGGATGGGGATGGGGATGATCTATGACCTTGGTAATCATTCCGGCCAATATTCTTCCCTCATTGCGAAAGATGACAGAATTTTGGTGAACCCTTGACGAATAGATCACTCGCCCAATCACTACTCCCCCTAACATACGAGCCTGACGCGAAATTTTGTTCTCCCAATACGAGCGGGGAACAGTGTACAGCTCGCACAGACAAGTCACGATGTGAGCAAGGGTGGCTTCGTCGATACAGGCGGGTGTCGCCTTGAATTCCGTGCTGGACCAAGCCGACAAATCAGTCCCAGCAAACATACCCCGATGATCTTCACGGTCAATATCTTTAAGGGCAGTCAACGCTTCGGCAATTTTCTCTTGTAGATCTGTATTGTGGTTCAAAATCACTTGTAAGTTGGCTGTACGGCCAAAATGAGTCATCATTGTGGCCTCCAATTCACCTGCAATACATGTTCAAGAAGGAAAGGGCTAGGTCCATTGAAAGCTTACCTAGATGTTGGTTGGAATTGATCATCTGCAAAGCATGATTGACACGCTCAAATACTGGGGTACTACGAGCATGTCCTGGACCAAGATTCTCGAGGTCGGTGATGATATGGATAGCGAGATGATGATTTGATTTGAGTGTGATATCGGGATACAGGTCTAAGACGGTGCGTAGATACCTCAACATATGAGATTTGTAGTAGGCCCTGGACTTCTGGGATGTTTCGCGCAAAAATAGGACGTGGATAGCATGGACAAGGTCCACATAGTTCTGCAGCATCTTGAAACGACGGGACTCAACCCCTTCTGCATTTTCATATCCCCAAACACGAATCAGTGTGACGACAAGTGATATTGAACATATGACTTTGTACTCATCAGCGCTGAGCTTGCCCGCTGCAATAGTGCCCCATTTTGGAGGCGGCGCTTGTATCCACGTAGGAAGAATAGTCCGTCCCATGTCAGCCCAAATCTCCGCTAGAAGGTCTTTGCCGATAACATGACGAGGTGTGGATCCTGGGTTTGCTCTTATGGAACTGTCACGATGTTCTTGACGCTGATAAAAAAATGAGAAGTATTCAGACAGAAAGATACTGATTCACTTACCCATAGAATTAATCTTCGAACCATTTCAATCTTTTTGAAGGAGATGATATCGGATTCATCCGAATCAAATGGTGGTATTTTGTATTCTCTGCACAAGTTATGAAGATGCACGAGTGCAAATTTCATGAAGCCAGACTTTGAAGGCTCGTCTGCTTCGAATGTCCTTTTGAGTTCACTATACTGTAATTGCGGAGCCTCGTCATCGGCCCCATGTTCTTGACGCTGTTTTCGGATCTTTAGAAGCAGTGAATTGATCGTTAACAATGTACACACATGTAGCATGAGTCGCGCTGAAAGGATGGCCTTCGAATCTTGATGATTATACCTAATTCCAAGTTCTTGACACAGGGCTTGAAGAACTTGTTTTTTCGAATTCATAAGTCGGGGCGCTTTGCCTGAGAGGTTGAGCAACTTCGACATGAGAGTTTCAAAAGCGGAATCTTTGTTGAAGACTAGCAATGGGGCGGAACGCATCACCGGTGGTATTTCGGTTGGATCCAAAACCGAGGGAGTTCCTGAGACTGACGAGGCTCTTGAAACTGATGAAGCTCTCGTTGACGAGGACATCGATGGGGAAGGGGCTCTTGACTGCTGCAATTTTCGAATCATCAATGATGGGTTGGAAGAATGAGACAAGACATACTGATTCGGAAACGCGGAATTCATCGATTGAACTAGAGGCAGGCTGTGCAGTAGTGTCCTCCCACCCGACTGGGTCTCTATCATAGCTCAAGGCAGGGATTACAGGTACGTCGTCTGGATCGGATGTCAAGCGCTTTCGAATGAAACAGAAACAAATCAGAAATAAGTGATGATTGTCAATCGTATATAACTCACCCATTGTAAGATTTGATTCACTAACTCACGCTTGACGCGAACTCCTGTACGAAGCTTAAGCTCAAAACAGAGAGACCATAGGACGGCTTTGGTCTCTTTCATCAACAGCTTCTCTAGAGAGGATTGATTCCTTCTAATCTCCTCCAAGAGTTTGCGTAGGCCAGCTCTTGATAATCGAATCTGATCTTTAGTAGACGGATGAAGTCCATCGCCACCATTTCTCTCCGAATCAATGAACCATATCTTCTCCAGGTGAGTTTTTAGAAGGCCAAGGTATGCAAAATGCACGTCGTCGATGATCGTGAAAAGAATTGGATCCCAATATGGCAGCTCCAGTAACTCCGAGTGTCGGATTCCATGCTCCGTATAAATCGCTTCCCGCCATGCCTCAGACGCATCTTTCCATTCAAGAGCTATCTCTCTGTGCTTACCACAATCCTGCATTACCCAAGTTTCCGGTTCGAGATTATGAATTTCATTGAGAGGTAGCAGACATCGCCTACAGAACCATGTGTGGGTATGCGAAGCGAACCCTGCAAGCTGGGTAGCACCTTCCGTATCGCATACAGCAGGCATTAATGCAATAAAAACCCGCCGACCAAGACTATATTGTGCAGTTTGGACATAAAATACACCCTCCCAGAAGGAAAGCAATTGTTTGACCAGCCTGCGCAGGGTGTGATTGATCTGATGTTTGCTGGGTTTGCCAGGGATCACTGTGACCAAGAAGATATATTCTTGTCGATATCGAAGGTGTTCGGGTAGGGACAACAGTACCATGTATAAAGCGGTGGACGAGACGATGGCATGCCTTTCTTTCAATTGGAATGGATTGAACGCATCAAATCCTAGACTCAGGGCAAGTCGCAGATCTGGTGATCCAGACGGTCCGACCTGAGGTATCATGAACGGCTTACCGTCCGCACCCTTGAATTGACGAAATGCTGCAGAATCAACAAAATCTCTGACAGGCTCGTCTCCGACTGGAGCGGGACGTTGGTGGTGTTGAGACATTATCTCTTTGATGCCTGGAATTGCAAGAATTCTCCCAATCCATTCCTTCAAGTCTTGGAAAACTTGTTTCCGAATAGGGGTGACGAACGTACGAGAACCGATTCGACGAGTTCGCCATATTGAACCTCCACATGGTGGTGAGTCTGGGTGAGACTTCTCAGTGCACAGAGGTAGTGCTTCAGTCGTTCTGTAAGTAGTCTCTGCAGCGCTGAGCACCTCGTTTGTGAAACGAAAGAGACCATAACACTTCGGGCATGCAACACAAATATGCAAGGTCGGATCAAGATCATAGTGGTCAACAATGGTGTGAATGTCTTTCGGAATCTGGGATGGAAGCTGAGATTGGGTATTTCGCTCTTTACTCAAGCCTCGGACGATACAACGGAACAAGGCCAGAAGCACTCGCATTTGACGAACTGGAGTTTGGAATTTGATGTACATTATCAGAGCAGCTATCAGAACCGGTGTCATGTGAGTGAGCCGTTGAACAATGAATCGACGTCCTGAGGAAGTTTCAGACAATGATTAGGGCAGTGGAAGACTGACTATACATACTGTTGTCAAAGGTAGAACCCCCACGTCCCTCAGGATAAGCTTGGGATCTCCATTGCCTCTCTTTGATGCGATGAATCTTGTTCAATGCCAGGAAAAGCTCATCCTCTACATCTGCTTCCCCTGTTGAGCGCTCTCCCAAAGGCATGGTCTGAATTGTGTCTAGAAGACCACAAAATCTTGCTTCTGCATCCAGCAAGCGACGATTAGGAAGTCTAGTCGTGTCCAAAGCGAAATGGCCTGAGTTCACTTGCGGTAAGGTCTCAGGATTTGGAAACACAAAGGGCAGGTGTGGAGAGGGTTCGTTGATAAACGTCAAACAAATTTCTGAATGATAAAGAGTCTCCATGCGCACATTGATCTCGGAAATAATGGCTTGAGGCGAGAAGTTCATGTCTTGATCGACGTTTGTTTCGACGTCGAAGCCCGCCCTGCCTTTGCCTTTGCTAGATGCTTGGCTTTCGGAGGGGGTATGACCTGCAGGTTCTACGCCAAGCGTGTCAGGTTCCCCAGTCTCTGCAGTTTCTCCCCTGACACTAGAGGGAAAGGCTCCTCTGAGACGTTCCCGGTGCCGATGCGTGCTTAGAACGTCATACGAGACCAATAATCCTTCAGGATTCTGCGCCAGGCATTCACGACATCGGCACGGCTGCATGATCGAATCGTTCCTACGGCGGCACATTTGGGACCAGATATAACTTGAGTAGACACGGTTGAACTAAAGTAAGGTTGAGCGAACGACTGGTGCGCGCTAGCGATATCATCGATTGATACTATTGATCCGATCCTATAAGCCTCATTTCCTATCACAGAACATCGCTAGATTGTTGGGAGACTCGGCTCAAGTGAGGGAGTTTAGACCCTGAAAAGCTGTGGTCTCATGACAGTTGGTCATACATAGTTTCGACTGAACTTCACATTTTGCGAACCACGATCGTCAATGGAACCAGAAGAAGCCACCGACGAAGTTGTCTCCAGCCCGACTGTTTGTTGATTTCTGAGTCCTGTGTTTGACCGAGCGCTGACGCTGACGATATGTAGGGCTGGTGGAGAAGACAAACATACGGCCACTACAGCTATTATTTGGATGATGATGGGATGATCCAGAAAATTTTCGACGATACCAACACTGAAGAGCTGTAAGTGGTCGTGGCTGTCCTGTTGGAGGGCTGACCAAGTGCAGCAGCCCGCGAGGACGAGCGAAGACCCCCCCGCTGAAGGGTGCCCTTAAGCGAACCAGTCTCAGCCCGCGTAAGTTGACAGCACCTCTGAGGGTTTACTACTAAACCAAGCTGAAAACAGAATCCGTCAAGAATGGAGATACCAGAGGAAGTACACCCGTAAGCTTCCCTCCATCTGTACGGCCGCCAAAATACTTCACGGAAGGGCAAGCCCATACGGGAACTGTTTCCAATGACACTTATGGGCCAACCAAACTGGAAACCAATCGTTTCAGATCCCACAGCAGCGAAGGAGAGACTGCTTGGCACTACAGTCAGGCACCATACGATTTAGACGCGCCTCTCCCGGAAACGGCAATTCCTCGACTGTTGGGAACGATATACGTTCATAGGAACGTCAACGATGGGGGATACCAAGTGTGGGTTTGGTACAAGAGAGACGGGAATGGCCTTGCGTGGCAACCTGTTGACTTGAAGAACGAGCAGATTGCCCATCCAAAGATTGCCGATCGGACGTTGAAGCTGACTTCGACGGGAAAGCCCAGCTGGATTCTGAACAGCACGGCGACAACCTACCGGTCGCGAACCTTGAGAAGGTCCAGATCTCGTTCAGCTGCGCCTTCGACGTTCGGTAAGGCTCCTGACGGAGAATTAGATACTTCTGTAGATTGATTCGGTGCTGTAACGTGGGTAAGTCGACTGTGTTCGGTATCGAGGAAATGGAATAACTACACCCAGAGTTTGACTCCGGGGAGTTGACGTGGGTAGGTCGACTATGTGTTCAGTATCAAGGACATGGAATGACTACGCCCAGAGTTTGACTCCGGGGAGTTGACGTGTGTAGGTCGACTATTTGTTCGGTATCGAGGACATGGAATGACTACACCCAGAGTTTGACTCCGGGGAGTTGCTCGTATAGAATTAGGATAAATTACTAAGTACTGGGAAAAAAGGAACTCGAACCACGTGCATGATTGGTCCGATCCTCCGTTCGTAACAGATCGGCATACGAGTCCGGCGGTTTCCATTTTGGGACCGCTAATAGCGCCTATTTGTCTATTTCCATCCTACGTGATCCATGGATATTCACGATCAATCCCATTGCGAAGGAATCACCAAAAGACAGGTACTGCTCAGTTGAATATATTATTGTGTCAGCCTGAATCTATTTCAACAGATGGAATATGAGACCGCAGCGTTGGTTTTTCAACAAATCCCTGTGGAAAATAAAGCAAGGGAGAGCGATGAGAAAACAAATGGGAATGCGGTCGACAGTGATATTGATAATCAGAGTCTCGAGAAGACCGTGCGTGCAATCGATATTTCATCTCAGTCTCGGTTGTTCAATCTTCATCATCAGATACCAGTGGCTTGTCCAGAACCTAGTGATCAAAACATACAGCCCGCAGTTCAGTCCCATATCAATTATCTTAAAGCAAGCTGGGGCCACTTCACTGCTTTTGGTCAACTGAATGTATGTTCATGGATTGGGAACCCTTACACTTTCTCATATGAGCTTAAGTTCCAGGTCACTGACCTACAACTGTCGGAATTTCTCTTCAAGGCTGGTACTTTGAGCCATATCCTTTTTCTAATTAGAGTATTCCGGAAAATCTGGTCGCTATTCCATGCTCAGCCTCTTATCATTACTGTTGGGCATCTAGCTTTAACGGTTGGTGTCTTCATCTCTGTCCGAAATCATACCAGTCAACTGCAGGTAAGTCTCTCGAATTGTATCTATTCTCTACTAAGGTACCTTGATACAGGGACCTGGATTTTCACGAGTTACTGTGGAAACCGTCCTGTGCATTGGAACCTTCATCTGCATATCCCTTGTATTCCGGATAATCTCCATTCTCAGTGAACTCGCACCCTTCAATATGTATATATATCCCTAAAGATTCCTTGAATCAAATTGTTATGATGACATTTCTCGCATATTCAATATATCAATCTTGTGTCTTATTTGAATCAATCAAGAGTAATACAAGTAAATTAATACGAGCCGCGGAAGTACAAAAATATACTATGAGATGAAACGTAGCGCTCAAATTGGTAGGTTGTACACAGTTTTCAAATACTCTTTGGACAAGCAGTCATTTTTGTTCGAGAGAGAATGGGCCTTTCGAAATTTTAACTTCGCGCGCCATTCTTGACTGGTCATGACTGACAGAACATCCATATGAAGAATTTTGTGTAAACGTGTCAGAAACCAATCTTCTGCATCTTCTGACCAAAAACCGCAATTAAGACCACATGATTTCCAAGCACCTGAACGGGGCCACCAAGAGCGTATCGCGGTCTGTTGGATACCATCTTTTGATATGAAACCTAGGGGTGCAGATATTTTAGATGCATCCAAAAAAATATGATACGTAGACTTATACCTGTTGCAACTTCATATGATCCGCAGATAAGGTCCATCTCTTCAAGAGTAAGTTGGTCATCCCAGAATGCACGGCTTCCACCTTCTTCCCATACACAGAGTGCACGCTCTCCTTCTTGCAGGGCATGTTTGGTAGGGCCATCATAGATATCATTCTCGTTGACTACACCTAGAGCCAACCGAGCTATTATCCCTCCAGCAAGAAGAGCTGCGCGGCCCCTAGCTGAGCGAAGAAAATCATTTCGAGCAGCTTCATACGAGCGATAATCTTGTAGTGTGGGTACAAATCCTACCGGACGGAATCCTAGCATTGCAGGGCGACGGCAGGGGATTGACCTGGGATGACGGGGAGGATAGCTTGGCATAAGCGTATTGAAAGACATCCCTTGATTGATCAGATGTTTGATAATGTCTTCAGTTCCGGGGCCCCATTTCCTTCGGCTTATTTCCATAACAGTAGCGGCACTGCGCAATGCAATCAGAAATGGATCAGAATCACTGGCATCTTTTGCCTGTATTAGGAAAAATTGGCCATTGGGTGAGGATAGGACGTCGAGCTCGAAAGTAATCACAGGCCTCAAGGTACTATCTTTCACGGCCAAATCATACGCTTGAGGTGCGTGTCGCAAATCAACTGCATTCAATAGGCCAGCAGTAAAGGTAGACAACTGAAGTTTGACATAATCATCTGGTTTGGGATTTGGAGGATGCCGTCCACTTCCAAGTAGACCCAAAACATTCTTCCAAGCTTGAGATTTGAGCACTATATTACGATTATCTGGGACACGTTGTGGGAGAAATCCAAGTCTATGACGGGCAACATCCTCAATCGAATCTGGAAACTCTATTGAAGCGACGGACGAGTCGTCATTTGAACTATGAAGACGAGTGAGGTATGCTTCAGAGGAAACAACACCCATATGATGGCCTGTTTGTTCATTCATGTGAGATTGGACGGAAATGAAGTAGTCATCGTCATCGTCTTCGAAGTCTAAATCATGGTAATCGGGGACATCATCCGGGTCCAAGTTTGTGCAAACTTCCCATTCGTCAGCAACCGAATCGTAACGCCGCTGGCGTGAACCATATCTCTCCCAAATGTCCTCGTAATTGCTTCTTCCCACTGCTGTCCGGACTCTGATTCCTTCAACCAAATCCCAATAGTAAACACGGGCGCCTTTTCGACCAGGGGGTCGGTCCTTCCGCGCATTTTCCTCACGTTGTAAACGAGATTGACGTGCGAGGGAAGATTCCGATGCAATGACTTTAAGTCTATGCGCCTCTCTACGCTCAATGAATGTAAAGAGGTCCTCATTCGGGCGGGGAAGGCTTCCGCCATCGAGATGGGGCCAGCGCAATCAATGTCGAGATTCAGAGACTCCCACTTGATGAACGTTTTCTTCGAGGTATTTTGAAGGTGGAACGTACGGCATCTGTTCCGAGGCCAAAGTACTGATCACGATACCCGCAGGGATCGGAATGATACCGTTCAGCACGTCTGGAACAGACCAATCTTTGAGAGTGCCCCAGTACAACATAAGAGGCATTCTGGCCTCGAGGAAAACAGGAATCCATGGAAGGCAGTCAGAGCCAGAGCCACGCACATCTACAAAACTGCCGACCATTGGAATATCCATTATCTGATGGAAGTAGGCGAGCCATTCTGAACTGATGGACGTTTCTCGCTGAAGATGGTCCTGCCATTCCCATTTGGAAGGAACGGGGCCGCGACGAAGTTGTTCGTATTCCCTCTGCCTCTTACTCCAAAAAGGATTGGGACTAGATAGCACAGATTGGCAATCGGACGCGATAAGTTTAACCCATTGATTCTCCAGATGGTAAAGGATGCGAAGAAAGAAGGAGATACAAGCAATCAAGGGTATAAACGCTTGACGAGATCGCATGACTGCATGACGCGCGTCGCTGTCTGTCCTCCAGCGTAAACGAAACCCATAATTATTCGGATACGGCCAAAGTCGAAAAGTCTCAGGTATTCCGAGTGGATTCACTTTCATGCACGCACGGAGAAATGCGCGCATATTACTCTCCAGCGAGTTCCAGTCAGCTTGTATGGAAGACCTAAGAGTTCTTCGATTGGTAGAGAGTCGTGGCTATAATCAAGACATTTCAAGAAATGAAATTTAAAAGGGTTACTGCTAGGAGCGAAGCCCAGAAACGGTATCAATGAATCTACCCAGCGCGGCGAATAGAACTCAGGCAATGTTGTTGCGTGTGGACTGAGATTGTAAGATTGCCGTTGAGAAGGGACATTGGGAAAATCGTGTGGTTTGCGACTGAGACAGGTAAAAACGCCGTCGTCGATTGCTGCATGGAAGCTGAATCCGTCGGTCACTTGAGTTGTTGCCAGACGGGGGGTTCCAGCTTGATGGAGGGCAATTGAGATAAAAAAAACTCGAATTAATTCTCTACTTACAAAACATGAGTTTCTTGGTATTAAGGTTAAGCCCTAATTTGACAGGAAAATGCTTCAATGAAGGCCGGATTCCTGCCTACGACAGTTACTTGGGCGGGTGATTTTGTTCGTGGATGGAGTAATCGAGCAACGTGATTTTTTGAGGCCTCAGATCCAGTTAAACCAGAAAGAAGCAGCGTAGTGGAAGAATAAACTTGGGATCGAAAACTTAGCAGATGCCACGTGCAGTTGTGACAGACAGTGACAGTGACACACTGTTTACATCAAGACGTTGATATTCAGTACTGTACTACACACTATCGTAAAGACTGACATGTAATGAAAGAGTGACCGTGTGTAAGAGAATGCAGCAGTAGTTGGTGGAATGAATGAATCGTGTGCCGTGGTAGTAATGAGCGACATATAAATGGGGAGCATAGCAAGTACAGTGGATGTTGAACAATGGAACAGCGTGAATGCACATCCAGAGACTTGTATCAAGGGACATGGAATGGTCGGGAGCGGGAACAGAACGTGAGCGTAGAGAAGGTAAAAACTCGATTATAGAAATTGTTTTGAGTTAAACGAGGAATATGAAGGTGGGAAGGCGTTTTGAAGGAAGATATATAGCAAGGGTAAACAACGGTGTAGTCATATATGTCAAGATGGATGCTACTAGGGCCCACGACTTGAAAGAAGTTATATATATGAAGGGAAGACATAGGAAGAGGTGAGCATGGATGATGGCTCAGGGATGGGTGCCACTAGGGCATGCATGACTGAACACTTCGGAAGTGAAAGGATGAAGAAGAGATAAAGATTGATATGAGAAACGAAGAAGTTGAGAAGCCACGGATGGCCTAACCCCTGAGGATATGCTTGAGGGTGGTCCCTTTTTCAACGTGCTCCCGGACGTTCTTCGAGAACCTGCATTCGGAGGTTTCAGATTGTCTGGATAAGGGAAGATAAGTGGCCCGACTTACGCTGTAAGAGCCCGTCGAATGACCTCATCCCTAGCCTGGATGGTCTGATAACGTGGGATGGAGTGCAAAAATCGTTCGGGTGCATGGATAGAATAGAAAAAGATCGCGACGTCGCCTTTGAACATCTCCGTGCAGCCACAAGAGCTGAGGCATGCGTTGGTATTGGAAGAAGACTGGTCATAGGTACCAGCAATGTAAAATTTGCGAGTTCCTACTATGACCTTTGCCTTGTAAAGGTCGTCGCCATCAGCGTTGGCACCAAAACCGCTCTGAACGTCGATGGAACGTTTGTGACCGAAACGACTCAATGTAGAGTCAAAGCCTTTAAGTTGGGGAATCGCGTCGCCTAGTGCAAAGTATAAACCAAGTGTCGTACCCCATTCCTATCGGTGATAATGTCAATGAGGCGTACATTAGCAGATAGATATTTAATCATACCGGCTCCGTAGAAGGCATGATGTCCCCATTAAGCGGTGGACCCAGGATGGTATGGCTGGGGGAAAGTCTTCGACGCCGGTGGACAGCAATGGAGGAAGATCTAGATCGAGTGGCATGCATTATGAGTATGATGCAGAATGCGTTTCAACGAGACGATGGGTTATCGACAGAGGGGGAGTAGTTACTCGCCTCTCTTTTATAACGCCGCGCATGCTCTGAACATGCATCTGAAAATGTTTTCAGAATTTACCTGTTCTTTTTGTCAGTGTCTAAGGAAATGTATTTTCATGTAAATGATTACCATTCTTGTGCGGAATAAAGGCTGTAAAATGTCGAAGTGAGGTCACTTGCTGCCCTCCTCGAGGATCCGATAAGTATGAACTTGCCTGCGAGCACGAAGGCCGAGAGGTTGCAAATTCAACCTACCAATGACAGTCTGATGACAAAAATCGGATCGGTTCTGACGCCAGAGAGAGTCAGGACCCCTGACATTACTAGAAAATATTTTATTCTTGATTCCGTTCAGATATCGATTTTGTTGGGAAAAAGATCAGGCAATATGTTTCATAAATATCGAAATTTACTGTTTTTGGCCTCAGGTGTGTCTTTTGGGTACTTCCTTTGGGCAGAAAAAGTTAGATACGATTCAAGGGTCCTGGGGAGTTACGGAGACTCGGATACAAAGGATGAAAGGGATCAAAAAGCATGTTATGAATATGTACATGCACGACCGCTTAGATTGGTAAAACGCGACGTGGCGGACCGCAATGAAGTTGTATACTCACATTGGACTCTCAATCCCACCTGATAGTCACCAGCTGCAGAGTATCATGAACTTGGGACATATATTGTGTGTGTTCTTGAGAGTCAAAGCGACTCATACATCTACTGCATTGATCTGCAGTAGGAGTTCACATAATGATCTGAAAGCGTTGAATACTAAGCTTTACTCAGGGACATCAAATCATTAAAGCACACCGTTGGAGCTCCGAGATTCAAGGAGATCGATCCATTCCATTGACATCAGGGACGGCGAGAAATTCTCGTAGAATAATCATAATGCCCGCCCGTACTCAGGCTTTAGGCGTCAAGCTTTGAGTAGTAACCTTTGATGGTCTTCGTATACATTAGACATACTTTCTAACCAGGTCTTTAGTAAATTCTAACAAGGACATGGGGGCACATACCAATTTGCATGCTATAAACATCAAACATTCATAACACCTCGTGCAAGGATAGACAGGATGCAAAAATGTGCCCAAAATGGGGTCCGATTGCTAGTTCAATCAGGACTTCCCTACACGCTGCTACTCCTACAGTGCTTGCCAAGTTCAAATGTGTCCTTGGAAAGGTACGCAACTTGCGTGCGTTTTGCGTATTGCCACCTCCACGCCTCTCCACGCACGGATACGAACTAAGATAACACGAGGATTATCTGGTTCTTGTAGGTATTCAAAAAGGGGATCAATTCCAGAAGTCCTCAGAAGTCCTGACATCCGAGATATGGAATTCTCCAGCATTATCAAGCCCATGTCTATTGCAACCAACGGTTCTGGGATCGCCGCCCTGCTGCGCAGCATCCGGTCATTCTTGTCTTCTAACGTTACGACTACGTCCGTTGTCCCGATTAAGGCGTTTGTGGGGTCGGACAATCTCTCCAATGATGCCGAGATGGTTGTGATATTCGTAACAGTATTTTCTGCGCTCGCAGTGTTTGGGGTGATAGTAGTCGTTGATATTACCTTGCAGAAAGTGTGCATCTCACGGTTCCATGACGATTTCATAGACTAATTATTCGCAGGCTTACGCGTTTTGGACACACTACCGTTCGTACATCTTCGAACCCAAGGCCAAAATTGATGCCCTCAGAAGGAGAGAGAAAGCCATTGGACTATGGGAATCCGCAGTTGCCCATCAAGCTCGTACGATTCAGCTGGAGATCGAGATTGGTGTAGAACAACGCGTCGCCCAGATCATGAACCGGTATGCGACATTGGCACAAGAAAGAGCAAACGGGCTAGAGGATTTGGCAGCGGAAATGATCGAGAGTGACTCGGATGACGAGGCTTTGTGGGAACAGGGGCTCATACGACCCACTGTGAGCGGCGTGTAGTAATAGCCTACTTACAAATGTACTTTGTAGTAAACAGGAACAAGGTTATGACGGGACACATATCAGTATGGGACGGACTCACGTTCTCTAAATTAAATCAGGCTATACAGATGGGTAGGACGCTGAGGCATTTCTGACACTTCAAAACGACACGAAAGACCAAAGAACGGACACGTTCTAGAGTTTATATCATGATGAATGCAGCGTGCATATCTTCGAGTATCGCCGGCGATGCACTCGGGGGAAAACGATTGAATAACAACGGTGGTTTATATTAGAGTACATGACGTGATCTAGGTGCTATTTCTTCCTCCAAATCGCAAAATGGTTTCAGTCACCATCATCTGAGGTACGATTGAATTATTATGGCTGTAAAAATCAAGAAGGACAAAATCTTAACCTGGTGTTTCAGTTTTCGCAAGATATCTTCAACTTCGGCGGTCTGAATAAAGAGAGGTGCAAACTCGCAGAGGTACTGCTCAGCCTTGGATGGAAGTCAGTGACTAAGTTATAAGGAAGGTATAATATCCATGCCTTTATTTCGAGAGACGAACCTCTATGGTCACATGCAAGAGCGTCAAGCAGTTTTAAGTTAATCCGCTGGGCCACTTGAGTGATCTGAGTTGAGAGATCGTGGAACGCATTCGAGAGCAGCTGGCAGGTTTCGTTCGTGTCTGGAAGTATAATTGAAAGGTTGACCAAAGGTTCAAATAGTTTCGCAGTGGAGATCTAGACAATAGAGAATCAATACCGAGCCATCGTGAATTTCGGGATCATAGGTACCTCAATCGAGAGTATCTGGATCGTCGAATTGAGACTGAAAATATTTGCGTGCAGAAGAGAAATATGACACCCCTAGTGCACAGTTAGTTACCACACAAGGACAATAGTGAACGCGAGTACATACGGTATGATTGTGACTGTTTGAGCGAAGAAGATCCACGTATTGACATTCCAGACTTTCAATTGTTGAATGCATCGTCTCGAGGAATATTTTGTATTTTCGATCCAACGAACGTAGAGTCGACGCTGCAGCGGTCACTAGATTGTTGCAAGATTCCATGTCGGAGGGGGTCGCAGGGGCAGAAGAGGCAAGTCAGGCACTTCTTATATTTGCGCACGACATTATCAAAAGGACTAACCTGAGGTAAAGGAACAAAGGAGACGTATTTTCAAGTCCACGTCACCGATTGTACATGGGCGCAAGGATCTAGAGAACATAGGACTAGTCCGTTGTCGTTCGAGGAGTTGTCATTGAACAGTCGAGTCTTTGAGTTGTCGAGCTTGTGTCCAGTTTAAAACCAGGACTAAGCCAAGTAAAATGATGAGTCGAAGTCTGTCGAAGTTTAAGTCCAAGTCAGAAGTCACGCGTACGGCGCTTATCAGTTCTCTTCATTACACGTGGCGGTGAACGTAACTCTTTTCATCTCTTTTCATCTCGTTTACCCTTTGGCACTCTTCAGAGTTTAACTCAGTCGATGTCAGCCTTGCAACGTCTTTAATCTCGTTTACCCTTTGGCAATATTCAGAGTACAACTCAGTCTATGTCAGCCTTGCGACGTCTTTCATCTTGTTTACCCTTTGGCAATATTCAGAGTACAACTCAGTCTATGTCAGCCTTGCGACGTCTTTCATCTCGTTTACCCTTTGGCAATATTCAGAGTACAACTCAGTCTATGTCAGCCTTGTGACGTCTTTCATTTCGTTTACCCTTTGGCAATATTCAGAGTACAACTCAGTCTATGTCAGCCTTGCGACGTCTTTCATCTCGTTTACCCTTTGGCAATCTTCAGAGTACAACTCAGTCTATGTCAGCCTTGCGACGTCTTTCATCTCAATTGAATGCTCTTATACCTCTCGGTCTTCGCCCAAATTCAAAGGCTCATAATGGGGACTCGCATGACAAACAAGCGGAATATCTTATAAGGAATTCGACTCAGTAAGCATTATTCCTCGCACTGTCTCATCGAAAGCCTGATGTATACACGAACTCATCACATAGAGGACGCAGAAATTCGCCAGTTGGAGTCCAGAATCGCTCTCGCTTCAGGCGAGGCTGTTGAACTTCGAATGAAAATTGCAAAGTTAGAAAGGCATATCAAATTACTTGACGATGTAAGTGTCTTTCACTGGATAGAGCCCGGTATGTCTGAAGACCCATGTGTAGAAAGCACAACTCTGTTCTCATTTTGCCAAGACACAAGCTCAGCATACTCAAGCCGTTGCTTCATGGAAGAAACATAAGGAGGATATCAGGTTGCTCGAAAAGGAGCTTTCGCATCCGCATGCATCAGGCCCTGATTGTTGGTCAGTCGGTGGTATCGTCCATTCAATTTGTCTTTTCTGAGCTTGTTCCACATCAGATATCAAGACAGTCTTCCTGTTGTTCTGTATCATATTTTTTGGAAATTGTTATGAATGTTGTTACGAAGGCGTAGTCAGTAATAATTCATCTAAGATTGTACCGTGAGGTCCAGGGTCGAGGATATCCGCACCGTGGGCTACCGCGAGGCACAATATGATAGATCGACAGATTCAACTTAGCACGACAAGAATATACCGCAAATTCTTCCAAATTCTCCTAGCGGTAACGCCTCGTGTATAACACACGCAAGTCGTTAAAGAAGTGTCGCCTTTACTTCCTAGATCGAACTCATACCCATCCAATGAACACCACCTATACACACATAAGGACGATTGATGCTCTCACTGATTTCGTTCATGCATTAGCGTTCTCGAAGGATGGACGGTATCTGGCGAGTGCTAGTAACGATAGAGTTGTTCGTGTATATGATGTCAAGCATGAATTCACGACGATTTGGGAGCTACAAGGCAGACATCCCTTTACTGCCCTCGCATGGAGAGATGGCGGTCTTTTCATGGGCAATATGGACGGTGATGTGACACTGTCTCATCCTACTATGGTAAGCTGAAATTGACAGACCGTTACACTACATCTCAATACATGAAAAACAGAAATCAAAACTAAATTGGATCCGACGACGCAATAGTGAATTCGAACTCGTTTACAAAGCCGATGAACCTATCCATGTCATGGAGTTCAATCGACGTGGCGACCATCTTCTCGTCTGCTCAGGTGCCGATGTGATGCTTCTCAAGAAAAGTAGTAAGTACTCTATCATATATCAAAATTAATACTCGCTCATTCGAAACCAGAATCTGGAATCTGGCAATATCAGGACCGCTTGCCTCGTCCAATTCCATTAGGAGAGCCTGAAGACAAACCGCCTCCAATTGTGGCAACTGGAGCATATTTCCTCGAAAGTCGTAACGAATGCCTCATAGCATATCTTCATGACGGTTTTCGGTGAGTAACAAACTCCGTGCTTAATCCTTTCTGACCCGGATATCAGGATATTCAAGATAGACACTTGGGAGAATATCAGGATTTGTAGTTCGGACGAAAGATTGTACGAGAAAATGTATATTTTTTGGAGGTTCGAGTGGTATGGTCAGTATAGCTCATGACTTTCTTAGAGCAGCGTCTGCTATATCTCCGGACTCAACATTCATCATCGCAACAAATCTGCACAAGGGCCTCGACTGATACAAGATCATGCCCGACAAGCTGAAGAAAATGAGTACCTCCTGTGAGATTCAGAGCCCCGGATCTAACATTCCCCTCCCCGTTCTTTTTATTAATAACGGTCAAGCGACAATTATGGGAACGTCAAAGGGATATGCAGTCATCTTTGAGGCGAAGCATGGTAAAAGGGTGCAAGCTCTCAAACATGGAGCTTGTCATAAAGTACGCAGCCCCTATCATTTTCCTTTTCTCACCGTCTCGACGCCTTTACTTGTACGATACATCATCCCATCACTGTCAAACCCCCATCAATTACTGATCCATCGATTACTGATCCACCTGACCCATCTTCTCCTTCTATTGGCTTCCGCCACCTTCCTTGTTCCTAAACTGTACAGTATTACATCGTTGTTTCTCGCAGACCGGATTATGTATATATAGCCAACCCTCCACAGCCTGGTCCCTTATCTTGACCTCTCTGTCATTATCTGGGACCAGGTATGTGCTTACTTATTATTACCTATGACTACGATACTCAATATATCTCTGTCATTATCTGGGACCAGCCTGCCGCCGTTCTGCTTAGTCGCTCCGCCTTGTTGCCTTGTCCAGTTGCTCCGCCTCACCGTTCTGCTTAGTCGCTCCGCTTTCCCGCTCCGTTAGTCACTCCGCCTCTGCCGCTTCGTGACAGAGCTGGTGAGTTCACGAGCTCTTTTCAATTACATTGCTTAAATTTTTGACTTCAGACCAAACGTGGGTGACTGCATTGGTGAGTACTGTTTCTTGATTATCTAGTGGTTTGTACACCCACAATGCCAAGGCTTATGCCGAACTGGAGAATGGTCGTCGAATGATAGCCACTGGGGATGGAAACTGTGGCGAACGTACAAGAATCATGATATGGACCGAAAATCCCAAGGATAGTTCCTCTCGTGTATCCAAGTTGCAGTTTATTCTATTCAAGATCATGAGTTATGCTTTCTAAAGGAAATCGTTACCTGATAACACGACGGCACACAGGTACATATGGTCACAAATGCGGGATACATCATCTTCCTTCTGATGGCTATAGTTGTCGCAATGTCATTGTTATTCCCTACACCCTGGACAGAGATGGATTCCGGTCGATTGCCGGAATATCTTGCCAAGTTATCCGTTCCTGCGACGCCTCCACCGCCACCAACTCCTGTGGCGCGTTGTGCGGGATCATCAGGCCCATCTTCAATGTCAATCAAGGAAATCCTAATCGGCTTGGGAGATCTGCTGGTATGTACTGGGCTCTTCAGTCGGTACAACATACTAAGAACTCATCAGACCTGAGCTTGTGAAGGTGATATCCTGTAATATCGTGGATGACGTTTGCTTGAATGAGACGATGTCTCCTCACATGTACTTATCTACTCGAATAACGTAAGATCCGACGACGCCAAGTTGCTTCAAAATCCTTCAAAGACATGTGTGATAAGGAGGGATAAGGGGAAGATTCAGACGGCGACAAAGGGCGACACTTGCGCGAAATTAGCGAAGGTCGCCGTTCGTGCATGTTTTTTAACAGATGCATGGTTATATCAATGATCGCTTGACTACAATTTGAACCTCCGAAAGAAAACATCGATTCATCGATTCCTTTGAAGATGAAAGTCCCCGGTCTCGCATTCGTCTCAGATTTCTCTATGGATGTTGCCAGTATGGTCGAAGATTCTAGCGATTCTGACTCTTGGATGACTGTAGATTCTGATGATGTGCAAGCGCCTCAGGGCCCCAGTCAAACAAATCCGCTGCCATCAAATCCACAGAATCCACAGCCCTTGCAAATGACACCACAGATGCCTCCACCACCACAGGTTTCTCCGGGGAGTCCAATCCAGGCTCCACCGCAGCCACAGAACTCGACCTCGGTCTTGTATTCGTCACCTGCCCCACCGGCCCCTCCACCACAGGCCCCCCCTCCACAAACTCCTCCACCACAAACTCCTCCACCACAAACTCCTCCACTGCGAACTCCCCCACCCGCAGATCATGAAATGGTCGATATTGATGCCACTCCAAGATTTTATATGGGCTTTAGAAACAAAATGCCGCAGGTGTGTCCTATCATATCCCTAAAAGATAAGCTTCAAATGTATCTATCAGCAACCACCATCCCCAACTGTCCAGAAATCAAAAAAAAAAGGCGAGTCCATGAAGATACTCAGCCTGGACCTTCTCATCGGCCTGGCTCTGCTCAGCCACGAGCTCAGTCAGGCTCTCAATCTCATGATCAAAGCCCTGTTGATATTGTAGGTTCTTTCATGATCCACGGACTTGGTCTGACAGTCTTTCCGTAGTTGCAAAATTTATTCGACAACCAGACAAAGATGATGGCGGAGATTTACTCTCGCCTTCAGCAATCCAATGACGACATACTCTGGAAACAGGACCAGAAGATAGACACGGTGGCTAAATCCCTCGATCTCAATGCAGAAATACTCAGTCGTATCGGGGAGACACTTGATATGATGTCTGGAAATCGTAAGGAGCAGCGCAGGAATACTCACGGGACGAGCAGGACTCAGCGTAATGACAGCGAAGATTCCACTATGAATGAGGGGAGCCGCCCCGCTCACAACAATAACAACGCCAACGGGGATCGAGGCCAAGACAAAGGCGAAGATAATGACGAGGTAGAGGGAGACGGAGGTGGGGACGGTGATGATGAAAGACACCCAAGCGATGATATTCCCAATCGCAGCCAGAAGAGTCAACATCACTCTGGAGAGGTGAAACGTCGGCCCCTCCAAGAGCTCAAAGAAAAGGTGCAGGCAAATGAACTACTGATATCTATTTGTGACTCACCGGCGCATCCCCGACATAGGAGTTAATCCGTAAATGGCTTAACGAGATAATGGAAGGTCAAGATCTCCTGGCAGAGGTTGTTACCAAGGAAGAAGCCGAGGAATTCGCTCAAACATTCAAAAATAATCCACTCGCACGTCCATGCTCAACTGATAATTTTCGCTACTGGATTGCTGGTGGCTCCAAATCGCCGTGGAATCAGGGTGCTTCATATGTCTTTGTAGACATCCTTGTGAAGAAGAAGTTGGTTCCTGATCTAGACATTCAAGCTCGCGATGCTCTCCGCAAAGCTTTCTTTGTGAGACTCAAATCACTTCACACATGCTGGCAAGACAAGCAGAAAATGGCGGAGGACAGTGACAAAACGCCTCGTTCATTATTCTCCAAAAGGTGGCAGCGGAAGAATACTGTGAGTGTTGTGCACATTCTTCAACGAAATTTACTGATATCTTAATAAGCTTTTCCATCAACGAAGAGATGTACTCGTCACTTTCTACTCGCTCCAACCCTTCCTGGGCACTTTCGATGACTTAGGCATTGCAGGAATGTCTTCTGATGAAGAGGATCCTGGCATGAAGAAGCCCCGTGTGCAATATATCATCAAGGAGCCCAAGTGGCGAAGTGTCGAATTGAAGAACCATCTCCGGCTCATAGACTATTGCCATCTTGAAGGGCGATGCACAACTGACCAACTCCATTTCAGTTTCTCGCGAGGTTCTCCGCCACGCCTTCGTGTGGATAGAAACGATAAGACCTCCAAAAGCAAATACGTTCGTGGACTGCCTGCCAACTTCTACGATGCACAATGGCTTGAAGAACAAGAACCTGGATGGTCAAAGGGTGGAAGCGGTTTCGTCAATGAGTTGATTCGTCCAAAAAAACCCGTTAAGCTTGTTTTTCCTCCAGACCTCATGAAGTTGGTACTTTTTTGAATACCATTTCTTCTGACTGATACCGTTTCAGGACGTTACAACAGAGAGGTTATACAAAGGCGCAGGGAACGGCCTGATTATAGTGTTTGAATTTCTGTTTGTTTGTAGATACATGATCCGGAGGCTACATTCGAAGACTCGCGACTTTGTGGAGATGCATTGACGAGGTTGCAAAGCGTCCAGTCGTTAGTCCTGGAAAGTACAAAATCAAAGTGGACAAGGATGGTACACAAGAGGTGGAGTTTTCAAACGTTATGCCATCGTTCATTTGAATCTGTCCGTATTCCTAGCACTCAATTTCCTGTTGCTTTCTGTCTGATTTACCGTGAATATCGTGAGCATGACCCGTATCGAGCTCGCTGACCGGCATTGGCATTTTATAAAGCATTGGTGAAGTCACGACTTCAAGGAGAATCAGCCAGGGTGCGGTTCTGATAAATCCTGTACATCTTGCACTTAAGCTAACAAATACTGACCATCCTTTATTCTTTCCCCAAACGTAGATCTTTCATGAAACGACGCTGTTGTTCAGTTAAGCGTCCATGCACTATATAAATGCCCAATGTCGGTATTTTCTTCATTCTTCGTGCTCAGAACTTCTTCTACTACTTCCACATTCTTTTCTCTAGGCTGCGCCTTCCATCTAGCACTAACCAACCGATTTGAAAACAACCAGTATGAATCGCGACGTATCTCCGGTTTTTGATTCGCTGGACATTGATCTGGTGTTCAAAGTGCTGAAGAATACCTTGTTCAGTGCGTGAAGCGTATGACCAGCTCTACCAACAACTGAGAATTCTTTTCCAGGCCCGTTTTTTGTCTTGTTCGTTCCTGTCCTCTACGTTTTCTCAGGTGCAGGGACGAGTTACCCGTTCGTCCTCTGGTCTGGAGGCTACTACGTGCTGCTATGCTTCTATTGTATGTATATCTTTCCGTCTTGTGGACTTTACTTATCACAGCGCTCACAGGGCTCGGTGATTGGCTGTCAACTTTGTACAGAAACCAAGGCAGTCTTCTGTTCAGAGCTCCTCGCTTCGACTGGGGCGAGCAGATTGTTGTAGTCACTGGAGGTATGTGGCAATGAATACATCCGATTTTGAGCTCGTGCTTAAACTGCCATAGGCGCTTCCGGCGTCGGTGAACTGCTCGCAAATACTCTCGCTGTTCGAAATGTGACTGTAGTGGTACTCGACGTTAACCCGATTGTCTCCGAAAATCGTGAATACTGCCTTTGCCTCCCTCCGTTTTCGATTGCCTAACATGGCTCATAAAAGACAACATCGTCTATTACAAATGTGATATCTCCAAGTGGGATGCAGTTGAGGCGGTTTCAAAGAAGATTGTTGAAGAGGTATGCCCAGTTGCATTCGTGTCTAGCTCGTCAACAAAAAAGAACGAACATGTCATCAGATTGGTCACCCCACTGTACTTGTAAATAACGCTGGCGTCGTGCAGGGGAAGCTTGTCACCGATTTAAGTGCTGCGGATGTGCAACAGTGGGTTTCCGGTTGATGGCCATGGAATGGTACTCACAATTACATAGAACGATTGGGGTTAACACGCTCGCGCATTTCTGGACTCTGAAAGCCTTCCTTCCTAACATGATCAAAAACAATAGTGGTCATATTGTGAGTTGCATGTAATTGCTGACTTTGTCGACTCATGAGTCTTATGACAGGAATTGGCCACCACAAAGACCTGAAATTTCCGAGCTCTTGGTCAAAACAAACTGTCATATAACCTTCTTCCTTTAACACCACCACCATTGTCCTTGAATCCTCAAAATTTCCTGGAACTTCCGACGTAGCAACTGCCATCAACGTCCACACCGGGTGAACCAATAATCAACAAATCCCCTTTCCAACAATGTTTCCGCCGATGTCATCTACACACTGGCTCGAAATTGGATTTTACTCTCGATTCTCCCTCCCTCCCTCCATGGCGAAAATTACTTTGACGCGTCCAACAACGACGCGTCGTTTATCAACGTGGGAAGTTCCGTTGGCGAAATCAGCTGCCAGCAATTTCGCTTGTGAAGGACCTGCAGGGGAAGTCTTCAAGGTGTGTGTCTATATTCTTTCGGGATCAGGGCTTCGTTAATGTTTGTATAATATCCAGGTCGACTCGTCTGCTGCGCTGTGCGTGCAGGAAACGCGCGATGTGCTCGCTGTAAACCCCTTCCACGAGGCTGAGCTTGAAAATTCTGAATATCCGTTGGCTGATTCCGATAGCGAATGTGACGCTGAGGTGAGATTTTTCCGTGACTTTTGTCTACTTCTAACTTCAACGTTCTACTGTTGGTATAGTTCAGAGACGTGTTTTATGCATATGAGCCCGAATTCGATGCATCTCTTGACGATGTGAGTAGGATCTGTTCTTACGCGCACAAACTTTGCTCAAAAAGACCTTCGTCTATGTCAGGATGTCCTTCAAAGCTGGAATATGAGCAGAAACATCCTTGCTATAGACTCAACGACACCTTGGCTAACTCCCCATATCGTTATCACCCCTGCATCCGATACCATGAGTGATCTTGCTATCGCTTGGTTCAATCAACCAAATTACTACCAAGATACTTCGAAACTATGTCTGCCACCGTCAGATTTCGCAGAGAACCCCTCTTTTTCGCGTTCAGATGCCCCTCCGATTATTACATCTTTTTTACCACTTGCGTTCCATCCGATCTCCGTTTTTAGTCCATCGAAATTCAACGCTATGGTGAGCTCACTTTATGATGGTCACAGGTCCGACACTCACTCATTTTAACTCTTAGATTGAAGGCTGCTCACATGAGCGCTTGAGCTACTTCAACGTCGTCATCGCACTCAGACGGCAGATAATGAAAGCTGTCGTAAGTTGATCTTTCTGTCCCAGCTTATTTATTGATTAATGATCATCCTAGGCTATAATGGCAAATCAGGCTGCTAATAGTTTCCGAGAGCGATACGACTCGGCTCTCCCTTTCTCAAACATCGACCGTCCTTTCTCGTGGACTGACCCAGCTGAGGTGAGAATTTAGTTCCCTGGATCATCGGTATTGGCTCACCTCTTTTGCTCCTCTCCTAGCCCATTCTATCAGCCAGCCGCTTCTATCGCGCCACCCTTATCCTCGACTCCACCAATCCGTTCCGAGTTCCGCATATCATTTGGACCTCGCGAAGAAGACCTTGCGCAGCGCTCCCCGATATTCTCTGTCAACTCTTAGGCCACGCGTCCATTCCAAACGACGGATTTGTGACGACCATCACGTTTCTGCAGCACCACTCCTCACCAACATTGGGAAGAGTAGATAACGGGGATGCGTATATCGTTGCTGGAGCGACTACCACCGGTGGTGTTAGTATTCTGGATCGAGTTGGTGGGGGAAGAAAGCTTACTTTGCTAGCTAACAATGAGGATGTACAGAATAGGACCAGCCTTGTTTCTCTACCTTCGTCATGATCTGCTGAATCCCCGGGCCATAATGTCAGCGAATGGGTTGAGAAGAATTCCTTTTTTAGAGTCGCGTGAAAGTAAGGCGTGTAATGGCGTGAATATACACTACGGATACGCATGACACGCATAAGGATGAGTATAAGCTGTCATAAGAATAATCAAGCTGGTATCAAGCTGGTGTAAGTGGATGAGTCTGAACATGACATTCGTTGTATCGTGGTATACATTGTGAATGGAATATAGCCTTGCTGGTACTCTTGATGGCTTGATATCACAAAGTCAAAGTGAAACGGTGTATTTGTATCCAGGAAGGGCATATCATATTACAGGGCATTTCCCGCATTACTGCTTTACTGTGAAACTTGAATCTACTAACTCCTTCTAAGTCTCAGCGATGGACAACTGTTGAACAAGAACCGAACTAGTAATACGAAAGTTCGGATTTCATCATTTCGTGTTCTGTTGTCCTAGTTTGTCGTAGAACTGTCTGATCAAGGGACTACTCCATGATAATTTGTGGTGTGTTTGAGGAACTTCCTCGACTTCTCCATCGATATCTTCTGCGGGCATGTTCTTCAAGGTCTAAAAAATGGATAATGAGGGATTATTTCCGGTTTAATCATTCTCATACCTCTTCAAGCAATCGCGAGTTGAGGGGTAGATAAGAGGAGCCAGCCTGAATACGGGAAAATTAGGACTCTCGAATGATTGATGTGAGGCGATGTACCAAAGCTCTTTGTCGTCGACGGAACTTAGCCTCCTTGCGATCTTCTAGTTTCACGTTCTAACGTGCTATGAGAAAACGTTGTCTGACTGTGTAGAAATCCTCACCTTATCCTTGTCCTGATCACTGAAATCAGTAGCCCCGCCCAGTTTGTTGCGATCGGATTCGTCCTAAGGAACATCGATGAGCAGGAAGCCGACCGTGTTACGATATCGAGTACTTACCATGGTAAAGCAGGTCACCGTTGGGAGACAGGACACGAGACAGATTAAAGCAGTAAGTTGTCGAGCTTTTGTCCGGTTTAAAACCAGGACTAAGCCGAAGTGATGTTCGAAGATGATGAAGGGGAGACTAGTCTCGATGTCACGATCATGACTCTGGACTTCAGATCCGTGACCGCATGTAACAGTCACATAAACGATTTCTCTCTAAGACTTCCACTACAGAGTCAAACTCAGTAGCAGTCTCTATCTTTATCTGGACAGCAAATCTCGTCAACACATTGCGACATCTACTTTCCTGTTATCTATCTTCCACAAGGCGATTGCTACAGAGTTAAACTCAGTAGCAGTCTCTATCTTTATCTGGATAGCAAATCTCGTCAACACCTTGCGACATCTACTTTCCTGTTCTCTATCTTCTACAAGGCGATTGCTACAGAGTTAAACTCAGTAGCAGCCTATCTGATCTCAGACAGCTTGTTCGGAGTCCTACTCAGCATCCGACGCCTATACCTGAATATCGACCTCATTCAGACCTAGTACCTTCAAATTTACATGCTCTACGACAGCATCCAATGTCCCTCCTTGGTACCCAAGTACTTCTACATGGTTCAAATAGCAGTACAAGTACATATCACAAGGCGGATGCAATAAGCACAGTGTCAGGACTGAAGGAGACAAGGGCGGTTCACGAGTGTGTAAGGTTAGTCGTCTCACGTATTCATTTCCCGGTACTTCATTGAATACACTATTTGTAGCCGGGGCGTCAACGATATAGCGAGAGGAGTAAAGCCTTCAAGAGCTGACGACTTCCCTGATAGATCCCGGTAGGCGTTCACTCGCTAGGGAGGCTGTCGTCACCGGGCTTTCCATCCTTCTCCTCTGTCAATCCATCTTTTCAAAAACGTGGCAATGAAGGCTGATCCTGGGTCTGGGACCTCTGCGACTGTCCCCATCTGTTGCTTATTAACGGCTGGTACGTACTCAGAATTTAGTCCTGCTCTATGTATGTTCAATATTTTAAGTAAGGCGTTAGAGGGTATCAGCAGCAACCAACGTTGAGCGAGACATATTTGCCTGAGTCGGGGTTAATGGACCTGCCGGTTAGTCGATGATCTTAGCTAATATTTAACGACTTACGTTGATTTCACAGATATCCGAGTTTTTCGAGCTCCCCCGCCGTCTTTGACAGGGTCTGGAGTTTCCTTTTTAGGGCAGGAAAGGGTCGCTTTGACGATTTTTCCCTTTTATGGACGGAGAAGGGTCGCTTTGACCATTTTTTCCTTTTAGGGACGGTAAAATAGCGTAACTCGCAATCTGTTCCTCTCTCTCTAATTAATACACACACTCAATATCTCACCTTTCGTTATGCAATGTTTTTATCCTTCAATTTCGGGCCATCTTTCATGGTTCTTCTGAATGTCTGGACCACTCACGCCCCGTATGTTTACTTGTCCACCAATACATTGTGCTAACACTCCTATGGTCTCTGTATTGCTCTGTTCATGAGCTCAACCTCTGCCAGTGCCACTGTTTTCATTGTTTGTTTGTTGGAACCAGGGAAATCCACAGTGTTTTAATATTTACAGACTAATCATCGCTCATCCATCCTTATGTCACCAAGTCACTCACTGCTAGTTTTGCAGTTGACCCACAACAATTTTAGCTTCTTCTCAATCCACCAGGTTCTGCACAACTCACCTGGCTTCTGGACAATCCACCTGGCTTCTGGACCATCCAACTGGCTCTCTCCACTGCCCCAGAGCAGAATCAGTATGTTTAATTCATTTTATTGCATTATTCTACCTAATTTGATGTTGCTCTTTTTCCCCCCCCAGTCCTCTCTTCTTAATCATCTCGTATCTGATCCGATGCCGAAGCGCCCCGTCCATAAACTGTGCGCTTTGTACGCATTTCGGAAAGCGCGCGCAAAATTGGCGGCGGATGGGCCAGGCGTACTTTACGCGTTTGTGGACCTCGGCGGAACGCTCTGGAAACTCGGCCACACGAACAACTTCCCTCGAAGGCGAGCCGAGTGGGACAAACAGTGTCCGTGTCCCGACCGTGTGTGGCTACCTCCTGTTCCGGTCCCGCGAAGGAGGCGGGCAGGTAAGTACCAATAATACCATCTGATTGAGATGCTCATCTGTTGTCAGAATCCTTATCACATCTCCTATTGGAGATTGTTTGCCAGGATAGACCTAGAACTCTTTGTTCTCAATGTATGTATACTCTGCTTTCTGAAGAGTAAGCTCATGTGCTGTTTCTGAAGGCACAAAAGTACATATTGAAAAATTTACATTCATTGGTAACATTTACATTGTTTGGAACACAATCATTCAACATGTTCTGACAAGAGCTGCAACAGCTTGAAGGTATGACCTTTGTTATCCATGTCTTCATGTTCAAGACTGACAATTTACTAGATCCCTGTATGGAGAATTATACATGTTCATTGTATCTGTACTTATGTAGATATTATGCAGCCACTATGTTCTGATAAATGACAGGAAAAGCCCTCCCCAGGGCCTTCTGTGTATTCATAGATGGGGCCAGAAGCTATGTCATTCCTATATAGATCGTGGTGTTCATTACTAACTTAATGCTAGGTCAAAACTGGCACGTCCCGAATTCCCTGAACGTCGCGCGTCTTGATATCTCGACACCAGCGACGTTTCTACGTCCGAACATCTCGATATCGACGACGTTTCGGTGTCTCGATGTCTCGATATCGACGACGTCTCGACATCTCGATGTCCCGACATCGGGTACGCATAACCTCGGCGAGGTTATTTTGAACAACCTCATGTTTTTCGCGAGGTGAATATCTCGTGAAAATTTTATACAACCTATAGGAGAATATTGTACGATTATTTTAAATATGTTCCTCATGTTCACTAGTAGGTTATTTTACGATTATTTCAAATTTTTGGCTGCCGAAAATATTAACCAATCGCGAGGCACAAATTCATTATTATATCCTCACTTTTATTGGTAGATTACTTAGAATAACCGCATAATATGAGCTTTATATTCTATATCCGGCTATCTGAGAATTATACAAACTTTTCGACGTCCCAAAATCGGTCAATATTTGGTAAAAATCTACGGATAATGGACGGATTTTGGAGGCGCCAAAACGCCCTCTTCCCCACAGTGTAACGCATCTGACATTGTAGGCTCGAGCTCAGGCTCAAGCCTCACACGCACATGCGAATACCTGTTGTGTATATCAGTTATGAATCGGGACGATTCCGTCGAGCGGAATATTTTCTCTTCCAGCATGTTGCAATATCTCACTTTCCAGCTGCGCGCCTACAAACTCTTAGCTGCTATTAGTACTTACTAGTATAAGTGCCAGATGAATCCCTACAAACTCCAGAAGCTAGCCTCTTGTTCTCTGAACGTTGTTTTTATCACGGTATCACAAAGAGTTGTGATTTTCGGTTTGTGTTGAATATTTTGTGTCTTCAAATAACGTGGTGATTTGTTCCCAGTTACATCTATTGAACGTTGAGCCTCAGCTCCTCGAGCTTCATGGGTAGAAGGCTTCATCAGCTTCCAGTAGCCTTCTAGCTTGGACTTTCAGACTAGAACCTCAACTATGTCCATAAGGTACCGAGATATGGAGGTAATGTGGGGTAATGGGGTAACATGTCAGCCTACGATGGAGGAAATAAAGTACCTGGTGCCACACCAATGCCACAATCCTCGCACCCCTTGGATACACGAGTTGGAGAACAAGAATCAGAGTTCGGTCAACAAGATTTAATTTGATTCGTATCCGGATTCATTGAGAGACATTGAGAGCTGGCAACGTCAGTTCAGCCTTTTGATTTTGGACGGACTTGCCCATGAACATTCGCTAGGTCAAACGAGTGACAAATGATCAACCCTCGAGGGGAGAAAGAGTTTCAGAAAGATGAATCGGGTTCTTACAGTGCACAGGTTGTTGCCAACTTCGCTCCCCGTATTTTAAGTAACGAAGAATTAGAATTTCCCCATTATCACTGACAATCTCATATCTCCTACAGCCGCTCTCGGCCGCAGCTACGTATTCTGTTCAAGTATGCCCGGTCACCAAGGTGCTTCAGAAGGTGTTTCATATGCCTCGGTGGTAAATATACTAGTACTGAATTTCATGCGGGATAGGATTGCATAGGTTGCGTTAGGACAGACATAGCCAGGACATAGCATCAAGCATATGAAGAGCTCAGAAATTTCCGAGGATGATATACGCGTAGCAATACTTACGCGAGGCCGAGTCGTGGTCGTGGGGAGCACGCGATCAGCGATTCGAGCAGAAGCACAAGGTTGTAAAACCTTTGGGACAAATTCCGATATAAATTACGTTGCATTCGGGAGTGGGTAAATGCCAGTAGATGCGGCATGAAAGTAAGAAGGTAGTCACTGCATAGAACGAGCCTCGGGAACGATCTTCGAACGGAATATCAGCGTATTTCTGCCATTGGAAGGGTAGAGATGAGGGAATGGACGTCGGATGTGTGAAGATGTGTGGAGATATGTGGAAGTGCCACTGTGACCATCGACAGTTGCGGACGGGTTTATGACGGATCTGCGCCCGACCAAACAACGACCCGAGGACGAATTAAAGTCCAAGTAACAGTAAACTATGTAACCTATGTATTATTAACACGTTACGCAAGAAAAGGAAGGATGACCCAAATCAAGCACTTACGAGTGGTTACTTCAACTGACGGGAAGGAGCGTTGAATTGAGTTTCCATAAGAGAACCCTCTGTTCGCGGGAGAGACGGGTTTGCTTCTAAACCATTTGAACCTCAAGACTCTCTTCTATCCTCAAGCTTGAGCTTGAGCTTCCTCGTTCTTGCTTTTCCGCATCTTTAAGATTTTGAGAGATAGTCGAACACTTGGATAATCGACGACCTGGATTGTCGAGAAAGTAACCTGGTTCCTGTTCCGAATTTGAATAAAGGCATATAGGCTCTAAAAGCTATCATTCAAGGTGAGTGTCCATTCCAATAACAAATCGAATGTGGTATCTGACAGATATCGACAACCCAGGGACAGGGTAGGGACGGACACAACGTGATGCAAACATTCCAATCATTCGACACAACTTCCATCATCTCCTCCACCAAATCCACCAACTCCAAACGACAGAATGCTCCTAGTGACGCACAGTCAACTATCTCGCTCGGAATCAAGAATCCCTCTACACTCTCTTACTCAAATTACCCATTAAATAACCACGCCAACCATTTTGCGCACCCAGGTCCCCTCAAAAACACACTCTCCATACGTCTCGCTGAATCCGCTGTCTTTCTCCGCACGAACGATCTCACAGGTCGGAATCGGTACGGGGATTCTCGGCCGACATATCTACGTGGGGTTGTTCAGTTGGAATTAGTGAAGCCGACGAGAATAAGTAGGATTGTGCTGGAGTTGGGTGCGAAGGTTGGAACTATCTGGCCTGAAGGTGAATCGATATACCTTTTTGCTATGTTCCCGTTGTGTTGGAAGTTATATTGACCGATACTGATTGAGTTATACATATCACGTCTTTTTAGCTCATGTAACGCGCGATTTGGTGGAATCACATAAGGTTTTCTCGGCTACAGAGACTGTGTTTTCTGCGTTGCCTGCAAATACAATCTCGAATCGAGATAGGTCTGTGTCGCGACAACGCTACAATATTAGCAATGACACATCCTTCGTTACATTTGAAGATGATTCGCCTCCAGCATCACCAACCTCGAGTCCTACTATTACCAGTGGATGGGTATCTGGGAATGGATGGATATCACCCGACGTCAGGTCTATACAGAGCAGTACTAGCGGAACAATTACACCTACAACGACGAGGAGAGCGTTGAGTGCTGATAGTACATGGACAAGGAGATCTGGAGGCTCTGCAGTTTCTGGAGTTGTGTCGCCATCGCCTGTGACAGCCTCAAAGTCAACATCGATCCCCGAGAATACGATTTCAAGATTGCCACTCGCTCCTCCTGCGTATTCTGAGGTACCGCTGCATATAACTACAGATTCCACAGAGTCTGCGCTGCATCGAACAGCCACGAATGAAGCACCCAAATCTCCAGAATCTCCAGACTCGGAATCACCCGAAGAAGCCCCAGTCTACACCGAATCCCGGATTTCCTTCCAGACCGGTGTTAATCAGTCTAGGGTGCATGCTCCGAGTGGTATTCATCATCATGGGAATGGGAGACGAGCAAAGTCAACGAGTAAAGCAGCGTTACGAGGCGAGCCGAATGCGCCGTTGCCAGAGACTCCTACGATGTCTTCGAGCGTTATGGGAAATTTTAGCCATCCATATGCCTCTCCTACTGCTTTACCGAATGTTTCTGGACCATCCGAGTCTTCCTCTTCGATATCGAGAGAAGGAAATGAGAATGTCGAGAACGCAGACAATGGCAACGTTGTTGATGTTGCGGCAACAGGTTATGAATATGCTCAAGCTCATGCTCGTGCTCATTCTGACCGCTTACGATCACAGCAGAGCTTGGGACATCTACCTTCCCAAGTACAGTCTCATCAGTCTCCTACTATTCACGATAACGAAGACGAAGCGGAACCCACTCGAGGCAGGAAGAAAACCCGTTCGCGGTTTTCGTTTGCAAATTTGGGCTTAGGGAAGATCGTGCATGCCCTATCTAGGTCGAGATCACGTTCTAAATCGACTATGCACACGGAAAGTCATTCCGAGAGGTCTGAAAGATCCGAAAGCCCCAGTCGAGTCAGTACTAGGAGTGGGGTCAGTGCTCGAAGCGGCGTTTCCGGGATAACAACGATTAGCACGGATACAAAGAATACCAAGAAGAGTAAACGATCTATTTCCCTGCCGTGGAGGAGAAGAAGACGAGGAAGTACTTCTACGACGGCTTCGAGTGTGTCTGGTGTCAGTACTGGTACTACTGGTACTACTAACACTACAAACACTACGGGCACAAATAACAACCAGACAGATGAGCTGGGGTTCCTCGATATATCAAATGGAGCACACAAGAACGCTCATTCTCCTCTACCTCCTCCTTTACCCTCTCCTTTACCTCCTTCAATAACTCCGTCGAATAGAAGTTACTCCACTTCATCGGAAGCTTCCACATCTGCTTCCCATTCTACTCGCTCGGTTTCTCAATCTTCTCGTTCTGTATCTCATACCTCCTCTGCATCGACATCTCCTTCCCATTCCCCACGTCTCCCGTCTTCGCCATCTCCACCGCTTCCTGCCAACAGACGTTCCCCGTCCTCCGACGCTCAGTCTCATATCAGTTTTGCCGATCTCGCTGATTACGATCCGCCCTCTATACCGCCCACACCCCCCTCTCCCTCCATACTATCCTCTATAACCCGTCCTTCCTCTGTCCTATCCCGGTACTCCGCATCATCGAAAGACAAAGACCGAGACCGGTCACAAGATCGCTCGAGAGATAGAGATGCCTCTGGTAGTAACATCTCAGCTGTATCTGGTCCATCGGGTCCAGGATGGAAGGAATTTCCAAAGGGAATATACACGTACCCTATCTTATTCTCCATCCCGGGACATGCGCCGCCGAGTTTGGATACGGCGACGGCGCATCGGAAGGCGTATGGTCAAGATTCGGGGAATACTATGAATGCTGGAGTCCTTGGGAATGATGGACTCGCTGGTGGCACTGGGGGTACTGGGATCGCTGGCAGTTTTGCGTCAGAGAACTCAGAGGGACATAATGTAGACGCTTTACCGCGCTGCACATTAAAATGGCAGCTGAAAGCGAGTGTACATCGCCCGGGGGCGTTCGCGAGTAAGGTAATCCGTTTCTGACATTTATTCTATTACGTGAATTTATCTGGTCCTTACCTTCTTATTCAATTCTAGATGCAAGTAACACACGAGATATCTGTCGTTTCTGGTCCTTCGGATGATGATGGGGCTGCTGGGGGAGACGACGGAGCCAATGCACCAGGGGGAGGAGGAGAGAATGTGATTGTGGAGCGAATCTGGGATGCTGCGGCGGCGACAGGTGTTACCTCCTCTAATGACAGGCAAAGCATGGGACCGTCAACTTTGATGCCTCCACCAGTTCCACCACTGCCAACATTGCCTCTCTCAACGCCGTCGCCGTCATTTCAGAGGTCCAGAGGGTCGGGAAGACCGTCTCGACCTTTACCGCCCCCACCACCCACTGCGTCGCCTATACCGCCTTCCTTTTTGAATATTTCTGAGAGTTCTCCTCTTATTGCTGCTTCTTCAACCCCTTCTTTCTTGTCGAATACTCCTCCACTACCAAGCTCATTACATACCTCGATGTCTCCCTCTTTGTCGCACTCAATATCCCCTCCTCTGTCTCCACCTCCGTTCTCGATCCTAACAGAGAACAACCCAGGTGGCAACGGAAGTGGAAGTCTACATTACCTAATAACCATCTCCGGACGTTCGTTCCCTATTGGTGGTGTGATCCCCATCGAGATCACGCTGATGCCGCTGGAAAAAGTGAGAGTGCATAGGGTTAGCGTCAATATTGAACGTGAGTACCTTTTCGCTATGTTTTGTTCGGGCGATTGTCAAATTCGCTTTTTCCAGAGAAAATCGAATACCACTCCCAATTCAAACGCGTCGAACGGACGGATCCGGTTCTTACTGTTCCTTTGCTGTCTCTAAAGCACGATCTTCCCTCCTCTTCCTCCTCGTCTAAAGAAAAGGAGCTCAAACACATTTTACCACTTGAGTCAGACGACCCGGAAGCGTTGATGAAGAGTCCCCTTTACAGCGTCATGAGGAAGAGTTTAATGAGGAGTATAAGGAGGGAAGATATAGATTTCGAAGACTTGGAGAATATCCACGACTTGGATCCATGTGATGGGCGTGAGCCTTCAGATTCATCAGAACCAGAAGAGGAGATTTCTTCGATTGACGGATCCGGCGACAACGAGGATGAGGATGATCTGGATGATTCGGATGATTCGGAGATTTCAGACAGTCTGGATGATATAGACGAGTTTCTCACTTCCGACGCCGAATCTAAACCACTCAGTGAATACAATGATGCCAATGTCCATTCACAGTATTCCTCCCAGCGCGTCCTAAGACTCTCTCGAAATCCCTCAGAACGAAGTAGGCGCGGACATCATCATCCTCGGAAGGACATTCGAAAACCCTCACCCTCAGCTCTATCCTCCTTAGCCTCGTCTCTCATGGGCCCCGGTCCATGGAGCATGTCTCTTGCGCTTCCGCTGCCGCTTGCGCACGCATCAAATCTCACGACGAAGCAGGTGCAGGAGTATGAGGAAAAGATGGAAGTGTATCGTCGGCAACAGCAGGAGGGTCAACAGCACGGTTTTGGTGGTGGAGCTTTTAGTGGGTATAGTGGGTATAGTAAGAGGGATAGTAACGGCGCAAGGAAGACTGAAAAAGAGTGGGAGAAAAAGCAAGCTAAAAATGATAAGGCCAGTAAGAGAGAGAAGAAGCCGGAATTAGTGGACATAGGAAGAGGCTTGTTACCCTCAAACAAAAACAAGAGGAGTAATGTAACAATAAGTCATTTGCTGAAGTGTGTTATCAGGGTTGAGCGGGGAGAGCTGGAAGAGGATGAGGAAGTTGGAGAGGGGGAGAAGGAAGAAGGTTCTACAGAGGGAGATAGGAACTCACCCGAAACGTCTGCTTTTCCACCTTTGCAGATGAGGTACGAAACAGGAGATTCTAGGGCATTCGGGGGAGCATCTGCAGGTATGTCTGCAAGTGCTCTAGCAGATGCAGACCGAAGTGGGTGGGCCGACGAATGGGAGTATGTGCAGTCGAATAAGGAAATTAGGCAACAAAGGGAGAGTCGGGAGAGAAAGGTACGGGTGCAAGAACCTCTTAAACCGCGGCCGAAACAGAAGCCAAAGAAGAAAAGAAAATTATTCGACATAGTCGTACAAACGCCTATACAGGTTCTTTCTGTGAGTGTTTCTCTTCCTGTTTCCTTATCTCTCCTTTTTTTCACTCACTGATTGTTGGATCAGTGTCGGTGTAATCCGGAATTCGCTTCGCTACCTGGGTACACACCTCATGCGCCTTCTGATCCTAATGGTATCGACATGTCTCCGACTATCCCTTCCACCGCGTCAACTTCTTCGAGCTTCAACACCTCATCTATCCCATCTACATCTATGCCCTCATCTACGCCTTCGACGCCAGGCGCAGAATCCTCAACCCGAGTAGTGATCTCAACGGCACCAAACGCATCAGACGCCTGTCCATGTATACTCAAAGCCCGTTTGAAGCAGGCGAGGAGAGAACGAAGGCTAAGAAGACGGGAGCTCAAACGAGAGTTGAGGGAACAGAGGATGGAGATGATGAAGTTTATGGAGAGGAGGCGGAGCAGAATGCATGATACTGAGGGTGCAGATGGTAGAGAAGACGGTCAACGAGGGGCGAGCCACTTGAGAGAGGAAGCCGGAGATAGAGACAGACTCCGTAGCTACCAGCACAACGGAGCCGATGGAGACGATAGAGACGAAAACGAAGTGGAAGAATCGCTCGAAAGAACACAGAGAAAAGAACGTGAGCGAAGAGACAGGGCTAAGATAAGGAGGAGAGAAGCACTTGTTGCTTTATCTTCGCCTCCAGCTGCGCCGTTGCCTCCACCGCCGCCACTACCTTCCCCTTCTCCACATCCTCCGACTGGACTCCCGCTAGCTCCCTTGCCTCCACCTCCACCTACCGCCATGGACTCATTTGCACCTTCAAGTATGCAAGGAACCCATCAGCGGACGTCGTTTTCATCCGCTCGTACCAATTCCACGGCGAATACGGCTACTACGACTTATTCTAGCTCAACCAGCCATACCAATGCGAGCATCACTAGTGCTCCTAGTGCATACTTAGCACAAGGCCCGTCGATCCTCAGAAGCGGTAAAACCAAACGGTCTTCTGGATTTTCAGGGCTTGGGTTCGGAGGGATCATCACCGCTCGTCCAACTCATGGTACTGTGGAGAGGAGGTTAACTGGAGGATCGCAGATTTCTCATCTGTCGTATCAATCCCAGTTATCCCAGCTATCACATTTGACGCAATCCACCTCTGCGTCGGCGTCCTCATCTATTCCGGGACTTGAAATAGGAGGGGGCGCTGTTGGTAGTGGACTAATCTACTCCTCGCAAGAATTTGAAGATCTTGTGGCTGGACATATGGACGAAGCTGGAGAGGCACCGCCCACGTACGACCATGTTGCGCTCGTGCTAGCCGGGAGGCGCGAGAACACTTGGTAGGAGACCAGAATTTCCATAAGCTTGAATTTTTTTCGCTATTTTTGTTGTGTGCTATCTTTGTTGTTTCCATATCTAATGTGCGCTCATTATCATTACATTGAATCTTGGTATATTTAACCCGTTTGTCTCGTAAAAAGAAGGAAGTTGAAGTATGTGGCTAAGCATGTAATTTAATTCGCTGTAATTCGTTGCACAATGTGCTCAATCTGTTAATTCACTTTATGGGCTCTGGACGACACAAATCAAGTCCTACGTCTCATGTTCTTTTACCGGGTCAACTTTAGACATCCCTGTGTACATAGCCGCGCACGCATGAGGACAGCATCTTGCCGTTCCGTAAGTTTAGAGACTAGCAAAGTAGAATCATAGATAGTGAGGCCGTTTGCCCGATAGGGGTCCAAGCGCTCCGGAGAAGCGTGGGAAGTTACCTAAGCTCTTGGATTTCGCAGCAGCCCTATTTGGACCCTCTTTTGGACTACACCTTTCAGGTTTCTTGGTTTCTCTAACCTGATTTGACCCTGACGGACTGCAGAAGGCATATCAAAACTGCTCAGGCTTATCTTAGTTCGAGATCATCGGGGAGCCAGGGGGACACAAATTGGGAATGCAGGCGAATATGTCTCACTTTTTTTTTCCTTACCCTTTGCGGCCAGGACCCCTGATAGCGCTAGGACGAAATACGGAGGAACTTTCAAGAATTCTGCATAAATCCAGTTTTATATCCGGAGGTTATGTTTGATTTTGAGACTTTCCGGCCGGAAAGCAACACGCTTCTGGTACAGTTGTGTGCAGGTTTGACGGGTTCCCTGAATCTCCTGAATGGCATGAAGGAAGCGCATACATGACTCTGTCCATCATCATGTTGCTCTCAATGATTCTGAGAGCTTTGGGTGGTTTTTTGAAGCATTCTCCGTTCAGTTAGATGACTAGGACACCCCGAGCTCCTCCGTTTATACGGCAACGGGTGTACATTTTCGGAGGTCAAGATAGGACAAGAACGAAGGATCTCGATCCTGAGGGCATGTTTCATCCTGATCCTACGAAATCCACGAAAAAGACTTTTCGGGGTCACAAGGTACCTCTATACCTGTTATAAGCTCACCAGCCCACCGCTCAGAGTTGAATCACCCACCCCCCCAATTGAAATCATGCGTTGCACTGTTAACTCAAACTCCCCTCGCTCTCAAGGACCTTATTCGTTGTCTCCCCCCAACCAGAGCTTGGCCAGACGCTCTCCCGGAAGATGGATTGTATGTCCTCCTCCTCTTACCCTCTCACTATCTTGTCACTGTCACATCCGATCCACTCCTTCGTTCTTCACTTGTCTGAATTTTTTCTCTTTCTTACCGTCCTTCACAGCTACGCGAACAGGCCGCAAAAACATACAGACTCGAGCTCAAAGACCTTGATGTCATCGATCCAATCGAAAGGCGGGTCAACCCCCGTGGTCCAGCACCAATCCGAAAATATAACGAACAAGACGTTGCGGCGCTCTCCCGAAGGCTTTTCGCAGCCGCCAACAGGGTGGGGGACACACTAGCTGTACGTTCCGGTGCCAGCATAGTGAGGTCCCGAGCTTTGAGCACCTACCCCGGTGTAAGTATTATCTATATATCGATTTCATCCTTGTTTTTTACTCTCTACTGACTACTCCCCCTCGTTGCAGCTCACTCGCGCCCAATTGAACACTATCCCGCCTATCTCAGTCGAACCCAATCCCTACAGCCCCAACTCGGTGCCGATGCGGTACTACAACATATGTGATATCGAGGCAAGTACATATAATGCTTCACCCCCCAGTGACAGAACCTCATTTTGCTACCGTAGGCTCTTCGCGTTGATATGCAAAAGTTGAAATACGACATCCAGGGCTAGAGCCATGCTCGAAGTTGGAGCCCTCGACGGTCTTACGCGGTATGCTATCAGGTGCTATCCCGCACTGATGCTCGATAGTATTTGAGGTTACAATATGATATCTGCACACTCTTGATTCTGATTTTCATCCTTATGTTTCGGCTCCCCCTTTGTACAGTGTTTGAAGCTATAACCTATATAAACATAAACATATATTCTTATCAATGTACTTTACATAGACTCCAGTGTGGCTACCAGGTTGTACTCGCTCAGTTACAATGATGAATGACCAAATTTGAACTTGTGTACATGTCGCGCATACTCAGAAGTCCAAATCTTCCCTTCTATCGAGAAACACTTGCGTAGGTTCAGAAGGTTATTTGCTACTTACGAATGCAACGAAAATCCATGCAACAGTCACATTTGCTGACATACGCCAAATTCCAATTTTTCGAACGGGTACTGCTAGGTACTGTTATCTGAAGACAACGACGTCTGCAGACACTTTCGTGCAGTGCGGAATCCCTTTCGTGCCTAAGGATAGCAGGATAGCGGAAGGATTGACTCTTTCAGACTCCATTGAATGAGAAGAGATCTGTCACAAGGGAAGGCAAACGTAGATTTATTAATAAAGGACTAGTAGTCTAAATGGATCACTCCACAGTCGATACGAAACGCCAAACAGTATCACTGTTTCGTGATGATCGCCGAAAGCTCCTACTCGCAAGCAACTGTCAACGACAAATGGTTAGAAATGAATGACAAAGGAATCAAACGATTTTGCTTACTGCAATAACCGCCTGTGTTGCAGCTGGGTCCGTCGCCCCAGTTGGAGCAACCCGCGCCGGAAGCTGCAGGTTCACTGGCATAGCAGTAAGCAACTTGGCAAGCGCTGACCGTCATGGTGGCAGAGCCGAGGAGCGCGAGGAATGCGAAGAGTCCGAATGTGTAGTTCATCTGGTAGATTTATGAGGAAATAATCAGTGAGGACTCATTGCGTCAACTAATTTCTAACAACGTACAGTTGCGAGTTCGAATGTGGTCCGAGAAATATGGGCTGAGGAACTCAAGGAAAGTTCAGTGCTTTGGAGCGTTGTTCGTTGAAGCTTTTATAGCACTCGGGATTGTCAGACGAGTGAGGACGAGCAGGGACGATGTGTCCGACCGGAGGCAGCATAGGGTCATGGTCAGGTCACGGTTGAAGCAGGATGTATAACGCTCCACTTCCTGCAATGGAAAAAACGTGTGAACGGTTAATTTTTCAAGTAGCGAAGGGTAGTGTCTGGAGCGACTCACAGCCAAGTACAATGATGCACCATTCTCGATGCATTGTAATCAAACATTTTGCCTTGAATGCTCCACACTATTGAACTCGAATATTCATGGAAAGCGTTGGAACGGGTCTGATACGTAGTCGACTTCGCGTCTGCATCGGGCGTCAAGTCAATCCGAGAGTTCAAATCGAGCAGGTTTGTTTCGTACAGTCGCTTTACAATTAGATGATACATCTTGAGATGTGCTTTTTTGGACCAAAGGATGTTCAAGACCCCACCGACGAAACATTGCGAATAATACAAGTACCCTTCCGTTCGGTGTTACTGGATGGATCCTGAAAGCTATAGTGAGTCACGTTTCAAGAAGCGAAACGGCCAGACGCGCACCTTTTCGCTGATACTACATCCTCCCGACGCTGACTTCACGATGTATATTTTTAACGTCCACTGGTGGATCTCATCTGCTTGTTCAGAAGGACCGAGTCAGGAAGAAACGAGGCGTTTCGCATTGATTCATGTGCAGAAAATTTGAGGCCCTGTAGATCATGGTGAGTGACTGGCTACAGTGAGATTAGGAGAAACGCACACTCAATGCCTGTAAGTATATACTGTAGGTATCCTGGTGCCTCGCCGACTGCTCAGAGAGTCAGAGTGTTTTTGTGAGTCTCGTGACAGATTCCTATACCGGAGCCGCAACTAATACCCCGGAAACTCTACCGAAAATGATTTCCACCAAATCTAGATTTCATCTAGATTTGAAATTTGTGCAATTTTCGTCGGCATCTTCAAATTTCACCTTGCCTGACCAGGTTCTGAAGATAACTGCGCCTGCTACTTAGCCTGCGCCGCTCGCGACCTCCTATGGCTTCCTGCAGGCTCCTGTGATCCCCGCAAACTTAAATAGACAAGACAAAGGGAAAATATACCGGACAAGCTCAAAACCTTCGAAGAACCTGGGTCAAATACCTTTTCTGGTTTTCTTCGAAATTCTGGATGTAAATCCTTGTCCAATATAGAAGCTCAACTTCAAATCCTCATCCGAAATAGTGGTATTTCCAGTCAAAAGCACAGCATGATTTTAACAGAGATTCCGGGGGCTGCTTCTTTTATGTACTCTTATAAGCCTGCCTTTGAGGGTCCTAAAATTTTGGCCCCCCACTTTAGATCTACCACCATGCCCCCATCTTATAGTAGTCCTACCAAGAGGTCCCCCAGATCCCCGTACGCCAAAGGAAACCCTTCCAACCAACGTTTGGCTCAGCGTGACGGTGGACCATGGATTGTATGTATTATTTCGTATTACCCCTCGCTTCTCACTGACCCTACTTACTATTGAATCTCTCCGCTCTCTCAACTTTCTCTACAGCTACGACAAGACGCCGCAAAAACGTATAAACTCCAGCTCAAAGACCTCGATCTCATTGATCCAATCGAAGTGCAACCCAATCCCCACGGTCGAGGAGAAATGCGCAAATATAACGAAAGAGACGTCGCAGCGCTTGCCAGAAGGCTTCATTACGCTAAAGCTTCCAACACTACCATGATTGCTGTGTCTTCCACCGATGGCGGGTCGACCATTTTGACTCCCGCGCAAATTTTGGCTGTACCCTCGGGTCCCCAAATACTGAGGACCCATGCGTTGAACGATTTCGATGCAAGTACCATCATTACCTTTTACTCGTGGTGCAGGCTATATCGCTGATTTGTGTTCTCATGCTATTAGCTCACCCGTGCCCAGTTGGATACTATTCGACCTGTTTCAGTTGAACCCAATCCACATGGCGCTCATTTTCAACCAATGAGATATTATAACCGATGTGATGTCGAGGTGAGTAAGCTATCAGAATATATTTCAAACGATGTAATTACTTTCGCTAGGCTCTTCACGAGCGATTGCAGAGGGCGAAGGCCAGAGATTGAATCCTTTACCTCTAATGCGATATGCTCCCGCTGTATATGTACTTTTATCCGCAACCTCGCTGCGACACGGCTTCGTCTTTCTGACTCTTATATCTCCGTTCACGTTCAATCCCGAAAATATAAAACATTTAGTGACCTACATACTTGATACTTGGTACTGCACGCTGTATACTATGTTACTCCCCCAAACAGTGCTACGTTATATTGTAAACCCATAGTATCGTTTCGCAATCGTTAGCGATCCCATTGTCAATGGCCTTGAAGCTGTACTTGACCTATTCGAGAAAGGAAAAGGGTATCGAGTGCGTCGGTTCATCATGACACACAAACTCACCTCAGGCTCTTGATTTCTCTCCACCACAATTTCGATTCTCCACCTCGAGTTTTTTTTTTTCATTACGTGGAAACTTTGGGGCTTTCTAACTGGCACGAATCTTCTTAGCTCTCAGGAACAGATACCACAGACGGGATGATCTTCTACGATCTCTCTCATTTTGTCTCGGTCATGGCACAGTTTGTCTCGCCTCCATGTCGAAGAATTTCGATCCTCAGGGCTCAATCCAAGGAGATAGATTGTCCTATACGCAGTCTCTTTCCCCGTTGGTGATACATTTACTACAAAGATCCAGTCTCCTCGATGCTCAGCTACATGAGTTGCTCGCATTTACGAAGCTCAAATAACTCCCATGTCGAGTGAAAGAGCTCACGAAAAATCTCGAATACAACTCCGTCATGGTCATAAACCTCCTCGCACCCATACGTCGACTTCAATATGAGATCATCATTCACAGAATTTCTGAATCGGTGACGGTTTCTGGGTCGAAGAAGACGGTTCTAAGGCACACTCGCGTCGTCGCTACTCAGGCTATATGCGGTTTCTCTGGTGTTTCCTTGGCTTCAATCGAAGAGGAGGCACTGGTTGCTGCTCCTTGAATCAAGCCGAGGTTTTCTGCGAACAGAGAGACTCTGCGATATTTAGGGAAAAAGAGCGACTGCTGAGTCAAAATTGGCGTCGAGGATTTCCTTTGGACATATATCTCAAGCTCGTGACAGTACTTGCCTATTGGAGGAAGGATGCCCTTCAGATTATTCAGGTCTCGGAGCATATACTCAATCGGCAACCACAATTCTCAATTCTCAGCCTGAGCGACGGCCGTACCCTCCGTTACTTCGCTTGCCCCTACCAACCCTTACCTAAATAATACATTACACAACGACCTCGCTGTATCACTCTGAATTTGCCACTTGTGCTTGTTCCTACCAAAAATTCGGAGCACCCAACTTTCGTCATTTCACCTCACCTCCTTTTCTGAGAGTATTTAATCTCCAAGCAGTTTGCTTAGTCTACAACGGAGGCACTGATGTTACTATCTATGGAGCAGATGAGATAGCTGGGAACCGAGAAATGAACTTCGAATTCTACGAAATCCTTGTGCGAATATATGCAGCCCAGGCCATTTTTTTCCCTGTCCGTTCAGTTTGTGATCATGATGAGCTAGAAGAGTAAAACGTTGAATTGGGACGAGAATTATTATACATGTAACAAGACTTGTTGAAACGGTATAAAGTGTGCGTTTGTTGAGAACGTGAAAAGAATTGCTGATGAAGAGAGGGAGGAAACAATAAAAAGCACCTCGGAAAAGACACGCAACAAACAGATATGCAAAGAGACATGACAAATATGTACTTCAAAAATTAGAGTATAACAGCGAGTAGCAAAGAAAACAGAACAGGAAAATGAAGAGTATGTATGGCGTATGATATTCGAGAAGAAGAATCAGACTCTACCACTATGAACGACAGTCAACTAGCTTTCCACTACCTCTCCCTCCTGAACACGTCTTCAACACCGATGGTTCATTCGCCACTTCTCATGATGTCTCGCGATCTGATCCTCATCTACCGTTTTCGCTTCGCACCGGCAGCACCGACCGCAGCATCACCCTCTCCACTCATACCACTCCCCGAGCTCCTTCCTTCAAGCTCAGCATCATCCCTAACTTCAGCTACACCCCCAAACTCCATATCTTCGTCATGGTTCATAGCGTCAGCTTCAGCGTGGCCCACGCGAGGGTGAGCTTGAAGGTCATGATCAGGTTGACCGTCTGCGTCGACAAGCATCTCCACGTCATTCTCACGTCCATCCTCGTCCTGTTCCTCGTCCATACCTTCAGTGGCGATAGGGTCGACTAACTGCGCAGAAGGATTACGTCCATGACCCCTTCTCTGATTCCTTGCAGGTCTCAACGTCGACCCGCCGATATGGTCACTCTCGACCTCGGTCTCTGCACCGTCTCTTGGTTCGCGCGCCGAAGACGAGAAATTCGGAGAACGGCCGTTCACCATATTCAGAAAAGGATTGTTACTGTGCGGGGAAGGATTGGTTGAATTTGAATTATTTGCGGTCACTCTCGACGCGGCTATCGCAGCATGGAGGTCGGGGTCGTCAGACATTTCTTCGACTGCCGAATCGTCATCTTCAGCAATAGGCACACCCAGCGCTGCCGCGCCATTAGGCTGTGCCGCTATGCCATCTGCTTCCAATTCCACATCTGCGTCTTGGTCTTGGTCTTTCTCTTCGATATCATAGTCCATCTCGGCTTCCACTTCGACATCCTCCTCCAGATCAGCGAAGCTCCTACAGAGCGGACAACTCCAACTTGGGAAATGCGCCTCTACCATCGGTCGGATGCATTTGAAGTGGAATGTATGAGAGCAGGGTGATATGAAGAGGGCTTGGTTGATCGCTATGGGAAAGAGACCTATACCGGGCGATTCGAATGAGAGGAAGACTCGGAAAGTAGCCAGGGAAGACACGCACATATACAACAATCTGGTAAACCAGCGGACTTGGACTTGCCAGGTCCAGAAGTTCCGGTAACGCCTGAGACGGCCTGAGCGAGCGATTTGAGGTTTTTGATGGCCGTGGTGCTATTGTACGCAAATAAGGAACAGCAAAGAAAGCTGTGGAAACCAACGTACTTGAACTTGTTCGCTCCGCTCTGCCACTCCCTTCCAATCTCGACTCTGATTTTTACACTCTTGTAAATATCCTCACTTCCACCCTGATAATCTACACCCAATTGCAAAATATCACCATCTTTGATCTGAAACGGACGTGACTCGGTATTGGCTGGTGAGAGCCTGACATGGTTGAGAAAGGTACCAGAAGAGGATTTAGTGTCTTTGATGAAAAACTTGACATTGGCGGGGGAGGCAGCAGATGAGGGAGAAGAGGTTTCAGTCCACAACTCGGCATGCGCTCTACTCACGACCTTGCTCTTGAACGCCAATTTGAACGAATTAGGGTTGTTGTTGTTAACTCCTCCTCCGTGCGGGTTGTTGCCCGATCTATCTGTGAATCGTCCAATTCGCAGTGCAGGATCGCCAACGCGCATATCGCGCGTTATCGCATCAAAACGCAGGGATCGACGAGATTCGAGGTGCGGAACGAGCCGCAGACGGTGGGGAGGCGAGTTCAATGAGGCAGGAATCCTGTTCGCAGCGGCGTTCGTGGATATACTGCGAAGATTAGTTGCGGATGCGGAAGGAGCTGTGGGCGGTCTAGACGGTACTCCTGTGGGTACTGCAGGGGCTCCGGCTGCATTGACGTTGTTTGCGTTCGCCATAGTTCCCGCAGATCTGCGTCTTCTAAGCATTGAAAAAGCCAAACCGGCTCCTGGGGCCGAAGTCGAAGGTTGGACGCCATTTCCTACTTCGGCGGATACAGCGGAAGTGGCGTTACCGGGACCTGCTGGTCGTCCTCGCCTATGGTTAATTGAGCTTGCAGCTTGACCACTAGGCGATGGAGGATTCGGTGAAGGAGAAGTTTCTCGTCGTAGGGGATCGGGGTTAGGCGATGAGGCATTGGGGTGTGATTGTGAAGAGTTTCTTGGTCTTCCTCGTCCGAGGAAAGACCCAAGGATCGTCGAGCGCAACGGAGGAGAGTCGCTGGAGACGAATGGTGGATCCATTGTGTGGAAATTTAGATAACGGGTTTAATTGGATTTGGCGAAAATGTTGGGGTATGTTGTTGAGGGGAAAGTTCTTCTGAAGATGGTTATCAGTAAGCAAGAATCACCAAAGGCCACGCCAAACGCACTAGTCGTTGGTTGCCAATGGCCAAACAGATGCTTTTCGTTTGCTGAAAAGAGCAGGAAAAGATTTAAGATCACAATTGTTCGTCAAAGTCACAGCCGAAGGAATCCGATGCTAACAATCACGGGGAATCTGTAGGCGCGGGGATTCTTTGAATCAAATATGTCGTTGGATGGCGTGAAGAAGCAAGGTGTCTGCAAGTCTTAAATGCTTCAAGGAGAAAATAAAAGGCCGACGAGTCAAAGACTAGAGATAGATATGAACATCAAAAGATGTGGAAAAGGATGAGTCAGTACGAGTCAAGTTTATAGGAAACATTGTAAAGAACCTCTCAAATTCAACAGTTTTGTTGAATGGGCTTCGGCAGGGCTTTGGGTGTCGCCAACCACGACCAGAAATGGGATTCTCAACAGCCCAGGCGGTTTATATGATTGACATTGACAATGACAGCCGCCGACCCTGCGGGATTTTCACGTGACAGCTCACTGCCACCGCGATGTGCAATCACTTGTACCGTCTTATACTGAACCCCTCCATAATTCTCCATACATGACTGTATATGGAGCAGACTGACATATTCTCCCTCGCGGATCTGGCTTACTTTCATCCTATCCAATAGCAGACACGTAGGTGGCTCTAGGTAAACTTATGAAAGGGAACTTCGATGGACAATCCTAGACAATCCTACAGCAATGCTCGTTCTTCGCTATTCGTTTAGACTGCGTCCAATATTGAACGAATGATTCCACGTGCCAATAGGTGCTGATAGCCGAGTTCAACCCAATTCGAGGAATGCAGGTCCTATATCTATCCATGCAATGTCCTCAAAAACACGCGATGTGGCCTTCTTGAGGCGGCTAGCTTCCTTAATCCACGATCTATAGGTCACATACGATATAATTGGAGGCTCGAAAAATGAGTATTCTAACGTTACACGACGTCCAAGTGGGTTGTTGAATCGAAGAGATGAAATGGTGTTAAAGCTTCTCTGTTGTGAGTTTTCGCAAATGCTCAGTGATCGTAACTCCTGAGAGCAAGGTTTCCAGGCCCAATGATATCGCGAATAGATCTCAATGTGCAAATTGTCTCTGCAGCTCATCCGTTTGAAATTTGATTGTCTTCAATGCAACAGCCACGATACATAATATAATCACCGCCAATATTTAAGGAGCTCGCGCATCAAACATGACAATGATATATCACATAAACTCAATCGGTGCAGTCCAAGTTGGCCTATTAGTCGGTGCCTTGCGCCTTCGTCTGCCTTCGTACCATCAAAAGGCGCTGGAGCGTCTAACTAGCTGACAGATAATTAGCTAATCAAGCTTCATCCCGACGATGATGTCATCCGCGCGTCATTCTATCAACGCAGGCACATTTCGGATTTTTCCAGCCAATCCCAACGCGTTTTCGATTGCTTCGCGTGCACGCGTCTAGCTTGCGGAAATTATTTGATTTCGTAAACTGGCTGCGACAGGTTCAATTTGACTTTCACCTCATTGCACTTCCCTTCTGTCTCTCTCACCCTCTCTGAAAGTTTTTTTCAGTACAGGTTCCAGACATGATCAAGTCCTTGGTTACTTACGGATTCGTATGTCTATAAACAATACTTCGTCAAGAAACTGATTGTTGATATTCTTTATTTCCTCTAGTTCGCCGCATTGGCTTTCCTCGTTGGTCCCACCATCGCACAGTCTTCCACTTCTTCTGCAGCGGCTTCAGCACAAACCATTATCGTTACCGGTGTGTATCATACTCAGTCTTCGCTGGTCCTATCTTCCAATCATTTAAAACTTTAGTTTCTAATGCTTCCTCCGCAACAAATGCCTCTTCTGTCTTCAGCCCAGATCAAATTACTGCTGGCGTTGGCGATCTGGTCTTGTTCAACTTTACAGAGGGGAATCATACCGCAACCCAGTCGGCTTTTTTCGCGCCATGCGAATCAGTAAACTATACTAACGGCACCAACGGGTTTGACTCAAATTTCGTGGTGGTCCCGACGAATTTCAGTTTGGAACTCGATGGCGCGTTTCCCATTCTAGCTGTCCCAATCCTAGAATCAAACGTCAATATTACAATGTGGTTCTACGACGTGAATACTTGTGCAGAGGGAGGTGTTGGTGTTATCAATTTGGTGGCTGGAGACCCAGCAACAAGCGGGGATACATTGGATGGGTTTAGGGTAAGTGATTTATCGCTTCGTTTATCCTTTCATCAGCGTCGTCGTGAAGGACTGCCTGCTTGGTTGAACTTTCGATTATATCATTCTTACGAAACGCATTTCATATCGTTTGCCGTACCTCTTTGCTTTTCATCTATTTTTACTTTATAAAGTTTGATTATCTCTCGCATTATTTATACATACTTTGTGCTTCTATTCGTTCCCTCATTGCTCCCGCTACGTCTCTCCCGTATTTTCTCCGTTCGTCACAAACAAACTTCCCCCACTCACTTCTCCAGGTCAAATATCCACATCGTTCTAACTGCTCTTCCCTCCCTAACAGCGCAACGCGATTCGTCTCAACGGTACCTCCACTTCATCTTCATCCAGTCACTCGTCCACGAGCACAAGCAGCTCTTCCTCCTCTACAACTAGTGCTAGTCAAGGAAATGGCGCCATGAAACGCTTTGGACTCAATGCAGGCGCAGGGATCACTATCGGCCTGGTCTTAATGACTGTGATGCCGCTGTCTGCGCTCTAGTACCCATGTTATCGAGGGAATTTGGCCAGGATAATGGACACCATATGAATTGTCCATTGTTAGAGACTTCCTTTTCTTCTGGACTCGTTATTCGCATGAACAGACTAAGGTTCCATCTGTCTTGAAACTCTATACCCGGCACATACATACTGTGCTTTTGAACCCCCCTAATACATCTGCTCCGATCCATCTAACTTTTTTGTTTTTCACCTAGTAGTTTATTGCACACACGACTCTGACAGTGATTTACTACAATATGTAAATATGTGTGGTTACTCCTGTATACACTCTATGTATATACATACTGTAAGGGAATTACTGTTGTAATTCGTTGCATACCCGCTAGAGCACCGAGTGGCAAACGTATATACACAAGGATATTATAAATCGATAGATATATCACAGAATTTCATCAGCTAACGAAGTCCTTCACTATGATCTCCTCAGAGTCAGTCGTTCCACAAATCAAACCCCTGAAAGCATCGAAATCATACAAAATGAAAGACGGAAGGATTCTATTATCCAAAACCGCTGATTTAGTCGATATTCGTCCGTCAGCACCGCGATGAACATCATATTTCAGCCAGCTTATCTTCGGCGTAGCGAATCTAGAGATCCCTCTCCCGCATGGGTTGCTAGTCGAACTTGCAGTACTAGTAGCTGTAAAAGCCAGGTCAAACCCATGTACCATAGTACGCTGGGCGAAACGATACGTGTCGTAATCCGGGCTGTGGAAAGTCATGCTTCTATCCGATTGCAGAGTGACACGGAGAGCCCAGAGTTGGATGCCCGCGAGTACGACTAACCAGATGATTTCATGACCATCGACAGACGTATCAGAAGAAAAGAACGAAGCTTCCGAGAAGTGCATGGAGAGATTTCCGCTATGCGTTGGAAGCACACGCGCGCCCGCTTCCTCTGACATAGGATCTGGAAGGGGATACAGCTCGAAGTATTTCCTTTCCTGCATATTTACGTAGTGGGTGAAAACTAGCAGCACGTATGTAGGCATGAATATCACATTGGTGATATGGCCTTCCTGTGTCAGGAAAGTTAGATTTCGGAAGCGGATAAGGGGAAATGGGAGTCCATACTGATGTCCCACTGGCAGCGTTGATGATGTATATTTTCTGGGAGGGAATATGTAGCAGCACAGTTTCACCCGAGTGTTGTGAAGTTACGAAGAAATCATAGCCGATACTGGCGATGCAATCATAAGTGATTTCTACGCCTGGAATATCGTTGAAGGTTGTATTGCCCAGAGAATCGACTTTGCAGATACAGCTGTGGATATCGTATCCAGAATAATCATTAGAAAGAAGGATGTCCGAGACGACCATGACTATAGACCTACAGCTGCAAAGAAGTTGTGTTGTTGCCCGATTCTCTTCCGAATGGAATATAGAGATTTGCGCTGCTATCCGTTATGTTATTCCGACATTGGAGCCAAAACGGCTTGGTTGGTATGTTAAGTCGATATATCTCTTTTTCGGCTTGAAGGTCGTAGAGAATGAGGGACTTGAGTGTCCCGATCGCAAGATACTTGCCTTGGTGAAGTGCTAGAGAGCGAATCTTTGGTACACTGATTTTCAAAGACCGATGATCTCTCGTCCGCAGAAGAGTAGGAATAGCCCAAATTGTATCCCATTGGTGGGCATGCAGGAGAACCCGCTCAAGTTCGTATACAGTCTGACTAGCTGACGGGCCTGGGGGAAGAAAGTACCCAAAATTCCTATAAGCGTTTGTCCAGATCGTGCGTTCCAGAGTGAGGTCGTGAAGCCGTTTACAAGTCTGCATGCAATAATTTATCGACTGTTCAACACCGCGGCAATAGAGAATATTTCAATCGTACCTTTCGCAGCTCTAGAATTCCCGGAGAGCTCAGAAAGTTGCAGACGTGGAACAAGATATCGTCAGGCAGCTGTGTCAAGTTGAATAACGACATGGATGGAGGATAGGAATAATCCAGAGATAGCCAGAGATAGAATTACGCGGGGTTGCCAGGGCTGAATAAGAAGGTAAATAAGCGCTTTGAGATTGAGGCGCTTATATACTGACAGCCATGTCGAATAACGACTCTCACCGTCGGTCACTTCCCCCAGCAGCAACTGGGTCACCACTTCGCCCGACATCACCACTTGCTACATCCTCTACCTCGCTACCGATACAACAAGCAAATTCATCGTCGCCCACTCGGCCTTTGTCCAGGACACCGTCAACCCCACCCGCAAAGTCTACGCGTGCCAGAGATTTGTTGAGGAAACACTATGGACTTGGAATGGGAACTCCGGGCTCAAGTGGAAGAGGAACGCCTGATGATAGAGATCCGATGAATATGGGTAAGTATCTGTGGTCAGATCATAACAACTGGCCTGACGTTATCTGCAGATTCACCTTCCTTCGACGCAAAAGCCTACTATTCGCAGCTTATCACTACAGCCAATCTTTCTACCCTTCTTAAGAAGGAGAATGAACTCATAGGCGAAATACGTTTCCTTGACTCCGAGCGTCAGAACCTTGTTTACAACCACCATCATGAGCTCATTGCTGCGAGCGACACTATTGGCGCCATGAAATCTCATGCCGAAAGCTTGGACGCAGATCTTGATTTGCTAAAGACCGCATTCAGCGAGATATCAAGGCTGAGCAGTGAGCTGGCGTCCACAAATTAAGTAGACTCTGATTGGAACTACGCTACAGCGTGCATTGACTGGAATCATATGAGGTAGTCTGGGGTGCACGACATGTATCATTGATATGCAGCACTCTTTCACTCCTTTCTTTCACTTTTCAATGATGCTTTTATGCTGAGCTTAGGTGGCTGTCCCAGTTGCGCGAACGTTGCTCATGAGTCTCCTCCTTTTTGGGTGCGTTCAGGTCCTCTGAACACGAGGACGAATTGCTTGCCTTGCCTCCGAAAAAGACCGGTGTCTTTGAAAACCAACGAGCTTCCAGGGGAACCGGATATTGCTTCTAACGATATCGACTTCGCGGGGGTTTGTACGCGCCTTTTTCACGGCGACATGGTGAAATTGAATGAGCGGAATAGCTGGCTGGTCTACAAGCTCTTATGTACCGCGGCCGACGTCTTAGACGCAGTCATGTTCAAAAAGCTCCTGACGCAGTAACAAAACCATCAACAGACGTAGACGAAGAAATGTCAGATGCTTCAGAAGACAACGCCCTGAACCTGTTATTCGCAGAAACGACAATCCCTGTTTGCGGCCACGAGTTCGTCGCGTCGCAAAGCGCAAATGGCAGAAAATTAGCGTCGCGTTTGTTTCACAGCGCTATGTTGGCTAACTACGGAAACTGAAGGCGTCGTCGACGAATCCACGAGGTCCTATTGGTGTTGATTCGAGCCCGTAGGGCGGCCCTCTCCCTCGAGGATCTTTATCTTGATGTGTGAAAACCAATGCCTCAGAAAATGATCAAAGCACGATTTCCTCGCTGGGTGTTTCTCAGGTAGCTTATGAATATTATACGCCAGATCTGCCCAGTCGTTGAAAGGATTTTGTCTGAACGTGCCCAAACATTGAAGGGAATTCACATGTATTAGTCGTTGGGACAGATCACAAACACTAAGACCTCATAATTCCTTTCGTTTGTCAACCGTATTCTGAACAGGAGTGTTATCAAACAGGGAATTAGTCTGTACTATTTGTAACCATTTACTGTGGTCAATTTTTGGCCTGGGTCTACTTATGCCCGGGCCCAATTATAGGGTGCAAGAAAGTACCTATCACTGTTCGGTTTGAGAGTCATTATCGGTTTGCGTTATCATCCGGTCTATCCCGCGAGAGCCTGTTCCATTGACTCGCGACTTAGGATCAAGCCATACAGGAGAATGAAGGTACCACTAGGTGTTCTATGCTTGATACCATGATCATCCTTCGCCGGGTGACATGAGATTCGGAAGATTCCTCGTCTGGGCCAGAAGGGAATCAAGATACTAGTAACACCAGACACAATGTGTAAGATGCCCTACCAAAGACAATGCGAGCATGCACGTAGTATCGTAAGCCAGAATTCACGAGAAGGAAGAAAAAGTTCGTTCCCTCTTTGCCAAAACACTAATGTGGTCCAATTTTTGGATTGTCCTTCGACGCAAGTACCAAGGCATAGAAAGTTCTTGCTCTTGACTATGGTTCAATGAGTCCCTGGACTCTCAGTATGACATCGTAGTTCTACAAATGCTTTTCCTTCGGACTTGACATGGTTCAATTATATTAGCTATCGGGGAGGTATCTCCAATTTTGTAAACTAGAAATGAAAGGACAAGTTTGTCGTATATTGCAGATAACTTCCTTGGCCAGTGATGTCGTGATGAATCGGAGACGCGACGTTCAGCTTTGCATCCTATTTTTGACGATTCAAGTTGCAGGGGTTGTATATTTATTTCTATTTCTTCCTATCCGTTGGGATGTTTCGCGGACCGTTCTTCAGATATATACTGAACTGAAAGAGGTCAACAGTTAATGTTTCTACCAGACTGGAAGTCGACGGGGCCAATAGAGTAGAATCGTCCTTCGCCAGATGCACTTGAGAATGGTAGGGAGCGAAACGTGCGCTAGAGGGAATATCTACATTTCTGCCAAGGCATCCACGTTAGGAGATGTCACATCGCGCGATGAAGAGATACACACACAAAATCCAATTCTGGAAGTTTTCGAGTTAGAATTCAACCCAGAATATGTAGGGCGGAGACGCGAAAGGTCAAAGTCGTGCCCTCCTCAAATATTCAACGATGGATTGGTCCTTGTTTCTCGACCTTCACGAGAAGGTATTTACTATCTGCAATCTTTCTCCTTCGGTCCTTTTTCCTCGACGAGACGACTTCTCTCGCAACCATAGAAAGGTGAAGGATGACAGTAGACGCGGGAGCGAACAACGGTCATGTTTTGATTTCATAGTACGGATTGGCGAAGCAACTGTTGATCATGCACACCAGTCAGTCATTAGCCAAACAGAATTCATTTGGAAATGGTTCAGAGAGAAGATAAACTGTATCTCTTCATTCGAGAACGCCCAAAGGCTTCGCATCGGAGAGTAAGATTGTCGATACTTGAAGTTTTCATCCGTACTACGAATCAAAGGTGAAAATTTGCACTCACCACGACCAGTGATTCCTTCTATTACCAGAGAAGTCGCTGAACTATTCTTCCGAGGAAAGAAGTTGTGTGGTTTGACGATGGTGGTTCAAGCTCAAGGCTGGATTGGCCATAAATTTCGTACACAGTTTGAGCAAATTATTAGATATAAGGTAAGGCAGTCTGTACGTACAAAACAACCAAGATTTGCATCCAAAGTATCTACATAAGATCTAAAGTAAATGTCTAAAGTCTAGTGAAGCTCTCCACTTCATTTCGAAAAGTCTGCCCAAAATTTACGCCCCACATCCGACCTAGAGTTTCTCCATTGCTTTCCCCAGTCATCATTCTTGCCTTGAACCAAAATGAGCCTTACATCCTGAGCTGCAACTTCACGCATCATAGCCCAGATATCACTCTCGCAAACATCTTCATCATCTGAAGCCCACATTTGCGGGTATATCACCACTGCCAGAGCACATAAAGTCGGGTGTGTCTGCAAGATATTACGAACCTGAATTTGGAATTTCAGGTCGTTATCTGTGTTGGAATTGGTTCGACGGGAAAGCTGGAGGTGAGTGAGATTTCGAAGAGAACCAAAGGGGAGTAGTGTATCTTCCGGAGATGTCCACCCTTCTCCAGGTTCGCAGATACGCAGATGTGAAATGGAGTCACTGAGGGTATCAGGAAGTTGCAAGTCTTTTTGAGGACAATGAACAGGAGCTTCAATGCCATCAGGAGATTGGAGGATTATCTCAGAGACGCCACCGTCCGTTCGTCCTTCCATCACAGATGCCAGACAATCTGCGCCAAACCACATGGACAGGACCAGCGACCTTACGCCTCCACAAACAGCGATAGCCCGCTGTGCACGATGGTAGTTGACAGCATTCTGTGGCTTGTATGATACCACCATTTTCTTCACGTGAGACGCGAAGAAAGCTGGCGATCGGGAGAGTGTAGTCCGGTGAAAAAAAATGAGAGATTCTTTGGAATGAAGCACGACGGTGCGATAAAGAATGATGTCCACAAAACGACTGATTACTTTAGAAATCGTCGATAGCGCGCTGGGCCTAATTCCTGAAAGAACTGATTCGAGGATATCGAGCACAAGCTCTGCTGGTAAGTTGAGCAGTGGGCTTGGCTTGGCAGAGACGAGAGAAAGAGAATAACTACGGGTTCGAGAGGTCGTGAGTGTTTTAGTGAGAGTAGCCATTGAGGAAGGAGATATGGGCACGTCTAAAGTCTATGGTTGGCCCTCTATGTATGATAGGAATGGATAAGGTTTAAGTTAAGAAAAAAAAAAGCGCCAGCGGCATATGTATACCGGCAATATACGGGGTATAAGGATGAGCCCAATTGTTGCGATGATACGATCTTCATTGCGTGATATGATATTCTTGTCCCGAATTTCCCCGAGTGCAGCAAGTTCAACTTGCTGTGTTCCTCAGCACCCTGGCATTGATTCTGATTCCTCGATAGGTCGAGAAATGTCTCGACGAAGCCCAGTTTTTCATAGAACAAAAACATGAGGTGGATGACCGAAATATCGGATAAATCTGGGTCTTCTTGCCGAAATACTTTACAAGCAAATTATGTTTCGCGATACCAATCCCTTAGCCGGAAATATATACAACTATCGAGTCCAAACTCGTTTTCCTTTGACCCATGTACTTTGTACCACGCCCTGAGCATCGAATACAACCAGATCGGCATCAGCACCCGATCGAAGAGTACCCTTTTGGTTTTCGATTCCAAGGCATCTGGTGTATGGAAGTAACGATAAGAGCAAAACGTTATAAGGTCTAACAACGACACTCACTTCGCGGGGTTATACGTAGCGCACTTGATAGATTCCGCAAGGGTGCACCCTGTGAACCGAGTGAAATTCCGTACACATTTGTCCAAGGTAACAACACTGGAGAGTATAATTAGCTTTGAATATGGCGCAAGAAGAAGATGAGAAGGGAAAAGACATACCTGCCAGCAAGAGTATCTGTCCCTTCCAAATAAAGTTTGTCGCCTTCCTTGACGAATCGCTTCCCATCTCGCCATTCATGCACACCATCTCGAAGGTTGGGATCCAGAATCTTCATCGCTATGCAGATCAAATCAACTTGGATAGATAATCTGGAGAATTCAATGTCCTTACCATCGGTAATCAGTATACAACCCTCAGGATAGCTCGAGTAAGCCAGCTATTTAACGTGTAAGGCGCCAAAACATTGGGTCGTTTCAAAGAAGCTACTCACCCTAACGGAATTGGGATGTGAATGAACACCATCCACGATCATCTCGTAGAAAGGCCTTGTAAACTCCGAGGAGTCAAGGCTAAAACCAGCAATACTCTGAGTGTTTTTCAAGGTTGAGTTTTTACCGCTGTGAGCTTTGAATATTGGTGTTTGTGGAGGCGTCTCTACTTCATCCAACGCCTCGGAGCCGACAGGAGATTTGAGTCCCGTGATGCTAGACTTGTTGGGTTTCATCGGAGTAAGAGCAATGGGCGACATGACGTCCCCAGTGTAAAGTGCTTTAGATGTGATAGGTGAAAACGGAGAGTACAAGTGAGGAGAAGCGCCTAATAAACCTATAATGGAAGGATCCCGGTGGTGAAGCTGGGGCATAGCATTGAATAGATGAGTGATGAGGCGAGCACCATGCTGAACTGCTGCAATAGCAATGTCAGAAGTAGCGATACTATGGATAGTATATGAGCATTTTCCTTCGACTAAGTTATTAGGGAACTATCACCTATGGCCGATGGAGAATATAACACCTCGTTTTGTCAATTCCTCTACAGTACCCATAACCCCAGGGACCTCAGGAGCAGCAGTAATAATTCTAACACCACTTTCTGAGCCGGTGGACATGAGCCAATCCTCGGAATCAGCAAGGTTCTCAGCTCCATACAGTTCTTCGAAGGACTTTATTCCTTCTGGAGCGGACACAAGGAAAGAAGGGGCATGGGCACCGCGCTTAGCCATGTCAATGAAAGGTCCTTCCGCATGCCAACCAAGCACAGTGGCCGAGGTAACAGTAGCGAAAGGACGAAGAAGACGCAAGATCTTGGGATATACTGACCGTTCTTGTGTCTAAAAATGGGATCTTCAGCGGTTGAAGAGCAACGGTAATAATATACAAGCTTACAATAAGAGTAGGAACGAATCTGATGTCCCGGAGTTAAATCGGCTAGACAGGCGAAAGACGGATGGAACTTACGAAGTTACACCGGTCTCGACAATTCTCTCTGCGACGTCTTTGAGATTACTTTGGTAGACATCATCGTCACCATCGAAGACAGAAAAGTCGAATCCGTAGGCACCGTTAATTTGTATGTCGATAAGACCAGGACTGGAAGATACGTTAAAATCTGGTAGAATCACTCCTGGTAGTTCTGGGACCATGTTCACTCGCCTCAAGATGTTCCCACCAAGGTCAATAACCTTGTCCGGTCTCTCCCTCCTCGAAAAAAAAGTTTTCTGCAGTCCAATTTTTATCAGAAATTAGGTACGGAATAACTTTCCAAAGTGTCCGAATACTTCACCTGAGCATCCAAGATGACGCCCCGACGTTCATCGATCCACAGGTCCTTTTCTAACAACGACCCGTCTTCCTGAGGCAAAAAGCAGTTCGTGAAGCAGACAAGACCATTCTGGGAGGACATAGTCACAGTAGATAGTCAAGGTAGCAGATCAAAGCTTGTTTTGTTGATTTCAGATGCGAAAGGTGGGCCATATGCACTCCCGATATGGTGCAATAGACTAGACTTTAGTATGGTTCCAGCCTGCTCTGTGCCGAGTGCAGCGAAAGGACAACGGATCGGTGCATGAAGCTGTTAGATCCAGAGTACATTTGAGCCCAAGTCGCAATACTTTCAGTGTGACGCTGAAAACGAGAAATAAAACTGGAAAAAAATTGGCTGATCATGGATTATGAGTAACAACGAAGAGCTATCTCCGGACCGATTCTCCGAACAGTTAGCCGTTAGTTCGCGAAGATCATTTCGTTCATAAACAGCAATGTAGTAGTTCACGTTCGTTAACTCTCTGATATGTTCATAGACTTGAACTTTTGCTATCTATTTTCGAAAGTTTTTGCGGATTTTGGCTAGCATTTACTGCTATTCGTAAACGTTATGAGCAACAACTTCAAAGTGATACCTCCCGGTACGTGCACACTATATATCTACTCTGCTGCCTAACTCTCATACAGGCTGATATACTACAACCCCGTACAAAATTGTCTGCCCGGGATACTCGGAGCCTGGGCACTTGGACCCATCTAGAAACGGCAAAACCGGTGCTGCCCGTTAGTGCCCGCTCCAAAGCAACATCTCATTTCCTTTAGGCTTCTCCGTCCTCCGCATCCAGAGTCTATGGATCCCAATTACTCCGCACTTCAATGTTATTCAGCCTGAACTACGAGCGTGTATCGATATGACTTAAACTTCAATTCTGAAAAAAGACGGCGACGGAGGTATCTAGTCCAAAACGCACATAAATACAGGTGCTCAAGCTGTCGGGCACCTGTACTCACTTTCTTTGATACGCCTTGCACCACCACTGAAAGAACCTCGGGCATTATGGCTCGTTGGACTCATCTTGTTGTCTTGATCTGCGTGTTGTTACTTTCATCCTCGGCCAGTGCGGCTCCATTGCCTGAAGTAAAGTATGTGTTTGCTTGATTTAGCGCGTGCGACTCTTTCAAATTTGTATGACAGTGAACCTTACTGGGAAGAAGGGGAAGGGTGGTGTAATAGATGCATCGAGGGGATTGATGATCATTAGTTTGAAGTTTCCCCGTCTTCAATCATAAGTTGGTGTTCAATCCTTTTTATATCCCCAGGAGTACAACTAATCATTATTCTAGCGCTGAGTGCTTCGGCTTTGGCGTGTGTGATTCGATAACGGTTCAATTCCTCGAAGACAGGTCCTTCGAGTATCAGAATTTATAGTTCGTCTTCATTTATAAGTATCTGCGATATTTGCCGAAATGGAAGTTTCGAGTTGGCACCCCACATTTGCTTGATGTTCTAGGGGCCGTTAAAACTAGGGCTCCCATCAATGTTGGACTTGGAAAAAAATGTTGAACGAAAATGTCTCAAGGTTCTCTGTCCGTGGAAGCTTCCGGTATGCGCATTCCCTTCGTCCAAAAGCTAGTAGGTCAGTGCATGTGCAGAAGTACACCGCGTATTTGGATCGTGAATATTGTGAGAGCTTCCGTCTTCCGGTACCGAAACTTGCGGATGTGCATATGCGGATGGACCTCAAGTGAGAGACACATACTAGTAGATACCCCACGACTTTCGGATGAAAACGCACTTTCCATACGACAATGTCGTGATTTTTCTCGTTCTTGTAAACCACTTAAGTCACTTGAGCCAGAAGACTTGTGAAGCCCCAGATTTTGGAATGCTTTGACTTTGCTCAAACACACGAACAAGATCTGTATGCGTCAAAACTGTGAGAGTTCCTTCAAAGGTCAACAACATCAACCATATCATTTCGTTGATACTTACATCAAGCCAGGGAGGCGTCCTAAGTCGACTAACTTGGTTGAATGCTATTAGTTTGACAATGACAAGTCACAATGTCGATGTTCACGGTATGTCGTTAGTAGCGAATTATAGAAGATGGTCAAAATGTGCCAAGTCCAGCTAATCGTGTCCCCATCTAAAAGTGGAACTGGAACGCCAATTAGGAAGAATAGCATTTCCCCTGAGCTTTCCTTAATCTTGCTCGTTGAACCCAAGTCAGAAGTTTGCGGTTCGGTTTGCTGAAAACTGTATTAGAAGGCTGTATTATTTCAGACGCAGATGGACCGTCCCGCATCTTTATACATTTGACCAGGGGAGATAATGCCTTTCATATGTTCATCGGTATTGCATCGGTAGGTACCTAGGTACCTGTACAGTAAAACCGAACCGTTGTAAAGTAGGTAAATAAGGATATGCTATAAATAACAAAGAGTAAAATTGGCGGACAGTATGGTGTCATGCACAGGGTTCAGTTATAACCTGACTATAACAGCAGTTTTCGTTCAATAATCAGCTGATTACTCAATATCCTACTCCAACTATTAGCCTTCTACTCGAAATTGTATGTCTTACTCGATATTTCAACTCTTCAGGCAGAAATTGACAATTCTAGTTATAGAAACTATGATATTCTACATGTTTAAAACCCTAGTGGGTAGGAAATCAGCACTACTATCTAATATACATATACTAATGCTCAGGAAACATAGTGGGATTCTGCAATCGCTTACATCACCCCAATGGACATTTGATGTAGATCTTGTGTGGTTTCTAACAATGCTGAGCAGGTAGCAGATGTAATGTTAATGGGAGTCCAGCAGGGTGTCGGTGGGAGTCCAGCGTGGCAGCAGCGGGAGTCCAGTGTGGCATCAGCGGGAGTCCAGTGTGGCATCAGCGGGAGTCCAGCGTGGCATCAGCAGGAATCTAATGTAATGTCTGGTGCTAAAGTAAAACATCTGGAGAACGTCAACCAGCTAAAATACTCAAATTCTAGTCCAACCGATGGCAGATGTATTGCCAACTATACAATAATTGACATCTAGAACTTATATTCCATACTTCGCAGCTCATTCCCTTTTTCATGGCAAATACGTTTATCAACAACTCTCCATGTCAAGATCGGAATTGATTATAAAGTTAAAAGTAGGTTGAATTATTACCAGTCATGGATCTTGCAATTGCAAGGGCAGTAATCCACAGCCGTACTACATCTTCTTCCTGAGGACCACGTGCAAGTCTTGAAAGCTGCTCATCCATCCAAGCAATCTGCTCCAAAGTGAATAGACCAGGAGGTGGATCAACTACTACTTGGTTCAACTCCGGAGGTGGTCCCCGCTGCCCAAGCCATGAACTAGAGCCCTCGTTATTGTAGTTCTGCCTGAGAGACCGCAATAGTACTTCGTCTCTCAACCCATCCCAGTCCAAACCAAAGACCTCAAGTTCCTCGTCGGTCATGGAAACCTCATCCAATGAACCTCCCCGTAAGCCATTAGCAATCATGTCAAACCCAAACATATCCTCTGGTGATCGGGATGGACCATTGCGCTGTGAAATCCGATGATTATTCCATCCTTCAGCCCAAAAAGTTAACTGTTCATTGATTGTTGAGAGGAAGAGATGTTGAAGAAGCCATATGTGATTTGTATTTGAGATGTCAAGGCCATGGTGCAGCTCCAGGTGCGTGAATAAGTCATGCCAGGTTTGGCTAACATAGTGACTGACATCTACCCATAGACGCTCTATGCGGACGTTGTGAATGGATCTAAAAATGTATTCAGAATGGTACTTGGTAGATGAAATTTTATACATATACCTTCCCCATATATAGGATCCACGACCTTCTCCACAAGCATGTTCCATAAATGCAGCAACCCAGATATTTTCAATTCCATGATCACCACGGAGACGAGATGGAATTCCATAATGCTCTGCAGCAGCTAAGAATAGGGAAAGTACGGTTTCACCTCGATTATTATTACTAGCTCGCATCCCTGTTATCATTCTGGAGTACCCATCTATAAAGCCATGAATTACCACACCCCATCGTATGAGCCCTAAAGACCATGTTAGATGTTGGCGTTATTGTTGATTAATTAACTTACGGTGATGACCATCGTGATGCCATAGCGAATTAGGACCTGGAACAGAATAACCTCGACGACGGATGCGAATGCGGTCAAACACCCGCTGAATGGGATCGATCCGAAGGAGTGAAGATCGGATACGCTCATAAGGTACAATATGGCCCAGTCGACGAAGCATACCATCAAGCATGCGGATTCCTGCGCGACAGTAATAGACCCTCAAATGTCCCAGCAGAGAATCTAGCTGGTCATCCGATATGCTTGACAAATAAGTGGCTGAAGAAGAAGTTGAGGCAATGGATGCAGCTTCGGTGTATATTGCATCAGGTAAAGATACAGGAACTTCCATTTCATTGCCTAGCACTCCATCTATTGCGTTGTCCTCAGGAACTTCAGGCAGTACCGAGTTATCTATCAAGGAGTCAGGAAATGGATTGGTTCCGGGAAGTGCAATTTGATTTTCAAGTAGACGACGCCTGACGGTAGCCCTAGAAACTCCAAGGAAGTCACTAATCCCAGAAGTAGTGCGATGTCCATAGGCCCATGAAAGGAAGTCTGTGTTGATTACAGTACGAGGACGACCACGATGGCCTGTATGCTCCTGCAATACTACCTCTGGTCTTCCAGTGTGAGAAGCTTCAACTTGATGATCATAGAGAGCCCGTGCATCTATGGTCATAAGCTGAACGCCAGTGCGTAAAGTCTGTAACTCTTCTGGCTCAAAGATATCATGATGCTATTGTCATCAGCTTGCTGGAACTCTAGAAATACATGATGAATAGTATACCTGATTTACAGTATGACTGAACTCTTCTAAATCTTCACCCAGAAGTCGGAGCAAGAATGGATCTGTTTCCTCGGTATAGACGCTGACTAGAAGAGCATGGAACTGCTCATAATGGAGACGAAATGCATCCAAGAGTCCGTTGGAATTTGTAGCACTTGTTGTACTTGGTGCAATACAAGGCAAAATGAAATTTAAAAAAGTTAAAAAAAAGCTGACTTTAATCCAGCGAGCCATGAAGCGAAGATGAAAGGTAGAATCAATCAGTGAAGATTATGAAATCATTGAATCAATCACAGCTGCATAGCCACTAATGAGGCACTACTTCAGCGGTACCTGTAAATCTCGGAACAAAATATCGCGGATGTTAAGTATAAGCTTTGGATTGGAAAGAACCAGAATTCCCCTCAACATTGGAGCTCTATCAATATAATCTACCAGAAAACCACTATCAAATGCAGGATTTCTAGCGTTCTAAAAGTGGGTTATAAATATCTGAAATGATCAAGAAATATATACGCCACGCTGGGACCCACAGAGCCAACTTTATTCTCTCGTCTTTCTTTCCCTCATTTTCGTCGCCTTTTATTTTATGCTTTGTTCTTTCTGCTTTATTGATCTGCAAAACAAAGAGCAGTGGGCTTCAGCCTAATGGAAGAACACACGAGCGACGACCACTTACTTTTGGCGTTCGAAGGCCCTTTTGGATTATATGCTCCGATAACTCCTGCTGAATATTCTACAACGGTTGCAACGAATTTAACGTTGGCCATGCATAATATTGGAGGACCTTCCCCCAATACTCAGTCAACCTATTCAATGGATATGCAGGTATCAAGCTCACCGCTGAATGATGGAGCTGGACCTGGATCCCAAGCTCGACTTATGGGTCTACCTGATGTATGTCCAACAACGCTTGGACTAAAAGATGTACGGTTCTCATTATCCATTTGCTGTAGATTCCACTCCAAAGCTTTACCAAGGAACACGGTCTTGAATCTCAGTTTTCCACATCGGGAGGAACCGAATCCTCCGTTCTCTCATCATCGCATATGCATCTACACCCAATATTCTTGCCCCCTATGCAACAGTCCTCTTCGCTACAGAATCGAGATTTACCTGCATTTTCCCAGCACTCTGCTTCGCTTCCCATCCTGCATGAATCGCCACCATCATTCCCTTCAATTCCAGAATTTCAGTTTCGACCACCATCGTTCAATTCATACATAGGTCCATCTAGATGTCAGTCGCCCTCAGGTTCACTCGAACCCCAGCTCCCATTATTTCTGAACGAGGAGTGGTGGTCCCAGGTCATTGCACTTGGAAATAGTCCTCGATTGCTTATGCCAAATAACCAGCCTCCATCGTTCCCACTGAACGACCAGCCTCCATCGTTCCCACTGAACGACCAGCCTCCATCGTTCCCACTGAACGACCAGCCTCCATCGTTCCAACTGAACGACCAGCCTCCATCGTTCCCACTGAACGACCAGCCTCCATCGTTCCAACTGAACGACCAGCCTCCATCGTTCCCACTGAACGACCAGCCTCCATCGTTCCCACTGAACGACCAGCCTCCATCGTTCCAACTGAACGACCAGCCTCCATCGTTCCCACTAAACGACCAGCCTCCATTGTTCCCACCGAACGGCCAGCCTCCATCGTTCTCGCCGAACAACCAGCCTCCATCATTCCAACTGAACGACCAGCCTCCATCGTTCCCGCTGAACAACCAGCCTCCATTGTTCCCACTGAACAACCAGCCTCCATCGTTCCCACTGAACAACCAGCCTCCATTGTTCCCGCTGAACAACCAGCCTCCATCGTTCCCGCTGAATAACCAGCCTCCATCGTTCCAACTGAACGACCAGCTTCCATCGTTCCAACTGAACAACCAGCCTCCATCGCTCCCGCTGAATGACCAGACTCCATCGCTCCCGCTGAATGACCAGCCTCCATCGCTCCCGCTGAATGACCAGCCTCCATCGCTCCTGCTGAATGACCAGCCTCCATCGCTCCCGCTGAATGACCAGCCTCCATCGCTCCCGCTGAATGACCAGCCTCCATCGCTCCTGCTGAATGACCAGCCTCCATCGCTCCCGCCGAACGACCAGCCTCCATCACTCCCGCTGAATGACCAGCCTCCATCGCTCCCGCCGAACGACCAGCCTCCATCGCTCCCACTGAATGACCAGCCTCCATCGTTTCCACTAAATGAACATTCCCCAGTGTTCATGCTGAATGAGCAGTCGCTGCTGTTCCCACTCCAGCAAATGACAGAAACGCAGCGATCTCTTCTACTTGAAGATTTACTTCAGCTAACATCACTTGCACGACCACGTACTGCAACGGCAAGTGAAGTTCGCAGTTCTGATTCGCATGCTCCTCCAGCTACAATACCCATAGCTCCATTGAACAGCTCTGAAGCCTCAGGGGCTCTACTGCATCCCCTACCAAGTTGCTCTCACCCAGTGTCTGAACTCCCATCTTCAGCATCCCGTCATCGTCGTTCACGCCGTCAGAAATCAACCCCAATCCATCCTCCAAAGGTCATCGATATGTCTGCGATCCGGCTCATCAACATTTCAGCATTGAATTTTGATGATTGCTGCTTGAAATTGTCCAGGACACATACGGTGTCAAATGATTTAAGATTTACCGATATTCCTGGGATGCTGCTATTTGATCGATACACTCCGTGGAGAAAGTTAAGGGATATTTTGATCCCTCTTGGATACAAAAGGTCGTTGAATCAGAGATGGGGTGTGCTTGCATATGCTGGTGTCAGATACGCTAGTGGGGATTGTGAAACGCTAACCGATATTCTTACACGGCTTGGTTGGTGCCAGCGTACATGGGACGACAAATGTGATATGTTTGAATGGGCGGAAGACGTGCGGAATTGGGCATGGGATTCAAACCGCTTTGAAGAGACCGCTATTGTTACTGGTAAGCTGAACTTGTATATATATTATTCGTACCTGACCACGCCGTACTTTGTAGGAAAAGACTACACAAAACATGGTGATTTGTTCAATCATTGGTTTCGCATCAAGCTTTTATTTGATTGGCCGGGTTATTTGACGCTTGGATTATCACCAAGTAAGGAAAGTACTAACGAGGTGGAAAGATTAGCTGCTGAGCTGACCCAAAACACCATTAAGACTAACCGTGTAGCTATTAAAGCTTGCCTTGTGAGGTTACGCTCGCCTACCGATTTGCTGACTCCCCCTATTCCCACCAGCTACTTTTCCTCTCAGCCAGTTCCTTCTACTTAGCAATCCATTGACGCTTTTGCCCGCCCATTTTGCTAGCGATCCATTAACTAATTTATCCCACCGCTCATTAGCAATTTGTTGACACCGTTATTCTTCTGTAGATTCACCCCTTGGTCGCTCGTTTGGTTAGCAATCCATCGACTCCTTCATCCTTTGCTTGCAATCCTTGCTCCTTGCTGCTTACTTTATTGGCCTTGGTTTAATACTTGCTATTTGCCACCATCTTTACTTGTCTGATTTCATCGTTAAGTTGGGCACTCATTTGTTAGTCATACCCTACGCCTTTGTTATATATCGGTATATATATACCGCCAGCTTGAAACATCTTCTTTTGGGCTATTTCTCATTTGTATTGATGTACAATTTGAGCGTGGGTGGATTGAGTATGGCATTGACCGATTTAGACCCCGGTGAAAAGCAGTGCTCTAACGTAGTTGATAGCGGACATCCCCGAAATTCAACCACTAATATTTAGTGGAATGTCTCACAAGAAATGGATCTTTCCCTAAGTAGTTTACATTCAATGAATACTGGTAATAGTTGCTTGCAACCAAGAGCAGCTTTGAGACACCGAAGAGATCTATGCATGCTTGCAAGTTTGGCTTTAGGCTAGAACGTCAGATCCGTATATTGGTTATCAAATGAAAGACGACTTACTTCCGGAAATAAGCCTTCATTAAGGCAGCATCTTCCTCTTGAGCATCCTGCACTTTTCCATCTTCCGATACGCAGATACCCAAAATGGGAACTCTCCAAAAAGCATCCCCTTCCCCCCTGGTACAGTCAATGCCGTTGCAAGTTTCAATGTGCAAAGGTGTTTGTAGATCTCCCCACCCATATAAATGCATTCTTGTTGTGTGGTCTTTGACGGAGTCGGTGATGCTAATGAATTTGACACGACAAATGGGATGCAAGTAGTTCAATCCCAATCGGTGATGATATTTTTGGAAGAAATGGTGAATATCGAGTGGAGTGGGTAATCCATATTCGTTGACCGGAATGTCTGGAATAAATATGGGAAGAACTCGGGGGTTATTGGGTATCAGAAATAATGCAAGAATGCCTTGTTCATCTTCTTCAAAGGTTGTCTGTCGATTTGAAAGTTAGGTACATTGGCATTCCACTTGAATGTGATGATAATCCATAGCTCTTACCGTCATGTTACGGTTTTTTTTTGCAATTGATACTTTGGCCCTTGCTCGTTGCTTCCTTTTATCTCTTCATTTTTCTCACCGCTGAGTATACGCAGAGTATACGCTGAGTATACACAGATGAGTCACTTTTTCCAATCACTCCGGAATGATTTACCTTATGGGCCTTGATGTCATCAATATTGCAATGATCCTAACTCTGAAGATAGCAGAACATATCGACGGCTGTGAAGCTGGGTTTTGGATCCAAAGGCTCATCAATGGATCCCAAGTCATGGGAAGGTGTTTGTATTGCATTGTCTGAGCATCCATTCCTTTGATCATCCTTCAACCATTCTAGGGATATTTAATGACTGAATTTTCAGGGAAAGCACCACCAATTCTCAGCAGGAAAACCACAAAGAAGGTATCATAGTTATTGTATGTGAGTGCCTTGTCGACAATGAGGGTGATATTTGCACGGCTGCCACCAAAGCATTCAATGTTCTGCAAGAACATATTGGTGCCAAAGCAAACTGATGTAGAAAATGACGAAGTAAAATGAGGCCATGACCGTAAGGAGAGATGCAATGGACTGAAATGAGCTTTGTTGAAGGCAGCAATCAAGGCATCCAGGTAGTGCTTTATGGAAGATCCCAAGTGAGTTGCGGATATCATGGAGAATGAACACTTACAAGAGGCAGATTTTGAGAGCTAGTTCCGACAAAAATAGTGAACATTCCATTGGGGATGTACCCGTGTTGGCCTACTGTCGACCATGCACTGACATCCTTGTGATGAATGGGGAAAGAAGCAGTTGCGCTGGCTCCGGGTTTGATGTCCTTGACCTTGTCAAATCCCCTAAGCACATGGATAGGCTGTCTCTCTTCGGGAATCGATATGTACTGCGAAAAGGGGTTATTACGAAGGGAAGGATGAGAACAAATCAACACTGACCAGCTGGGCAACCTCGCTTCCAGTATATTGACCAGTGTTGGAGATTTTGGCTGAGACAGTGAAGAGAATATCATAGAGAGAGTTGCTACCATCGCAACCAACAAACGGTTCAGCAGTTTCCATCACTGAGGTGGTGTCCTTCGAAGTCTTTCCGGAGATAGTGAGCTGAGAATATTTGAACATGGTGTAAGATTGCCTGTGTCCAAATTCTGTCGAAGAACGTTCCATTTCAGCAGTCCATACATACAGATGGATAGAATGCACACGTACCGTATCAAGGAGTGATGTTGTTTTTGTCAAACCTATGGGAAGTTGAACATAGAACCAGCGATAAACCAAGAGAAGCCTTACCAGCGGTAATCAATGAAGACTCCCTCTGTGAAATTCGATTGTGGCGAATACACAAAATCATGCCTTATATCGCAAACTGACTTCTAGTGGTGTAGATAATAAAGAGAAATTTATTTTGGAATGGGCAAGGACTCTTAAGCACCGTTCAACTCTCCTCAAGACGATATTATTCTAATTGAGGGCGAAAATAAATTTAAGAGGTGAAAGATGAGACGTGCTCTTCAACGACCCTTGATATTTCCTCCAAGCTCCGGGGTAATGTTTCCACCAGAAATTTCCTCCAAGAGAGCACCTTGTGAAGAGGTGAGGTGGGAACGGAATTCTCCCTCCCATTGGGTAATTTGGTCAACCGGGATAGAGTCAAGCTGTGAACCAGGTCAAAATTATATGAATAGGGATATCAATATTTACTCACCAAACCGTTGACGCCGGCGTAGATGATGGGAACCTGAATCTCAGTAGAGAGGGGTTGATACTGGCCTTGCTCTGCAAGACGGGATGTGATACAGGAATCATGGTCATGGAATGAGACATACTTAAGAGCTCAGTCAGACGGGCACCACAGGAGAGGAGGAAATGGGTTGAGGCATCAAGATCAGAACCAAACTGAGCAAAGGCAGTGACTTCACGGTATTGAGCAAGGTACGGCTTGAGAGAACCAGCAAACTTCTTCATGATTTTGCTATGAAGACGATTAAGCAGATTAACAATAAAAACGAATTGTACTCACGTTTGGGCGGCAGATCCAACACGAGAGACAGAGAGACCGACATTGATAGCAGGGCGGACACCACGGAAAAAGAGATTAGCTTCCAAGAAGATTTGACCATCGGTAATGGAAATGACCTATGATACAACTTCAATAAATTGCCAAGCTGAGATGTAAAAAAAACAAACATTGGTGGGAATGTAAGCAGAGACATCACCACCCTGGGTCTCAATGATAGGGAGAGCAGTGAGAGATCCTCCACCAAATTTGTCACTCATTTTGGCGGCACATTCAAGTAAACAAGGATGCAGGTAGAAGACATCACCAGGATTGGCCTCACGACCAGGAGGACGATGGAGAAGCAATGACATTTGACAGCAAGCAACGGCCTGTTTAGACAAGTCATCGTAAATGATCAAAGCTAGAAAAATTTGAGCCTAGAGCTGCGTAATTTGCCGTTGAACGCACCGCGTTTGCCATTATCACGGAACCATTCACCCATAGCACATCCAGAGAAGGGAGCAAGATACTGCAGAGGGGCAGCTTCCGAGGCGGTCGCAGCAACAATGATTGTGTACTTCATGGCGTCATTCTCCTCAAGGGTCTTGACAAGCTGAGCAACAGTTGAACGTTTCTGGCCCACGGCGACGTACACACGGTCAAGCTTCTTGTCTTCATCCTTACCATCGTTCCACCTCTTCTGCTTAAGGATGCAGTCTTTCCAGTTTGACGATCACCAATGATCAATTCACACTGACCACGACCAATGGGTTTGAGGCCAGTCATCATAGGCTGGTTGACCGAACGACGAGGAAGAATACCAGGTGCTTTCAGGGAAGCACGACAACGCTCAGCGGCCTCAATGGGACCCTCGCTGTCAATAGGGTCACCGAGAGCGTCAACAACATGCCCAAGCAAACCAGGACCAACAGGAACATCAACGATTCGACCAGTTCACTTGACCGTGTCACCTTCTTTGATGAGCCAGTCATTACCGAAGATAGAAACACCAACGTTGTCGGCTTCCAAGTTCAGACACATGCCACGGACAGCAGAAGAGAATTCCACCATCTCTTCGGCTGTAAAAAGAAGGTGAAACAGCATTGAGAACATCGGAAGAAACCGCTCTTACCCTGGACGTTTTTGAGCCCCCAGACATGACCAATACCATCACCGACACCTACGGAAATGTGTTACAGAAGTGTAGATGAGAGAGCTATGCATGCATGCACTGAGAGCCCGTCCAAGGGAGGACTACGTCCCGGATCCGATTCGACGATTCGTATGCGGTACCTCCATTTCCAAGTGGCAAGTGAGATGAATGATATGAACCATCTCTGAAATCTCGTTCCAAACCTTTGTTCGCATTGGACACTGGCGACATTTCGAGTCTATTGATGGGGCTCTGAGAGTTATAGTCAGAGTGAAATATTTCGCGAGTAGCGTTCGAAAAGTCGTCGGTAGTGAAGGATCGTTCGTGTGCTTCGCACCCAACATCATTCTTGATCGAAGTGGTACTAAAGTCCGACATTGGCGCGTCGCGAAACGAGAAATCCGTGGTATTGGAGGTGGAAGGTGGTTTGCTCAAGGTTGGGTAGGCGAGAAGGATTCAGCATTTGCCAGTCAGGCGGAGGCGCATCCAGAGCTGAGGAAGTCCATCGGTGATTCGCCTTCGCATGTTGGGCCTTTGAAGATGTCTTCGGTATCGGCACCAGTCGCCGTGAGGGGAAAGGGCAAAGGGAAGGGATCATCCTTGTCCACTTCCGCTGCTCCGTCAAGGTCAGAGTCACAGGCTCCGGAAGCTGGAATGGGAGGTAGTATCAGTGTTCATGCACCTTCCAAAATGCGAATCTCGCAGGTGCCGATTCCGATAGGTCCATCTTCGGAGGCCGGAGATTCGGATATGATGGGACCCGCAGACTCTTAGGACCTGAGGCCAATCTTGTCGTGTGCAAACTAAACTAGGATGTATCTAATGGTATCGTATATATACTCCGTATTAATTTCTTTGCTGTGCAGCTGGAAAGCTGATCATTCAGATTGATAAGTGACTGCGGTAAGTCCACGTAGTCACTGGTCGACCAGCAGATCTTTTCCTTAGTCTACTTGAGAACTTCCCTGCCTGACTGTTATGCATGAAATAGTCCGTTCGAAGAAAGCATCCCGAATTAGTGAACGTGGTAAGTTTCCCACCCATCAACTTCTTTCCGTCGCGATCTTGGACATTGAATGGCAAATCCTAATGGTGTTGTCGCGCAAGCAGTAGTGGCCCAGCAGACTTTTGCTTCAGATCCTAAATACAAGAAGTACACTCAACAAGTCGAGAAGTGTTTGAATTCGTTTGATAATGTCCATGAATGGGCGGACTGTATAGCGTTTCTCAAGCAATTGCTAAAGGTACGTGTCAAATTGTTCATAGGAGATGCTACATGCTGATTTCGATGCTGGAGTAGACGTTTCAAGCATACATGCAATTTAAGGAGATTCCACGCAAGTTGATAGTTGCCAAACGGCTCTCGCAATGTCTAAACCCCGCTTTACCAACTGGAGTTCACCAGAGAGCGTTAGATGTATATTCTCATATCCTAGCCGTCCTCGGAGTAAGTTGGAACTTAGAGAGTCATCTCAATATCTGATGCTTCAACAGTCAGAAGGTTTGAAGCGTGATTTACCAATATGGTCGTCGGGCCTGTTTCCCTTTTTCGAGTACGCTGCAACATCGGTAAAGGTACGTCGCTCGAATAATATGAGCTTGACTCGCACTGATTATCTGCAGCCGACTCTACTCAATCTCTACGACACACACTATCTTCCCCTGCAAGCTGGACTTCGACCCGTCATGAAATCATTCATTCTCGCACTATTACCAGGTCTAGAGGAGGAGACAGGAGAATTCTTCGAAAGGGTCATCAGTCTACTAGATCGACTATCCGGAACAGTCTCTCCCTCCTTCTTCTTCCAAAACATTTGGCTCATCATGTCGACAACTCCCTCCGCCCGAGGAACTGCATTGAACCTTCTTTCCCGGAGACTACCACAACTTCATGGGCTGGAAGACATCACTTCCATTGTGGGTTCTGATATAGGTCTGATGATTAGTGCGTTTGCGGCTGCTTTAGAAGATGAAAATCTGCTTGTTCAGAGGAGTGCGCTGGATCTACTTCTACAATCTATGCGCGTCGATAGTAGTGCTGTCAAACAGGCGCAATCAGAAGACAGGTCAATTTTGATGCGCGCAGCTATTAGTGTTGTACTTCAACGTGATTTGTCACTAAATCGGCGGTTATATTCCTGGTTGCTGGGACCAGGCAAGAAGAGCGAAAAGCAGATTGAGTACTTGAAGGATAACGCGCTGGAATTGCTTCGGAGTACGCTGAAGGAGGATATGCTGTCGCCTTCTGGGGAGTATTCGGAGTCTCGGCCGTTCAAGATCTTCATCTCATTGCTGGATAAGTGGGAGATTGGAGCTGCACTGTCGGAGGTGTTGATTTATGATTCGAAGCTGTGGAACCGCATATCAATTGGAGACGACTTCTCAGTGCTGTATTCCAAGAAATCATTAGCGGTGACGGACGAAATAAGGTGCATCCCATATATTATTGTGTGATTCCTTGCTGAAAGCTTCTGCGTACAGGCTATCGACATGATCCTTTTCATACTCAATACATTCTCCCAAGATGAAGAAGCTCAAACCATACATTTTCCTCTCATTTTCGCTGCTCTTGTGGATCTTCTTGAAGTAATTCTGTCTTCGCTAGTAGTTGATGTCATCTAATCAATATCGTTTACACCCTAGATTCAAGTTGAACGAGAACCTTTGAAAGCCCCGTCTCCATCCATGAGAGCGAGCTTGATCCTCCTCGAAGCAATACCGTTCCACATACCACACATCGCATTACTCTCACGCCCCAAAGTCAAGTCCGACCTACAAATGGCCAGCGACACCGAACGACCTTACATCTTTGCATGCATTCCTTGATGCACCTGTCCCCACTGGAACGTACACAGTACCTTTTTGCTCTGCATTTGAGAGCTTAATCACATTGAGTATGGTTTTCGGTCAGACTTTGACGAAAGCAACGGAGATCGATACCGCCCAATTTGCGCAGCTACGTGAAATTTTTTCGTCGTCGCTGACGTTGATCGACCGCTTGGTCAGTAGACTCAGTTCGTCTATCAAGTTGATTTGGGAGCCTAAGCGATGGCTGTCTGTGGTTTTGGATAGTCTGCAAGAAGTAAGTTGTGATATTTTTGCTCCTCTGACGAAAGTATTGAATCCCTTGGTTCACATTTCTTCAGAAGACATACTTCACCATCGTCGACAAAACGATCTCTCTCATTGTCCTCCTCCAGCAAACATCTGATCTCACACCCAACTTTTCCATCGATGATCGATCCACTATGTCCAAAATGATTAATCGTTTGTTGTTGTATCTTCGACCGGACTATGCAGTATATCATGCTCGCGCTGTCAATCTTATCTGGAGTCTCAACGCCGCCACAACTAGATCCCACGTTGAGAGCATCTTGGCGCAAGCTATGAATTCATCAGAGTTGAGGAATGTCCAAGAGTCCTACGAGGCTTTTGGTGTACTTTGGACTTACTGGTGAGTTATATATTAACTGTTGCCATAGCGAAAATGTGATAAATCATCTTTCGTAGAGGATAATATGCTTCCTGGCTTCCGGTTCAAGGTCCCGATGATGATCGTACTGGACACCTTGAAGAACGAGGAACCGAACCTTCGACGAATTGGCGAGACCTGGATGAGATGTAGTTTGAAATCATATCTTCGGTACGCCTTTATCACTCATCCGGGATTATGCTCTCCATGGATTAGCGATTTTCAGCGTACTCGATCCTATTCTGTTCGAACTCATGGACCCTTCGATCCGCCGGTCAACATCGACCATGAAAGTGAAGGGTAAAGAGATTCCCGGGTTCACATATGAACGTCCGTTCGACCAACGGTACATCAATCACCTTCTCGATATGCTGGCATTTATATTCCTGGTCATTTGCCCCCGTTGAATGCTCGACGACAACCACAATCTTGGGACTTGAACCAGGAATTCCCTACTTCCGCGCGGGTCAGAGGTCCCAAACAAGCATCTCATACCGACGTGCATGCTATAGCATGCAAAGTCGTTCAAGCGCTAACAGGTCGTAATGGTCTTCATCGTGCTGTCATGGGGGATACTGCAATCCGTAACGCTCATATGGTATATCCTCTAGGCTTAAAGACGAATACCAGGCAGATCTACGCTTCCTCCGATCACACACTAGTGTCCAATAAGGATCCTCAATCTGATCGTGTAGGTTATATACCGGCCAGAGCTGAGCGTAGACCAGGCAGGCCCTACGGTGTCGTGAATATCTAAGTACCGGTTGAGGTTCAGTACATAACACATGTATGAATTCTTTCTAGTGATATAGCGTTGCTGTAATGATGTTGTGAATTCTAAGTATCACAACGTTGTGACCAAGTCTCTTATTTTCTTCCATTGATGACCATCCCAGAGCGCATTCGCACTCCCAGCTGCAGACTATCTTCTTTCTTGCTCCATAGGCGTTGTTTTTGAATTACCCCGGCTCCAAGCTTGCAGCCAATTCAATTAATTTTGATCACAAGTCTCGGAAAAATCCGATATGAGCACCGTCGATAGCATAGCTATCAACGGTGCTCATATCGGATTTTTCCGAGACCTACGTGCTCTCATCTCCCCTCCACCACCAATCCACACAAATCCACCATGAAGTTGCGCACAAAAGCAATTAATTGGATTCAATCCTCTTCGAATGAGCTTGTGACAACGCTTCGTACTCGAAAATCAAAAAGGATCACTTCCGATGCCATATCAATGACGCCCATCGCCTCTGCGATCTCCAAGCCACCTCAGGATCCCGAACCATTTGTGGTCCCGGAGGGTTTTGTTGAGGGCGGCATTCCCTTATTGTTTCCCTCTACACGAGATCGATACTTACCAGCAATTTTTGTTGTTCCGATCCATCCACAACTTCCGGATGACATTCTTCCAGAGATAGGCCGTATCCTGGTAATACCCTGGCCTGCAAAGGATCCAGGCTATAATAAGTTTTTTTTCAACTATGTCAAGAATAACATATCAATACCGGGAGGTCCAAATGCAACAATTCCGGCTACTGGTGAGCGGTTATTAGTGGAAATTGGTCTATTCTGACTATTTTTTTCAGGATGGGGAAAATTGCTTCCTGGTGACGTCCTCTTTCTCCGGGACATCTCAGGCTCACGCAATCCCATGGATGATAAATTTGGAGGATTTTTGGTTCACCCGTATGAATGCACCCTACGTGGAATCTATACACCGGCTAACTTAATCCTAAGAAACCCCTCCAGTGAGCTTGCCAAATCAATAAACAATGTTAGGGACCAGGCATTGGGAACCCGGGAAGAACGCGAGGAACTTGGGCGTACCCGCTTTGAGAAATGTCTCAAAAGGGCTATTCCCGTCAGAGGTGAAGGAACCTGCTACTCTCTTGCGATGAGCCACCAAAAACCCCGGAATCTGGCTGGGCCTTCAGCAGGAGGGAAAGTCAGGGGAAAAATAAGTGAGGAGGAACAGGAGCATGTAAACTTGCGTGAAATTATTGTAAAAGTAGGTTCAATAAACAACTTCTATGTTCATTGTTCTGAGCCATTCACTAGACTGTAGTCCGGATAGGCGTACATTATTACCGGCGACTTGTCCCTCAAGAGTACAAAATCCTGGAAGACAACGCAGAACTAAGGAATATCCCTCGCATAGGCACAGATGATAATGCCTGTTTTACCGGGGTCCAGCAAAATCTTGCAACGCCCCAACCTGAAGAAGACCGTAAGTTCAAAGATTTCTTGGATTCAATCAATACCTTATTTGCTTTCAGGACCTACTCAGATCAAAGCGCTGGCGTTCTTCGGAGGGATACACTTTGATCTATATGACTCCGATGGTGGAAAGACTGAACTGGTCTCTTCACCTGATATTCCAGAGGGCTGGGAAGGTGGCCGTTTCCACCTTGTGGAATATGGCTTGTATGCGGAGTTGGATGGACTGGTTGTTGCTAATTTTAGCGGTCTACGCCTTCACGGAGGAACTCCTCCACTGGCACCAACTGGAGCTGAAATACCACCTTGGGCTTATCGCTGGGTGGTTGTTCTTTACCCCCAAGGCGCTGTACTTGATGGAAAAGTGACCATAAACGTTTCAGCCGATGAAGATGGTATCCCCATCCAATTGACTCCAAGGATGAAAAACTTTATTGACGGGGGATTTCCGATTGGGTAATGTGTGATTTCTTGTGACCCTATTTTATCTGCTGACTTTGCACCCAGCAAATTAGAAGAACCGGTACCGGATGAGGGTGGAGATGAGCGGGAGTAAGTCTATACAACAAACAGTTTCTCCCAACTAAAAGAATATAGTCCTACCGTTCAAGAGCTTACCCTCTCTTCCAACGAAATCAATATGGTTGACGACGGTCATATAATAATGACCCCTCAAGCTGAGGTAGATTTTCTTGCTCGATCGTTTTATCAGTTTCTTTTGTATCACCAACGGCGGAGTGGAATGACTGCTTCTGGAAATTTTGAAACCTTTCGGCACACCTATTCCATTGAAAGAGATGGTCAATTTTATTATCCGCGTCCTTGGCCACTAGCTCCGGATGGCGCTCCATTGAACAAGGATCTTTACGCTATTGGTAAGCAGTCCAAATTTGAGTCTATAGCCATTGACATTTCGGATAGAGCCAAGTTTGCTGACACCTCGCCAAAATGCACATCTGCAATGGGTTCAACACTGCCAGGCTCACCGGGGATTTACGCCATCAGTATGGCGGAACTATAAGGCCCCGCTAATCCGTGAGCATTGTTACCATTTATGTTGTCTTACCTTATGCTGCAGCAAAAGGAGTACCTGGCCCACGGTTTACAGGTATCCCTTCAAAACAAGCAGAAGCTCTACGCATCAAGCGGAAGAAGGTTGCTGCACATCGTCGAAAGAGTTCCAAGTCTAGAAAAGCAGTTGCAGCAAAAATTTGTGCGTTGACATTTATGAGATCTTATTCACTTATTCTAACTTCATATTTAGCTGAGATTTCTGATGCTGCTCAATCTGCACCACTCATGGTCAACTTTGAATCGGAGAATCTTGAAAACAATATGAAAAAGAGGAAAAATCGCAAGAAAAAGAATGTTAGGTCAAAAAAGGCCAAGTCAACAATTGATATAGGCAAGTCATAAGATCGTTAACCTTTGTCTTTGCTTAATGGTTTATGACTATTTCAGTTACTGGAAATAATGACAATTACAGCTCAGATGTCTCGGAATCAGATGAGGATGCTGACGTTGAATACTCGGTTAAACGCTTCATTTCTCATAGAGTTTCTATGGATCCAAAGGTGAGACACAAGTTTGGACAAACCTGACTTTTTGATAACCACGCTATGGTAGCATCCTGGATATGAATACTTGGTTGAATGGGAGCAGGATAATACCGAATCGTGGGTGCATGATTCTCTCATCAAGTACTATGCCAATCTATCGATGCTTGATATTTCAACTAACAAAGATATATTAGCCAAGGAGAAATGTACAGTAGTTATCGCCAAAAGGTCTTTACCCAAGTTCTGGAGGACAAAGGTAAGTATTTTTACCTTACATAGCGAACATCCTTATAATTCTTTTTGTATATCTATAATCTGATCCAATAGGTAGGAAACGGGTGTACCATATATATCTGGGCCCAATAGTCTAATATAATTGTAGATATGGAAGTTGCAGCCAATGTTGATGGCTTTGAATATGAAGGTTTAGAGAGCAACGGTATGTTTTGTTTATGGTTAATATAAACAATTTTGACTCTCCCGATAGATTCTTCAACCACAAATACTCTGGCAAACAAGACTTATACATCTGGTATGTGTTTCTCTTTAGCAACTAGAAATGGCTGTGATTTTACCATATATAGCTTTCCAAATACCGCTCCTGCTGAAGATTTCAGAAGATTCCATTACCAGTGCAATACACATCCTTAAGGATGCGTTGTCTAGTCAGCATGAGACAGAAGGCATCAGCGTTCTTAGGATGTTCCAACAAGTTCAAGAGATCCACTTTGCTATTGAAAACTCCCCACTGGATGCAAAAACAATGAAGATCGCAGGTAATGCTTGGTCGCTGATTACTTCTCTGAAAGCAAAAGCCAAGGTTCATGAAGCTGAGGCCTTGATCCTTCATCACACCATAATGCTCACCCATTACCGTCTATATAATTGGGTATGGAGATGCATTGATGCATCGCTAGACAATCCTCAATTTTCCTCATGGTGGACCCATCTTCATAAATACGTTACGGAGGCATTGGACTCAGGAAAACCAAATGACTCCTTTAATTTTGACTCATCGAGTTTTCTGCCACAGATGCAACCCCCACGGATATACCAATGGAAATACCGTGCTAGACAGAGGATAAAGGAGGGTATCCGACTAGGAAACACTTCACTATGTTCTGAAGTAGTCTTCTATTGGCTTGGATTACCATCGGATTCTCGACATTCAACTCAGTCCATGTTTCTATGTTCTCTTATGGGAGCCATGGGTAACCCCAGCATCTTCTTACTCGACGATATCTGGAATGCATATGTTAGACCAGAGTCTTACTTACGGCGCTCCTCCTCACCGGCAGATCAGCAAAATCTTCCAAATGGTCCAGAGATAACACGTTTCATGCAGGAAGTTATTCAGCATCCTATTCTTGGAAAAGACCATATCGCATCAGCCCGGCAATTGTTCAAACAACTCGATATTGCGCACTGCCAGTTTCTCAACCTGAGCCCCTCCAGTGCTTCCTCTAATGGAGATATGTTGAATTCATTTGCTTTTCCTGCAACAACTTCTATTCACCGCATCTCTCTGGAAGCTACAGCTTCCCGGTCGTCCCACGTTCCAGCATCACTGTCTGGTGTTCAGTCCCGCATGGAATTCTTTCGTGACTGCCTACTGGAGATTGCACTAGTTATGCATGAGCAGCATTCCCCATCGCCGACCAAGTTGCAGCAGAAAATTTTGACAAATGTAGACCGACATTGTCCGTTTCGCGAACTGGGTCCTTCGCGGGTTACTAGCCGCAACGGCGCATTTGCACCTCAGAATATCAATTCACGCGAGGGAATCTTCAGTGGTCTTGTTTTCCGAGGCATCTTATTCAACACCCGTGCTCTCCAAGAGCATGAGCATTCTGGATTCTTTGAGTCCTGGGGAGCTTGGGAGAGCTTTGTAGCTATCCACCAGGAGAAAGGTGAAGGCTATATGTGTAACCCACATGTCTATGGAAGAACAAATGGTCGCTCACCTAGAAATGCATGGCGCTTCTGGATTGGTAGTCAAATTCTTCACAATAAACTTTTGCAGGAACCCAATATCACCTTCACCAACATGGTCAATTTCATCACTACTGCAAAGGGTCCCGATTCAAAAACACTTTTTCCAACTTTTGGAATCCTGACAGCATACTTATTTACGGTCGATCTAGTCTATGCAGGTCGCATCCCCTTCCCTCCTTTGAAGGAGGTTTCAGAAATGATTTCCAAGTTGGACAAAGGCGGTTCGCGGGGCCTCATGAAAATTGGAATATCCTTGGACGGTACTTCCAAGCACCTGGCAAAGGGATTTGTTGACCTTTTTGACTTTTTGAACAAGGATAGAAAATTTTCAAGTATAAAGGAAGGGGTAATATTCGATCCTTTTATGTTAGAACATTCTCTTTGTAAGGCTAGCCGCGATGGCTGGCTATCATCCTTTCATTGATTCCATTTCTATGCAGCTCAATATCTTTACTTGTTTGGCTCTACATACGTTATGAAGCTTATGCTACCCATATAGTATAGGTTTTGTCACGTCCATTGATATTGTCTGGCCTTGATGCAAGAAATGGGGTTCATATTTAAAGCGGTATGCTAAGATGCATTGATTTTATGCTTAACTTTGGATTCCACAACTGTAGCAACGCAATCGATATTTAAAAATGCAAGTCAAAGCCATTCTAATATATAAACTGAATATTTAATTATGGGTTTCAGCCCTATATATTAACAAAATGACAAGCAATAAGCAAGCGTAAGTATGAGGATTGTTGGCCTTATGCAGTAGTATAAGATCCAATAGCATCAAGCATTTGAATTAATAACCAATGGTGGATAGCGGTTCTTGCATCCCTGCATTCGGAATGAGGATTGTACCGGGCCCGAACCAGTTGGATGAGATAAGATGCCGGTATCCGTACGGAGCGAGTACAAGTCTTGAAAGAACATGTTCCATTGGAGAGATAACGGCGTCTTGGTTCTTCACCGATGTGAAGAGGTAGGTATAGGGGGTCATCATCTTCTACCAGTAGGACCTATTGGTACAGCAAGCTGAAGATAATATTTATCGTTATAAATGCGAAACATACCCTCAAAGGTTGACCTTCATGCATAACGCGAGGTGCTCCTGAAACCGACCAGCACAGAATCTTCATTCGGAAAGTAGAAGAGGTAATCTCATCAAGATTTATCTGGGGGCTGAGCCTATCCTTAATGGACTCCAGAAGCTGAGGACAAGGTGCTCCGGTCTCTTCAAGAAAGTCGCGGAAAATATCATCGAAAATCTTTCCCTCAAAAGATGTACCGGCCTCCGAGCATGTATCCGCGAAGTCCCGTAATGTTGCTGCTCCAAGGTTAACGTGAATTATAAAGTTCAAATCTTCAAATCTCCTGATAATTGATGTTTCAGCGCTTTGAACAAATTCCTCAGCACCACCATAAAAGCTTCGGACTATCTATGGACGGACTATCAGTAGAAATTTGGTAAAATTCAAAGGGGATATCTTACATCATTAAGTTTGAGTGAAGAATCAATACAAGGCATCTCAAAACCCTCAAGAAAGGCTTGAAAAAAAATGTTATCAACGCCAACCGGTCCAATTATTGCATTGTGAAGCATGTCAGATGCCAGGCGTTGATGTCCAGCAGGAGAGCGTCCATGGAGTGCAGTAACCTAGCAAATTAATCCGCAACTAAAAACAAAGAATTCTAAATAACGAATCACCTGAATATTGTGAAAAGAGGCAAAATGTGAAGTAAACCGCTGCACATTATCCTCAGGCCCAATACTCAACCAATCATCGAGAGTATTACCCAGAGCAGGGAAATGTTGGAAGACAAGTTGGCGATGGAGACATTGTAGTTCATTTTCGTTGAGAAGGTATATAAGCAATAATGGGTTCAGCTTCCCAGGATAGCACCCATAAATCAAAGCCAATGCGGTTACAGCACCAAACATAGCCAATTCTTCTTTCTTTGCCTGCGACACATGTGTTGATCCAGTCTGAGGCAGCGTCGTTAAAGTAGAGAAATCATCCAGGAGAGGCGTACAAAATTCTGATGCCCGGGTGACAAAATATTCATGAAACAGTCCATTCATAACTGACTGCTCTACACCAGGACCTGAGGTGACAAATTCTTCATCGCCGTCCGTATCAATTTGATTTCTGTTGGTTGAATATGAGTTAGATTTGTTGGTTAGTAGAAGTTAACTTACAGGGTAAAATGACGATTTGGTGAGAGTACGACATCCCATGACTTGCAGCTAATAGCAGAACGCATGATATCTTTGAATTTCCAAATAAGCTCTTCTTCGCATTGCCCTTCAACCTGAAATCCAGGGCAGTCGGCACCATGCAAATTATGGTAATGGTGCCCCACAGAATTGAAGATAGCGCTTGATCTCTCAATATTGAGGAAGAGAGGAATTGTATCCAGTGCTTTTGGTGGAGACCAAGGCTTTTCCCATAGCTTATTGGTAACTGGAGCAATGGTAAATTCTCGATCTTCAATACCTGAGTGCTAGACATTCCAGATATCAACCAAAAGATCTGCACACAAATGAAATATTAACCTACTCTGTCAATTGTCGATTGATAATTTTCAGGAGCTGGCGGAACAGGTGTTAATGCTTGAGCAACAATCCGAGTATCCTGAAGAACAATCGGATTTTTTAAACAAAACCCAGAAAAAACTAGCCGATATTCACCTCATCTGACTCATCATTTTCGATGCTATCTTCATCGCAGGAATCCTCCATCTCCTCATCATCTATGGCTGAAAACTGAAGATTGGCATCGCTATCATGTGCAAACATTTTGTATAGCCTCTTTGAGAGACATCGATGAGAAGATACCATAGCATTTTGACCCAGATGAACGTCTAATAAGCTAAATTTGGCCTCGAAAGGGTATGTGCGGATAACTACAAGCATTCGTTACTTGCGGAAATAAGTTGGATATCAAATCACATACTGGTATAGATCTGGAAACGGTTTTGGTGTGTAATGGACCAACGAGCGATAGCAAAGTCTCTAGTATTTGAGAGAAGATCTTGCAAAGTCATTGAGGCCGGAAATGACATAGTGGTAAGCCTTGGAGACATATGTACACCGTTTGCTCTTCCACGGTTTGTAAACCCTAGGAGTTGTAAGGGCAAGCGTTCATGGCCAATGAGAGGAATGCTGATATCTGGTAGTGCCTCAGAAGTGTATCGCTCACGTATTTTTGTGACAGCATGAGCAAGGATATCTTGGATAGACGTGCTAATTGGAAGATGATTGAATTCAAAGTGTAATCCAAGCTTCGTGAGAATGAGCTTAAGGCTTTCAGCATTTCGGCTATATACGTATGTGTGTCTGGGAAGTCCGAAATGCTGCAAATTAGGAGGAAGAGAGTAAATAATCACATTTACAGAAGTGCCAAATTCAACATACATTTTGAGTTGAAACTGGTGGCATTGGAGGATAGACCAAGAGGTCAATATTAGCAACCTCCACACCACCTTCTGCTTCGATGATGCAGCTACGGATGGTTGGCAGAGCTGGTTGGCCAATACTAGGAGGTCTGGTTGCTTTTCCTCGGGTTTTCTTCCTTGGATTATGCGGTAAGGACGTGCTGGCATGTTCCAAGCGCATCTGATTAGTGCGGTTGATTGTAGTCATACTTGGAAAGCCAGATGTAGCCGTCACTCGAGGATGCCCTCGAGTACCAACTGAGCTACTAGAATCGCCTCCCAGAGTTGCTAACATCTGTAAGCTACTATAAGGACGGCACTGAGATGGTGGTGGTGGAAAAGATGTACGATTAGGAAGATCGATGGGCTGAGGCTGAGGCTGAGTGAGCGATGGAATTGAAGGTTGCTGTGAACTTTGAGCAAGTGGTAAAGTCAAAGGTTGTTGTAAGCCATGAACAAGCGATGGAGCTGAAGAATGTGGCACAGTCTGTACAGGAGCCTGAGATGGAATCAATGATTGCTGCAAGGTGTGGGGTGCGGTTGAAAAAGGCTGAGATGTTGGAGCTAAACTTGATGGGGGTGACGTTGACTGAGAAGACAGAGGCAAGGAAAGTGGTTGCGATTGCAGAGGCTGCTGAGATAAGGGAGAGTGTATCTGAAATAACAGATACATAATAATTAGCAGAGGTACCGGGTATATGCAGATAATGAAATCAAACCTGAGAGGACGTTCCTGGAGCTACTGGTTGTGAATGCAACCTCATCAACTCCTGCCCCTGCGGTGATGACAGAAGCTCCCCTAACAGCCGATAAGCATCGGAACTCATGCTCAAATGCAAAACTAGCAAAAAGGAAACAAGAAATGGGCGTCTTGAAATCAAAATGAGAGGGAAGGAAATATGTTATGCGGTAGGCTACAGCTCCTTATATACTATAGCTGGTTTTATATAGAGCTGTCTCTGTGACTCTGCGATAGGGAGAGATTGAGGCTTGATTTCCAGTAGGCAGTACGCTTGCAATAAGTTGTATACGGACCTCTAATGAATTCCGCTGCAGCTACGCTGCAAAAAATGAATGCCCGCTGCAGTTCCGCTAATGCACCTGCTGGATTTTTGCTGCACCCCCGCTGATGTACCGCTGTGCTTATGCTAAGCGCTATCTGAATTCTTGTTGAATACTTTAGAATGTATATAGGAACTTAACAAGGCTTGGATAAGCAGATATTCCCTTATGAATTCAGTTAATTTAAAAGAGTTAATGCCGTTGCAGTAAGAAATATCGCTAGAGTAGCCTGCACAATAGAGTAGAATGTCTCAAGGAGTGTACGCAAAGACAAAGGTCAAGTACGGCTAAGCCACTAGAAATAATGTAACTAAGGTCCCGATTTTTGATCGAAATCTGCCGTCATACCTGACTTCTATTGGGCTTTTGGACGATAAAGTAATGGAAACGGAGAAAAATGTCGAGACCTAGCTCAAGGGAAGAAAGAAATAACTACCTTACTTTTTGTATATGTAGAGTGCCGTTAAAGGTGGTATGTAAGTTTGGGTGGACTGGGTAAATATACTGTTGATACAGAGACAGAGAGGATAAAATGAAACTTAAATGAAGCGAAAGCCACAGCAATGACAAACGGGATAGCGCAACCAAATCCATACCGGCCGGCAAAAAGGAAAATTATGAAAAAACGCAGCCCGAACTTGAAAGAAAAGGACATATTCATATAAGATGTCATACTCATGAGAGATTTTGTTTTTCCGGAAGGATGAGAAAGGGATCCACGGTTGCGCATAACGAGAAACTTTTTTCGGTTGAAGGGGGCATGAAATAAATACTCATATAAATTGAGACCTGTCCATTAGCAAAATTGAACCTCCCATTCGCCTCCCTCACCACCGGTGGCAGGCATACTCTTGAGAGCAATCCTCACACGACGCTTGTTGCCCGACAAGCTATCGCTTCCTGTCAGAGATGGAGAGTAATCGGAAGCACGGCCGAAATCATAGTCCATGTCTCCAGAACCAAACGATGAAGTCGAAGAGAACGGAGATAGACCTCCGAAATCATTGTGTGATGGGCCACCAACTCCCAAAAAAGGGTCACCATTTGAGCTGGAAGACGAATACGTCGTGAAACTTGATGAAGCACCGCCATAATACGAAGGGTCAGAGGAGAATGCTGCTTGTAATGTCGGATTATCTGAATCTGGAAGCCCCCATAAATCTAGCCCGAGCGCACCGTGACCATTTGAGTTCGAAACAGGGTTAGATAGCCCCGGAGATCCTGCGCGCGATGACGCCGAAGAAGACGGGTGGATGCGGACACGAATCTTGCCGTTCTCTTGAGGAACAGCATCAAAGGAGATATCCAAACCACCGAGAGCGCCAAGGGACTTCGAAAGTTCCGGATTTGAGAACTCGAGTTTCTGAGGAGCGGGCATTATTCTACCATGCTCATCCGTTTCCAAGTCCATGATGGAGTTCCGTGACCAGTCAAAGTTTGGTGGAAAGATGGAATTAAAGTCAGAAGATGATGGTGATGCCGGAAAGGCGGAAGGTAGCGAGAAAGACGTCGGGAAAGAGCTCTGAGTGGGCATAGAGAGGAGGGTGGGTAGAGCACATAATAGCACCTGCTTGCGTATGATTGAGTTGAGGTTATGAAGGGTAAAGGAAGCTTAACATACCATAAGTCCGAGGCTAGCTGCTGATTTGTGCGGCGATTGCGAGCGAGGGGATGATAGTGGGAAACTTGGTTCAGCAGCTTCTATCTTCACTGGAGGATCCCTAGGGGTAGATCTTGTGGCCAATTCCTGACTGAGTTCAAGCTCTCGCTGTCGTGCATCAGCCAACTGGGCCCGAAGCATATCTACTTCCGAAGCGAGCTCGCTTTCTGACTGAGATTTCGGATGCGTAAAAGATTCGGTCATTTGGCTAATAGCTAACAACCTAGCATTTTCTTGCTCCAATTCAGCTACACGTCTAGAAACACGATAAAGAAGACGTGAATTAGCTTCCGTGGGTAATGAGCAGAAGGTATTTTGACGTACATCTCCATGGTCTCGAACTCTTCTCTTTTTCTTTGCCGACTAAGGAATGCGGCAGCACGGTTCTTCACCAACCGTGCTTCGCGTTTTGAGAGGCCAGATACGTCTGGTGGAATAAAGTCCTTGGTGCTTATACGTTCGCCGACGGAGCGCTTCCGAGAGGCGGAAGGAGTCGGACTCGCAGAACGTTTTAGCGTCGCAGTAGACGCTATTGGGGAGGTAACAACCGGTTGTTCATCTATTGATGGTCTCGAGGCAGTGCTTTCGAATGAAGGAGAAGATGGACTATGAGGTTGGTGAACCCCATGAGATTCGAAGAGTTTATGAGTAGAGATACACATTTCCTGACCGTCGTGGCGGTCAGGGACGGCTACTCTCATCTTGAGAACTCTTTCTGCTGGAATTGGAGAATCTGCGACGAGAGAGCCCACAGAATTTGGAGGTGATGGAGGTAGGTAATAGTTGTAGGTGAAAGAGTCATTGGAAAGGGATTGTTGGTACGAAGAGTCGCCGGTTGGCGAGAGGAGAGGAGCGTCAGAGGCAATAATTTGGGCCATTGGCAAAGGAAGAGGGGACGGTCTGTGCATCTTGGACGTCTTGATGTGAAAGTTTTTAAAGTAACGAAGATGGCAGTCCGGATTTATATCGCTTCGAGCCATATTTGGTTCATATAGAAACAACCGAATCGAGCTGATGAACTGATTCTTCTCCCTGGCTCAAATTAATGAATCCCGTATATTTGCTCACCCTTCGTCTTTCACCTTCTTCACTGTAAATACGTCCAGCTCTCTTCTCTTTACCTCTTTTTTTCTCTCTTTTTTGCTTTCTCGTTCAGCTCTTACTACTTGCGATCTGCTTTCCGAAAACTGCCCGAGCTACCGACATTTCTTCACTAACTTTTCCTCATACGGTGTCGCAGCATACACGACTGTTACAGTCGATTGACCCCATTTACCTGCTCAGTTGGCCGGATAACAAAATTTATCTCAGAAATCTTATCAGGATACGCTTCGGATCACGATATCCTTTTCTAACTCGTGCGACATGGTCAATCTTCGGAAATCTTTGTCGTCCCCCTCTGTATAGGGCTTCAGGTACTCTTCATGCCTCTTTCCCCGCATCACGAGTATTAATCTCCTCGAACCCGTGGCCCATCTCTGCACGGACCGAAACAATATAAACAGCTATTTTTTACCAATCCCTCCTCCTTTCCTTGCTATCTACCGGTATATCCTTCCTCGGCGGCTCTAACCATCGAAATCTGGACAATTAGTATCTTCTTGGCTCTACTTGCCCTCGTGCCTATGGTCAACTATGGTCCTGTTCAACAAAGATAGAGCAGACCGAGTTCAGGGCCTACTTTCAAACTTCTGACTGTACGTCTTCTGTCTCATAACGCAGATACGGCGTAGATATGGTATTCTTAATTGTCTTCAATCATTATACAAGTTAACATCACATGTAGCGAACATATGCCTCTCTTTTTTTGCTGCAGTCGGAGAAATCTCGACACTACTCGATAACATAGTATCCAATAGCTTAGACTCTGTCAGTTCCAACCGTCCAAGTACTGCCGGTTTCTCAAAATACTTCTCTTGCGTTCAGCTTGGGGGAGTTTCCTTCCTGTCTTGGAAACGTAAATTCTTGAGAAAATCACTGGCAATTGTGAGGTTGATATCCGGTGCGCGTGGACACATGCGCCTGCACGAGCTCAGTGGACGGGAATCACAACATAATTTGCATCTTGTGAGTCTGTGTACGCTTCGTGATATTAAGATATATGTACTTGGACTGCCGATCACGGTGGTATGATACATCCCGAACTTTCAAACTTGTCTCCTCCAGTTCCGTATGAATATCATATCTCAAACCCTATATCTCCTTCATCCTTTCATTTCTACTCGGGACGTGTCTTCCTCCTCGTCTTAGCCAATACTGTTACTCTATTCGAACCACCAACGGACCATAGCAGCCCGTAACTATCACTAAGGATAGGATAGAATAATTGAATTATTCCAAGTGTTCCGTACCGCTCGGTGCCATGGTTAACGCTGCAAGGGTGTATAGATGGTCTGTATCGCGTCAAATGACAGTGTTTCTCTCGGAACACCGTGTCCACTGTACTTTCCTCAACAAGATTCCTTGGAACGACAAGCGGGATGAGTCTTATTTTAAGCTTCAGCACCTTCTTGGCTATCCTAAAATAATGTTATCGATGCCTCTCAATTCCGTTTTTACAACGAGAAATTCAGCTGACATAGCGTTCTTAGTTATGGCGTATGTATGTAGGTACGTTTAGACTAATTCGAGTCAGCTTAAAGAGCTCACTGTTGTCTCCAATCAACTATATGACTTCACAATTTGCGGAGCCTAACCTTATACTTTGAAGTTATAGCAAGCTGGTTCGTCTACTACATAAGTCGCGTTGGCGCCGCCGGGAGGTCTATCTGACTTACCCTTTTGAACCTGCAAACTCGACAAGATCTTCTGGCGGAAATAAGCGGAGAACATTCCACAAATTTAGTTTAGTGTCGACTTATTTCCAACGTTGTCGAAAAGAATTCGACAGTCTGTATTTTGTTTGGAATCCATCCAGACGTAGTAGTGCATCGTATAAGGTAACTCAGGAGGACCACTTACGCCGGTAATCCCTTCAATTCGGCTTGGATCAAGCTTAATGGTCGGATGTCCTGACGATAACAATTGATCAGGTTCAGGAGGGTTCAGGATCCTAAGGCGGACTCGAATTTGGGTCTAACGAGCACTGCATTGTGATGGGAAACTCAGAGCGTTTGATGCGGAGATTGATGATGAAGATATGAGATGGTGTGCGCTGAACCGTAGACGACACATCGTAAATTTTAAACACGACCGGCAACGAATAATAGAGCTTCAAGTTTCAGAAGAATTGTGACTTGCAACTTGAGGCCAAGGATGTCTCGCTGGTCTTCATCACCTCAAGATGCTCCTACAACAAATTTTCTCAACGGATCTGTCACATAAGAAAGATCTAGGCTATTCGGCGCCCTTGCATCGACTCTTTTCGTACGCCCAACTCACTCGGCGCTCAACAATTTGACCTGGCAGACAAAGGAATACATAGTTCGTATGTCGAACCTTCGCGCTTCCCAGAATGCTTTCAGGTGTTGATGGACTAAGTACAAACTCATTATCTTTGAGAGAAAACTTGAAATGTCCGTCCTTTGCACTAGTTGACTGAAATCATGAATTTCGCGGAATGAAAGACGTGAGTCGGCAATATTCGATAGCATACATGTTTTGTTCTAAGGAAAATACTTTTATTTGGCGACTCGCCTCTGAATGAAGGACGCAGCAGCGTTTGTTCCCAGCTGTCAAGTAACTGTAATCGACAGTTGGAGTTGAATTCGAGTGATTACATCGCATGTACAACAAGTACGAGTTTTAAGTGGTTCAATTGCTGGTCTAAAGAGTGTAGAGAAAGTCAATACGACCACCCATGGCAGGCTGAAGGGTGTTTCGCTTTGTTTTGTTATGATACCGAAAATTCAGAGTGAGCACTCCAAGAAGGACCAGCAACAGAGCCTGGCACGAAATTGTGACACTGATTCCAGGTATGTATCTCGGAAAATCCTGCTGACGGAAGATCGTAGTGGCGATAATTCCTCCTAATCCTCCAAAGCTGATGATAATGGCAGTTGTGACAGCTCTCTTCGAATGGGATACAATATTGTTCGAGGACTGCCAGATAAAAACATGAGAACTAAAAAAAGCTTCCGAGTCAAATTGAACTCACGTAGGCCAAGATACCAGGGACGCAACCAGCGGAGCCCGCGTTGCCTAGGAATAATCCTGAGCGCCACCAGAGCGCCACTGTGAGTAACGAGAGTTGTACCTCAGAGGGCTGCGGCTTACCAAAATACCGCCAACCTGGTCGCTCAACAAAACCAGTAATCGCGAAACCCACGAGTGTAAGAATCGTCTGCGCTGCAAGAAATATTGCACGCGAACGGAAATGGTCAGAAAGCCACGCGAACACGAAAACGCTCAAGGCCTACGGAGGCACATGAGTAAGAAGGTATTGAAAAAGCTGTAGAATCATGGACTGACTGCAAACACGTAAGGGGGGGCACTCTGAAGACACAGTAAGTATCGAGGACGCTGTTAAATTGGAAGACTGTACCAAGAGTAGCGCAAATTCCAAGTTCCAGCCCATGCCACTGAGTATAACGGTGATAAAAAACCTGGTAAAACCAGGCGATGACTTGTCAAAATTCTCAGGTCTGTTGTGAAGAAGTCCAAGGCTTACCCGATCGCGTAGGCTGGAATCGTAGCACACAAGAACATAAGACCTGTACATTTGTGGTCAACTTGACCATATATTATCGAAATGCATAAACTCTACCATAGACCCAAATCTTCCAATCTGAAAGGTGCTCGAAAGCCTTCCATAATGTCACAGTATCTGGTAGCGAATCACCTCGATCTTCCTCGATGCGTTCCAAGATAAATCTGGTTTCCTCGCTGTTGAGGAAAGTGTTGTTGTCAGGAAACCCAGGAAGGAAAGCCCATGCAACACAGCCAAAAAAAATGGTGACTGCGCCTTCGATGACCTGATTTAGTGGTGTCAAATATCGGTAACTGTAGGCTCAGATCAGAACTCACAAAGATCCATGACCATCCGGCAAGTCCTGCTTTACCGGCCAAGTGACTGAAGCCATATGCTACAATCGCACTGAATCCTCCCGTTAAAAGGGAAATAAGGTAAAAACCAGCAAGTCTATGAACAAAGTTGAGTTTCCGAATGGGAAAAGTCGTTTCTTAGCGGCATACCGCTTCTGGACTTCATGACGCCGATACCTGCAAGAATTTAAAAATGGATAGAGAAAGAGCAACTTGGAAGCCCACCATGTTGTAATGATGAATACAAGTGCGGGGAAAAAGCCAGCCTAAGAAATCTCGTCAGTAACGCTACACCTCCCAACTATAACAAGAAGATCATCGTACCTCAAACGCGCCCAAGAGGACTCGACACAGTGCCAAATATTGCCAGTTAGGTACAAATGCCATCGCCAATTGCACGGCCCCCCAAGCAATGACGCAGAAAGAAAGCAAGTTGCGAGTGCCAAAGGTACGCAAAAGCATATTACTCGGAAGCTCACTGCAAAAGAAATGTTATTTTGGATATCAAAGTGGACTCAGCACGCACAGTAAAATATAGGGTATAAAGTATACGCAAGAGACAAGACTGTATCGGGATCCAATAGACAATTCCTGAACAAGCCCACGGTTAGGTTGATGCTTGCTTTTGCCGCTTTGCTGTGGTCATTGTAAGATCTTACTTACCAAGTCTTCGCCCATGCCAGCGATCCGCGCAACGCCAAGGTTGCTTCGGTCAATTAATGCGAGAGAGTACAGTATCCCGAGCAACGGGAGCACACGCAGATCAATTCGACGCCTAAATTATTTGAAGGTTAAGCACATAATCAGAACAAGGCCTTGCTCCTTGCATACATTACTCGTCGCTCAAAAGTAGCTTGATTTCCGACTGGTATACCACATATAGTTCTTTCGACATCTGAGTTGGACACCGACACTGGAGAGGTTTTTCCGTTTAAGTCGTCCCCAGACTGAGAGCTTGTCACGAGCGGATTCGTTGTGGAAGCCATAGAGGAAGGCAAGGTATGTCTCAACGAGCGAAACGAGGCGAGGGGTGTAGTCAAAAGTCAAAAACTTCGACCTTTTAAACAGCGCTTGAGAAGAAGCCGGAATATTTTGGGCCGCACCTCTCTGAGTCAGAAGAATTAAAAAAGCGAAAAGGCTAAGGGAAGTTGATTAATAGAACCCATGTCCGAGAACAGAAGATCGCCTGACGTTCTGCGTCACCGTCGAGATTCGAAGATAGGGACAGTGCTAATGATGAAAACGTCGAGACGGATATTGCCTTTAAGAATTCGGTGCGAGGGTCCACCCATGGCCTGATGTTGATTCGGATATTATCGTCGAAGTATCGAGCTGCCGAATTTTTGACGCGTACTAGGAACCGGTTCAAGCAAATCCTACCCGAATAGAAGCCTTGGATACGAACAGTCCTCAGCCAATCCATAATCAGTCAATCTCGGTCTCAACGCTTCCATAAAGAATAATCATGCCCTGTGATGTCCAGCAAAGTAGGACAGACACAGGACAAACTAGAACGCTTATTGTGCAACCTGCATACGACGCTAACTTAGTCTAAATGACAAGTCCGGATGTTAAAATAGCCGACGTGGAATGCATTGAGGCATGCATACAGAAAAGGTTGTAAACAGCCACATACATACACTGTACACTCGTTGATAGTCGTTAATTCCTTGAATAGTACAGGTAGATTCAAACGAACGAATCCTAGATAGATATGCTAGAAATTACAGAGCTGAAAATTCGAAGAGTGTAAAAATACTGCAAGAATTAAGACGTTGGACGACTCACCTTTTATGCAAGAAATGACCAGTCTACATAAATGTAGTGATGCATATAAAATATATTATGCACAAGACTCCTTCTTGTATTGCTGCTGCTCGCGCTCCTTTTCCTTCTCCGCAGCAGCAGCTTCGTCAATGTACAGATTATTCTCGTCGATGTAATCCACCACTCTCGACGGAAGAAGGTAGCGCACTGATAACCCACGTCTTAAAAACAGCCGGACCTAAATTTGAATTGGTGAGGACTGCGAGGGTGTTCAGAACGTCAAGAACCTCACTTTTGTGCTTGAAACATCATTCTGAATGAGCTGAGAGATTATATGGATGTTGTGTCTCCATCGAGCAAGACTATCGATTGCTTGGTCAACGTCCGTACCGGCACGCTCGATGATGAAGCAACCATATCGCCCGAGAATATGATCCAGCTACGTGATGGCGTATTCATATTCAAATGACACCATAAAGGAGCAACTCGGAGCACTTACATCCTCGTGACTCCATACTCCGGGTTCACTCATAGTACTGATGAGGTCGGAGCCAGCCAAAAGCATAACTTGAACGTTTCGATGTTCGCCGTCTTCTGTTTGGACGCCGCCCAGAACTGTGTTCAATTCATGATCGAAATGGTCAAGCACAACAGCAGTCCTCTGGTAAGATTGAAAGGCCTCCCAAGGATCAACCATAAGCCACGGCGTCGAGATATCATCAGCGGCAATAGTGCACATTTCGACACTGCATTTCAGATGAGAAACTTACCACTTTTCAATTGCGGTAATGAAATGACTCACCGATGGTTTGCACTGAGCAGGCCCGCTTTCTTGTACATATCACTGACAGGGCTCAAGTAGCCGCCGACGATCTCGTAGTTTGTGTTTTGTCGAACGTAGTCTTTCGCCATTTCAAACATTCGAAGGTGAAGATAAGTAACGGGACTGAATGAACCGCAGGCTACAAGCACCAACGGTATTTTGGAGGGATCGCGCAAGACTCGGTTGAGTCGATCATGAGGGAAGGAGTAGTTAGAAGGATTGGTGAATTTTTGCTGGGAGTCAGTTGTAGCCATTGGTGAACAAGAAGGGACTAGATAAGTTGCAGAGACGTGGGATTTATGCGACTGATGAGAATATCAAAGGCGGGAAAAAAGCGACGATATAAATTTGACCCACAGGAAACCGAGGGGGTCCCCCAGCGCCGTGGTTAAGTGGACGTGATAGAGCTGTGAGTAGCTGTGTGGATAAATACTTGTTCTGGCATAGTAGTCAGAGAAGTGATGATATAATCAACACCAAGCGCACGTGCGCAGTTTATGCTCGGGATGCCGGGTTCCTGACTCCGAACCTGATCATACGCAAAACCTTCCAAAACCATTGGCATATGCCTTCATCCAAGCGTCCCTCAAGTGAAGAACTATCTCCTCCTCCTCTTAAACGCAGAAGATCGACATCTATCTGCAGCTTTCAGGATTTATCCTCAGAAGTTCAAAAGTCGACATTAAATATTTATCTTTTGGATGCAAAATTAAAGCCGGACGCCGTCGAAGAAATCTCTGCCCTCGTTGATAAATTTCATAATGTTGACGGGAACTCATCCTCAAAGGAGGAATACACTGAACGAGAACTGCAGCTCTGCCCGAACGTAGAAGACGCCGATGTTATCATCACCGTTGTGCATATGCGCAAACGCCTCGAGCGACACGTAAATTGGAATATTGCTGTAGGTTGCAAGACGTATATGCACTACTAGTACCGCTCATCGAGTAACAGAGGCGCAAAGCTATCGTTACTCCACAATGGCTCAGAGATAGTGTCGAATCGGGGCAATTACTTCCTTGCGGAAGATATGCCGCCTTGGGAGATTTGTACGAAGAGACTGTTAAGAATTGTCCTGATGCCAGTGATGGAAGTCATTGTCAGGCGTTTCCGGAGGACGGAACAGCTCACCGAATTGAATCAGAACTGACCGAACGCAAATATCACTCAGAGAAAGATACTCAGATCCGCTATCATCACCGGTATGCATGTATGCGTCATTCTCCGCTGATCTGCCCGAATCAGGGCCTTGTCGAGAAACTCGCAATTCTGCGCCGACATAGAGAGATTGAGGGCTTCGATATGCAATCTTTGAGCTATGAACGTGTTATTTCTGTGCGTCCCGCTCATCTTTCGTCGGAATTCAAAACCTTGGTCTGATGAGCGGTATTCCATGCGAAAGGTACTCAAAGGTATGACACGCGCACACATTGCCATGACCAGACATTGACCGGGATCCTGTATGTCAGCTTTTCCCTACCATATCACGCTAGATAACATACACGAAGTATCGGAGCTTCCCCATATCGGCAGCAAAATCTGTTCCAAGGTAAATCCACGATGTCAAACTCGACCCGGACCCCGCACCCATAATGACTTACCCCGTCCTTCTCCGATTTTAGATTCAAGAATTTATTCAACACGGAGACATTTCCGAGTGCAGTCCGTGTCCTATTTTCACAATTCCGACCATGTCCGAATACAGCTTTATTTCACAGAAAGCATACTCAGCGGAACCCGGTACCACTCATTGGTTGAGTTCACTACAGTATATGGTATCGGACCTGCCACAGCCCGTAACCTATACTCCCTCGGACTTCGGACAATCAAGGACCTCGAGAATCATTACAAAGTATCTCCTCAAACAAGAGATGATATCGCTAAGAGCCTGAATGTCAACTTCACGAAAAGGCTTCCTCAACTTTCTATCAAAGTAGGGTTAGCTTTAAGAGAAGACTTACGTTCGCGAATCCCTCGAAGCGAGGTGGAAGAAATTCACGGTGTTGTAATGAATGAGCTCGCGAATATACGAAGCGGGTGTGTTAGTACGATCACTGGAGGGTCAGCGATTTGAATTAGGTTATGCTTCAGACAGACGTACTGATGAAGTATGCTTAGTTATCGACGAGGAAAAGATGAGAGCAACGATGTCGACATTGTAATCAGTCACAAGGATCTCAAATCCGGAGGGGACCAAGTCAAAGGGTTGTGTGCTCATCTTGTCAAACGGTTGCACGATAAAGGTTTGTATTCCATCCGTCTTACAAGCTCATTAGTTCGAACGCCAAGCCTGAATCATCCTAATAGGCTTGGTGACACATGTAATGCGTAAGGCATTCAGGCAATTCCGCTTTGAATCGCCCAAGATTTTCATAAGTTTTCTGTAGATTTGTCGGGCTTCCGGGAGCCCAATGCTCTCCGTACCACTCATGGGGACTCTCTCGAAAAGGCTCTGACTGTATTCATCCTTCCCGATGACAAGAAACAGAAACACGTACATCGGCGGCTGGATCTGATTTTCGCTGCTCCAGAAGTCTACTGGACAGCGGTCGTTGGATGGTAAGGCTCGCCTTTTAAGCTTGAAATTTTCTGCTAGACTCGATAATGATTGTATCATTTGCAGGACTGGTTCTAAGATGTTTGAGAGGGACCTCCGACTCTGGGCCAAACAGGAGAGGTAAGCTATCTGTCCAATGTCCACTCGAGTTCGAATTCGTTGATTCGAAAAATTGGTGACCAGAGGCATGAGATTCGACAGTTCTGGAATGTAAGTACTTTCATTCTCGAGGGCATTTATTTCACATATTGACATTTTTCTCTAGTTCTCGTCGACATGACTCTAAGCTTTACTTTCCGAATAGTGAGCAAGAGGTGTTTGAGCTGCTCGGTTTGGAATGGATCCATCCTACTTTGAGAAATGCAGATCTCTAGAAACGATGAATGCGTCTGCACTTCGTCAATTGTTCATATTGTGTATGTAGATACAGTAATTGTTGGAATGAACGTTGTACTTGTACATGTTTGTAAGGTTAATGACAATAGTTGCGTTGAAGACAGAGTCTTAGTTTGCGAATGCTTGAATACCTGTAATAGCTTTGCCCAATATGAGGGCATGAACGTCCTGAAGCACGAGTAAGTATTTTTGGTAAATTCAGTGGTTCGAAAGACTGACATTGGTTCCTGCAACCAGAGAAGGACGTAAACTTTTGTAAGAAGTGTCACAAAAGTACTACATACCTTCATATGTATTCGTGATTTGCAAGTTCGACGCATGCCTTGCGATATGATACCTATCAAGCCCAAATCAGCTTATTGTGAAACCAAACGCTTTGTCAAGCGTGTAATACGTACTCGTCCGATGCGGCATTTCCTCCAAGGATGTCCAGCACACTCCTCGCGTGGTGCAACGCCTTCCCACAGTTATTTTTCTTTACGAGACTGACCATTTCCGGGGCCAACAACCCCTGATCTTTAAGACGGCCCACTTGTAGGCTGGCTAGTAGTCCGATCGCAACTTCACTCTGAGCCTCGGCGAGTTTCTTCTGGATAAGCTGGAAAGAGGCGATGGGTCGTTGGAATTGGTGTCGTTCTAGAGCGTAGGAGCGAGCGCGGGCCACACAATCCTCAAGTGCCCCCATTACTCCCCAAGAAATGCCGTATCTAAGTGTTGATGAATATGACTTCAACTGCCACTCATATTGTTGTAATGCGAAACTCACCGTGCAGAGTTGAGACAAGAAAATGCCGAACCCAAACCTTTGGTACCGGGAAGAAGGGAATCTTGTGGGACACGAACGTTATCCATGAATATGGAACCGGTCAAGGATACGCGCAAAGACACCTTGTTCTTGATTGGAGGTGCCGAAAGACCTTGTGTTCCCTGTTCAGGAGGACAGATCGACGAGCAAATACAACTTATGAAGTTGAAACTGACCTTTTCTAGAAGTAACCCACGGATTTTTTTGTCCCATTTACAGCGAGCCCAGATTACATGAACGTCCCTGCAAACTGTTTGTTGGAAACCGACAATACAAAAAGAGTGTTTGTGACTTGCGCGACAGGAGCATTTGAAATCCACGTTTTGCTGCCGTTGATAATGAAACCCCCATCGATATCCTCTGCAGTCGTCTCCATACCAGCTGGGTCAGAACCATGGTTGGGTTCCGTCAATCCCTACGTATTCCTCCGTTGCAACATCAATTTTGAGGTGGACAAAAGCTACTCACGAATGCCCCTATTATCTCTCCACGAGCTACAACTGGGTTGAAAACGCATGGTTTAGGCAAAAGGGCCAAGCTTACCTAGCCGAGGTAGATACTTCTCCTTCTGCGCTTCCGATCCAAATTCATATATGGGATGCATGACAAGAGAAGACTGAACCGATGCTGTCGAGCGATAGCCTGAGTCCACCCTAATACAAGGTCAGCGAAAGCAAGTACAAGGTGCAATTTAGGGTAGAGATGAGTAATGCACCTTTCGATTTCGCGCGCAATGAGTCCGTACGCGACATTACTTACACCCGCGCAACCATATCCTTGAATTGTAGGACCTAAAAGGCCAATAGCTCCCATCTCGGGAATTACAGCAGGATCAAATTCTAGATAAGTGTAAGCTGATTGGTGAACAGGCGAGATGAGAAACGTGGAGGAACCTTCTGTACGCCAACCATGTAGAACGCGGGGCATAAGTTTCTCCTGAAAGGAGGCCATAAGATGGTTGAGAGAATATATAGGAAGGATAACGGACTTGACAATAGGCATTTGCTGAATCTCTGGAACAAGACTATTGGCTGAGAACACGCTCTAATTACGCTAGAAACTATGAACCTGATTGCCTTTTCCTCCTCGGTGAGTAGTGAGTCCATATTAAGCGGGTCCTACGCAGCAGATGAGATGGGAGTATTATTGATAGGCATTCTAGAGGTACCTCCCAGTCGAATTTGGCAAATTCTGAAAGGTGTCTGTTGAGCATTCGAGAACAACATAAGAGAAGAATACCATACTAGATCCGGATGCTGTGGAAGCACAACGAACGAGAGACGGAACAGCCCGTTCAGCATTCCTTGAAGCAATGCTCTTGCAGAGCGTTCTTCGCGATATACCGAACATTGTGATTAGAGAGATGGTGGTAGGTATTGACTCTGAGAGAAACCTGGAACCTTTGGGAGATCCGAAAGTCTAGACGCCCGCGCTTAGCGCCAACACAGCCACACACTACTCCGGACCATCCTGATGTAAGCGTTTGTTCTGACGATAGCAAGACCAGCAAGACCAACATCAAGACCCTCTATTCGGTTTTCGGCCTCAAAAATGACCTCCACCAGGTGAGCTTACGACCTTGGATGCTCTCAAGACTACGTTTCGAAGATTTTGGATGGACTGGATGGGTGGAATGGGTTGGATTGGCTGAACGAAGTTTGGATGACTCGGAACTGGGCGGATACTTGGAAGGATTTCGATCTCTGACTTGTCATTTCTACTTAGACTGTACTCGAAAGGCCGCGTCTTGGGACACAAGCGTGCTAAGCGCAACTCCCGCCCCAACACCTCTTTGATTCAGATCGAGGGTGTAGCAACCAAGGAGGAGGCACAGTTTTATCTTGGAAAGGTGCGTATCATCTTTACACAGTGATGTGATAAGGTCTTATCATTCCAACCTATTTTAGCGTATCGCATACGTCTACAAAGCCAAGCGGGAAATCCAAGGCTCGAAGGTGCGAGTAATCTGGGGGTATGTTTTTTGACTATATATTCTCTCTTTTTCTTAATCTTTCACCCTCCCCTTAGGCGTGTTACCCGTCCACACGGCAGCTCTGGTGTCGTCAAATCAAAATTCCGATCCAACCTTCCTCCCCGTGCGTTTGGTGCTAGTGTCCGGGTGGTGCGTAACCCGTATTTTTGTAGTTCAAATCTCAAACTCATGTTCTGTGCTCTTCAGATGCTCTATCCTTCGAACATCTGATTATATTTTGTACAACCCATGGCCAATTATCGTACCCTATACACTTACATGCAATATGACATGACCGCATGCGCACACGTAAAACGTAGCGATTCGCCTTAAGTGAGAGCACTGAGGGGTCACTTAGCAGCTCTCCTACAGACTATTAAAGCTCCATCTCAGTAGTACAGGAATGCACATTGGACTGCTTGTGCATCAATCGAGAATCGTGCCTCCCCGAAAAAATTTAAACCAAAGTCCAGTGAGTGGTAACGTTTTATCGTCAAATGAGATTACGAGCAGTATGAATGAATCAAATTTATCAAAACCAGTTGCCCATGAAGCCTCGTAGTTTACCAGTAGCATTATTCTTCGATGTATCTACAGCTTTACCGTCTACTTCCACTGACACCGGGTGTTCTCCTGATTGTGCTGAAGGGGTCGCATTCTTCTGCGGTCGCCGTGATTTTTGTGGCGGCGGACCCGGTGTTAGATTCCTGTTTGTTTGAGACTGGGAATGCACCTGGGTTTTAGCTTTTTTCGGGTTGTGGATTTTCTTGAGGATCGAGTTGGCCATCCTTAATTGGGCGATGGCCTCGGGTGAATTGGCCAACTGTGAAGGAGCTGGAGTGGGTTTGGGAGTTGGAGTAGGATTGGAAACAGTAGAAATAGGCAAAGGTGAAGGGTCAGAAGCGGGAGTGACTAGTGGGTCGACAACCGGTTCAGCAGATGGTATAGGAGTAACCTCCTCGAAAGCATCACTGGCAGTAGATATTGGGAGGTCTGAGGCAACCGCATGCGTAGAATCTGCTTGTACCTCCACCTTCTCAGATGGTGTCGATGGAAGACCCACTGTAGCGGGATTGGAAGTTGGTACGGGAGGGAGCTCCAATGGGTTACGCATACGAAGGAAACCAGCGTAGTTACTGACTGCATGTCGCATCAAAGGATGATCGACTGCATCTCCCTGCTCGAGTATTGGCGTACCCTGTGGTAAAGGTTTGATATCAGTGAATCCTGCCCAACCTACGAATGCACGCATAGCCGCTCTTGAGAGGTAGTGTTCACGCTTTTTGGCCGGAGCGCTACGGATATCATCTAGTGGATATCGAGTTAGTAAATGCATACGAATCGCGTTAGAAATAACTTGCAAGCATCTCGAATTTGAATATACAAGAATTCACGGTACGCATCCTTGCTGTGGTCGTATTTTATCGCAGGATCCGGTTCCGAAAGATCTGGCTCGAGCTCAGGTTGGTGAGGTTTAACACTCAAGATTGACTCCAGACTAGCCAAGCTTATGCCTCCTTCTATAGGAACTGGTCTAGGTATTTCGGGCACGGGAATGCGATGTGAACCAACAACTGCTTTTGCTCGCGCGGCAGATTCCTGGTCTCTAAATCGAATAAAAAGTGTTGTCGCTTTGCGGTCGGTAGTCTAATGGAAGGGCGAAGTTCAATCAGCTACAAAGACATTAGAATATACCGAGCCAGCACTCACCACAGAAGGGCAATTGAATTCGTCAATTGGCCCGTACAGTTGCTCTATGTATTGAACTGCAGCAAGTAGATCTGCAGAGTCTCGAGGGGCATGCCAGAAATGTACTCTGACAGAATTTGGACTACCGTCGTAGCCTACACGCGCCTCCGCTGCATCTCTGGGTTTTCGCGGTGCTAATCGAGGAGGTAAAGGGACAAAGGGTTGTTTGGTGGCAAGCGAGGAGTTTAGTCTGTGCCAAGTTAATGAGCCATGACTTCTTTGGGCAATAACCCGAGAGACTGCCTGAACGCGTTGCATTCACAGTACAGCTACCAGTTACTTGTGACTGGGTCAAATACGGTCAAATTTTATCGGAGACCAATTTGGCAAGCCGGCATTTTTTCCGGGCCGGGACATCCAACTCCGACTGCGTCATGCCCAGTCATGCCTAAACTTCATCTCAAACGAACACCAGAGGAAGAAGCTGCTCGACGAGTACGGAAACTAGAGAAAAGAGAGGCTAAACGTCGTAGGAAACATGATCATTACGGCTATGGTTCATCCAGCAGCAAAAGGCAACAGCGAACTGCCGTTGTAGAGGAAGATAATTCCTGTGATGAAGAAGACGGCAAGGAATTCATTGGTCCAGTACCGGGACCGTCAAATTACCAACCAGACTACGAGACAATTCGCGCAGAGATAGAAGAACAACGGTTCCGAGAAAAGATGGCCATGGCTTTCGATGATGATGAACGCTTGGACTCTATCGAAGCTCGCTTCAACTCCTTCGCACACGTTCCTATGCATTGGGGCGGAAAAAACAGTTCGAAACCTCGTATCAACTATGATAACGACGAATTCCTTGCCGTGGATCCAATGACAATGGATGACGAAGAATACGCCGAGTGGGTTAGGATGGGAATGTACCGGTAAGTATTTCAAGAAATTCTCATCGTTAATCCGGCACTAATAATACGCGGCGCTAAGGAAAACACACGCTCAAGAAATCGCGGAGAAAGAACGTATAAAGGCTGAAAGAGCAGCTAAACGTGCACAGGAAAAGGCCATACGCGCAGAAACGGAGCGCCTTCAGAAAGTTGCTGCCGCTGAACGTTGGTCTCACAAGCTAAAGAAAGAGAACAAGAGACTCGAACTACTGCGTTTGGAATATCAAAAGCGATGGAAGCTCTTACTATCCAACACACAGCCTGCGGATATTGCTGATATCGGCTTCAATGACATACCATGGCCAATTTTACTCGCATACAAGCACAAGTCAGATAAGAAATCAGTTTCTGATACTGTGTCATCACTATCACTCGATGACTTCACTCCCGATGCGATATCGACATTCTTGTTCACTTCTCCACCTTCGGCAAATACCTCCATCGATACCGATACCGATATTGGGAAGACTAGCTCATCTAGCTCATCAGCCTCTGCGCAGAGACTGTCAGAAGCGGAAACGGAAAACCCAAAGAAGGGTCGTAAGGAGAAGCTCCGCGAGACTCTTTTGCGGTTCCACCCTGATAAGTTTGAAGGTCGCCTCATGTCCCGGGTGAGGCCTGAGGAGAAGGAGAAGGTCACGCAGGCTCTTGGGATCGTTGTTCGTGTATTAAATGACCTGATGGGAGAAGGGTAAATCATCCTAAATTAAACAAAGAATAGACGTTTTGGGGATCCGTTGAAAGGTTGTCGAGGGTACTCCTTTCATTACACGAAAATGTACGACGTCACATCCATGAGAATGAGATTCACAACAACCTTTGTCATGGTGAATCATTTCCTAGGTAGGCGTACATCTCTCTTTTATCGTGATGTTAACACTACTTCAGTGCTATACACTTGCCATTCCTGGCTGGCATCTTCGTAGCGTAACGGAGGCACCACAGAGTTGAATGAATTCGTTCCCGAGTAACTCTCACACTAACCATATCTTAGTTCGAATTCGAGTCTTCTGCCTTGCCTAGCTGAAGACTGTCTGGCATCGAAAGAAATATATGTGGTACTCACACTATAATAGAAGTGTCGCAGCTCTCAGCGTACTTTATTGTATCTTGCAAATTCCTATCTTTCAGATCCGACGTCGGGCTATCCGAGGCTTTGTATTTGTGAAGGAGTATTATCAAAAACATATCGTCCGTTACTGTACAATAGCAATGTAATAGATAGGTACAGTACGTCTTCCAAGCAGCTAGATCGACCCAAGCCAAACGAAGTGCCAAAGAGAGGGTTGCAGATTTTCGATGAGCAGGTAAAGGGAGTAGTAATGAATGAGAACGGCATATACAGATGACTTAAATTTCATGGAACCACAGATGAGGCAAAAAAATGCAAAATATCACAACAAAATAATATAGCTTTATGAATAAAACATCCAATAGATCAACCTCTATATGTGCCACGTCCAGCCATATTCTGGTCCTGAGGCGGATACAGTTGTGATGGTGAATCATGATGTGGTGAGGGCCGTGGGGAATACTGCGCTTGGGGAGACGCTGTGTACTGACGATTAGGTTGCGGTGGATATTGTGATACAGGTGTATTACTGCGCGTATCCATGTACGGACTGTTGCTGCGCTGTGGGTAGTCACCGAAATAATCTTGTGGCCGATGTAACGGTGCTTCGCGAGACAGACCGTCACTGGAAGCGTCACGGTACATCGCGGGTGGCATGGAGAGAGAATTTTGAGAGGGATACATTCCTTCATATATTTTGCCACTGAGAAGTGGTTCCTGCTGAGAGTCCAAACGAGACAGCTCGTACGCTCCAGGGCCCGATGCGAGATATTTGTCATAGCCTGGCAGGCTTGCACCACCTTGCATTTGTGAAGGCGCAATGGACGCCGCGTCATTCATCAACGTAGTGGATGCTATAGAACGAGCATCCCAATCCAACTCACCACGGTCGCGACGGTATAAAGCAGGATCGTATTCAAGATCGCGTTGTTCGATAGCTGCAATCTTGATACCGCCTTCCACAACCTGAGCTTCCATTTTCTGCCCGCCATACTCATCGAGCTTGGCTTGGTCTTTGCCAATTCTACCACGATACACTTGACTCAACAGTGGCATCATCTTCGCGTGAAGCATAGGGGTGAAGAGTTCCGTGTGCAATGCGGGATGTCCGAATCTTCTCTCAAGACGGTTTCCTTTGTGGTCTGCACGCTCCGAATGTACCTTGGCTGCCCTGAGCTCTTCATCCGTAGGAGTGTAGTATTGGAATTGATCATTGAAAGTGCGGTTCAGATATATTTTGAAGATGGCGACAATGAAGATTGGAGGTATGGTAGAGACCCAGTAAAACGTTCTGAACCCAAGTTGGAGACCAATAGCTGATTTGCGCGATGAGCGATACTCCCAGGTTAAGATTATACCGTCACTCACTCAAAACTAACAGCGCTTGCATGAAGACGACAAGGAACATGAGTCGGTTGATCACGAGGTTCCACAAACGCTGTGATCTTATCAAAATTGGTACTTCGACAGATATAAAAATTGGTACTTACGCCGCCTGTCTCAACCTTTGTAGTGTAAACGAACATTAACTGATACTTGTTCACCCATGAACTCATCCAGAAGACGATACAAGCTGCCAAGGCAACCAAAGGAGCCAGAGGAGCAAATACCAGTCCAACAGAGGCCATGAACAACTATAATTCAATATTGAGAACTTGACATTCGGCGATAGAGTTTCAACTTACCGTGTTAGAACTAGAAGTAAAAGACAAACTCAGAACAGCATAAAAAGAGTCACAAAAGGAACGCACTAGTGTATAGCATACTGAAATTCCGGGGGTTGTGTCCATTCACGAATGTCACGAGGTGTACGACCGAAGAGACTGTGACAGGATAAGGATGAACGACAACGATGACTGTTGGGAAAATGAAAACTCACCGGGTCTTGATGGAGATCCATACTAGGTTCAAGATTTGGGCAAGATCAAAAACAATGAGGAACCCGCGCAGACTAGGAAAGCAAACTATCAATGCTTTGATGCAGCACAGTGAAGTTTTGGGGACATACGGGAAGAAAGTCAGCCAGTAGGACGATTGATTGATGTATGTCGCATTGATGACGGAAGGTAAAGCTGTAAAAGAGGCATGAAGGTTCAGTTGAAAGAATTAGACGGGTTGGAAGGGGAAATATTACTATTGAGATTGTTGATGATGTCTTTGAAACTGTCCTCCCCAATTTCAGAAACAATCTCCTCCGCAGCATCTAAGCCAAAGGTTAAGCCATGTTGGTACTAGTACAGAATAGCGACACATACTGAAAATAACACCAATCAAGGTGAAAATGACCAATTGACTGATGACCAAGAACGCAAAATAGTGGGCGATGACTTGCCGATCAAGTTTGGAATGAGTCAAGGCGCCCATAAACTGCGAATATAAATAATGCTAAGTAGAAGAAACCAAACAAGTTGGAATACATATCATACCTGACTTAACCACCTCATTATGACGGGCAAAAAGAATCCAAAGATACCAGAGACTGTAGGAGGTAGAACACCGGAAACAAGAGCGAATGTCGCTGGTGATGCACTAGCCCACGAGCGAAGGAACGGCACGAAACTCTTGATCTGAAGGGGTCGTTAAGTAATTCAAATGATGACACAACTTCGGCATAGCTCACAGCGTTCAAATTGGCCAGAATGGAGATAATAAATAGAGGTACGGTATTGAAGAAACAGACGAGCGCAAGCCATAGGAAACCGATCATGCGCTTCGCACGAATTTCTGCGGGAGACTTGTTCATATTTTCCCAGACCTGGTTTGTGAAAGTTGGTTAGTGGTGGTTTGTTTATTAGTGAGAGCAAGACGAACGATGTCTTTGGGATTAGGAGCAAGAGCTATATCGGTACCCTTGGGATGTTTCGTCCTCAATTGCCGGGCAACAATATGAGCATAGGGAACCGCGGCCATACTCGCAAAGCCAAAATTCTCAGCTTTACGGGTATCTATTTGATTCCGGTACTCCTCAATAGCAGCCTCCGTTCGTTTGAGCTTTTCCCTAATGAAGAGTTATTACAAATGAGGTATCTCATAAAATCCCAACTCACGTATAGAAGTCGATGGCATCCTTTCGCTGTCCACCGCAACCGCATGATCCACCTATCCGAATTGTGGGCCGCTTTTTCCCTATAGTACCGTTCTTTAAATACTTGACAAGATAAGTTTCCAACTCCCTAACAGTCGTGTTGTGATATTCTATGAGTTCTGGTAGCCGTCCGACCTTTCTCCCAATATGCACACTAGTTGTTGGATAAGGAACCTTGTATGTCTCGAAAATGGCCCTGATACCCTCGTCCGATTGGTACTTTTTCGGTACTTGTGTTACTTGCAAAGTTCTAGCATAAAACGATTGGACGTATTCCGGTGAGCGGTACCATTGTCGTCTCAGTTCGACCATCTTCTTCCAGTGTATGTATACGAGACCGATAATCAGGAAAGTGATGAGATATGACACGGCCACATGAACGAAGAGGATTTTTCCGCTGACATCTCTAATGGTGAGGATACTGAGGATATCACGGTTGCCGCTAGTAACTTCCTTGACGTTGTAAATGGCATTTACAGGAATAAGGATGCCGCATGTGAGGAGAGTGACGCCAGTGAAGAGCCACCGCATCAAGCGACCGAAACGTAGAAATGTAACGGCATCAAGGCCGAGTTTGTCTACGAGTTCGGGTTCCTTCGTCCGGAATAAAGGAGGTAGCCAACCAAGAAGAGAATCTGATATGCGTGGTGGTGGTTTGTCGCCAACGTGATACTTCACTTTGGGCTCATAGATTATCTGTCGAATTGATATTGATACTAGATTTCGACATGGATAAACTAGCAACGCACTTTGTTCTTGGGTCTTAGAAGGTTGAATGATATGATTGTAACGACCTGCTAAGCTGTTAAAAGGAGCGTATAGAGAGACAATAAGCAGACGCACCGAAATAATACTCATCAGAGCAACCTGAGAACCAACAGCAGCAGGCGCCAGCGCCCGCGACTCTGAGTCGATTAGGTTGTTCAAAGTATTATTGTTTACGGACATGGTAGGTGAAAAGATTTGAGAAGATTATTTGAAGTGTCGTCAGATGTGGAGTTGCAAGCAGATGGCTGAAATAATGGGCTGCGGCAAACAATGTGCCTCTGGAGAATCGTAAATCGAGAAAGAGTGTGTGAAAGGGGTCGAGGGTGAGATTAGCAAGACAGAAAGAAATTTCGACAATGGTCGTCGAGGTCAAGGCTGATTCGGGAAATACCCTTTCAGAGAACAAACCGGATGATGTTACGGCAACAATAAACTTTCACCCTCGAAATATTGAATATTATTCTTTCCCGGAAGTGTTCAAACCCCGGGGCTCATTCAAAGCTTTCTCCAAATATTCCATGATATCGTACAGTAAACATAGCTTTTTTGGACTGGAAACAGTGCATGGAGCGTAGATTATTTCCCAACATAGCCTATTGGCGCCGCTAGCTCCCCGCTTTTCTGCACTCCCAGCCGTCAACGTTTAAATAGTCCTACAAATCCGCTTCTCAACGGTTCTATCAACCTTCGAGAAAAACCTGGTGCGAGATATAACGATAACCCTATCCGCAGTGGAAGCATAGCCTGGAGACATTGCTTTATTGAACAAATTGTTTTAATAATTTGTGGTGAACTAGCGCTGACCTTTGTCGCGCCGTATGCGACTACCGCATTGGCAACATCTCCAGCTATGCGGCCGGGGATATTTTTCGTGGTCTCCTCGGACACTGTTCGCGCAGTACTCGATTGATTTCTATTCTCAAAACCGAACAAACCATAACGCCTTCCAACCCTTTCTGCCCATCCTTCACCTTCATGTACCCATTGACGGCATTTTTGTCGAGCCCAGCCAGTATACGAGCTAGATTCAGGCGCGATAGGCTCTTCACCTTCTGCAATCACCACCGCGACAATGCGCTCCCCAATCCCGAATGCCCGAGCACCATAAAACACTCCCACGAGTGGTACAATTGCAGTAAGTTCGTGTAATACTCCAAATGATAGTACTAGCGAGGACAATGGTGTGCCAGTTCTAGCGGAGAGGGCCTTCAGGGCATTTCTGTAGGGCGCGAAGGAGCCTGAGCTACTCCCTAGTCCGTGGTTGCTCATGAGAAAAGATAGAGACACGGCTTAAACATTTTTTGTTTCTTCACGTGCCTGAACGCGCTCAACTTCATACTGTAACATTTACTATAAACTTAATCACTACATGATACCTGCACAAAGAGCACACCAGTCATCCCATGGCCGCAGTATCCCATATCAAATCTGGCAGCGGTACACCGAGTCCTTTCGCCAGGCTTAATATCGTCTCGTATGAAGAAGGTGCCCCGGAACCACATTTCAGCATGGTAGACAATCCATCGAGCTTATCAGAAGAGGTAGTCTTCACAAGTAGACGCAGAGACGTCAATTGTGCAATCTGAATGCACAATGAGAAGAATCCTCCTGACCAAGGAAACAACGACACTCACCGAAGCATAAACACCCACTCTTGTCACTTCATAATCCGTTCGTTCTCCCGGTATTCTGAAATCTAATCCATCCGCGGGAACGTTCTGCGAGCTGATCACCTCAGACGCAACAGGATCGTTCTCCTCCACAAGCGCACCAAGAATAGCAATCAACCTTTCAAGTGGAAATGGTGATGGCCCCGAAAATCGTTGTGGAATCTTTGCAGGTCCACTTTTCGGTTTCGCGTTCGCCATTTGTCTTTTGGTTGCCCTCCTACGACGTTTCTTTTCGTCGGTACCACGTCCAAACAACCGCAAGTCGGTTTTTTGGGGATTCATAGATGCGATATATGCTGCGACAAGGATGAATTGGGATAAACGAGGAAGGGAAACGGAGAGAGGGAGCGTGTCTTTGATATCAGAGGATGAGAGATCTTGAGCAACTTTCTGTTCTTGGATCCGTTTGCTAGTACGAGGACGGCTAGGAGATGATAACAACATTTCGTTCACCGTATCTTCTTCTTCCTCCACATCGTCCAATACGGTATCACTCAAGATTAAGCCGTCTTTAGCTAGCGATGAAGCATCAGATTCATTCGTGCGTGCCCAGTCCGCAGCATTCGTCAACCGAGGATACAACTGTTCCAATGCGAGGGAAAGTGACGGTTTGAAGTGACGGGTGAGTCGAAGTAGGAGTTCTGTAGAAGGACGTTCAAATTCAATGTCATCATCCTCAGCTGCTGCTTCCACATTCATACTATGTGCATCGAGAACTGGCTTGATAAACCCCGGCCAGCGAGCTGCGGCGATGTATTGAATTTCGTGAGGGTCATTTGTGTAGAGGTAGCAAACATCCACGAGTATGTAAATGAAATGTTTATAAGTCTGCAGAAGAACTGGATCATAAGGATGTGGTGTGGTCGAAGTCGATCCAAGATTAAAATCCCTGGAACATCTTTCGAACGTTTTCATTAAGTGTTCGATGATAACTGGAATCGGTTCAGCAAATTACACAGAAGGTTTACAGACACAAAGACGCGCCTTCTTTCGTAGGAACTGGAATGTCAACATAATAAGGATCGATCGCTGATCCAAACGGAGGACGAATATCTTGCCATCGAGCCTCCGAGACCATGACCACGCTGAGCTCAAGGTTGGACTGAACACGCAAGTCAACAAAAAAGATGTCCCAGAGGGGCCACTAATGCTCACTAGTTCTGCCAAACGCGTAAATGGAGCCAGAATATCTGGCATCCTTTCTTTCAACCGTTCCGGCTTCTCAATCACCAAAGCCACGCGTGGGCCCTTGTTCGAGCTCCCAGTACACAGAGACGCGTATAGAGCCTTCAAGGCACGGAGAAACGAGTCCATACTGTCATTAGCCGTCTCTTGGCTCCAGTTCCTACATCCCTCGTCCCAAGAGGGTCTATGCTGCGAGAGGCCATTCAAGATGGTATCATAGAGAAGACGGGGAGTGAAACATGAAATGCCATCGATATGGACTAGTCTAATTTTGTCTTCCAAGGCTGAAACCAAAGATTGAATTGTGTACTTGGGTGAGATGGGGTCGTTGATGAAGATGAAAGGCGGAGGGAACAGTTCTAGTAGAGAGACGACTTCATTGAGTGAGTTCATCAAGGATGGCAAATCGCGGCGCGATCACGCGATTTATATAATTCATGGTTGTGGATGCGAATTTCAAGAAAGAACATGGCACGTTGAACGGGAATCATTATAAACAGATGATACAAGTGATTTCATTACAAAACAATTGCTAATTATTCTTCAACTTCTGATTCCGAATACTCTTCCTCCTCATCCTCTCCTTGTTTCTCTTCATCCTCTTCTTCTACACCCTCCTGATATTCTTCGTCATCCGCCCTGGGGCCGTACATGTTTTTCCAGTATCCCCAGCCTTTCCCTTCTGAGCGATACGCAATGGCATTGATCGGAATCGGTTCTCTGGCCACTGAGCTCGCACCTGCCAAATTTTCTGGCACACCCACCGACGCCTGTTGCAGCTTCTGGGTTATTGTATTTTCCTGGATCCAATCCCTCCATTCCCTTGCCTGCAAGCTTGTACTGCCCAGTTTTGTCGTCCCATCCACTAATGTTCGATCCTGCTTTTGATGCCGCAAAACATCCTCTTCGATGATATACCGTGTCCACCGCATTTCCGTCAGTTTTCCTTCGGTTTGCTGATGCACTGACTCGACGATATTTAGCATTTCCTTTGTCTCCTCGAGCTGATTCTTCACCCTGATTCGTGCATTGGGAAATTCTTTGAGTTTCCGCAAAACAACCCGAACTTGCTTCTGGCTTGGACGGACAGGGTTCTGGTCAGGTCCCATTTCATGATATTCAATCATATTCGTTGAAGGGGGAGGAGGGGCCATTGATCGCGAACGTTTGTTCTGACTTTCTACCTCCGCCACTGTATTATCTTGTTCTTCGGGAACCACCTGATTCTGGCAGGCCTGCCACTGTTGTACTTTCTCTGTTGCAGACTGAGGAACGTTGGTCCGTTTACGCTTGTTCGAAGGACACTTCGGGCCACTGTCATATAGGTTCGGGATGTTTGGACTCGGAATAACTTGCAAACGGTGAAGGGTCTCTAACAACTGCGGAAGTGCATCCATCATGCCGCCTGGCTCAAGAGAGCTTGTGAGACCTATCGAATAAACGGAAAGTTCGAAAATTGCGTGCAACGAGGGAATGAACAGACCCACTTTCAGAGTCATCCAAACGACTGATCCGAAGCAGCGACGTGAGAGAACCCTCTCTGTCAAGTTCTGCGAGACTGAAGTCGTGAGCAAACTTTTTCCTACGAAGCTATGGTGAGCATCTCCACATAGTTGCTTCAGAGGGCTTACATATTCACTTGCACTTTCCTACTCCCTGACAGTTGATAGTGAGGCGATAGAACTCAGATAAGAGGGGTGGCATTTTTTTCTGAAAAACCTCGCCTTTTGTTCTCAAAAGGTCCAAGCTTGTCAAATTGTCTTGTTCTTGGAATTTACATTCAGTATTGTCGAGTCCTGAGCTTCGAGGCTATCAGCGAGAGCACCCCGTTTTGAATAGGCAGCACTCCTATAGAGAGCGACGAAGGTCTACAACAACAGTGACCTTAGAAGGAATTTTTTTCATATGGGCGTGGGAACAAACCAGGAGGTTGGTGGTCCGTGTTGGACAGTGTGGGTCCTTGTTGTTCATGTTTTCTCTGTTGCCAACGTGTTGCTAACCTTCCTGACTATTTTCCGCAAGCTTTTCAGTTCTCAAACACTAATGCTGGAAGCTCTAACGGTGGAAAGCTACTATCTCTTTTAACTGTTGGAGCTTCCAGTTTTTTCGGGCAAAGTCAAAGCTGTGATATCAAGCGCATCAAGCTAAGCGAAAAATGAACAATAGTATATCGGCTTACCTTATCGAGGTATCACTATTGTTCTCTCAAATTAGCTCGGATTCGTGGGTATTGTTATCACTCGCTGAGTACACAATACAACACATCTGTTCGACTCTTTCTCTCGTATTCCATCATCGCTGCTACTGCACGTACCCCCCATCTCCTTCCTTCGGATCCCCGTAGAATCTATATTGATTGCAACCGACATGGCTATCGAAGCATACGATCTCATCCAAGAGGATGCTTTGATACAGCTCACCAGAGCTGAACTGCAGGCGTTGGGCAAGGTGAGGGTCGTGGAATACCCAAGCTCTCTCCATGTAATCAGCTATTCCTCGTCAGTATTTACTCATGTCCCCCTTGTACCCCAGGCACACAACGTCAAGGCTAATCTTAAATCTGCCACCATTATCTCTCAACTACTCAAAAAATTCCCCGACGGTGTACCCAACCCGAAGTGCGTGATAACTCAAACAACTTCGCATCTTCTCAATTAATCTCAGCCCTCATAGCACTAATTCGGCTCTTGCACCTCGTAAGAAAGGTAGGACAAAAAGGGGAGATGCTAAGAAGAAGAAAGCTCAAATCAAGAAGGAGGAAAGCGTCATTGCCTCTGTCATGTTCTCGAACGGAGACAGCGGGCTTGAACACAATGAGGGGCGAACTTCGGCATCACCTTCAGGCAACCCTCCTATAACAAATGATGAAGTCACAACCGAAACCGTCTCACGACCGACAAAAAGTCGTCCCGCACGAGCTACTTCGCGTAAACAAACCGCGTTCGAAGAGCCTTTTAGTGCGTATCCCCATCGCTGAGGCAAGGTTCTATGTTGATGGTTGTCCCTGATAACCATTAGGACCAACATTATCTGTACATTCCCCTACATCCTCCCCTGCCCACCCAGAAATCGTCGCACTCCCTGTTCCAACAGAAATCGCCACCACTCCTTTACCAAAAGAGCCGGCGACAGGGGAACCACCTCAAATCCCAACTCCACAAATTGAACTTGAGGCAGCTGGAGGCGAAGAATCCGAAATCGTTCCTGGTAAGACATATCATATTGGGTACGGCGATGCGTTAACTGACACTCGTTTGTTAGTTGAGCCCACTGGGGACGAAAACGAAGTAGACATGGACAATCTTTCCGAAGTCTCGGAGATCACTCACAACCCCAGTGAATCTTCTCGTGGTGCTTCCCCACAACCTCTAGCAAACGACGCTACCCTCAAATACGTGGTAGACATAATTAAGGCGAACACGGAGAAAGACAAGCAAATGCGGGATGAAATCAAAATACTCCAAGAAAGAGCAGCGAACGCTAAAAAGCTGCTTCAGGAACAGAACTACCTACTTACCGCCGAACGAGAGCATCGCGACCGCATCATAAGCTTTTTCTTATACCACATTCGTAACAACAACCGCTGGATTGGTCAATCGCTCAACCCAGGGGAGTTGGAAGCGAACGTTCTCAAGGAGTTCGTGTCGAATGGAGGTCGCGGATGGAGGGATATGGGAGAATGGGAGTACGGGGAAGTGTGGAGCGGACCCATGGTAGTTTCAGACAGCAATATCGAGATAACTGCCTCCAATTTGGATGAATATCTTCGCGACATGTGGGACATCCACCAACGCGAACGCAAGGAGGGAAAGATGAAGGCGAATCATTCCTCGATAAACAGGTTAGTACAACACGATATTGATGTTTCTTGTTCTTGTTTCTCACACTCGATGATGTATTCACAGTGCTCCGCCGCCCTCACCCCCTGCCGGTACTCCAGATGCTCCCGTGAATGACACTGCGCACTCCAGTGATGCCCCGGTCTCCTTGTCCAGAAAGCGCAAAATAACAACGATTCCTCTTGATGACGAAAACCGTCCTGCGGAGAAACGTCAAAGATTGAGTCCTATACCAGAAGGTCTTACGGCGGATCCTCTATCCTCGCCGCTGCCCATTCCCCGCCGGAATAAGGGAAAGGGGCGTATGAGTGCATTGGAAGTTGAACAGCTGCAGCGCGAGCAAGTACGGGAGGAACGCGTCTGGAGTATGAGAGAATTGGATGAGGATGACAGTGCTGAAGCGTACGAAATCCAAATCGCCCTTGCGGATTCGTTGCTCCAGTCAGCAGGGGAATTAGCCATGGACCACTGACCATGTTTTCGTATCAATATCGTGTTGAAACCCACTAATATCTTTTCGCTGTTGCATTGTTGTACATATTATATCGCTGTGCTGCCTACTACATATTTATCCTGTATCTTTATTTGCGTTTTCTGTATTTCATACATAATGCTGTGTTTTCTCAAGTTACTTGGTCTTGCAATTTGACAATTCACGAAACAATTCACTGTGCAATTTTTTGAGGAATCGGGAATCTGACATCAAGCTCCCGACGATATAACTTCCGAGTTTGAGGCTGTGCTCTGGAGCGCGCCGCGCAGCGTTAATGACGATCATAATGAATCAAATTTTCGACATTCTTACTAGAGCTCATTCTGTTTGATTCTTATTCCATGCTTTCCATTAGCCGTGTCGCCAGCCGACTACAGTGGCCTAACCTACGTTCAAGGACGTTCCAAACTTCTCTGCGATATTATTCCGAGTCGAGCCGGCCTTCGTCTGCTGTACAACCTGGAGAAAAACAGCCTACGCGACCAGCTCAGTCAACTCTTCACCCAACCCAGAATCATCCACTGGCAAGACATGAAGTCCAGGAACGTTCCGAAGCCATAAATATGCCATTCAATCCACCAGGCGGTGGTGGGGGTCCTGGACCTGGAGGCTCCGGTGGTTCTTTCCAGTTCACTGGCTCTCCGTTCTTTGACGCGACTTTGACGACGTTAGTTGGCTTGGGTGTCGGTAAGTGCTTGTTCTGGCCCAATATGAAAAACAGATTCTTATATTAGGCGTAGTATTTGTAGGAGGAGTCGCGTATCTGCGGTGGTACAAAAAGAACGTGTTGGACAAGGCACGTATATCATTCTTATGATAAAATTCGCGTTTACTGAGCTGTCGGCCCGCAGATTGAACTTGCGTTTGAACCCGGGTATGATCCAGCACTAGAGGTGGCGAGACATTATGATACTACACACAAGGATGCTGCGTTAGGGCTCGAAGATCCTGATTCAGTCCCATGGACTGAGCATCTACGAAGACGCGAGCAGGATCGAATTGACAGAATGGTCAAAGGAGAAGAAGTGGGCCACTATTACGTTTTACTCGGTCCAAAGGTATGTTTATTAGACTGGTTTTTCCATACACTAACTAGGACGTCTAGGGTTCTGGGAAAGGGACTATGATATATGATTCTATGAGTGCTATCAAAGCTGACGGTGTCGCCATGTGTGATGCACATCCCGACCTCGAGGTTTTCCGTCTACGTCTTGGGAAAGCGCTTAACTATGAGTATAATGAAGATTCGCAGACTGGCTTATTCCAGAGACGTGATCCTCGAGAAGGTGGTGCGGCCTTGGATATCGAACGAGGTACCCAACCTTCATTTTGTGTCATTAGCTCTGCTCAGATTCCTTTAGCACTAAATAAGCTGGAGAAGGTCGCGTTGAGATGTGCAAGGAGAAGACACAAACCTTTGGTCCTCATAATCAACAATGTTCATTACTTCAACAATGATGAAGCTGGACGAAACATGCTTCTGCAACTCCAACAACGCGCGGAAGCCTGGGCTGCAAGCGGTATGTTATTCGTCCCTTTTCTGAACCCGGGCTTTATGGAAGTGTCACAGGGATTATGACTATGATTTTCAGCACGTGAGTTGACTTGAGACCATCGTCAATTCCATGGATATTAACTTGACTATATTCCTAGGGATGATTTCTGGCCATTCCATGTAATGCGTAGGTTTACTTGCAACATCCACGTACTACACTGTTACTTATATTTCGCTTCTGTTTGCAGGCAAAGTTGCTAGTCGGATGCACGTAAGCACAACCTCAATTCATCTTTGAAGTGTATGGTCGGAAACTATTCTCCAATCTCAGGTTTTGTCGATTTCTGATCTTGATACCCGCGAAGCACTACACGCCTGTACACGTATGAGAGCGAACGTGAAGAATAAAATTGAACACCACGATCATGACCAGATCAAGGAAGCTGTTTCGATAGTTGGAGGTCGATTATCCTATCTTAATAAGGTCGGCGAATTCATGCTTCATTCTGGGAATGCTCAGTCACGATCACAATACTTATGTTATATAGGTCGCTAGTTCGAAAGACGTTTTAGAAATGTCCAATTCTTTACTAGAAATTGAAAAGGCGTGGCTTTTGAGTCAAATAGGTTGGTACCCTGTACCCAATTTTCCTATGTCGGCGGTAAATCTTCAAGTTTCTGCATAGGATTGATTCAAGACTGTGACGACGATGTTATGGATGAAGTAAGATTACTTTGCGAATGTAGTTTCACCGAGTAACTGATCTCAATGTATAGCAAAAATGGAGCAGCTGTTCATGGTATAGAGAGATGTGTAGTTTCGTCGCGGTGGGATGAGTGTTAACATTAGTTCGCTAGGTTACTGTTGCAAGAATTTGTCAAAATGCGGCGAGAACAAGAAAAAGAACGAGATGAAGGCTTACAATCCTTGGACCAATTACCGGATCTGCCCATGCCTTCTCTTCCTTATGTGTGTATGTTTTGTTCCCTTTGGCTACTCACAACCTCAACAGCTTTTCAGTACAAGTGCAGACAGATCATGACACGGGCCGACTTCCTGGAAGGTCTGACCTCATATCATGATCATTTCTTCAGACAGTCACTAATACTCCATTCAGAACTCGATAGAGTTAATATTATCTCCATAGATGTGAGCTTTACCATGGAACCGCCACCCAATCATTACTGATAAAAAACCAGATGAATCATAATGTACGCCCAGATTCTATGCTAATTTTGTTAGCTGCTCGACAAGTGGTCGAAACGGAAAACTTCGAGGAAGTCCTAAACAGTGTCCGGGATCGGATAGATGAAATTGAAAGCCTACATAGGACTAGAGAGTTGACGGTTAGCGGCCACACCTATTTGTTTTACAAAATCGACTCACGCTTTGGATTAATCCCAGTTTAAGGACGTCGATAAAGGTGATCGGATACGACTTGTAGTCGATAAAGGTGGTGCTGAGCTCCTGGAGAGCAAACGGTCGTAAGATTGTTCTTAACACAAACTCTTGTGTATAATATGTTCGAATTCGGACGACGAGATACAGTATACCTCAATCAATGTTCATTCTCCGTTGCGTACGAGATACGTCAACTTATTTTTCTCAACAATGAGACTCGATGGAGAGTGGAAAGTGAAGCCCAATCTTTGTTGGGTCTTCGAGCTGAAAACACAGCTCTTGAGATGTTATTCCACTCTTGGGGTAAAACACTACAACTATGTAGACGTAAAGACAGACAGAAGATCAAACATGACTAGATATATGGAGCTGAAGCATGAAGACAGGACATTGCTTGAATAGAATACGATATAGTTACAGTATGAGGGACCGATTTTTTGAGGTCGCGCGACAATTCAAAAAAGCCGTGTCCAAAACTCTAGGCGGTAATTTGCACAGATTTTACGTCTTCCTTTTTGACGTTGGCTGCAGCAACCTGTGCCTCTCGGACAGCCTGTTCAGCCTGACCCTTTTTTGCTTCGATCTCCCTCATTTGCTTCTCTAAATTATCTCTCGTTCCAGTTCCAGCCCCAGAATGATTGAAAGTAGCCGTTCTATGCGGGCTCGGTCTACCCATAGACCCAGGTTCCGGATTTTTTACCGTTACCATAGGGCCATTCTCAGACAATCCCTGATGGAAAGCCGTGGGCAGTACTCGACCTGGGGGATGTTGGAATTGACAATTAGCTCGGGTGCAAGCAGCACCGAATTTACACTGCACATTGCTCTGTCGCTGTGGATGCGCAAAAGAGCAATTTGGGCGCGCACATGCGGCCCCGAAACGACAAGGAATGGGATTAGAGGTTGCAAATGAGTGTGTCTGTGGTGGCGGCACAGGTGCAGCGTGGTCTAGTGATAAATATTGATCAGTGAAGACCTTTGAATGAATGAATAGCGATATCTAGCACATACCTTGGGGTTTGAGAGTAGCCGGACTGACATGCGCCTTGATGCAGTCCTTGTCCTTACAATGTTTCCCATTCTCGCAAGGGTCATTACTGAGAACCACCCCGCTCTCTGCGGTTGCAACCGGAGAAGGATGCGACCATCGGCAGTGGGCGTTCGTACATTTTAGGCCGAACTTGCACAGAGTAGGGGATTGGGGACGTTCAGGTACCGCATAGGCTGGACGTGAAGGTGCAGCGGATGGGGTAGCATCAGACATCGGCGCTTTGATAGTCGTTGACGGTGTGGGAGCCGCGATAGGGGTAGATATAGCAGGAGACTCGGTTGGGACTTCCTCAATTTTGCTCGTTACCGACGATATTGGTGGTCCTCCTCGACCTCGGCTTGCTCCACGACCTCCCCTACCTCCAGTGCCACGACCTCTGTTCGGCCCACTCGATTGGCCTTGGAATCCGTTTACTCCCATATTCTGCTGCGGCATTCCCATTTCTTGAGGCATGACACCCTGCATAGGGAATCCTCCAAACTGCCCAGGATTCATTATCCCGGAGAAGTGTGCCATGAGCGCCATTTGGTTCATCATGAGTTCTTGAATCATCATCGGGTTCGCCATACCAGCTGCCATCGCATTCATATCCATACCGTTCATTCCAGGAAAACCGCCTGCCATCATCATGTTCGGGTCACCGGTGTTCACGATTGTATCGATACGGGCCTGTATTTCGTCTTGTTGGCCACCAACTGCGGGTCCCCCCACTCGATCCAGGAGGCTTCTCGAGTTGTTACTAAGCTGGCCGTCTCTGTGCATTGCGCGAGGGCCTGTGGGAGGTTCTGTGCGACGCATTTTGTTTGGGTGATTTGGGGAAGGTGACCGAGCAGACGCAGGCCGCTTTTGAGATGAGGATGAGGATGGTAAAGCCTGTGATAAGGCTTGTTGATAAATGCCATTGCGTGGAGGATTAGAACCGCGACGGGAAGTATCATTCGCCGGATGAGAAATGGTTCGGGACGGGGCAGGTTCAGCTGGGCGCTCCGACAGTTCCACAGAAGGCTCTGGTAATGTGGTTTCGGTTTCTGTCGAGCCTCTGGCGGCTTCTTTGAACAACCAGTCCGTAAAACTGGGGTCTGAAAGACGGTTAAGTGTTAGCTTTCATACATTGAGAGTGAGCTTACCAAAATCAGAACCGAAAACTACAACAGGTGGTAAGAGGTCGCTCATATTCATTAGACATAAGAAACTCACAATCTTCGAGCTCAGAAGTGATTTGAGCTGACAGTGGTCTGAATAAGCAAGCAGTACGAGTGTCTTTTTTGTAGTGCGTACCTGCAGTCTTGTTGTTTATGATCATTATTGTGATGTACTCTGCCATAACGGGATCTGAAGAGGAGCTTTAAGCCGGTTTATCTTGGAAAAAAGATGGCGAAATGTACCAGCTTCGGGACTGTATCCGCGAGTCATTAGTTCATCTTGAATAGCTTGCTGAAGGGCATAATCAGCAAATGTTGTCAATAGAACCAATAGAGCACGCACCTGGAGTGCCAAAGCACGGTCAGTCCCAATTATTAATCCGAATGGCATTGCTGGCGAGAGAGTCAAGAGCTAACGTCGCTGAGGAAGACCAGAAGAAGTATTTTCAAACTCCGTCGAGCTGTTTGTATCACGTGGATCATTTGAGCGGCCGTTTCCTTCTGTGGGCTACTTGGCTACATACACAACCAATCCAAGCTCTACCCCGTATGTTGCAAATATGACTCCAAAATATGGTAGGCGTTTCTCAAGATCAGCATGAAGCGATTGAAATATAAGTCCTTATCGACAATGCTTTTTAACTATGGCGTTGCTTGCTTTCTTTCGCTATTCATGATTTTGGGACTGACAATGGACATGTAAAATTGCAAGGGCGTCGGAATTCCGCAAAAACACTCCTCCTATCCCACTGGATGGGCATCAATCTTTCAGGTATACCAATAAAGGTTATAGATGGTTATAACTTTCTTCTGACGATTCTCGTTCCCATTTTCTTACAGCCTTGGCTTACAATCCGAAGCCGCCGCCACAGCTTCGTACTGCGTTGGCTGTATTTCAACAGCATCATCACAGTTCCCCATGATATACTACAGTGGAAACACCAAATTCATACACTTTACTCAGGACTTCCAAGCAATATTTTGTAGATGGACGCCCAAATTCAAATACCATCAAGAAAAATCAACAAACGCTCTTGTTGCCCAATCTCGAAACGCTTGTTCATGAATAGCTGTCATATACACCAGGCTTTAACGCCTTATTTGGCAGAAACAATTCAACTCGACTCATTTGAAGCTGTGATATTCCGCTTACAGCAAGTCGCAACACCGGGCGAAGACACTAGGCAATAAGCGTTAAGATAAGACAGCAATCGCGATGGATGACCCCAGATGCCCCTCGCGAGAGCCTCAGCAAAATAGAGAGTGATAATTGAGATCATGCAACAATCTCGTACACAGCTGAAATCAAGGCAACTTGAACATATACATGAAATCTCCTGATTCATTTGTATAGAACGATTACCATCGTACTCACTGGTGACCAGGATAATCAATGCGCGCTTCCAATCATGATTGGAATTTTACAATTGGTACGTCAAACGCCCCGGTTCCTTGAGCTTGTAGATAGCCACTTGGAGCTGCTAACAGTACAAAAATGGTGACGAAGACACATCTCCCCACACTATCATGATATCAAATGAATACTTACAGTACATATTGCGGGAGGATACATAGTTGCTACAAGAAGGACATTTACCAAACGGAGTATGAGTTCCTCTGCGGCTGATGTTCTGCCAAACTTGAATATGCATACGTAGATGTGCATGTGTTTCTGCCTGTTTTTGCATGACGCTCAAGATTTCGGGATAGGGTTGCAGACGTGAGTTCTCAGTCTGGCATCGGCGATACCATTTCAATGCGCTAGTTGCTCGCTTGTGATACGAACTTACTACACCAAATCCATGCTGCTGTGGGCTCTGACAGGACCCCTGACAACCCACTAAGAGGCCTGATCCCAAAAACTCAAGTTTTACCCACATTTTTTGGGGGTCCAAAAGGTGGATTTTTACCCGGATTCTCCTCTGGCTTCATTCCAGACCCCATTCTTACCCGGTTTAGACCTCAGGGTATATCCAAAATTTGATTTTTCATCTTTTTTTGCTTATTTTTTGCCAGAAAGCTGCCAAATGTATTTTCTCTTTGTTTGTTTCTACTGCAGGTGGTTCTTTTTCCCTTGTTTTATCTATGCTGAAATTATGAACTCATCTAATGGATCATCATCCATATAGTTTCCCTTGAGCTCCAGATTCAACTACTACGATGTTCATGCAAAAACATGTATAAACAAGCTGTATAGTAATGTTTATGATACCTTACAATATGTTGTCAATATCGTGTAGTGGTGCCGAGTCAATTGCTTTGTGCTCAGTGAGCACTATGTTCGAGTCTCGTAGGGGCCATTTTACCCAACTGTAGATGAGGCCTTTTTGAAAGGAGCCTTTTTACCCAATTTTAGCCCTAGGGCTCAGCATGAAAAATTGTGATCTTTACCCTCTTTTGGCTCATGGATTCTAAAAATTTTCTCCTATTCTTACCCGCACTTTGTACAGGCCTCTTAGTGGGTTGTCAGGGGTCCTGCTCTGACTTGCTTCTGCCTCTTTTTGAGTGCGTTTCATCAACAGAGTTGGCGCCGCGCATCTCTATAAATTCTCAATGACTCTAGCACTCGCACTATATTCGACCGGTTTGTTTAGAGGATATGCTCCTAATTCTAACCACATTCCCTTAGATCTCCCGGATTTTGCAAATTGATGCGTGTGTGTGGCGTTCGAGGAATGGTCCCAAGCACTAGCAAGCATCTCTTATTCTGATTTCTATAACATGCTTCACCTGCCAAGGGAGACCTCTGGTGACCTTGTAAGAGCGAAATACAATTAATTTCCACGAGGTGATATTATTAACAAGCAGTAACCACATCAGCTGATCTCATGAACTCAACCATCTTTTTCGCTACCTTCAAAAGCCTCTAAATCCCGTAATGTTTCTATCGCCATTTGATGAACAGCCTCACCGTAGACAGCAGGTGAACAACCGATCCGATATCCCGAGAATGGAGTTCTGACGGGAACACCATTTTGAACTGTTGTTGGCGACATCATCAACACCAATGCTATTTCACAGTGACCGCCTCATACATATCCAGTGTTTAGAGTGTTTATTCAATTTTATCTACTGTGTATATGATTATATTACAGATACAATGGGCACTGGACATGAAGGAGTGTGGCCAACATGAATGCTAATGTCACAACATGAATGAACGATGTAAGCTATGCAAAGAGGTACCATCCCAGGAATACCGGAAAAACACATCACCATTTTTTCACCAATAGATAGCGCATTGTAGTGTGGTGAAATGAGAAAGTGGTGTTAGCATGCAATGAGAAGAATTTGTTGAGGTATAAAACGGGTCCGTATGCTGCCAGATATAAATGATGAACAATGGCCAGATGATACAAATGGGGCAGAGGTAATATGCTGTAGGGGGGGTAAAATGAAGCAGGAGGACACATAAATGAGAACAATGAGAATGAAGAAAGCTGACGCTACCAGACGGCAGGTACAGCGAAAGCAAAAGTTTTGCTCTTCAACGCGGCACCCATGTGTTTTTCAGTGATCGAAAATCCCAGAGGATAATCATTGTCGCGTATTTTGGCAGAGAAATCTTCGTCTCCGATGGGGGTTTGTGGCGAGGAAGATGTCGCAGGAGATGTTGTATCCGAATAACTGGATGCAGGGGTATCGGGAGACATGTCAATGGTGGGGGAGCCTTTCCGAGGAGGTACCAGAGATTGTGGAGGCTTTCTAGGAGAAGATGGGTGACCGATAGGAATGGGTGAGGTCGTAGAATTGTGCTCGGGAATTGGAGTACTTTTCGTCGAAGTCGAAGCAGCCTTTGCGGCACGCTTCGAAACAACTTTGAGCGGATAGGTAGGATATGGTCCTTGAGAAGATGAAAAGTCTTCTTTAACCATAGTCGTGAAATCAGCAAGAATCGGATTATCGACCGTGAGCTCCCAATCAAGATAATTACACATCTCTCGTTCCATCTGGTTGATTTCTCGTAAAGTAAACATCCCCTGAGCGACGATACTCCAGGATTTGTTGGAATATGTGTCATCGCAAATTACTTTGGATGCGATCATGAAGGCAGATATGAATAAACGGTGACCTGAAGAACCGCGGGCAGTGGGAAAGCGGGCCTTCAGACGCTGAAGAAGGGCAAGAGCAGCAAAGGTCACGGATTCGTGTAACTTGGTGCGGTGGAAAGCATAAGCAATGAAGTGGGGCAGCTTCGCCTGTGACTGTGTGGATGTGGGAGGATATTCGGGACAGGCAAATAAATGGGTAATGAACCGCGCGCACAAACGAGCGATGTACTCATAGCCATAGAAGGGATCTTTGACATGTGACTGAGGGGGGACAGAAGACTAAAGTGAAATGGTGAACAAGCGCTTGAGGCTCGAGGAATTCGGAAATACGTACCGAAGGTATAGGCTGGAAATTGCGATTCCTGGAAGCAGCTTTCTTTAACGCGTCGACATTATGTATAGAATCCATGGAATATTATGAGGAGAGTTGTAAAATTTCGCAAAAGAGCCACTGTGAAGACAAAGGAGGTCAGATCAACCAAAGCAGTTAAGGATTTCGTATATAAAGTTAACGCGTATCAGAGGCATAGAATATTCTATGAGAAACAACGGTACAAGCGTGGTGGCAAACAACGCACGATAAAAAAAGGGGTTCCCGAGTAAATTTTCTCAGGCAAAAAAGTTTTTACGCAGCGTTAAAATTATTGACCCAAGTTGCCTTTTTTGGGCAGCTTCGCCATCACAAAAATTTAGGAACAACTCCAACAACGATTTCAAGAAACAAGGACAGAAGGGAACTCACAAGGCTAGAGTGTCAAGCTGACAAATACAGAGTTCTCAAGAACTCAGAAACAAGAAGATTGGACAATGGAATCCAGGAGACCGGAAGTACAAAGGGTTGAGAAGGAGAAACAAGGGGCTTATATACCAAAATTCCGCTTGGAGCTGAATTTGGGATGACGGAGGGCGTGAAAGGTACTGGTAAGGCTGTGCTTGAGAAATTAGGCTATTTAGGCGATAGCGCCGGCCGCCGGAGTGACGTTCCGGTCACACTAAACCACGAACTCCCGAATTCTGTTAAGGCGCTGTAAGCACTGGTATGAGTCCTTAGTGGTATCTTGCCAGCCAACTACGGAACTTCAATGTTAAACGTTAAACCCGTACAACCGTCGGTAAGTAGAAGTGTGGAAAGCCCGGTGGTGGTTTGTATCGCCTGCAATTTTGCGCGTGCGCAAGGGGCATGGATGTATGCAGACCCCAAGTCCAGGCGCGTGTGGCTCTGAATCTGTACTTTTGATAGAATTGTTTCGCTCCGAATTTCATCCCCATTATTCATGACCGCCTCAAGGCTCATTCCGTTAGCATTGGAAAGAAAGCAACATATCAGTCTGCAGCAACAACTTTGTCTTTTCGGCGTCCCCTCAATGTCTCAAGGTCTGATGAATTACAGCTCTTCTGATCCATGCTCTCATCTGTAGGCTATTGTCGTTCTTCCGTTCACATATTATGATCAAGCGCTGTATTTCAATCGCGCGTTTCCCAGGATCAACGACCCGAACACGCCTTTGCCGCATGTATATCGCTCTTTGGCCTTTGCATTATCTTTTACTTGGTAATTGGCATTCAAAACTGGCATTCAACTTGCAGGGATTATCAGTTACACACCGTTTCCCCGCGTTCGGCGTACATACAGCTAACTGCTTTTAACGAATAAGCAGGGTGTTGCTTTTATCCGGTGTGTACCTCATCCTGATTGGAACTCGTTAGTTTAATGAAGAAGTGATCAGTGGATGCGTTACTTACCTGAGCATATACCAACTAGCTTTGGCCAGGGCGTCCTGGTCAAAGCTGGACCTCTTCGATTTAGATCCGCTCCGACCCGAAAAGACTCAAAAAAAATCAGGCCGATGTGTGTGAGGACTAGCGTCAGCATGCAAATTCAGATATCAAGTCAGCGGGACACATTGCAACGTTACGATGGCAGTGTCCTTTGCATCATCCCTTCCGTCCGCCACCGTACTGTCCAGTTACAGTAACTTGTAAAGGGGTTGGAGCATCTGGCAGCTATGCAGATGACTTTAATCTGATGAAGATCAAGTAATTAGAGCTCAGACGGACTATCTGGTCAACATTGACAACATCTAGTCTCGGTATTCGGTCCGGATCACATTGGAGTGCCTCGTCGTACCTCGTACCCAGAAGAACTTGAGATGATCATGAACGACTTCCTGCAGAAAACCGCGTTAAATGATCAAGACTTGATACTGTGATGGACAAGATCAAGTGTCCGTCGACGCCGCAAGATACTTTGCTTGTTGTTTGTGCGTGATACTCACGGCGTGTGCGGGCTAGAACGGAAATTCTGCTGTCACTTCGAACGGCAACACGAAACTCTCCGAGCAAGTCGCAGCAGTCCTTCGGTGCGAGGTCCAAAGATGTTCAAAGTCAAAATACAATACAGATGACTCACTTTTCTGCTTAGCTTGAGAGGTGTGATTCACGCTCTATCCGGCGTCGGTGTGAAGAACCAATTGAAGCTTGTTTTCGCTTACATAATCCATATGTTGCTAATGTTCATGAGTGAGGAACCCGAAATCTGTCTGGAATTAGAAATGCACCGCTGGCTGCGGATCGATGGAGTCAGAGTTGCACATACGACAATTGGTGTTCTTCACAGTTAGAGGGGAAAAAACTGTGAAGTCAATTGGTTTAGATGGGAGATATGATAAGTGGCGCCGAAATTATGCTTCAATTCGTCTTTGGCTCGTGCTCCTCATCTATGAAACTTTTGTAAACCACCAAAGCATCGACATACTCCTCCCCCTTCCCCGTCTTGACGTCGGAGACGGCCCGCTTGGGGAATACGGCCTGCTTTAATAAATCCTAATCGCTCTCAAACTTTGTAACAGTGCAATCGCGTAAGAAGACATCGCATAAAGCTTCATGGTACATTGTCTAAAGGATACATGATCATACCTCATGGGATGCTTCATTATTAACAAACACAAGATTGGATACGCTTGCTCTGTATCCGAGCTTGGGCGCGAAATGCACGTCGAACATGGCTAAGATCGAGCCAAAACCACCTTCCTGGCGAATGGGAGGCACGAGGAAGAGAGATAAGTCAACGTGTCAAAAGGACAATACAAACCAGGGGGGCGAAGGAAAATCAGGACAACGTAACTTGCATGAGACAATTGAATATGATAGTTTGACTCTACTTACCTGCAGAAGGGCGTCAAATCGCAGTTGAATCGTGCGTTATTGGAAGCTGATGGATAAGCTTACTTGATAGCACCCAATGGAGCATTCCTCCCAAGTTTCGCCATTATGTGAACCCTCGTCGATCAATATGGTGGTCTCCAGCACGCTGCCGAGATCTTCAACTTGGTCTTCCAGCTAGGTATCACCGCTTTAGAATCCACACAAGAAAACCTTTGGCGAGCAAGTAGTTTTCGAACCCTGGTCTGTCGAAGAGCCCAAAATACCCATGTCCATTTGGCTTTGCTCTAAGTGGTGCCTCCGGATCCGAAATCCATCCAGTTCAGCAATTGAGCAGTTCAATTTGAGTTTAAGAAACCAAAACCTACAAAACGTCCATGTACGGTACTGCGGACTCCACGTTAACGTCAACCGCAGTTAACGAACATGTTGAAAATCCGAATAACTTGATAAAACCGATAAATTCTCACAGAACACACTGGTTCAATGCGACTAAAAAGGACGAAGACAGAAGAACATTGAACAACAACGATGCCCGGTCTGAATTACGACAAAGCGCTAAATAATTTTGCAGAGCGCTTCACTGGCGCTTCCTTTCCTCTCGACCGCATGATGGTCGAATCAACAGTTTCCAACCTCGACTCTTTCGTACAACGAAATCGGCCTTTACCAGAGCCCAAGGCCATATCCCAAGAAATCCGTGATCGCAGTTCCACATTTGTCGCAACTATTTTCTCTGCCGCCACACCCGAGGAAGCTAAATCCCATGTTCAATATCTTCGAAAAGTCCTGCACGCATCGCGTCCAGCCACGCACGAGATCTCCGCTTACCGATGCATGATGCTGAAACCAGGCAAGACTGGGTTAGCAGGTCCCGATGATTTCGAGTTGAAAACTGGCTATGAAGATGACGGCGAACAGTGGGCGGGGATCAAGGTGTTGAAAGTTATGGAATCTCTAGCTGTGCTTGATGCAGTGGTGATTTGTAGTCGCTGGTATTTGTACAAGCTTTGTCTTCTATCAGCAGTTGTCGTAAACTTATCGGAATAGGTATGGCGGTATCATGTTGGGTTCTGCCCGATTCTCCCATATCGAAACCTGTGTCATCGAGGTGTGTCGCACATTCAAGAGCCAACAAGAGCTCGAAGATTGCATAGCAATGTTGTCTACTCTAGATGATATTCTCAAGCAACTTCGTGATGAACTAGCTCTGCTCTCAGGTCCTTTAACATCCTCGAACGACGACAGTTCACCTCACCTAAGATTGAAACCTCCAGATTATACCTTGTGGACGGAGTCAGATCTCCCTAAAGCTAAGCGTTTGGTCATTGCTAGAGAAAAGGCAATCGCAAGTGTCAAAAATATGATTGCAAAGCGACGTAGTTCATAGTGCGGGTTATTATATGACTCTTCTACTCTGTTCACAGCAGAGAGGTGTAATGGGAACATGCCGTTAATGTGATAAGGAGTCTACCAACAAAGAACGTACATAACATTTGTGCTGTACGAAATTAGGATCGAACATATGGAATACAGTCATCATTGGAAATAGTCAGGAAATCCAGAGAGTCGCGAGATAAACGAAAGATAGCAATCTGACAATCTCTACCTGCTACCGTATCTAGCTTTTCGTCCTATGTCAAATGGGACGTACTTGTACTTGATCATATGTCTGAAGAGAACAATGTGCTCAGAAGGTTATAAAAGGTGATCAATAGTGAACGCACTGTATTTGACGACGCATAGTGAGAGCAAACAACACGAAGAAATAGACGACAAGGATAGGCCAGTAGACAGGCACATCGAACATTTCGAATAGTGTACAGCCTATTGCTATGAGAGTCGCGCGGGTAGCAGAGAGCCTTTTGAGCTTTTGATAAGTTTTCCGCAGCCTTGGACGTCTGAGAAATTATACACGCACCAGAATTGCCATTCAGGAAGCCGCCGCACAAAAGGTCTGAATTCATCATCACGAGCACTCGGGAGCGGAGAAGTCATTGGTGTTCCTCCTTCTTCGATTTCGTCAGCGAGAAGATCCTCCTGTAAGGATGGGTCGAATTTAGGTTGAAGGAATGCGAGAAGGAGGTTGAGGAGGTATATGGCGTATGCATCTAGAATCAAACTATGTTCACGACAGGCTCCTTATATCCGAGAGGAACTACGTACAGCAGACTGTTCAGCCAATTTGCGCCATATCTTTGTCAGGTTTTGACAACATTTTGGAATATTGAAGTTTACTAACCGATGAACCACTAAAGCGTAACAGGAGTCAGAAACAACCGCATGATCAATGGACAGTAAATACGCACTCCTTGGGATAAAACAATCCTCAAAAAGAAAAGAGACAAGATTCCAGCAGTTCCGAGCCAGCGATACATGATGTGCGGTGTCCATCTGTCCAAAATTTGCTGGTACTGGCGCGTAACTCGGGTGTACGCAGCCGAGATGTTCTGTACAGGGGAGGGCTCGACGCCCGTATCGGTTGCGGACATCATGTTCGTCGTGGTCGTTAATTGAGAGTTTTTTTTTAGTCTAGGCCCTGGCATTGAAGGCGGAGTTTTAAGCGGTTCAGAGTTCGGGCCGGCGGAACGACTCCGTTTTGCTCAAAACTTTCTCTAAGGAATGCCATCCCCTTCCTGCAGTAGACATGGCGCTCCCATCTGCGGTACTACATATATCTAATCATATCCTCAGCCAGTTATCCAAAGCCGTTACCAGACCTTTGTTCGTAGCACTCCAAGGGCCTCAAGGCTCCGGGAAATCATTCCTCGCTAATCTCGTCCGTTCTCATCTCTCGGCACCTCCTCATGCACTCAATGTTGTCGTTCTTTCTATCGATGACCTGTATCTGACGCATGAAGAACTTGTGACACTTGCTCAACGAAATCCGGATAATCCACTTTGGCGTGGACGAGGTCAACCAGGAACGCATGACGTCGAGCTGGGTTCAAAGGTTCTGAGGTCATTGAAAGAAGGGAAGAACGGTATTGAGCTTCCGAGGTTTGACAAAAGTTTGTTTGATGGAGAGGGTGATCGTCTTCATTTGGATGGGACTGGCACCATTGTAGACTCACCGGTGGATGTGTTCATCATGGAAGGCTGGTTTATGGGCTTTTACCCTGTATCTTTACAAGAGCTTCAAACAAAATGGGACGGAATTTGGGCACAAGAACGACAATTACTCGGTTTAAATGATGCTGTGGTCGGGACGAAAGATGATATTGCTGATGTGAATGAGGCTTTGAAGGGATATATGGAGATATGGGAGTTCTTTGATACTATCGTTAAGGTTGGCACTTACTTTCTATCATGATCGTTTTCTTCCGTCATGACAGGCTCCGTTAATCAGATTGAGGCAGCTTCGTCTCCGAGTTCAGTTTCTTCACTCTCTATGATATATAAGTGGCGTTTGGAGCAGGAACACAACATGAAAGCCCGTAACGGAGGGAAAGGAATGACGGACGTGGCCGTAAAGCTGTATGTGGACACAGGTTATTTCAACTGGTCCCTTATGTATGTATTAAATTATATTTGACAGTTTTGTGGACCGATATATTCCTGGTTATGTTTTTTTCGGGGATGGGATTTTCAGAGGTTATGTCGGTTGCTCGGAGGCAGAAAACAAGGACATGACCAGGATCGCAGCGACCCCTCGATGGCTTGGTAGGTCACTTCGAATTGGTATAAATGAAAAGAGAGAGGTTGTTGCAGTTGAGGAATTTTGATTTCTTCGTTGTATCATATTGTATGTAATTCACTTTGTATTTTGCAGAGACGCGATTATTGTGAGCGCCTATCAACTTGTTTTGACGCTTCACGTGTTTATTGTCAATGTCACCTCAGCCGCTCTGAGCCCTTCTGAGCCCAGTCACTATTTGCACTCCGTTCTACGTTGTGCACTTTTTCTGTCTTATTCCTTTGTGAAGCGTCCGGCTATTAGACTCCTTGTTACTTGAAGGTTCTGCTTCCCCAAATTCTGCCTTTTCGCTTCGCACCTGCTAGTTGCACATTCCTCTTCTTTCCCTTCCCATCGCAATCCTTTCTCCCACATGCAGTCTGCACGATCCCACATCCCGAAGGCCCCAGTCTACAATCCATATGACAAGTTTCCTCAAACCGACTTCGACGCGTGGATAGGCGGCATTACTGGCACTCTTCGCAAAGTCTTGCGCCATGAAGAAGAACCTGAACCCCAGCCGCAGGAAGAAAAGTGGTATTATCGAATCGGGGACGAGGAAGGGCCGCAGATTAATGGCTATGGAGGAAAGGAGACCGACGGTGAAAGCAGTGGCGAAGAACAATTGGATGATTCGTTTGCCGCGATGCGTGCGAGACGCGTAAAAGGCAAGGCTAGAGATCCCAGGGAAGGTCCTGGACTGGCCGCCGGGACAATAAATGAGCCAATTGAGCTTGGGTCGGAGGATGAAGGCAGTGACGAGGGAGTGGGACTTGATGTAGGTAGCGATGACGAGGAGCTCGATGAGGAAGAGAAGTATTATGATAGCGAAGGAGAGGATGATCCGGAGTATGAAAGAGACTCTGCTCGAGCTAGTCACCGGAGTACACGGTCTCCCACTCCGTCGCGTCGACGTCGGACTGTTGTAGAAGATCCTGCCGAAGAGGAAGAAGACAAGGACGAGGAAGGACAACGATCTTCTCAAGGCGGACCTGAGGAAATAGAGGATGAGCAGGAAGAGGAAGAGGTTTCAGGCGAGATTAGTACTGAGGATTCTGTGAACACACACGCTCGGCCGTACGATCTTGAAGATGAGGACGGAGACTGTTTCGGCTCTCCCTTGCGTCCATTGACTTTCGAAAATGAGCATGCTCACCGCAGAAATTCGCCGGAAGATGATAGACAAGAGATACACGATGTTGATGAAGAGGAGCAACCCGTTTCAGAAAATACTGGTACGCTCTTCTACTTCCAAGCATCTTCATAAACTGAGACATAAATGGTAGCCTTCCCGTTGGATGCTGAGCAGGATGAACTATACAGTTCTCAACCGCTGAGTCTTCCGGATATCTGGGAAGGTCCTCAAACATACGCGGAAGACTATTACTCAGGAGGTGACGTTATGCACGACTCTGTCTTCCCACTCAGTGCAGATGCCCTAAACGAACACGACGTCAATGAGAAAGCTAGCGATTCTGGCTTCTTCCTTACACCAGGTCTCTTGACGCCCAATGGCTTTAATGTATCCAGCCCGGCAGCCTCTGATGAAGAACAAGTAGCGGTTCCGTCATCCAAGGAAAAGACAAAATCACCCCAATTGCTCCAGGACATTCATGACGAAAATGGGAAGGCCTACAATGAGCGTAGTAACTCGCCATTACCAGGCTCAAGTCCGCTTCCAATGTCACCGGAGTTCGATCCAGAAGATCAATATGTGAATAACCAGCCAAGCCCGGTATATATCCTTTCCGACGAAGAAGAGCAAGAGCAAAATCAATTCGATATGCGCGGTAAGTAACAGTGTTGCTAGTTGATACTGGTAAAATTAATGACGTTTATCATATCTTTCAGAAGAAAGGTCTTCTCCCCCGCCTGAATACGAGATAGATGATGAAGTCGATGCCACTCCAGACAATGACTACCAGGATGTTTTCGCGGACACAGACGCAGACGTCCTAGCCGCTGACACCGTCATTCCGCTTGGTACGAGTGATTTGGATATAATCGACGAGGTCGATGTCGAAGCTGAGAATGCAACCATATATGAAAATGAGCTATCGATAGAGGAAGACAAGCTACCCGCTCTTGAAGGTAAACTTCTTGCTTGTTACGTATAATTTCTGAAGGTAAAGGTCGTTTTCAGATCCGGTTGCTTCGCTTCAAGAGGATGGTCAAGATAATGCTTGCCTCAAAGAGGATGCTCAGCAGAATTCTTTTGCTCTAAAGGAGCCTTTGGACGACGTCACGAACCCATTGGAGATGGAGGCTGGTGAAGCTCTCGTCGGACTTCAAAAGACAATTTCACCCCTCCCCAAGCCCATCAGCATTCCTTCAATAGAGACCACGTCTAGACCCGACTTAGAGACGGATTCTCAGAATATCAATGAGGCCGATGTGGAAATGGTGTCTCAGTCCGTCGAAATCGAAGCAGATGTATCACACTCAAGCCCACTCTTGATTGGAACGGATGTTGGCATCGCTGTCACCGTGCAGGACATTGAATCAGAAGAAACCCCAGAGCTTATGTATCCTGAAGACGGTGATGTTTACAGTGTCGTCTCGGTCATATCTGAGGAGCAAGACGAGCTTGATGAGGATGGTGAATACGACCTTGATGTGGAGTCGATACCTGGGACGGACGTCGTTATAAACCTATATGAGGTGGAAGAGATCTTGACAGAAGGCAGGCTCACTATTGTGAGTTTCGCATGTTCTTTCTCATTACCACATATAATCAAGGTGCTTTTTTCAGGAGCCGGAAATCAATGACTCCGACGAAGGCGACGGTTTTCTGAACGTGCAAAACGTGTCAGAACATTTTGTAACGGAAGAGTTCACACAGGATTCTAACGATGCTGGTCCTTCTTCAGAAGATGCCCCAGAAGCTCCCGATGCCTCTGTCGAGAGCAAGTTGTCCACAGACGTATTAACGGGGCCAGAGGGTCTTTCACAAATAGGATCGCCTTCAGCGACTGAGGTTATCGCCTCGACTACCGACAATGAAATTCGCGCCGCACCAGTCTCAGCAGATGACCTTCCACAAATATTGTCCCCCTCAGACCGAAGTTCTGCTTCTCAGACTGCTCATGATGCTGAAATCGCATCAGTCCCGGTGAACGAACCCTTGCCTGTCTCGGAGATGTTGGACGTGTCTGCTAGTGGTCCAGGGACCCCACAACCATCTTTACCTCTTCTTTCCCCTGCAGAATCCTCTCATGCTCTTGGAGATAACACAAGCGTGAACGACATCATAGATGCTCGCAAGCACGATCTTGGTGTTTCTACCACCCCAGACATTGTTCAGGTTCTTGATCATGAAAAATCATCGGTTCAGTCTATCGCCGCAACGATTTCTGAAACTCCCGCCCTTGGCTCCCAGACTGAATTATCTACGATATCTTCAGATGCAGATGACATCTCCACGACACACGCTTTAGCCCCGGGAACGATCGAAGAAAAATCTTTCGGCCCTCCTGTCCAACTGCCTGACACATTCATTGCTGAATTGTTGACAAGGAAAGGGATTCCAGTTCTGCATGCGGATCCTTATCCCGCTAGTCTCTCCACTCCTACTGACGAGGCAGAGGACGGGAGTGTTACAGACGATGAAGTTGACGAGATAGATCAGGATAGCATAATTAGCACTGAGGTTTCTAGCAGCAACTCATCGCTGGAAGAGGACAAATCTCTAACTATCAGCAGTGAATTGCCTGTCCAAACAGCGAATGAAGAGTTGGACGAAACCGGAGAGGATATGGATATGGATCTACAGTATCCGCCATCTGATGAGGAGAAGACAGCTCCTGCTTCAAGTTCGGGTATCGCACACACTGTCGCAGATGAACTCGACTTCGACGCGGAGGGAGACATTGACCCGGACTTTGTGGAATCCCATGACGTCGCTACCTCAGGCATGCACATACAGGACGATTCCCAGGTCACTACCGAACAAATTCTTGCTGAGCATACCGCAGAGCCATTCATCTCCTCTTCGATTCCGACTGCCTCTCAAGTCGCAGATATTGACTCTCATCATGGCATTCCTATCTATCCTTCGGTGGAACTAGAGGAAAATCAGAGTGAGGACCTACCGCCAGAAATCAGAGCTGATATTGATGACGCTGCTGCTCGGATTTCTGAACCTGTCGAACTTGTCACAGCGGATATAAACGATGAACTTGTGAGATCAGACGTAGTTGAATCTCAATCTGAACTTCCCAGTGCTGCCGCACCTGTACTTACTGATTCCACTGAATTTGCTTCTGCACACGTTTTTTCCTCCGAAAAGCCAAAGGAAAAAATGGAAGAAGAAGCGATTATTGCTCAGGCTGTCAACGATGGATCAAAGGAGTCTATGGCCAGTGCCGCTGAAGAGCCTATTGGGAAATCTGAAAGGTATCGTCGCGCTACGTTTCTTCATTTTCTCCATCTGCTGATCGAACTTCTTTAAAGTAGCCCTCCTACCCAAGATTTACCTTCCATTCCTCCCGTAACAGACGACGTTGACCCCAATCGGTCTTTGTCTCACGATACAAAATCACCTGATACCGGGACAACCCGAAGAACCAAACGCAAAAGGAAAACTCCAATCACTTTGCGAAATGGATCGAGTGCTGCTTTGGCAAAGGATAACAACATTCCAATTATAAGTAAAGGCAAGGGTAAGAAGACAGTGGTACCCCAAGACATCTCCGATACTACCTCGACTTCTGGTGCCAGTACGGCTGCTCAGTTCTTGACCGGTAGTCGTGCTTCTTCCATTGTATCTACGTCAACCGGAGATGGTTCTGGGCAACATAATCCGTCGCCCACTCCGCACCGAGTTAAGGATTCATCACCTTCAAGTACACGTTTTGCTGCTCCTCCTCTGCCGCCTCCGCCTCCACCACTACCACAATTGATGTTCCACAACCATTCAAAAAATAAAGCCGCTCCGATCCGTCGTCCTGCATTGTCTGTGCAGACTGAGCTACCAAGGGCTGTTTCGCGTGCACCTTCCCTCTCTCAACCACTTGCAGTTTCTTCCTCTCAGGCGCATAGCCCTGACGTAGGTACCCCCGACTCTCGTTCCGTTACACCGGCACCCAGTCAATCACCTCATATCCTTCGTAGAGAACCTTCTTCTAATTCACCTGTGACTCGCTCTCATTGTCGATACCACAAAATCAGTCTTCCGGAAGAAGAAGATGGAGGTACCCACATATTTTTCCTTGTCCCCGGGTGCTCGCTTGTGGACAGAAAACTAATCAAAGAAGAGGAAATAGTGGATCACGGTGATGCTACCTATGATGATAGTATCCGAAAAGTCGCTGATATCGAGACTTTGGGGATAAATGAGTACGTTATCGGTGTCATTCGGATGCTGGTAGGTCCAGACAAGGAACACGAGGTTTATTTCATGCCTAAACCTGGAGAAGAGAGGGCACGAAAAGTCATTCATCGCAAATCCCGCCTTCGTTCCAGTATCAGCTCCTCTGCTAGCCTTCACTCTCCTCGTACCTCCATTTCCAACATCAATGGCAATCTTTTGTCACCATCGTCATCATCTGTTGCCCCTGTTTCCGCCGCTGGGTCATCCTCGACCAACAGGTCGAGTAAGCAGTGGCGGAGACAGCATGATCGAGAGAAAGAGGCAGACTCGTCCCTTTGGTCGGAAGCATATTCAACCGAGACTGATGGTGAAGAAAGTGACGGCGAGTACAAGGGTCCGTCCAAGAAACCAAAACTTGTACATCCAACGGATGTAGCTGAAACCTCGAGCCAGAACTCGCACAAAAGTTTGAGTCAGGGTTCAACACAGCTCCGTGAAAGTGCTAGCGCAGGCCCAGGTCCGCGTAACAAGACTAAGCGGAAGCGGCCTTTGGACCCATCTGCGGCAGAATATAAACCTCATGAAGATGAGGGAAATGAATCATTCGACGAGGCTCTAGTTAAACCCAAGAAGAATGCCTTGAAAAGGGCAAGGACCTCCGAACCAAATCCATCTACAACATCAAAGGAGCCAGAGCGAAAACGAAAAAAGAAGACCTTGAAAATGGTTCCGTATGGTTTCCATCATTAGAATGTCTCTTGGAATGTGTATTATACTATATTATACTTTATATTCACATATGTACATACATACCATACTTTGAACCATTTTACGACCTCCTTGCAGCCTTTCGTTTAGGCTTCTCCTGGTCTTCATCACTGTCTTTGTCTTTGTCACTGCGCCTTTTGCTGACTGCAGTAGCCTTTTTCTTTTGCATCAACTCGGCCCTCCTTTTCTGCTCACCATCATTGTCGTCGTCGTCGTCTGAAGCGAAGATATCTTTCTGCTTTCTCTTCGTCTTAGGCTTATCTGCCGAAGCAGCAGAGACGTCCATTGGCTTCTTGTCATTAGGGTCGGCTTTGTCAGGAGATTGCGCAATTGAGCTTTTGCCTCCTTTCAATTCCGCAAAGAATGCATCTTTCAATGCCTAGGGTATTTGATTATAAAAGAAGATCATGAATAGCACAGGATACTGACTTGAATTTCTTTGTCGTCCATGAGATCTTTGTTCTTCCAAATCTATGATAGAAAGATTCAACATCACACCAAAACCAGTGACGGATTGACTAACTGTTGAGGGTATACCACTAGGATGTTTGCTGTCAATTCCTAAAATCGGCAATGCGTTGGTATCTTTTAGGAAGGTGGAAAGCGGATATACAAATAAGCACCTAGAAGTGTGTACATGTCAGACTTGACTCCGGATAGATTGAAGCCATGATTGCGGAGCAGTATCTTCATGGCCTTTAACCTGTTATTAGCTAAAGCTACCTAAATCGATAAGTAGTACCTTGGTGACTGCGTCTTTGTTGTAAACGTCAGGAAAGTACAAGCAGATTACATGTAGGTGGTTGGGATTTGCATCTCTTGGTGTGGTTGCTACTTTGGCGCAGAAGGCATCTGTGTCGGCAAGGGGACCATTTATTAATGAAGCTGAAAATAATATGGAAAACATGAATCGGTGTTGTGATAGGAAAATTATATGCTGACTGGCGAGACTTGACCAAATCATATCAATTTTCTCAGTCGATGCAAACATCAACCTGTTGAAAAAATGAACGAAAATCGGGGAAACGAGTCGCTAAAATTCCAACCATTTCCCGCAGAGATACTTGTATTTCCGAGCTATCTCTTCGAACCTTTCCCGAGCATCGCGTTGCAGCTACAGATACCATTTAGTTCTCATATGACTGTAAATTGAGATAAACCAACACTCACTTCCTCACGCACTTCCTTTTTACTTTTCGCTCCCGTCTTCTTATTCGACCTTGTTGGAATTGAAGGATCGTTCTTTGACAGAACATTAAATTCGGTGCATGCAGTGGATAAAGTAATACCTACCTTGATGTTCTCAATCTGGTCAGTAATTTCCGTCACTGTCGAATCATTTAAGTACCTAAGTATTGTTCTTATTTTCTCTAGAGGCAGAGAGAAGCTCACGAATCTTAGAGCTCTCCTCTAGAACGGCAATTTCATCGGCCGGGGTGAAGCTGCGCGTGTCCCCTCCTTTCCTAACCCAAATCCACTAATTCGGAGAACAATCTAGGTCTGCAGAAGTATGACTCTTGGGAAGAGAACATACCGGCTTTGTTCCGTCGTTTTCGACCATAGAAGGCTTATACTACAGAGCGGTGAGCTAATAGATACTATGCGAGGCAAATACGTAGAATACTTTTGAGAGAAAATCGTCGAGAGGGACGTTAGAAGTAGGGGTCCAAACATATTTGTAATCTCCTTCAGGTATTGCATCTTCGTTTGCTTTCGTCATATTTGTCGAAAAGGGGAAGGTCCAAATGTCAAGCTTTCAAATTCTAAAGTTCAGCAGCAGTTTCTAGCGCTAACTTCAAGGCGGCATGCAGCGCGTCACGGTCGCGTCAACAATGATAAACAAATATTGTTTCTTGTTATTCACATCAATGACTACTACACATCCTTTAGTTGAATTCGACGAACAGATATCTCTTTCTCCTCTTCCGCCAATCCATGCACGATTTTTTGTTCCTCGTTTCGTGGAAAAGCCTCAAGACCCAATCATGGATACCTTGAGGCTTCATGCGTCGAATCCGAGTTCTGACAGCCGTTTTCGACTAGATCAAATACCCAAAGAGCTCTCACTTATCCCCGGACAAAGGATACGTCTGGAATCGCCTCTATTAGAGAAATCTGTCTGGCAAAACGCGCTAAAGCTTGATACTCGCGGACGTGTACGTGAACCGTTGTTCTTAACATCGTGCTGCTGAGCCTAGTTGTAGTCAAGTAAAATACACTCCTGGGACAGTCTTCGGTCAAATGCGCCAATATCTGCCTCTTTCGGCGGCTTTTTATCCGAGCAAGACGGTATTATGTTCGCTGCTGCTCACTATCAGTAAGAATATATCCAAATCCTATCCTATGTCTCTGCTCATTATATCCCTGCAGGGCCCTTCCGAGACTGCAAGATGCACATAGCGTTGTTCAATATCTGACCATTCCGAATTTACTGAAGAACATGAAATTAACTGTCCTTGGCTTCTCCTCGTTATTGTATGAATGGGATCCTGTGGAAGAACGGTTTCTCGACATCGGTCTGAGTAAAGAAAATATGCGTCAGAGGCTCGTCATTGAGGGGAAGGACGAAGTCATTAGTTCAGAGTATGTCCAAATGTTTCCCAATTTATGTAACTGCTTATGCTTTCGCTTCAGCTTCATTTCGCGGTTCATACAAATCGGCGAGTCCCTTCGCAGGCTTGAAACATTGGTAGAACAATTGCGCTCCAGGCATGTTGCACTCAATAAACCGACTTTATCCCATCTGACAATGGCGTCTTCAATTAGATCTAACATAGGCCCTACCATACATGCTTTCGCACATGCGTTATCGACATGTCTCGTCCAAATACGAGGTTCATTAGCTTCGGGCCCTCCTTCAGAAGACCAACTATATGCAAGCCATTTAACATTACATTCTATCTTCATGTATTACGATCAGCATGAAGAAGTCTTATCAGCCCTGTCGCGCCTGTGCAAACGAGTTAGTGTAATTAGAATCCAGTTTTTTTACAATTGCTCATTCGAACTGTGAAGCAAGGTGAAGGACTTTCGCCGAAAGATTATGAGGCAATACCCTCGTCTCCTCAAGCCCTCCTCTCGCTCATTCATGACCATTTACATGACCATATAGAATCTCAATCCCCACATCATATCAACGCGACACTTGCATTCATTCTAACCGGTGCATCGACCGAATATCTCAAAGACGTATCTCGTAGCGTCGGATTTGGCAGTAGTGAAAGTTCGTTGGGGGACTCCAGCTTTTCGAGAGAATATCCAACTTTCTTTCCTAAGGAACTCCTTGATGCTCTCCCAATTGCACAGAGGTCCCTAGAATTACTACGCGTTGCTCAACCCGATCACCCCATCCTTAAGGGTTCTAGACGCTTATCGGATATCCAATGGTTCTGGACGTCAGAGGATATCTTAGCTGCTGTAACCGGCAGTGAAGAAACCACAACAGAAATTTTGGCCCCTATAAAGACCGCTGACCAGTCATCATCAATTGCCTATCTTCCCGCACTTGCAGAGTTCCATATTTTTGACTTGGAGCCCGGAAGTTTGAATGGACGGTCGTGCTTTGACACGGTCTATACTTCTGGCCCTACCCTTGCTTTAAACGATTTCATCAAAAGCTTTCCCTCATCCTTCCCCCCGATTGCGCCTACTCTGGCACATCTCACATCTCTGGTTCTGAAGCCACTTCTTCTGCACGCCACAACGCTATCCACCACTCTTCTGTCCCTTTTTTTAGCGTTGCCTCCTCCACTAGATATTCACTCTCATTTACGCCTCATACGGTCTTATATGCTCTTGATGTCCCCGTCATTCCGAAGACGGTTGTCAGCTGCATTGTTTTCTGATTCGGGAAACTTTGACGCTGACGCTGAGTCTTCGCATGCGTTTTCCCTTGGATCTCTACGACATGGTACACAACGGGCTGATTTGCGACGTAAAACCTGGGCTGTAGGTCTTGCGCCTGCTTTACTCGATAGAGCAACATGGCCTCCCATGGACACGGATCTCAGTTTCTTCTTGAGAACTGTTATTTTAGATTCTTATGAAGTCAATGCTAACGACGAAGCACGGCGAGATCGGGTTGAGGAAATTGAAAACCGATTGGGTTTTGCTGTTCGACATACTTCAACGGGTCATTCTAATGCATGGTCAAACCCATTGCGTGCGTGCTTTTGCATTCTTTTGCGATTATGATTAACCTTGCACATTTTCGCAGACGTGGAGTATGCGTTTCCAGTTATTTGACCTTTCATTTATGCCTTAACATATTTGACAGAGCTCTGGATTTCCTCTACATGGAATATAAACCTCCGCAGCCTTTGGACGTCGTCATAACTCCAGATATTCTATCCAAATACCAACGAATTTTCTCATTTCTCCTCCGTATACTCCGCGGTAAGCGTCCTTTATGTATTACACCAAGTCCACGCCTGATCACTTTCTGCTAGTTCAACATGCTCTCCATGCAGTACTCCGTATGTCAACCTCCACTAATCCATACGTCTTCGGGACACTTGCCTCCTCACGCAAGATGCTACTGCATTTCCGGTTCATAGCTCAGTCTTTCGTCGCAAATCTGGTTGAATATGTGTATGATACCGCTATTGCCGGGAACCTTGACCCATTTTTGGCGAAACTAGAGGAAAAGGAAGGAAATTCCGGAACGACACATACTCGGTATTCGGACGTATTCTCTCTAGCTGAAGCTCATTCGGGTGTCATGGACGACATTTTGACCGCGTGCCTTTTGAGAAGCGGACAGAAGATTGCAGGCGGTGCACTGCGAGACTCATTAGAGCTCGTACTAGATTTTACAGTCCTTGTGGGTGACTTGTATCGAGGGCGGATTGAAGAGTACCAGGCTGCTTCGGTACTGGAGAACCTGTACATTCAGTTTCGAAATAATATGTCCAATCTGGTACGGCGTCTTCGTTCATTGTTCACGATTGATCTAACAGGGATGACCGCAGGTTGAAGTCCTGAGTGGCACAGTAGACAAAAATGTGTCTCTACGTACTTCACTTGAAGTCCCGCACTCAACCGGTGTGCAAGATACTTACAAAGCTGTTGGAGGAGTTGAGGCCCTATCACACCTGTTGATTCGCCTCGATTTCGGTGAATTTTGGTTTCATGCAAGCGATAGGCACAGATAATATCGATTGTATGCATAGTGCAAGCTAGTGTAAGACGGTATTATCATTCAAGTAACGTCAGATGGTACAGACAAACAACTCGGAACACAACATCAAAGTAGTAAACATAACGACGACAGATATTCAAAGTAAAGGGTACATAGCTACAGGGATGACAGAGAACGATGAAATACAAATGAAATTTAGAGCATGCATCCATAGGCATCCGTTGTGAGCAAAAATAAAATAAAATCAATCTTCGAAAGCATCTGAAAATCCGGCAACCGGTTGCTGAGTCTTGGCTGACTTCGCCTGCCACACTTTGACTTCCTTTGCTAATCGTGCGCATTCACGATTCCAGATAGCCCTTGCCTCCTCCTCTTTGACATCAACAGAATCTTTATCACTGATTCCCAAGCCACGCACTACTTCGTCGACCCACACACCCGACCCGAGACGTACATCCCCCATCGCAGCATTTTTACTTTTCACCGAAATGAACGAGCTGGAACGACCGAATGCCCTCTTTGCCATCTTGGTGGGAGACGAACAGGTGACAGTTGCAACGCTAACCAGGCCTATGCCTTCAAGCATCGCAGTCAAATCAATGAATTCGTTTCTCGAAGCTGGAGCACACAGGTCCGAGTCGCCACGTGAAAGCATATTCGAGTAGTATCCATGCAGTTGCTGGGTGTCTATCCCAATATCCCTTCCCGGAATATCATTCGAGCAAGAACGTTTGGCTGAAGTGGATGGCAAGGTGGAGCCAGAGAGTGCTAGTCCCGCTTCTAATCGTTTAGAGGCAAGAAGGATAGATAGGAGTACAAGTCGGGCCTGTAGTCCGAGGGAACTAATTTTCGACACGATCTCGCTATTTGATACGAAGGGTGACGATTTAGGGGATGCGGAAGGGGCGCTGGTCGGAGTAGGGACACGAACTTTCAAAGCCGCGAGGACATGAGCTGGAGTCACGGAAGATGTTGAGACTTCCAACACATTTACCTCTTTAGAAGCAGGAACTGCCGAGGCTAAGTCGATAGCTTCTCGCAAGACTTCAAGTAAACATCTCACGTCACCAGTGAGAGATGCTACTTTCTTAGTTAACAGCATTAAGGTCGGGATAGGAAGAAACTTCTTCATAACTGCAGAAGACTTTTCTGAGTCATTAAGAGGGGCCAAGCGAGATTGCAGGATTCGGAGTAGTTGGGTAGATGTATAAGGAGCAAAATGTAACGTCTGGACGCAATCGGTGGAGATAGTAGTCGTAGACAGGGTATGGGTATTCGCAATACCAATTATTCGTAGTAGGCCTGAAGAGGCTTCGGGAAGAGTGAGTAGGGATGTAAATGTTTGTGTTGTTGGAGCAATGTGGTCGAGTTCATCCAGAAGCACAATGCTATATGTTAGAGTTAGCAAATCCAATGCTCGTATGTGAGACCAGGTAAATACCATTTAGTTTTCATAGCAGTCACAACTGCCTCCGCAGCTTCTTTTCCCTTCAAGTGTTTTCTGGAACGAGCCGCCGCCTTGAGCTTTTTCGGTTTATCGAGCTCATCAAGCATTCGATGCCAAAGCGCGTCAACGTCCTCAAGGGCCATACAGTTAATGGTGACAACTTTCACATCGGTGAGTTCTTCTGCGAACGAGTTAAGCACGGATGTAACAAGCGCCGTCTTTCCGGATCCCGGCGATCCAGAAATGTAAAGACTTTGCACGCCTTGTTCGTCATCTTCGAGGAAGCTCTGGACAAAATTGGCGATACTTTGACGTTCTTCTTCACGGCCAGGGAGTTCGTCAATATCGTTACATGTTGCACGAAGAAGGGCTCGCGCACGAACTTCAAGAGGTAGGAAGGTAGGAGGTGTAGGTGGAGGTGTAGATATGTGGAGAGTAGATATCGCAGTTGCAGGGGTAGCAGGCGTAGATGATATGGAAGCACTTCTCTGAATTTCTATATGAAATGGTGAGATAACGATACAAACATGGCGGGTTTCGAAACGTACGTGGTTTGGACCGTGCAGGAGTGCTCTGCATGGACTCGGTGGCACTGCGACGCAGCGCTCTCGCTGCTCTAGAGGTAATTGTGGGTGAGGAAGATTCGACATTGAGAGCATTCAAAGCAAAGGGTGGAATGTTCTCCTTATTTCCATCGCCATCGAGGGTGGTTGACGATGTGCGGACTCGTTTGAAATCTGGCGTCGGTTCTGGCGTCTGCAGCTGCTCACAAGTTGAGCTGTGGTCTTGACGCTGACTGCGCTTTCCCAAAACAGATTTTGCCCGAATGGAGTTCATCACTGAGAGCAGCGAGCAGTTGTAGTTGGGTTGAGAGAGGCGGAATCTATGTATCAAAATTTACATGTAAAGTTCAAACCAAATAAGAGAAAATAACACGACGCGCTTACCACGTGATGGTATACCGCGTATGATTGCGTGCCGGGATCTCCACCTGATCTATTCATCTTTGACTCTGTTTTGCCATATGTCTGGCGGCGATCCATTATCAAATGACGACGCGCTCCTATTCTCCGAGTGACTGTTTTTTCTAAGCCATTCACTGCAATGATACTGAAAAACCTCTGACGGCACGCTATTCAGGGAACTCGATGCCACACCAGAGTTGGAGGAGGTAGCCATCGACTTTTTATCACAACTCTGCCGCGCAGGCATCGACCCTCCGAACTGTCTTCACGATGATTCATCCGAGTCGGACGAAAGCCAGTCGCTAAACAAACCTTCTATCCGTTTAGAGATAGCAGACCGAACGAGAACAGACTCAATCACAGGGTGAGAAGAGCTTTCCGATTATCGAGACCATTATTGATTCTCCTTCAGCTCATATGGCGTTAGGTTCATTACATATCCGAAAAGGTCGTCCACAGCAAGTCTTAAATTCGGTAGTCTTTCTGTTGACGTTATCCCTCGCTCCAACTCGTTCCTAACTCTCGCTCAGCACAATTGTTTAAAGTAATCAATTCTATGCATGAAGCCATCATCGAAAACGTGCCCGTGACAAAAAGGTTGCTGCATTTCTTTTGGACCTCGTGGAAGAATGTTAACTCGATTCACAGAGACATTTATTATCGGGACGTACCACTATTTAAAGAGCAAAGGATTGTTGATAATGTGCGATTCGTAAATTGGATAAATAGGATTCGTATTTGAGCCTAAGTCTGAGCCCAGATAGTTGACGATATCGCTGCATCCCTGAAACTCGAAAGGTCAGATCTGAACGTTGTACGTGTTAAGTTTACATTTTTGAGAGCATCAACTCATACTTCGAATCAGAGGGCGACTTCCAAGGGCATATTCTGTGGGTCGACCTTAAACGTTTACTTGTCAAGCGGCGACGTTATCCACGGAAACGACTCGGAGGTTGAACAACCTTTCTATCAGTGAACAAGCTTTACTCATTACGAACATCAAGGCGTCTCTAATCCCTATCGGCGAGGATGTTGAGACTTTCCGTGTTGATGAAGACCTAGCATGGGTTTTGATTATCGAAAAAGACGTACGGCCCGTTACTATAATGATGCCCACCGTATCGCAACCGTGTTTTCACAGGCGGTTTTTCAAACCCTTTGCCATCTCAATGCAAGCAATCATCCATTGCTACCAGGGAAAGGCCTTCTGATTACGGTGAAGTCACTCCCTTTGAATGAACATTCCCCCTTAATACCTTGTTTGACAGGGTAAAGGCTACCCCGACATGGCCACCCGACATCTAGTCAAGACACTTTGTGATGCTCTACCTAAGACGTAAGTTTCAACTTCCTACTAGTATCCTACACGGACTACATACTCGTTCAATATCACGTTAGAATTCCAATAGTGGCGTTGGTCGACGGAGATCCCTATGGCTTAGACATTCTTTCCGTTTACAAATATGGAAGTAGCAGGCTGCGTCATGAAAATGGGAAACTCGCTGCAAGACGCGTGAAATGGATGGGCCTTTGGTCAAGTGAAATATCTAGGTGGTTATTGCGCTATTCAATATCCCCTCCAATAGGTCTGATTTGTGTCTAGACTGGGCATTGACAAAGACACTCTCATACCCATTTCCCAGCACGACGAGAAGAAGGTTGGATAATGTTTGGATACTTGAGCGATTAGGCTGAAAGTACACAGGCTTTATCAATGCTTCAACGCCCACAGGATGTCATGCCCACAAAATGGAGGTATAACTCTGCACCTTCAATGTGTAACATTAACTCATTTCGATATTGCAACAGGAAAGAGCTCATGTACATGCTACACAGTCGTCGCAAGGCCGAAATCGAAATTCTCTCTAGTTCCGTCAACTCGTCTCCGGTTTTGGCATCAGACCCAATGTTACCTTCTTCGATTGAAAGCGAAGCGATGCAACGAAAACCGCTCCTTCACTATCTGCATGTCAAACTCTCGCAACTAGTTGCTTCTGCTCAAACACATTATGGTCCTTACAAGATCTTACTTGAGAAACAACCGACAAGGAACAAGAACTACATCAAGTCAGTTTGATTCGAATGAGTGATATTATTAGTCGTATGCCAGGTTTATGCTACAGTATTAATAGGTCGTGAGTGCAGTCCGTATAGTCCATATAGTCCGTTTCAAATTGTAATAACAAGAACGTCCCAAACAAAAGCGGAAGTCTGTAATCCAATGAAAATCCGCCCAGCGACCTCGGATGGCTACAACCTTAGGATGCATTGGCTGGATGTAGAGGAGGGCTGGAAGTATCCTTTTTACCGTGAATCATTGACAAAGACACGGGTGTGCTAGATCTACTGCCAGAAGCGGATGCTTCCAAAGCTTTCATGGAAAAGTCTCCAGCTTGCACAGGAATAGGCGCGTAAAACTGTGATTCAGGACGCGGGGGAGGAGTTACAAAGCGCGGCTGTGTCAGTTCTGGTACATTATCGCCGTTGCCGTCATGCCCGTGGTGGGAGTAAGGGGAGGGAAGGAAAACTGAATGGCCCGATTCACTTCCATCCCCGGGGCCGTTCTGATCGTTTCCCTGCGCAGCACCAGATTCTTGATCGCTATATGGAGCGGGGACATCTGTGTACTGGGGAGTGGTCTCGAGGCGGGTTGTTAACGTTGTGTCCATCTGGGGCAGAGAAAGTAACGGAATACTACTGGACGAATGCAGACTGTCCACGTTAGACCGAGGTTTTTGTTTGAGGAACGTGTCGAGCTGACTCTGATCCATTTTGCCTAAGTACACCGATCCTCTGGGTCGTTTTTTAGCGTTCCGTCTTCTTCTCCGGAGGACGGAAAAGATGACGGAGAGTAAAGTCAGAACTACGAAGCCTCCAATGACACCGCCAACGATAGCACCGATTTCCGTCCCATGGCCATCCGAACTCGGAGTAGAAGATGATGAGGCACTAGAATTAGCGGATGTAGATGAGACAGTGCTGGTAATCGAATTCGACTGGGTAAATGATGCCGAAGTGGACGATGATGAAGAAGATGAAGCAGAGGGAGACGAAGATGAGGAAAGGGAGGAGGAAGATGAAGACGGTGAAACAGAACTGGAACCAGTGGTTGTACTGCTAGTCGAGCTTGGGCTAGAATTAGATATTGAAGTACTGGAGACTGAAGTGCTCAGCGAAGTAGTCGTGTCGGCTCGACCGCTGAATATAACCTCATCAACACCAACGCACAAACAAAAAACCGATACTCACAACACTACCGAGTCGATAAACATTATGGGAAGTTGAAAGAAAGCTGCGATTTCCTGTGCGCCCACGACTCCACTCAACGTAAATTAAAGAAACGGGCAGGAAGCCGATCGGCGAAGTGTCTATTTATACATGAAAGCTTCGCCCGCAGCAACAGGGCCAGGCTGAGTGGGCTTCAGCGCTTTTGTACGTATTTCACTTAACTTACATTCGTGTTGAGGGGGAGATGGTGATTCACGGCGTAGAACAAGATGGTGATGATCATGTAGGAAGTGCAGTGATGTTGTGTTTGCCTTGGTTTTGTCACTGCCATAATGTAGTTGGGCCAATTGAGAATCCACATTTTGGGTCATTTGGAACAACTATGTACATAATATAGTAATAATAAGTTATCGACAATCCAGGGAGAATAAATACATATCATCTATGCAGCATCTATGTATCGGAATTCTGAATCAACCATCGAGTCAGGTTTTAAACTGTGCAAGTACTCCTGAGGTTCTCACAGAAATACATAAATAATCGTAGCAAGGTGCAAAAAAGCTCAAGAGAAGAAGGCATTCTATAAAGGGGGTGGCCATACAAATTACTTCTCCTCTGTTGAGTCCCTCGATTCGCCGTCCTCGCTTGAATCAGTTGAACCTCCGGAATAAGATGCTGATTGGTGGACGATACGAACATGGCGGCGCATGTTGCTTCGTACACTGAAAGAACGATGACAACCTTCCTCGGGGCAAACATATGCTGTGACTTTTATCAAAACAAGTTTTATGGCCTTATTTAAGGTTGAAACCTTACGTTTTTCTCCGGTATGGGTAGTAATATGAATCTGAGTTGAATATGTTATAGCCAAACATCACAAGAAAGCTTATAAGCAACCAACCTTCAAGCCACTCGGTCTGCTGAATTCCTTGTCGCAATAACTACATTTATGCTGCGTTCTTGAGGGGCTGCCTGGATTTCTCTGACTAATCATAGGTCTCGGTCGGAGGTTGCCAGGGTCGGGCAGCAAATCGTGCATATTTTCAACAGTGTGGTAGTTTCGATTGTACCCGGTCGAATTACGAGGATCATACAAAGAATCATACCCGCTATGCCCAACAGAGCGGGAACTAGAATCACCCTCTCTTCTATAGTATGGGTCGCCGTATGGGCCACTGGGGTATTGTCTAGCAGAAGTTGAACGGACAGAAGCTAAAGCAGACATTGCTTGATTTGTTTCTAGAGCAGAAATACGGGGATCGCGGGGAGCATTCATCGTTGTAGCAGGGTAATTCATCTGAGAAGAATAACCCTGGTTATATGAGGAAGGATTAAGAATTAAGCAAGGGATACAACTGGAATCGAACGCGCCTGGTTGTTTGACAGGGGAATTTGAGGCCAGGTAGCTGAGGGGATACCTTGACTAGCTGGCATAGCTTGTTGGCCTTGCCTGTTCACGGGCAATGGGGGAAGCCTTAAGGAGGTGTGTGCTCTCGAACTTCTATCCTCTGCAATGTCTTTAGTATTCATTTATTTCAGGGCAAATTATTATGTCACCGAAAATGCGAGATATAGAAGGAAGAACTGGTCGATCTTCAAGCTGATCGTCGTCCACTGTGTTGAAGGGATTGTTATACATGTTGAGAGTGTGTAATGAATTTTGGGAATACTACATTCCGATAACCACTGAGTCAACTTATATAGAAGTCTGGGTTTGAAGGTTTGCATGTGAAGTCGTCAAGACCTTTCTCGTGAATCCTGGCAGGGTCATTGCTTTCATTGCTTGAGACGAGAGCTCGCCTTCTCTCATAATCGCAGTGTACCATGTAGATATTCAAATAACGGAAACAATGATAAAGTCGAAGAAATCAACGGGCTCAGAGGCTGTGCTCTCCACGTGAGCTTGCCATTCAATCCACGTTGCGCCGTCGACACGGCAACGCTCGGCAACCAAGATTTGAACGACTTCAACAAAACATCGCGACTCGAGGACCAATACTTTACTAGTATGATCGCAGTAGAGCCAAACTCAGTGCTGTGTTGATATCCATTTTCCCTCGATACAGCGAGCTCCTCTAAGCTGAATGCCTTTTGAATCAAAATCTCCAACGGTAAAACGGAGATTTACCCTACTCAAAAAGTACTCCATGATATTGACGATTGAGCAGTAGATACTACTGAAGGCTACTCGTCATGGCAAAGCAGACGAAGTTTGGTCCTTTCGGAGCTCACTGCATGGCACTGTAATGAACGAGAGACCATACGCGTTTCGACAGTGTTTCGACTCAGAGAAATCAGAGAGATACTACTAGTCAATCAGAGTCAATCACATGTATGAATAAGTTACTTCGAATAAGTTAGAATAAATTAAGTGTACACTGGCTTCAGCATCCCAGTAGCACTGTGTAACTATCTTCTATCTATTTGTGTTACATCAGTTAATCAGACCATTCGTCGTCTTTTGAAAGCTCTTCCCCCGACGAATGCGAATGGTTGTTCTGGTGCACGAGGCGAATGTGACGCAACATGTTACTACGAACTCCAAATCGACGACCACAATTCTCCTCCGGGCAGACAAAGTCTAAAAGTAGAGCCAATCATTACAAGACGGAATCGGGATGATATTTGATGCGAACCTTTATCACCTGTATGAGATATGATGTGTATCTGCGGAATGTGAATTCGTTGAATTCGCCTTCAATATGTAGTCTACTTACCTTCAAAGCGCTCGGCCTAAGGAATCCCTTCCCGCAATAGCGACACTCGTATTTGTTCGCCTTCGACGGACCCTCCTCCGGACGAGACCCTTGTCCGGCCATAGCTACGGGGGTGTATCCAGGGGACCGCTGTTCTACGCGTGAATCTTCCATGGCGGGAGGGCGGGAGGATCCGCTAGAAGCCGCATAGTACGAGGAACTTTGCGCATGCTGTTGAGGTGGAGGGACATAGGAGTATGGACTCGGACCATAGCTCAAAGAAGGTGCGCCGCTGTATCTATTTTCTACCCTTTCCGTGCGTATGACTGGAGACGACGCAGGCATTGTCATACCTGAGGGTTGATAACGTGATGCAACTGGAGAAGGTGTGCTGTATGAGGCTGCTCGGTTGACAGGAGGGTAAGAAGATCCACCAGGAGCAGATTGATCGTAGCGGGGCCTCTTCATTCGAGGGTCCTGCAGATCGAGAACTCCAGAAGGATTATTGAATGGCGAAGTTACATAAGCCTATAACATTTATTATATGTATGATGGAAAAGAGATGGTTAACCTGCTTACTCTGCTACTCCTATGACCGGACTGCTGGCTTCCTTCTTGGAAGCCTTGATCATGGCCAACCCGTAGAGGCGGTAGGGATAAATCCGAGCTAGAGGCAGGCCTGCTGGGGATAGTATCTGGGAGGTCGGTGAGAAGATATCATCATGTCTACAAAAACAGCTTACCAAGAATTTGCGAAATCGGCGGTAGAGTCACGTCCTGTGGTCGTTGTTTACTGGAACGATCTGAAGACATTATGGTTGAGCTGCTATTCTGGAGTTTGATACAAGAAAACTTTCGAAAAACAGTCTTTATAACACTTCACCTCAAGCATGGCCTGAAGCTATACAACATTGATGGCGCGAGGTTTGAGTCTAAGGAGAAGTTTGTTAGTTGACGGTAAGCAGTGATATTGAACAGTCCCAAGGAACTCAGTTATGCACCTGCATACCTAGAAAAGTGATGGCACTTGAAAGATAAAGGCTAAGAAATTCACGATTAGAGAGTAATGTCCCAAAAACTGCATGTTGTTCCTTGTTAATTGTGAAGTTGACGACTTTTACTTGCATTTCAAAAGAGTTGTGCAATAAGTGGCGAGTGCAGATAGTTGCGGAGATGGCGCAAGTGTCTAAAACAGGATCTACATGTGAATTATTATACAATATTTCTTGCCAAAATTTGCGAAAGTAACCTTCATGATTAGATGTTCATGTGAATTGTCATCACCTTCTACTCAATGTAGCGGCCACTGGTACAACGGAAAGAACATCTCAGCAAAAAACACATAACAAATCTCTTGAACCAGAAATGAAGGTTCATTGCCATCGACAGTCTTATCTCAACCCCACACAGATACCTGGGTATTGCCAAACCATTCAGGCAGTGAATTCCAAAATTCATCCCGGGCAGCTTCCACTTCGGCATGAAACTCTGAGCGACAGTATTCACATGGACGCAAAAACCCTCCATCACCTCTTTCATATATCATTTCGGTGTCCATGATGGTGAACAAAGGATCACAGCTACGGTGGCAGACGAGGCTATTCGTGGCGCGGAGGACATCGTAGAAGACGTTTTCAAATGCGAGTTGACAGAATCGTCGTCGAGGATGATTTCCAGTCTGCATATATATGCAATTGGAGGAAGGTTTCCGACCTTCAAGCTGGTTTACTAGGAAAGTTGACAGAAATCTGGAGGCATCTTCACGTCCTTTCAAGAGGTTGAATAAGTCTTCTTCTGAAAGACGATGACGTTCTACTGTTCCTGAGGCGATGTATCCTGCGGCAGTGTGGCTGATAGGGCTCCGAGAGAGATCATAGAAAGCGGAAGGTAAAAGCTCAGGTGCATTGACTGATCGTGCTAGATTGATGATGAATCTGATGTGCGCAAGTGTAAGGTTAAGATCAAGACTTTGAAAAGTCGATTACTCACATTGGATGAGGGGTGTATTTTCGAGGTTCGTATACGCCATCGGAGCTCAGCATTGCCTCCTCACGAGCATCCCATAGGGATAAACTTGAAGGCCAAACGATAGAGAATCCTCGCAAAAGATCATTTCGTAAACGCTGTACTTGATACTTGGTTGTGAGTCGCAGCATAGCAGAGACGATTTCGAAAGATTTAGTAGTAGACGACAGATCAGGTCTGTGCTTAAGCGTTAATTAGTTTGATTAGCATACATGTAGCTGCTTACATTCCATCATACAAGGCTATCAAGAAATAGAACATATCTTCTGAGCTGTCTTGGACTTCTAGCACTGGCCGACCTTCGAGGGAAACAAAAGTTGAGGCATCTTCAAGAGATTCCAAGGCAGTTCTGAGAACCGGAGAATGACGACAGAGGAGACCTTGATGCACGAGGAAATAGCATTTTCCAGCCAACAAGGCAATGTTACCATCCTTGAACGAAAAATCTGTATGTCTAGTGACAATTTCAAGCGAACTTGAGGGTTCACAGGGAGACATGATAAGCGAATGAAAGAGTGTGTAGGTTTAGTGAGTGAGTTTCGGCCAACGGCGAGACGCTAGAGATTGTGAAGTTTCAATTATAGTCTGGGCGCATACATGGAACGGATAGAGAGACAAAAGAGAGATACTAAAGAAGTGCTCAGTAATGGTCAGCCATTGTACAGTACTGTCAGTCTTTATTTGGCGAGCGTCTATTGCACTTGCGTCACATGATATGAGCACGGTTTTTTTTTCAATTTGCTTCAAAATTTGTACCGTCTCCTTGAATTATCCCCTACCTAGCCAGTTACATCGACAATGTCTGAAACACCCGTACAACGCCTTGTTCCTGGTGCTCCACCACCACCGCCTCTCACCAAGTCGCAGTTGAAGAAGAAGCGTAAATCCAAGACAAAAGCCAATGAGCAAGCAGGCGAGTCTCTCGTCGCAATTACCGACGCTAGTACTGTAGCACTTGTGGAAAAAGCTCCCGAGATTGCGGACATCCAAGAAGGCATTGTCGCTCCTGAATTGGTAGCTCAGCCTTCCGAAGCTCAATCGACTACCGAGGACGTGACACTCAAACTCAGCCCGATTGTGGATCTTGTCAATAAACGACTGAAGGCCACCAACAAAAAGATTGTAAGCCTTCAGATTCGACATCCTCCTACAGTTCACAAACTCTTCTGTTTTGCTCCTCCAAGACGCGCATAACGACCTATACTACTGTAGATCCCGCGACACTCAATGAGGATCAGAGACGCGCGATCAACTCCCTCCCGGCGTTGGAAGCTGTCTCAAAAGAGCTGTTGGAAGTAAAAAAAGCGGTAGAGGTGCGTTTCGAAATCATTCTGTAACTGATGTTATAAAAAGCAACTTCAGGTTCATGAAGCAGAACTTGCGATCGAGCTTGCTTCAAAACGACGCGCCGCCGAAGAAGCTGAGAGGCTTCGGATATCCGACGCTGTTTCTGCTACTGAGGTATATGCCTCCAGAATAATCCCGCAAGAAGAACATCCTATAATAACCCAATTTTGCAGGCTTCTAACGCAGAAAAAGCTATCAAACTTGTGGTTTTCCTTCGCATGCTAGCACTTCTTGCATCCGGGGAGCTCGACTTATCTGAATTTGGATTCAACCAGGAAGAGATAAATGCTGTTAATGGTGCTGGAGTAATACTACTTGGAAGTGATGCTGCAACCAAAGACGTTATTGTTCGAGAATTCCTATCTTCCAACGGTCATTTTGATGGTGTTTCTTGTAAGGAATATGTTCTGTCGATGTGCTTGCGTTTACTCTCCTGTTTCAGGTTCGCGGCTTTCGGAGATATGTGATCAGGTTCTCTCCCCTCCTGCTCCCCCAGCCGAGGCAGCTGCTCTAGATGCAGTAGAGGTAAATGAGCATGAACCTTCACACCATTCTGCAGAAGTCGAAGAGTATACCGAGCCGGAGGTGGCTGGTCTGGTCAGTGCTCCAATGACCACCACCGGAAGCTTCCATTTTATGCAGGCAAGCGAGTTAGAAACACCGTCTTTCGAAGAAAATGTGGAGTGGGTCGACACGGCTGACCTTGTAGATGGCTCAGAACAAGTAGAGGAGACGGAGGAGGTCAATGGTCATCTCAAGGAAACTCCTGCACCCGAGGTAGGCGAAAAATTAAATGCGCATGCTACCCTCACTGAAAAGGAAAATGTGCAGGTACCTGCTTCAAGTGAGCCTATGGATTGGGCTGCCGAGGATGACAACGAACTGCCTGACATTGACAATCTTCATGCTACTTTTGGCAAATCTGGCTCTGTCACGCCAACTGTACAGCCAGAGCCTCAAGAGTCTCCAGACATTATTGAGCCCACAACAAATGATCAAATCTCTTCCGCTGTCGAAGGAGAGGATGGGTTTACCCAGGCTCGCGGTGGACGTGGAAGAGGTCGGGGTTCACGAGGTGGAGACCGTGGCTCCCGTGGGGGCTTCCGTGGCAATGATCGCGGAGGATATCGAGGCGGTGAACGTGGAGGCTTCCGAGGTGGGCATCGAGGAGGAGACCGAGGTAAAGAAATTTAGTGCTCTCGGATGGTTTAACCATAATGACTTGACAGGTGGATTCCGTGGACGAGGAGATTGGAGAGGAGCTGATGGCGAGTTCCGTGGACGTGGAAGGGGCCGCGGAAGGGGAGGTCTGTTTATGACCTATATCTTGTCGAGCTCTGTCTGATCATATTTTATGCCAGGTTTTGCACCTCCCTCCCAGGCAGCATGAGAATTATAATTACTGTACTTTTGAAAATGCCTTAGCGGGCAAATGAGTTTTCCTTCGATGATTCCCCATTATTCTCTCGGACCTCATATTTTGATATTCATATCTTTAAATTATGTAGACCAGTGTTTGTATGCTGCTCACACCCTCCCATTCGTGTTTGTTTTGCCTTTCTCGTCTGTTTGCTGTTCCATTGTACAATTTGGTGTGAATTTTTGCATTACCGATTCTGTGTAGTGATTCCATTGTAGCTATATCCAATCTATCTCTGTATAGATGAAAATATCCAGCTTTGACCGTCCATTCTCACGACAATTTTATTCTGCATCCCCCATCTTATACTGCGAATCAGATGATTGACTACTCGTTATATCTTGTCACTGGTCGAGAATTGCTTCCTCAAGGACAGGTTCGTCTTCCTGTAGCCATTATAGCCATAATGGTCATTGACGTTATCAATCTTTTTGCAGGATTACTTTGATTCATTGGAACAGGTTACGCATTCGCTATCATAACCTTTTACTACCCTCACATGGAGTACATAGTCTCTTCAAGGCGGTGTTACCGTCGTGCAAATTCGAGAAAAGAATACGGACACTCGCGAGGCGCTTATGACATCTACATCCTGATCGAATACGATACTGACGTTCACAGTATACAGTTTCTTGATGTTGCACTGAGGTCGAAGGTTATCTGCGACCGATACAATGTTCCCCTGATTGTTAATGATCGTGTCGATATCGCTCTTGCGGTGCAGGCTGCTGGCGTACATGTTGGTCAATCCGATATGCCAGTCTCAATTGCGCGGAAGTTGCTGCCAAGGGGCACAGTCATCGGCGTTTCTTGCAATAACATTCAAGAATTAGACAAGGCAGTAAGTGATGGTGTAGATTATGTAGGTATTGGAGCGGTGTGGTCCACGACGACGAAGACTTTGAACAAACCAGTTGTTGGAGGTTCGTCAGGATTGCGTTTGCAATGCTGAAGATTTGACAAGCCTATTTCTTTCTAGTTCGAGGAGTGGGGGAATTGTTACGAAAGCTGGATGGGACTTCTGTCAAAGCGGTCGGTATTGGTGAGTGATTCAACTCCTATGTCTGTGCAGAGGATTTGACCTTCCATGAATATATGTAGGCGGAATCAAGCTGAAAAATCTATTACGAACTCTCCATGGAACTGTCAGCACAACAAATCGTGCGTTAGATGGTGTCGCTGTCGTGTCAGAGATAGTAGCCTCGACGCGGCCGCGGGAAGCTGCCGCAAAATTATGCGAAGTCCTTTCTGCATTCAGAAGCGGTGACTCTATCTTCAAAGCTATGAGAACGCGCTCAGAATATACCGCAGGGTCTGTGATAGATGGGGTCGTTCAAATTATGAGTTGTGTCCGAGACCACAATCCATTGGTTCATCAAGTCAGAAGCTCGCTATGAAGTTTCTGCACCGAACGTTCATTGAGTTCCTCTTGTAGATCACAAATAATGTTTCCATCGCACAATCTGCCAATGCTACGATAGCTCTAGGTGCTTCACCGATCATGGCCACCACTGTACAAGAAATGGAAGACATATCGCGTATAAATGGGGCACTTTTGGTCAATATTGGGACTTTAGTCCCCACTGCATATGAAGGCATGGTAGTAGCTGGTGAATCCACATTCAATCAAGTTTCAACCTGGATGATCATTCAACTGGTAATATCATAGGATCCTGTGCGAATGCTCAAAAGAAACCTGTTGTCTTCGATCCTGTCGGCGTTGGCGCATCTCATTTTCGTCAGAGTTCTGTCAATAGTATGTGCGAATTCGATGTTGCTTATTGACACTTTGATAACTAAAGAGCTTTCATCTCAGCATTGTTAGACAGTTGGCAAGCCAGTGTGGATTTTTTTTCTGTCGATAGTGAAATTCCATTGCTCACATCAATAGCAGGTGTCATCAAAGGAAATGCAGGCGAGCTCGCAGCTCTAGCAGGATCAAATGAGGTTTAATCACTTGCGTGCGCATTTGAAAGTCATTGATCCTCTGAAACCTTTAGGTACAATCCAAAGGCGTCGACACCATAGGGTCAGGATTTAAAGATCCTGTTTCTTTTGTCAGAAATCTTGCTCGGAAAGAACGCAAGCACATTGTTCTGCAAATGTGTCGTCACGTTGCTTATGTTCTTGGCACCTCTAGGCTGCGTGATTGTGATGAGCGGCGAAATCGATTATATATCGGATGGTGCCAATGTCGCCGTTTTGTCTAATGGACACCAACTGTTGGGTCAAATCACAGGCTCCGGTTGCATAGCTGGCTCGTGCATTGCTTCTCATTGTGCTGGAGCTATGATTTTAGCACAAGGGGAGGATAAGGAAGGGAAGCTAGTCATCGGTGATATTTTCCTAGGTGCAATCGGAGGGTGAGTCCGCTCACCGTTCGGAATATCATTCCAATTCTACATAATATTTTCATAGCATTTTGGCACTTACTATCAGCGCCGAATTGGCAGCACTGCGAGAAGATGTCAAAGGCCCTGGCACTTTCTTTCCCGCCTTGATTGATGAATTGTTTACGCTCACTCCTCGCAGTATACAAGAGCGAGCGCGCATTCAGATTCAATAAAATAAGGTTTGGTTAAATCACAGAGTGTATTGGAATCTCTGAATCAGAGTACGTTCGGCATAATCGCTTTTTGTTCAGAGTCTCTCATTATTAGGCTCCATTGTCGTGGACCACACCTTGCTTGGTGACTAATGTACTCAGAATTGAAAGGTAGATTCAATGCGGCGCGCCGCAAGTGTGTACATACTGTCAGAGGCCTCACACAGAAGTGTGCTGATGACAAGCCGGTGAGCTTTACAAGTCCATAGTGTGCCTGCACATCAAAATTGGAAAGGCAGGCATAGTGAACGTGAAGTCATATGTTCTAAGCTGGTTCTAAGAACGAACAGCAACTAGAGTATAATCGAGGTAGAGATGATGGAGGAGTAAAAGAAAGAACGATCTGAGGCTGCTTCAATTCCGGGGTAGCATTGTAAAGTACTTAGGGTGATTAGCTATCATTATAGTAGTAGATAACAATTTGCCACTGCCGTTTGGCTCTCTTCTTTGTGATTCGGGAAAATCAAGGGAAATCATTTGAAAATGAGTGTGGTTTTCATGTTCGATCAATTCTTTCTTGACTTATTACTTCATAGTGCGCCTCGGAGCATCAAGCCAGCGTTCAAGTGTTTGTTACGTGTCCAGACCCCACTAGAGAGAAATGTTCGCTGGCTGTTCCATGGGACGCCCAGTTTTTCTTACGCTGATTTGTTCAAAAATTATCTCAGTGTATGTACTTAGCGTCTTAATCCATCCGGGAAACTACCCTAGCAACAAGTTAATGGGATTGGTTAATTTTTCATCAATCAAAATATCAACAGTTCGCCAATCGAATGCGACATATATGCGCGGGCACATTTGACAATCATTCTTCTTCTCTTTTCTTCGATTCTCTCTACGTCTTGTCAATTTCTTCAGACCCTGGAGGCCGCGATCTGCAGGTCACAGTTTGTTTCAATCTCTTCAAGTCCTTCCTTTTAGCCCATCTATCCTTCCATTGGTCGCCTTTCGCAAGATGCCTTCGCTAATCTCTACAATCGAAGACTTTTCCCCAGTAATCATCTACTCTCCTGATTGGAAGCAAGGCTCTAGCCAATCGGATAACCTTGCGAGCAGGTGAATTACTGCTTTTTCCTGAGTCGTAGTCCTATGATACTGACAGCATGTATGCGGGATCAGCTATACTAGTTCGAGTTTTTTCGCAACCAGTACTAGTGGAGGCACAGCTTCTTTCACTTTCAACGGTACAGGAATAGAACTGTTCGGTTCGAAACGAGGGAATCATGGCCTCTATCAAGTCTCGATTGACCGGACAACTTTTCCTGCTGCCTCAGGAGAAGCTACGGATCCGGGTATCTTCCAGACGTCCCTTTTTTCGAAGACGGATTTAGAGCAGGGACTGCATACTGTGGTTCTGGAAAATCAGGGATCTGCGGGGCAGTTTGTCGACTTGGATTTTGTTAGTCCAATCTCCTTTCCAATTTCCTGCATTTCATGTGGTCACCTGGAATATTGCAGATCACTTGGCATGGTAATATTGGGCAAAGCAACGAGCAATTATTAGTCACCACCGTTCAGGATGATGATCCTTCATTTGTGTATTCACCTAGTAGTGCTTGGTCTGATACTCCGAGTGAACTTGGTTTCTTTTCGGGTAGTTCTGGACAGTGAGTATTTGCTGCCCTCGATGTACTGTCTTTCTGTCTTATCGAAGCTCATGGCGAATTCAAGTTTGACTTCAACTCCTGGTGCATTTTTCACTTATGAATTTCAAGTAAGCTCAAGTTTGTTTCAAAGCGATGCAAATGGGGCTGACCTGCTTTCTTTACTTGAAACTGTTAGGGTAAGTTATCCAGATCCTTCATTCTTATACGCCAAATGATTATGACTGATAATTAGGAGACGGTGTTTCATTGTATGGTCCCGTGGGCCCAGCCTATGCTCCCTTTTCCATCCAATTAAACGGGGATTTGTTGAGCTTTTCAGCCCAGAAAAGCATGAATGCGTCGCAAACCCTTCTCTATCATGCGGATGGTCTTGGTCCAGGTCAGGATCGCTATCCTCCGAAGGATTCCGAGAAATGTACTGATGATCGACTCCGGGTTAAGGATCCCACACCCTGAAGTTACTTTTTGAGCCTTCAGCTGCAGGTCAAATGTTCGCGGTTGATTTCGCTCAAGTTTACACGACGCCCTCAATTGCGAACAGGTGATTATTTGTATGCTACTATCGTGGTGTTTAAATACTAAAGTGCCAAATTGTTTTATCTCAGTTCGTCAGGTGGAGGTTCCGGCAGGTGAGCAATAAAACGCCCAATCAATAGTTTTCCACTACGAAATCTCATCGGGTCATCAGGCTCTCAGGTGGGGCCATAGCGGGGCTTGTGATTGGTCTCCTCGTACTCTGCGGTATCCTAACGGTCGGGCTCTGGTGGTATCTTCGTCGTCGCAGGAACTATAACGTGCGTCGTCGAGAGGGGCCAGCAGTTTTAGAGTCCGAGATAGGCATGAAGCCTGAGCTTGATCTTCCAAACTCTCAGTTTAACATCTCTGGGCCAGTGATGTACGAATATCGTGGCCCAACCCCCGGCGACAGTCAAAGTCGCTTAATCGGGGGTCCGGAAGTTCCCACTACGTTCATGGATTTTGCTAGTACTCATACATTATCAACGGCTGATGATGACTCTTCATCACAATATGTTGGTAATTTTCATTTCATTTGCGACTCTCAAGTACTTAGTTTGTTGGACCTCTAGGCGACATCTACGCGTAGTCTGACAGTGGCACGGTCTATCACCAATTCTACGTCTCCTCGTAGAGCTCCTTCAGGTGCCAGCTCAATGATCCAAATGCATCCCAAGGGAGGTACTTTGGCTTTACCTAACTCTGCTGGGGAGTCACTATCTGGGTTATCAGTTGAGCAACTGCAGGCAACTCGGATGGTGGTAAATGGGCGACCGCAAGACTTTGGTTCAGTATCGGAAGAGCCCACCGCGTCGGGTTCAAACGTCGAGTTATCGCATAGCTATGTTGATCATCATCCTCCCCCAGATTATCATCAGGCTACAGAAACTTATCACGGCTCTCGCTGAAGTTGGCTATGGATTGTGTTCGATTTCCTCTATTTAGTGCAAATACTGTCTGGACAGATTTTTATCCGGGGAGCCTCGTGTGCCATTATCGTTGTACATATATGTACAGTATACCCTCAACACAACCTGTGATCCTATACGTTATTACTATGTCAGGAAGAATCATATGTAATATATAGAATCCTACATACATATGCCAGGAAATTACTTATTTGTTCATAGTATATGTTAAACATACACTGTCACGAAATAACAACGAATCCGATACCTCATTGATGGTTTGCATTTCGTTGTACCCATACGAGCTCATACAGGCTCCTACAATGATCATGCAGCCGCAATTCATAATTATTGGCAGGTATCATTGCGACATACGGACTATGTTGTCTCGACTGCCCGTCTTTTGTTCAAAGACTGTAAGACTTGAAGTTGGCACTAAAACTTGATCATACAGTTACGGAAGATGAGGGTTTTTTGCCAAAAAAGAACATTAGGATAATTGGGCGCTTGTGCGATAAATTTGCTCACACTCTGTGACTGGTCTTTCATGCATCCTTGACGTCTTGCCTCACAACTATTCACCTTTCGACGTCTGCACATAGATTGCACATATACTTTACACATGTCCACTTCTTCGGTTTCAAGCTCTCCTCTTAGTTCGTCGTCCACTCAATCGAAGGGCCTTCTTTCGTCCTTGATAGTGTCTCCGGAGGTTGCCTCATATTTTATCGGTACGAGCTAGTCGTCTAATCAAAAATTCAAAATATTTAACGCCTTTTATCCTAGCTGGCGGGTGTGCAGGGGCTGCTTCGAGGACTATAGTCTCTCCCCTTGAACGGTTGAAGATAATTCAGTGCGCTTGAATCGATTCTCATCTGGTTTATTCACGACGTAGTCGGACTACTTCAGGCAGGTTCAGCCCCGCACATCCGATGCACAACCCTACAAAGGCGTCTGGCGTAGCTTGGTGCGGATGTGGAAAGAAGAAGGCTTTAGAGGATACATGAGAGGTAATGGAATCAACTGTTTACGGATAGTTCCGTATAGGCAAGTCTCGGAGCTGAAATGCTGTCTGTCCTATACTGATCAAATCTATTAGTGCAGTACAAGTGAGTGATTTCGCAATCTTTGTTGAGGTCTTGGATGCTCAAGACGACTTCTAGTTCACAACCTACGAAGAACTCAAAAAGGTTGACTTCTAGAAATATGTTTGTTAAGTACTACAATGCTGACGTCAATTTATCAGTTTTTCACCAAACATGGATCAAAAGAATTGGATACACCAAAGCGACTGGCCAGCGGTGCCTTGGCCGGAATCACATCTGTCTGTAAGTCATAACCAACTACATAGCGTCCGTCTTCCTAGCGAATTGATAAAGAGGTCTGGCTGCCATAGGTACTACATACCCCCTCGACATCGTCCGCGCTCGTCTCTCAATCGCGACAGCAAGTATACCCATCACTAAGTCACAATCACCAATCACCAATTCGACGTCAAATCTCAAGCCCTCTACACAAAATACGTTTCACACTTCATCTCATCCGTATACATCGCAAGAGCTGACTATGTGGGGCATGACGATGAAGATTGTGCGGGAAGAAGGCGGAATCCGTGGGTTATATCGCGGACTTGTGGCTACAGCCTTTGGTGTAGGTGGGCTTGTTTTCTCTCCTCCGATAATAACCCAGGTCTGAACTGTGGAGATTAGCACCGTACGTAGGCATAAACTTCGCGGCATATGAACTGTTGCGTGGTATCATAACTCCACCGGGACAAAACTCTGTAACGCGGAAGCTGACATGCGGTGCTCTTGCGGGTATGTTCCATCATTCATTCGGTCTGCCCTGTGAAATTATGACGATTTCATTGTACATGCAGGTTCAATCTCACAGACACTCACTTATCCATTTGACGTCCTTCGTCGAAAAATGCAAGTCACTGGTATGAAATCCAGCGCGCTAGGAGTCAAGTATACCGGTGCTCTGGATGCTTTGGTTGGCATTGTGCGCACGGAAGGAATTCAAGGACTGTATAGAGGGTTATGGCCTAATCTTTGTAAGGCTATTTTTCCATGCGTTACCACCGGTGAGCCCGACTGAAACAGTGTTCAATGCAGTGAAAGTCGCTCCAAGCATTGCAACATCGTTCTTCACTTATGAATTGGTGTGTTATCTTTTATTGTTACAGAGGCGAGAGCTAAGGTTCTCACAGGTGAAAGAGCTTTTGATCTCGACTTGAGAACGCTCCTTAGTCTTCGTTGGGCTATATACATACTATCCTTACTAGTACATTACCAGGATTTGTTTTATACTTATAGAAACTCAGGATTAGCTTGGGATACATGTATACCATGTAATAGTAACCTAGAATTAGCGCCGAAACTCAGGGCTGGCAGAAAAATAGCACAATGATAATCATTTTTATTATTCATACAAGCTCTCCATCAACATCAGGTCGCATGTCCTGCTCGTTGGGCTGTTGTCGTTGCTCTCAACGTTCAAGAGTACATTATACTATTGTGAGCCGCGACCCTTCTTAGCTGACCATATATCTGACGTCGTCAATCCCTTTAGAATTAGCACAGCTAGAACCTTCTAATCTACCTTGAGAAGCTTTCGTCAATCCTTGTACTGTCTATCAACGCTGCGGCCGAGAAATGTTCCCAATTCCGAAGAACAACCGGCCTTCAGGCTGGCCTGATACCTTCAGTTCTTCTCCATCCACTTCTACCTCGCTGTCGTCCTCGTTTTCCTCAGGCTCCGCAGCCTCTGACATGCTCCCACAGGACTCGAGCCAGTCAGATATCGTTTCATCGGATCATCTCGCCAACCACACCACACCGTTGCCTGCTCCTATTCCTAGGCATGCTGCAGGGCATGACTTGGCTCTCGCAGCAACCCGTCCTCGCAGTTCTTCTCTTGCAGTGGTCATGGGCCAAAATTTTAGCAAGCCCTCGGCGTCGCACAAGGGCCTTTCAATTTCTACAGCTGCCGCAAATACTGGTATCAAGCTCAAACGTGCATTTGCAGGTCGGAGGAAAAAGTCCGAAGATTCAACCAAGCTGTTCGCCGTGACAGACAACAAGGAATGGGACTCGCCAGCATCTTCTCCCTCTACGTCCTCACAGGTGACTCCCCCAGCATCGAAATTCCCGAGGTCTACAAAGCTAACACAGATCGCCACTCAGGTTATTGGTGGCGCGAAGAGAGCCGCCAAATCCCCTCATGCATCTCCAATTCCACCGACACCACCACCTAAACCTTCATCTATGCAGGTGGCCAAGTTGGTCCCGACATCCACTCCCATCTCGCCCCTCAAAAAAGTGGATAATCGTGGCTCAATTATTCCAATGAGCCCCGGCATATCTTCGGCCGTCACTTTTATGAGACTCGGCGAGGAGGAACGAGAGGCGGCCCAGGTGAATGCAAATGAGGCTGCCGCACAAGTGAAGGCAAATGAGGCTGCTGCTGCACAAGTGAAGACGAACGAGGCTGCCAAGGAGGTTCCGAAGGAACTTTCCAATAAAACAGATACTGAAAAGGATATCTGGAGGAAGAGTGATTCCACGATGAGCCATCACACAATACGACCTGGTGCAGGAGCAGGGCCTCGCTCCTCACGCCCAGTGTCAATGGCAGAATCATTACAGTCAAACCACACCATCGTGCCGGTTAATAAGCGCCTGAGTGCGCTCATTACCGACGCCGAGTTTGGACCTCCAGAGGAGGAGGACGATTCATCATTTGTATCGGCATCTGAAGAAATCACGCCAATACCGCTTAGTGCTAATACTTCATCTACCAACATCAAGGGTCGAAGATCCATGTCACTCAACCTTGGGAAAGCTACAAAGTTTGCCATCTCACCACCTTCGGCAACGAGCACAGGTGCTTTAGACCAATTAAAACCTAGATCTCCCCGCGAATCTCATCCTCGAATGACTCCGTCCTTGTCCAATGAGACCCCAACACTCACTCGTGCCGCTGCTAGCGGTATAATTGCACCGTCTAGCTCTGGTGTACAATCCACTGGTAACAACATTCGGGGTCGTCTGGCTGCATGGACCGCCACCAACAATGCTTCTTCTGAGACCTATCACCATCATCATAGTCACACTTCTCGTCCGGTGCCTCCTTCCGCTTATCATCGGAACACCCCGTCCCCTCAACCACACCAACGTAGTACTGCGATAAGTATCACAGGAAGTCTAGCACCTGCTGCAAATCTCGCTCGGCGCGCGGCGGAGAAGCTGGGTCGTTGGGGCTTTTCTTCAAACTCATCAGGATACTCTTCGTCTTCTTCTAGCACAGGCTATTCTTCTGATCATGCACTTGGTCGAACGACTTCCAATAATTCTTCGGGACAAATGTCATCGGGACGGGGCAAGCAGAGGCGAACACCGGACGCACCTTCTGGTGCTTGGAGTGTCAGTTCATCCGGCACCTCAGATTCGGATGCTCTTCTCGTTCCTGCCGGCCCTTCGTTAGGAACACAGATCAGAAGCCCATTGCGAAAGACCGCTGGAGGTGCAGCCGTTGCTGGTGGAATTGTATTTGGAAGGCCATTAACAGTCGTAGTAAAGGAAACGTCTGTAGGCCGTTCGCCAAACTACGATTCGAGTTCAGGCTTTGATCGGTCGAAAATGACGATGGAAACGCTGGGTACTATAACGAAAAAGCAATCAAAAGCTCTGGAGACTAGGCGGCTACCTGCGCTTGTAGTGAGATGTGCACAACATCTACTCCTGTGGGGAGTCGGCGAAGAAGGACTTTTTCGGCATGTTTATCAATTATCTGAGTGTGAAAAACACTGACTTTGATCGTTTAGTGTCAATGGCAGGCCCTCACATGTCGCAAAGCTCCGTCATGAATTTGATACAGGTATGCAACTGTTGCAGATTTTTTTCGTATATGAACCTCACGTATCACTAGGTGCTGACTATAACTTGCAAGAATGTTCGCCAGGGGAGCTCGACCCTCATGCAGTAGCGTCGATATTCAAAGCTTTCCTTCGTGAACGTAAGTTCGTCGTGTTGTATCTCATGTGACCGTTGCTAACATTACTGATAGTCCCGGAACCGATCTTAACACATTCCCTACTCCCTTACTTTGAGGCTGCCCTAGCCCACGAGCAAGCTACAAACGAACAACAGCTGCGAGAGCAACCCGTGTCACCACGCGCTATGTCTGGGCAACGAGGGCCTCCACTACCATCGGGTCCCAAAAACGGTCTGCAAGGCTTGCGAAAACCGCCTTCACTCTCGACCCTCGCAATGCCCAATTTGAGTGGTTTACGACCACCATCTCGTTCGCTTTTGAATGTCTTGAAGTCCCTTGTTCGTCAACTGCCCATCGAAAACAGGGATCTTATTTTAACCGTCACAGACTTGATAAAGGCTACTGCGAAGGAGAGTCAACATACGAGAATGCCATTGAATAATCTGTTGTTGGTGTTTTGCCCCAGCCTCAATATGAATCCTCCACTGTTGAAGGTTCTCTGCGAGGCCGAAGACATTTGGGAACAGGAAGATCCGTCACCAGTTCTGGATATCAAACGAGAAGATGCGATTCTAGATATCAGCCCAAGTTCAGATATTGCGGAAGCTGGACATACGGCTCGTCCAGACACCAGTGATACAACGGCGGCTCAGGAAATTGATGAAGGCTCATTATCCTCGGCATCAGCCTCCTCTTCTCCTCCAACTAGTTCTCGAGTTATTCATGGACACGAGCGTCTGAGCCTTGAACGCAGTCCTACGAGTGAAGAAAGGATCCGATCGAAAAAGCCTCATGGACCACGCCGAGCTGCTGCTGTTCCCCAGGTAGTTCCTGTAGATGGCACCTCACCTGTCGTCCACAACGAGTTACCATATCCTTCAGGTTCAACAGACGTATCGTTCGAATCGATGTCTTTGCGAGATGACGGCTCGTCGTATATCTCTAATTCCGACACGCGGTCTGAGTTTGCTTCATCTCCGTTTGAACGTGGAGTTCCCTCGCCCCCTTTATCTTCGTCGGTTGAGTCATTGAGAACACCGTCGTCTTCATCCGCAGGGCCTTCGTTGACCCATCTGCCACTTGAAAAGCCTCGTCTCGGGAAGTTACTTTCACCGTCCGAAGTTGAGATTGCTGGGGATGATTTCGTTCATCCGCGGAGGTTCCTCGATAATCACCTTAGTGGGCACATCAAGTTTCCAACGGCACCCGACGACTCACCCGTAACGCCTGTGTCACCCCGGATGTCTGCACCTAGTCTTTCCCTGGGCAGCCCTTCGCCGACAAACTCTGCGCCTTCTTCCCCAAGAGCGCGTCGAATCAAAAAGCCCTCATTGCAGCTCCTTTTCTCCAAGCGATCTGCATCCTCGTTGAAGTCGCTTGCTGACGGAAAACCAGTCATATCCTCACCCATTCCAACACCCTTGGCGCCGAGCTTATCATCGGATTCTTCTGTATCTACACCGTCGTCTGCCGTCACAGCTCAGTCTGTTGCATTCTTCTCTCCACCTGTGCTCGACACTAACATCGCAGCTTCGCCGCTCCGGTTCGGCCTTGGTTTCGATCCGCGACTCTCGCCAGATTTGCAAGTGCGAACTGCTGCCCAGACCAATGAGGAGCAGCATGTCGAAGATGTAGTCATAACTCCTGTTGGCGAGACCCCCATTGCCAATCGGTACTGCACCCCTGCTAGTTCGACGTTGTCACTTCCATTGTCGAGTGATGCTACTATGCCGTCTCATTTGAGGCCGTACCCTACAGCACGATCGAAGCTAACGTCAAAGACCTTGACATCATCTGCATCGTCTAACCACTTAGGTCTACTTGGTGACCAAGAAGATCAGGAAGATTGGACTCAAAGTGTTCTACTAGCTGCCGATGCAGGAGGTAATTGGAGCTGATCGACATACTATGGTGTTTTAGCTGTCCATCTCAGCTTTTCTTAATACATTGGCGCTATGGACTCCAATCTGCGGATCGTTTGTCTTATAATACTTATATATATACCCTCATCATTCGTCCTTCTTTGTTTGTCTCCTATCTGCATTGCTTCGTCCTTAAGTATACCTGTACATCTGCTCGTCTTTGCGTACATCTTCTCCTCGTTTCTGTCCATTACGCATCTAAGTAGTAAAGTTCATCAAGTATCCACTCAATTTTGCCAATGTTTGATCCAACGGATTCGTGTGAAGAGCAAATAGACAACTTATGAGGGGCGGCGGGACGAGTGAAGATTGAATAGGTCTGGAACATCGATGATCAACTGATCCTGCCAGCGGGCCTTCGTGATGCGACGTATCTTCGTTCATGTCATCTTTGTACAGCGTACTCAATGCACGGTTCGCTTAGATTTACTGTATACTAATTGTTGCCCATTTTACCTTTACTCATATGCTTGCTTTTCTCAAGCCTCAGTCAGTACCGAAGGGCAGAGGGTACTGAAAGTTTCTGAAAAGATGTCCAACGCGTCACAACACGTTACCGTATAAATACATCGCGTCATTCCTCCAGATTCCTTTGGCTCCCTCCATCATCACCTTTTATTTCTTCAGTCAACGACTCAGCGACGCTAGCTCTTTTCATCACGAATATTCACTCATAATGGCTTCTGATGCAGTGAAAAAGGTCCAACAAAAATTATTCAGAGGAGGTAATATTTCTAATGATGATGGCCTTCCTCGCTCCGAGCCGGCGTTGACTATCAACATTCCTGCTGTCCCTTCGACGCCGAAGCCACCTGCCGCTGCTCCTCCGAAGTCTACAAAAGTATCTGATCCATCACCTGACGACGATGAGCTTGATGCTCGTCAACAGCAAGACGATCGCTCTTACCGTGAACGCCTTGCGTCTCGGATTGGCGCTGATTATAAAGGCGTAGAGCGATATCGCCTTGAACAGGACGAGCGACGTGAAAGACACTGGAAACGTTGGGGCCCTTATCTTAGTGACCGTCAATGGGTAAGTATCTCCAATCTTTGCTTGTCAATCTAAATTATGAGCATCGTTCTAGGCCACGGTACGTGAAGATTACTCGGCCAACGGAGATGCCTGGAGTCATTTTCCTCATGAACACGCGCGATCTCGTGCTTACCGTTGGGGCGAAGACGGTATTGCTGGAATTTCCGACAATCATCAACGTCTTTGTTTCTCCCTCTCTCTTTGGAATGGCAAGGATCCCATTCTCAAGGAGCGCCTGTTTGGTGTCACTGGACATCAAGGCAATCACGGCGAGGACGTTAAAGAGCTCTACTACTACCTTGACTCGACTCCTTCCCACTCGTACATGAAATTCCTTTACAAATACCCTCAACGTCGCTACCCGTACGAAGAACTGGTTACTGAGAACCAGAATCGTAGTCGTGACGTTGCCGAATATGAGATTCTCGACTCAGACGCGTTCGATGAAGATAGGTACTGGGATGTCTTCGTGGAGGTAAGTCCTAGACGCATATATGCGCGTATCTTCTGACTTACATTACGTACCATCAGTACGCCAAGGACGAAGACGAACCAGATAATGTCTATATCAGGATTACTGCCTATAATCGAGGGCCTGATCCTGCAACTCTCCATATCATCCCCCAACTGTGGTTCCCGAACACTTGGTCATGGCCCTTAGAAAAGCCTCCCATGCCTTCCTTGACTGCCCATAATCGCAGCGGCATCAATTATATCACCGCCAAACATCCAGACCAACCTAAAACCCACCTTTATTGTCTTCCTTCTCCCCCACCGGTTGGTCCAGATGGCAACTTTGACGTTGATCCCGAGACAGAAGCCGTTGAACCAGAATTGCTATTTACCGAGAACAACACCAACTTTAGTCGCCTTTACGGAGGTCAGAATGAAACGCCCTACGTCAAAGACGCTTTCCACGACCATATTATTCCTTCTCATCGCCCTCCCCCACCTGAGGGTGATGAAGACTTCTTCTCACATAAGATCCGCTCTCGAGCTCGTGTCTACTCTACTGCTGGCTCCGAAGTCGACGATGACGAAGTAGAGGAAGGTCCTTGCACACCTTTTCCATCTGGACCTGATTTTGTGAACCCGAACAAGACCGGGACTAAGTCTGCTGCTCATTACATTTTCAAAGATGTACCCGGCCAAGGGGGCTGCTCTGTTGTCCGTCTCAAACTTACGCCTCTCTCTGTGAAAAAGGACCTTAGCATTGAGGACGAAGGTATCTTTGATGATGCTGTTGAAGCTCGTCGTCAGGAAGCAGATGAATTTTACAACTCCCTCGTCTTTGGGCCTATCAGCGATGATTTCAAACAAATCATGCGACAAGCGTTGGGAGGGATGCTCTGGACGAAACAGTACTACAAGTTCATTCAGAAGGAATGGTTGGAGGGTGATCCTGCTCAACCTCCTCCTCCTCCCGAACGCAAGTTCATCAGAAACCGGGTAAGATCTCTTTGAGCGTGCTCATCGACTGTCACTTGAATATTATCTTAAAGGATTGGCGCCACATGCATGTTGCGGACGTATTATCCATGCCCGACAAGCAAGTCGTATTTTACTACCGAGATAGATGATCGCCATCACTAACGTCGATCACTAGATGGGAGTATCCGTTCTTCGCTGCATGGGACACTGCTTTCCATTGCATTCCTCTTGCAGTCGTTGACCCTGCATATGCTAAGAAACAGCTGGATCTCATGACTAGGGAGTGGTACATGAAGCCCGACGGTCAACTTCCCGCCTACGAGTGGAACTTTGGCGATGTGAACCCACCTGTACACGCCTGGTATGCATGCGACAATTGCCTTATCATCTTTGAATTTTGATCTTTTTTGAATTTCCAGGGCCACTTTCCGAGTCTTCAAAATTGAACGCAAACTTTATGGCCGCGAAGACCTTGAATTCTTGGAAAGGGTATTCCAAAAGCTTCTATTGAATTTCACCTGGTTAGTCGTACTTCTTATCTTTTGATCTAACTCGTCGTTCTGAAAGGTTGTTTTAGGTGGGTCAATCGAAAAGACGCTGAAGGGAGCAACGTCTTCGAAGGTGGTTTCCTAGGGCTGGACAATATCGGCCTTTTTAACCGTTCTGAACCTCTTCCGACCGGAGGAAACTTGCGTCAAGCAGATGGTACCGCTTGGATGGCTTTCTATTGTCTGAACATGCAAGTTTTCTTTCATGATTTTCATCTTCATCTACTGAACGTCATATTTAGGCTTAATATTGCACTCGAACTCGCTAAACACAACCACGTGTATGAAGATATCGCTTCCAAGTTTTTTGAGGTTTGCCACAATTCTGAAAATCGCGACGATTCCTTACTAACCTTTTTTGAAGCACTTCCTTTTCATTTCTGATGCTATGACATACAAAGCTGGTGATAACGAATCGAGTTTGTGGAACGAAGAAGACGGAATGTACTACGATGCGATTTCATTTGGTCCCGGCAACACCATGCAGTTGCCTGTTCGCAGTCTCGTCGGCTTAATTCCTCTATATGCGACAATGGTCTTGGAGCCTTCGGTTCTGAAACGCTTGCCCGGATTCAAGAAACGTATGGAATGGTTCATTGACAATCGACCGGGGGTTTCGGACAGGAACATCGCCAATATGAAAGGTAAGTAAGTCGACTCATGTCTGTAAGCATCATTTCTTATCTTTTTTCTTCTCTGCTTTAGTCGGAGGAAGGGATCAGCGTCGATTGTTGGCGCTGGCCAGCAAAGAACGTCTAGTCAGTATCTTGCAGAAGATGCTTGATGAAGACGAATTTTTCAGCGAACATGGAATTCGATCGTAAGTATTTTTGATCATTATGGGCTCCTCAGTTGCTCAGACTTGGAGATAGATTGTCGAAAAAGCACAAGGACGAGCCGTGGGGCATGGATGTGCACGGTCAACGATACGAAGTCAACTATTGGCCTGGAGATTCAAAGTCGGGCATGTTCGGTGGAAACTCGAACTGGAGAGGACCTATTTGTAAGTTTCTGTTACTGGTGGATGATGCGCGATCCTCAATTTATCTGATATGTATTAGGGCTCGCGACCAACTTTTTGCTCATCGAAAGTCTTCAGCGTTTCTACCAGTACTATGGTGACGAGCTACAGGTCCGTTGATGCGACTGCGCGCGACCTGTGTTTTTTTTTCTGATACAAGTTGTGCTTCTCAGGTTGAATGTCCCACTGGAAGCGGAGATTACATGAACCTCGTTGCTGTTGCGGAGGAAATTCAACACCGTATTATCCATATTTTCGGCAGAGATATGCAAGGTCGTCGTGCCACGAACGGTGGTAATCCCAAGTTGGATCATGACCCTCATTTCCGTGACTACGTATGGTTCTATGAGGTGAGTTGTGGTATTTCGTCCGGCAAGATATTATTGATATTGATACTTCATCACCAGTTCTTCCACGCTGATGACGGTCGTGGTCTGGGAGCGTCGCATCAAACTGGGTGGTATGTGACCGAAACTTGTTTTACTATAGAAATTTGACTGTAAACTCGTTGTAGGTCTGGCTTGGTTGCGTATCATATATTGCAAAGTGGTGTCAGTTGCCGACTTCCTAAAACACCCCGAAGTAAGTGCTTTTCTCATATGTGAATAGCGTTTATTTGTTACTGATATTGTGTTGTTGAACAACAGCCCCTCGTAGTACAGCAAACCACTATTTCGATGTGCGTCTTATGAAGAGTTGTTATCCTTCGTTGTTATCCTGATATTAACCGGACTTTATACAGGAAACTATCGACTCGCAGTCTGAATTTGGGGATGATAATCGTTCTGCCTTTAGCATGATGAGCGCTTATGACCGCAACACTCTGGGGGATATCTCTCCCGATGCACTTTAGTTGATTGTTATGACGGGTTTTTTAGTTTTCGAAATGTTGTTGTAGAGCTCCAAGTATACTGTTACTACTGTAATTTTGATACCAGATCCGCTGAATGTAGACTATAGTCCAATAGAACGCTGGTATATTATTTTGCTTGCACCAAGTACAGTCTTGCGGACTTGGTCAACTGGCAAGGATTGTATCGGCATTTTTCTACGTCGCATCAAGACTCCGTTGACTAGTTTTCGACTTGGGCAGACCTGGGCAGACTGGTTTGTTGCTGATCACGCTCAGCAATTATTTGACACAGGTTGCATATGTTTTAGCCACAGTATCATTCCGATAGGTCACAGCGGATACCAGGCGGATACTAAGGTCCATTCACTTCTATTCACGTTCTGCTCATCTGCATATGAATACAATGTAACACAGTTCAAGGGAACGACCTCGGCGACCCGGGGGGCGCTGAGAGATTTTCGGTCATCCTCGTGCAGGGGCCATGCTAATCTTCTATGTCAGGCATTGTGAAAGAACATTACATTAGCATCGCCCCAGCACAAGGATGAACTAAAATTCTCCTGACCGAAAAATGCCCCAGGACCTGAAACTGTGCTAGTGCATTAGCCTGCAAAGAACTTTAAGAAGGTTTCTTGAGCGTCTTTTTGATTGTAAGAATGCCAGAAGAATGCCTTGCAAGATTACATGAGGATGGTACCAGTCATAATGAGCGAGACTGATACAGACGTTAACAGTAATATAAGGATTTGATTTACTCCAATCAATGCTGGCACTGGTTCAAATCAGCGCCTACGATGGTAGCGCCCATTCCCCGTAGATTGTGTACAATCATTTTCATGCTCCTCTCCTCGATTGTTGGACTGTTACATTATGTCCCCTTCGGGGTGACATACGAAAAAATTGGAACGATACAGAGAAGATTAGCATGGCCCCTGCACAAGGATGACACGCTTTCCCGGAGTGGTAGATCTACGGATCTCAATATTTATTTTGTTTACGGTTTGGAAGAGTTTTGGACCTTTTACGCAGAACTCAAATATTTCCCACGGTCTTCGACGCCTTTCTCTCCACCCCCCTTACGCAGAAGTGATTCTCAGAGCTTCAAAAGCCTCTCTTATGGTACTGCACCATGTTCTGAGAATGTGTACAAATTTTGAGATCTAACGGTTCAGTTATCAACACCTTGGGAAATTGGGATGTGACTTGATCATGACGCGGACCTCCCGTCCTCGTCCGAACCACACTCTGAGTTGATGCGCTCAATGCAAATCGTTCCAAAGGTCATTTTATTTGGTTCTATGCATATGTTTTTATCTTTGTGCAGGGGTCACACTCGACACTTTCACATAGTAGAATTGTCTGACCCTTCTAAGTATTACCAACTGGTTGACTCTCGTATTATGTGCCTGTAGGACTCAACTGTGGAGGCCCACAATCAAGTCAATCCTCTTGCACACGACACAAAATTTTGCACCACGCATTGAACACAGTATGGTCCAAATGTTTTTAGAAAAGAACTTTATGTATGTACACACATTTCTGCCAATTCGCTGTTGCAAGTTTTATTTTTATCTGTATCCAGAGGCCTTTTCATACGAGTCCCAGAATTTGAGATGCGAAATAGCATTGACTCTATATAATACATAAAATCCTGGATCCAAAGCCTGGCTAAAGCTAGCAAGATCTTCCGCAGACAAGAAAAAGAAAGAAAAGGAGAGAGAACACAGGTGATACCGATAGTTAGATCGTAGAAATCATGGCAAAGTAAGAGAGAGAGTATTTACCTCTTCAAACCAGAGAAGAGCGTGATCAGAGGTTGCCTATGAGAGAACGAAGGAGAGAATTTAAAAAGAAGAGATAAAAGAGGGTGGGGATATGACATGGAAATGATACAACGACGGAGGGAGGAAAATATAAGGAATGTGCAGATAGACGACCCGAGGTCCCGAATATAATTAAATGCAATGAGATGTGCGGAACACGATAGTAGATTTGGAAAGCGTGCAAGGAGAACAACGAAATAAGTGCTAGGCGATGCAAGTGATAAGATAATTATATGCATGAATAGGTGGGGGGGGATGGAAAAGAAAAGAACAAGAAATGTGTAAGGAGATAGGGGGACGGAAACTTCATGTAACAAATAATGTTACTTGTCCGCCTGGTCGATACTGTTCAAAAGCCATTTGAACATCCTCAGTCGACCCTAATGAAACCATATCACCGTCTTCATCCTTGTACTTGACACGTAGTGGCCCATCATCTCTCCGTGGTCCACAAAGACGTATTTTCCGTCCAACCTTCTCAACCAGATCATCAAACTCTGTCATTCGCGGTACCTGGATGACGAAAATGTCTTCATGGAAGTGCACTTTGACTTTAACAGGGTGACCAAAGGGTGAATGACCCACGCCATTTTCAAACACTTGCGATCGTGACGGACGAATATTGTTGACACCAGCCAATGAAGATTCGCTGGAACCGTAAGGGGTGATAGGTGAAGATGAATTGGGAGAGTAATCTGAGCTGTCGCCTGTAGACTGGCTGGAACCGCTTCCGCGTTTACTGCTACTCACAGAGGTACTTGGGCGCGAATTCCATTGTGCAGATGGTAATGGTGGAGGTGGTTCACTTTTCGGAATATATGCGGACGGCTGACTTGCACTGCGCGAACGGTTCAAAGGAGGTGGGTTGTAGACAGCAGATGCTGGGGTAGGGGGGATGCCCGAGCGGTAGTCGCCACTAGAATCATAGCCTGTTCGAAGCTTGGTCGAGCTGAATTGACTGCGAAGTGATGGCCGAGACAACCGTGGGCCATTGACAATGTTCCCAAAACTGGCATCAGATTGAGCGCTCATAGCACTCACGTTGGAGTTGAGGCGTGGGGTAATCGGTCGGGCAGAACCATTCATAGCAGAGAGATGGCCGTCAACATATGAATCGCGCTCGCTGGCTGTTGTAGTACGACGTTGACCGATCGGTGTTCCTCGTCCAGATGGTGCGTATTGCGCGCTAGCGGGGGGATAATCCTCATACTCATCCTCGTCGGCTTCAACATCGAAGCCGTCATGTGGTGGGTACCCCTGTGGACCTGATCCATATCCATTAGTCGGACCCGAGGGACCTTGGCCCTGCTCACGGTCGTAAACGCTACCAGATCGGCTGCGAGATGTGACACCGTTGGGCGGTAATGGATACGGAGGAACACTTGCAGGAGGGTTGAGTCGAGGGTTGGTACTGTTTTGCTGAAGGCGCGAAAATCCTCCTCGGTCAGAAGCCCGGCGTTGTGCGGCTTCCCGTATCAACCGGTTGATTGTCGACTCCCATTGTTTCATCTGATCCTCCCGGCGACATCGCAAAGTGAAGTATTCCAGGTCGTCATCCCCTTTCCACCACACCGCTAAAGGATATTGAGTTGGAACGCCGGAGGCTAAACATACATTCAATAACGCAACAAAGGAAAACATTATGGACATGCATACAAGTTGAATTTCGATTATTGCCTGTAGGAATCGCCTGGGTAACGTTCCCGAGGAAAATTCGGCCCTTGAGAAGAAGAGGAGTAGACTTCTTCTGGGGTTGACCAAATCCTCCTGGAAGCTGGAGAGGAGATGAAGTTCCTTGTTTCTTGAGTATTGAATTGCTCTTATTGACCTTCCTACCATTCGGAGGTGGAGGGAGAGCTTCTTTGCAACAAAGAATGATCTTTTCGAAAAGGAAAACATGATATTCCCTGTCGATTTCGGACTTTGTGACGATAAAGATATCATCGAGTAGAAGTTGCCCAAAGTTTTCCAAGTGATGACCCTTCCAGTCATCGACTCGGCTCTGCAGGTTTTTCACGGTTTGTTCGTTTTCGGCCTGGCGCTGAGCTTCGTTGATTTTATCGGTAATGCGTTTCGCTGCGTCTGAACCAGCTTTCAATTCATCATAGTAGGGGTAGTCGTCGGCGGATGATGCTTTGATCAAGGACTGTCGGCAAGAAATCAGCCTTTTGACACTCCACTCCCTGAGCCATTAAACACGCACATCAAGCAGAAGGGGATATTTGCAAACTCGCTGAACAGGTTTGATGAGGAATGCTGGCAATTCGCCTTTTACGTTGATCAGGTGATTGAGCGCCTGTCAGAACCATGATGAGTAAACATTGGAATTTGCCGATATTCATTTGGTCGTCAGGTCGACGATATTGGGCAGAAAGATTGGGAAAGGAAGACTCACCGCGAGACTTTGTTCATGGGTGAGCATGAGCTCCGAGGCTGTAGTATAGTTGCCACAGTAGGGTTCATACACGATAAATTCATCTTCCTAATGGAGCCGAAAGTCAATGATGAGAAAGGAAACATTAGCATATAAGCAAATGGCTCAGAATGGAACAAGGATACGTACGCTTTCAATGAAAAGCTGCCCCCAGCGTTGTTCTTGCCATTGAAGTTCGGCAGTGCTCTCAAATTTGATAAGAAATTTTCGCTGAAAGTTGAGCAGTTTATTAAGGCCGGGAAATAGAAGATGTATAGTATCCTGGTCGATGATGTTGCTCTGTGAGAGGGCTGTAGAATATTTCTGAAGAAAAACTAAGGTCAGTAGGTAAGCTATAGGCGTTACGGTTCAGGCGCACCTGCATTATCTCCAGATCCTGTACATACTTGCGCTCCGTCTCGACCATCTCACGAATGATATTGTTGCGCGCAGCTTCACGAGAACCTGCCGGTGGGATAGATACATGGGGGTCGGAAAGGGAGTCGAAGGAGTCATGAGAAGATATGTATGGTGGCGACGGAGGTGCCTCTTCGAAAACGTCTGCTGGTAGGTGGTCGACGATTGCCTTGACAGTTTTCACCACCTGAGAACAGTGTCAGTAGCAAGAAAGCTAGTAAGATCGAGCGGACAAACCTTGACAAGACCGTCGTTTGATGAGCGAAGCCATAGCTCAGTTACTGTAAATGGCTCGCAATCTGGGATGTGTTGGGTAACAGCTTCAGAAGTGAGCTGCATAGCAAACATGAGGATACTGTGCTTTTTGGCACGATCTGGATTCTGCTCAAACTTTTCGTTGAATTCGGATTTGTTAAGTTTCTTGAACCCTTCATCTTCGGGAAGCAAATCGAAGAGGTAACACAGAGGTATTCCTAGGGAAAATAGGTCCCATAGTTGAGTTACGGGATCTGTGGACTGACGAGAGTCAGAAGAGGAGGCGAGCTTGAAGTAATAGTCGAAGCCTCGAATTCGCATTAGACGGGATCTTAGACGAGAGCATTCTTGATATAGAGAAGTAATGGCAGCCTGATTCAGAAGAGTGTTGTTGGCCACTGGTAAATCGATAGGCAAGCCCGCACTGGAGACAATGGATTTTTTTCGGCCTGCGACGGAAGCCATAGCTTTGGGCGGGGGAGTCGACGAATGAGTCGAAGTCGGTGGACGTTGTGTACAAGGGTAAGGGCGGTGAGAAGAAGGCAACTTTCCCAGCTTGATTCCAACACAAACAACTTACGTAACGACCTGTTTTGGATATCTTTTCATCTCATCAAATCGCTCATGAACCATTGTTCTCCCATTTCTCTTTTGCTTCTATAGCTTTGTATTCTTTTGTGTACGAAAGCCGGTCTAAGCCTACTCTAGCTCCTTGTAGTACTTCCCTCCATTTTTGTCTTTCCACCTTGTTGAAGCCTTTTTGCAAGTTTCCCGACACAAATATTTGCCATCTTTCGTCTCCAATTCTTCAATCAGTTTCGAACTTGGTCATCTAGTCCATCACGCGTCTCCCGCCGGAAATCGATTATCTCGCCTTCTCTAGCTTATCGGGCGAAGTGCCCTCACGCCCATCTTAGATCCGAGTGTCACATCTGCAGCTGTCCTTCGGAGTACAGTGTAAGTAGCTGCAAAGGCTGTACATACCCACCTCCGAAAACGTCTAGCTAAAAGTTGTATGCGGTTCATTACTTCCTTTCTAAAGGGCCAAAGATATTCATGATATCAAATGAGTTTCATTAAACAGGAGTATCTGTTTCATCTTTCCTCAAATTTGTCCTATAACTGGTGTGGTCATTCCAAGTCATTACTCGCTTTCGAAACACACTGCTTAGTGCTACCTGTGCTGATACTGATTAGTCCTTTGGCATCACGATAATTCTCGACTCTACCACTGTGGAGGCCCCGTGAGATTTGCCCGCCGAGTCTCCGACTGTGGAAAGTGTTTAGTAAGTACTTCCGTGAAGGTTCTGGCTGCTGAGCGCTGCCAGTGAATGGTCACAAAAATAAAACTCCACAAAGTTTATATTCATGGACAAAATATGTTTCGATAGTCCAAGAAAGGTAAGTATGTCTCTATCCAGGAGAAGATGTCGAACCAGAAAAAGTTGATATAAATATGCCACATGAATATTGCAACTTCAAGTTTAGTACGTTCATCAACTTTCATCAACCGTCGCTTTTGCAATTAGAATCCGAGGTGTAAGGTTGTATGTAGTGAGAAATGTTCACGAGAACCACAATTCCGTGATTACAAGGATGCAGTTACCGCTTTAAACCGTGCCCCATTTCCACGACACGAAATCGCTATACAGCGATGGATGTCCATCCTGTTCTAAACTTTATCCAGTCATGCCTGCCGCATTCATGTACTAACATTTAAGCTTCAGTTCTTACATCCGACTAACGCCTTTGAACAGCAGCAGGACAGGAAATATTGCTGCTGCTGTGCGACGGTTTGAGGAAGCTCAAATTTTTGGATAAACTAATAATACGTGAAGTGCCATGGGAGCGACGCTCGCTGACTGATTTCGGAAGTTATCATCTGAGAATGAGAGTAGAAGGATGTGGAGAGCTCAGGCTGAGTGCTACTAGTAAGATTCCGACCGTTCTAAATCTGTATCCTGTATCAACTTGTATCATAACTAATGTCCTTCCCAACTCAACTGATGACTCAATCAATCTTTCGACCCAACTTGCATCAACACTCAACACCGTTGACAATGTCGATATCATGTTCATTCACAGGAAGTAGTGTAGAAGATGTAGATCCTCCGCCGTTGATAGTATGACGCAGTCATAATAAGTATGAGTATAGCTACTATTCTCAAGTTTTCCAGTGTGACTTAGGAGTCAACTTAATTAATCATAACTCCAGTTACTGTTTTTGGTTTACATTCGGCAGCAAAAGTGAGAACATCAATTAAAATCAATCCAACGCCCATAGTAGCGCATCAAAATTTCAAAATGGGATTCACCTGAGCCATCTAAACCAGCCTATACTTATGTAGCAAAGAAATTGTGTGAAACAGAAGGAAGACAACGTTCACGTCGGTGTGCTGCGCAGAGAGTTAGCAAGGGGTAATTCCACCCGCCACGCCGGCATCGGGTCAAAAAAAATTAGTCTGTGTTCTACATTCTGAAAGTGAGTGCGGACTAGTGACATTATAACAGGAACCATACTAGTGAAGCAGGTTGTTGACCGGTATAAGTTAATCTACACCCTCAGGTTTTCCTGTGCTTCTGGTATATTCAACCAGACTACTATGCTGAAATAAAGCAGTAGCAGATACTGGCGCCTTGAGCTAAACCACTTAACGATCCATCTTAACCAGATCTGAACGTTCAAATGTTGATTGCACATGTATAAGAACCAACGTCGATTTGATTTTCACACTTACACACTCCTCATGCCTCCTCCTCATACGCTACGGAATAGACACCCCCATTAGGCTGAGGCCACAGGCGGATAGCGTTTGGCACATATATGTATGGGTACTTAGGTGAAAGTCTCCAAATACGACATGTATCAAGAGGTGGCCGCTCCGAAACTTCGAGCTCCCCGAGAGAAGTACGAAGGCATTACGACAATCAGTTGTCGTACAGTCCGGATATAATCTGACATAGTCATCGGACGAGGGAATGAAGGAAGCATAATTACAACATAGGAGCCATTTCAGATGCTGATGGAGAAGAAAGACATAGAAATACACGAGGTAGTATACCTCATACCGCAATAACCTCGAGATCGCTATCTGTCAATCTATTGGTAGTACACACAGCTTGACAAGTTGGATGCTCTACGCTAAGTTGACGGTAAATTTACAGCTGAACAAGATATGCGAATGATTGTTGTGTCCTCGTAACAGCTATCTGGGTCGACAATGACAACGACAACAGCCAAGTCTCGCGTATGTCGATAACGTCTACTTGAAAGTTGAGGCGTTGAGGATCGGTCAAACATCAAACGGCGCTAATCTATGCCGCGGTGTCGTCTTCTTCATCGATATTCTCACTGTTCTTGAGCCTCTCAATGAAATGGTCAATCTTGGCTTTGTGTATCCGATGATGCTCTTGCCAGCCTTTCCAAGGATGGTGAGGGTGCTTGAATGATAAAGTACTATTTAACCACGAGGATACTAAAAATCAATGTTGTCTGGACTTACCACTCGAGCAAAAGCTTGGAATATCTTATCCGAGGTACCATCTGGCTTATTACAAAAGTGCTTAGCCAGGAGAACATCATCACTCCGGCTATATCGCAACTTTTTGTCTGGCGGGACAGGAAGAGGGTCATCATTCTGTGAATGCTGAAGCTCATGCTTATGTCGTCGCCAAAATTTCATCCATGAAGCGCGCGAATGATGAGGTGCCTAATAACAAAAAACACGTACAATCATTCCGAATGTGAGTCATGGAAAACATCTGCCAGACTAACTTTGGTCGCCACGTCCTTCCAAAACGCCACCATATCCAAACTTCCTTCTGATTTACGATATTCCATGTACCGCATGAGAAACGTCACGTCTTCATCCGTAAAAGCTACACCTTTGCCCGTCGTACTACGGAACAGTGCTCTTGGAGGAGTAGGGGACCGAGAGCGGGGTAGACTAGAGGAAGCTTCTGCTTGCAACCTCCGTTGTGCAGCAGCGATTGTTCCTGGGCCAGGCCCAGCTCGCGTCGTAAGCTCTTCTCCGCCTGCCGTCTCTCGTTGAGCGGGAGGCGTCTGTGACCTGTCCGCGTTCATTGCATATCCACCTAATCGTATTTGATGCTTGTTGCAATATCGGCGCCACGAATAGAATCTTGAGTCTTTCTGTCAGGCAAATGATATCTGCATAATGGAAGAACTAGCCGTACGTATGATGAGGTGCCTTTAATGTTGGAAAGATCAATATAACTCGAGATCGAGCATCTCAAAACGGGATGTACCTTGACAGCGATTCTTTCACATATTTCGCGCAAGCTATCAACGGAGTTATAACACGTTAGCACAGGGGTGTATTCAATCCATACCTGAGCACCAGTCCTTGATCCTGGCAGTAATCTATGTACTTTTTTAAGTAGAATACATCGTCTGCAGTGAAGAGGTTGCCTCCATAGGTACTCTTCACAGTCCGCGTTGGTGGCGTTGGTGATCGAGCGGGAGGATTGCGATTTACCACCAGTGCAGAAGCTGGTGTTGCCGGTATTGCCTGAATTCGTACGTATTCAGCTCTGAAATTTAGATTTGAACTGGTCCCTTACCGAAGCACGAATGCGTTTGCGTCCTCTAGTCTTCTCGGGATATTCGATTTCTTCTGTGGTAGGCTCTGGAGGATCAGACCTTGGATCCTGGGCGTAATCATTTTGATCATACGTTTGGTCATACTGCGATAAATCCGTGAATTAGTGGGAAATACTGAACAAGTACTCAATCCACGAACTGGAACCGCTGGAGTGTCGTAGTACGCTGTAGATGCCCAAGGCGATGGGTCTCGGTAGCGGTAATCATACGCAGCAGGATTCACAGTTTCGGCATGAGGATGTTGATTGTACTCGCCCCAAGCGTTTTCTCTATATGGTGGACGATCCAAAAGCTGTGAGGGGGTAGCTGCATGCGTCTGGTGAGGTGCGATACCGGTAGCTTGCCAAGTTTGAGGTGGTGGTGTTTGTAATGGTCGCTGGGAATGTAAAGATTGTGCGGGAGATGCTGTATAAATTGAATATGGGAAGTGATTTTGAGCGTGTACAAGTGAATCTACATGGAGAGAAGGGTGAAGGATCTGAGAAGGGATAGGGGCAGGTGGAGGTGGAGGTGGAGCGATCTGACGAGCTTCCTCTATTTGGACCGTTTGCCTGTCTCTCCGACGAGGAGAATCCGGATTAGTGACAGTCGCAGGAGGTTGGGACAGAATATCTGATGGTGTGAGTAAAGCTCTAGAAGAAATGTGAGTTGAATGGCCGAAAATAGAGTTCTTTTTGCACATACGCTTCCTTTCCAGTAACTTTGCATCCAGCCCAATTAGTTTGAAATGTTTGAAGCTGGCGTGCTTTGATACATTCATGGACCCAGCGAAAGTTGAGTATGATCTTTCCCTTTTTTGAAGCATACTGGCGATAAAGGTTTTGACCAGAGGGTTTGAGAGGATCGACTGTTGCTTATCGTCAGAATATGTGACAAAACAAACGATTAAGCGTACCCAGTATGTATGGCACTCCGCTGTACCCATGAGAGACGCTTCCGCCGTGCTTCTAGATGCCAGATCATTATTGGCGGCTCCTCTGAAACACGCGACGCGACCTACCGTAATCAAGCCGATAATGACATCTCTCTCCTGGACGTCCTTTTCAACATACATGGCCAAAGGAGTGCCCAACATAGGGTCCAAGAAAAGTTCAGATAAATCATCATTAGAAGATGGAGGTAAGGAGGAAGAAGGTTCAATAATTCCACGATGAAGTCCAATGGAATCTCGAGCTGGTGCCATGGGTCTCCCGTTCTTCGCGTTGAGTGGTACAGACCAAGACCCCAAAGCTTATTACATGTACAGTAGGGACCGGAATCCGGAACAAGTTTGCCGGATTTCCACGGGGTTTACAAATACCTTCTCGCCGCTCGGTACCGAGTCGTCATAATAACCTCCAGCACAATCCCAGCAAGTCCTTGCTAGGTCTTAATCGTTCAACATATCTGAACCCGCTGACAATGTCCAATTCTTTTGAAGCCTTCCTGTAAACAGCGATACTCATATTGCGATTTAATATGGCCGCCGAGTCGCACTTTTCCTCACGTGTCTCCTGTCGGCTCCTACTCCTCCATAATTAGTTTTCTTTACCCACAAATCCACCATATCAGATCTATCGAAACTTGAAAATTGCTTTCCTTACTCATTTCTCTCATTGAACCATGGCGTCCAAAATCACAGCTCCTGCAGATTACAAGACGGAAATGATGCTCGAAGCCAATCGGCGTGCTCATGAGCATGGCATCGACCTTTCCAAGCTCCCCCAATTATTAGACATGAATGCGGACACTATCACCGATAATGTTCATTCCATCAATGCGAACTGTGAGGTCCTAATCGACGTATCTGTTCAATTCATCGCACTGAATGTAATGCAGGTCCTGACGATCGCATGAAGTTTGTCTTCAAGCATTTGATACAACATCTTCATGATTTCGTTAGAGAAACGTCGATCACTACTGAGGAATGGATGTACGCGTGCTCACGCTATTGCAATCGGTTGTCTCAAAGGAATTCATGAATTACGGATACTTACAGGAGTGCACTCGAATTCCTTAAAGATACTGGCAAAATGTGCTCAGATATTCGCCACGGTACTACCCCGTTCAAGTTCTCTGAATCACACGGCTAAATACCTCCTTTTCAGAATACATTCTTCTTTCCGATGTGTTGGGTGTATCAAACCTCGTTGATTCCCTCAATCACGCAAAACCTCCTGGCGCAACCGAGGCCTGCGTTCTAGGTCCATTTTACACAGAAGATGCTCATGTATTCCAGAATGGCGACAGCATCGCTTCAGAAGACAAAGGAGATTACATGTACGTTTACGGAAAGGTTACGGATACCAGTGGGAAACCCATCCCTGGCGCGATTATCGATACTTGGGAGACGGATGGACATGGCCTGTATGACACTCAAGTGAGCATTCACCTGAAATTGGAGCGAATAAAGCCGTTGTTATTTCCGCCATTTTACACTAATACGAATAACGCGCGACCTTTATTCCTAATTTGCGATAAAACCTCCTTCCGCAACTGACTTACTGACCTACGATTGAATCTCACAGTACGCAGACCGCGCAGAACCCGATTGCAGAGGCCGTTTATTTTCTGCTGAAGATGGGAGCTACGCGTTCCGTGCTGTCGTTCCGGTTTCTTATCCTATCCCGTCTGATGGTCCTGTTGGCAAGATGGTCTCTGCCCTTGGAAGGCACGTCTTCCGCCCTGCGCACTTGCATATGCAAGTTGATGCTCAGGGCTACGAGAAACTGACAACAGCGTTCTATCCACGAGGGGATCCTTACCTGTACAGCGATGCGGTATTCGGTGTTCATTCTAGTTTGATTGTGGTAAGTGCTAATTTGACCGCCTTGCGACGCTTCTGTGTCATATTCATTCTGTGCAGGATCTCCAACCAGTAACCGATAAGGAGCTTTCTTTCAAACGAGGTTTCAAAGATGGAAAGCCGCACATGGAACTAAAACGAGATCTAGTTTTAGCTACTCCCGAGGAAGGTCTGGCGGCTCGCAAGAAAAGTATGCCTGCAGTAAAGCAGGAATGAGAGTTGTGCGTGGTGCCTGGATCATGAAAAATCTGGAAGGATTTATGTATATGTATACGTATCTTGTATTATGTATATCGCATGAACGAAATCGTTATTTGTTACCGGTGGAGGCGTCATGCATTTAGTAACAGTGAAATTGCAAAACGGGTTTAGCAGTTACAAGTTTACAGGGAAACGATGCCGCGCCGCCGCGGGCCTATCTCGGAAAACCGAATTCCACTTACGAACCACCACTACGACAATCTTAGAAATGCCCGAGTTTCTTCATCAGGATCAGATAGACAAGGTGTGTCGTAGTATCGAAATATTTCTGAAATTACACCTTAGTTCTACTCCAGTTTTACCGGAACGGGTCTGCGTTCATCTAGACCTCGAGACCTTCTCTCTAACTTAGATACTGATCCAGTTACCTACTCATACCGGGATTCCTCAGTCCCGAGGAAACAAACAACCTGCTTCAACGATCCAAACAGCTCATATCTGAATTCCCTATCGAATCCCATCCCCGGGTAATCCGCGTCATCTGGATGAACATGTTGCTTGTACTTACCTCTCTCTTCTACGCTTTCAAGACAAAATTCACAACCGGAGATGAAAATCACGTCGGCGATAACTATTTCCTGACTTCAGGGGATAAGATGTAGGCCTACACTTGTCGGCGGACTCCTTTCGAGCCTCTCTCAGATACCTTATTTTGTACTTAGACGCTTTTTCTTGGAAGAAGATGCTGTTGATGGTGATGGTAAACTGAATAGAGAAAAGGAGAAGGCTGTCAATAAAATAGGGCATGGTGAGTTGTTGAATGACTGCAAATTGAGTAGCTTTGACCATGGATCCCGCAGCATTACATGAACTCGATCCTGTTTTCCGAAAAGTCACATTGGGGAATCAGAGGGTGCAGGCTGTAGCGCGCGATCTCGCCATGCATGTTGATCCTGTCGGTATGCGCTGCGCGCGTATTTTGTCCGTGATATTCTCCTGAGCCAGGCCATAGCACTACAGTCGATGGTTATCTGTAAACAACCACAGATTGGTGGAGAAGGTGTGTATCACGATGTTGCTGTATGAGAACCATCATACTTATCATGGAATGACGAACTAGTCGGGGAACACAATGATTCGTACGTCCATCGTATTCCGTTCACTAAAAGTAAAGTATCTAAGACTTGGATATCGTGAAATACAGAACCTTCTTAGTGAGTTGTCGCAATAGATCTTCCGTCCAAGTATGCTCATAATAATTCACCTCCAGTATACTGATCCCCCCTCGGCACTGGGATTTTGGTTTGCCCTTGAGGAATGCACACCGCTCAATGGGGCCTTATCTTTTTTGCCTGGATCTCATCTAACTACTCCGATTACAAAACGCTTCGTTCGGCTTCCGGAGGGTGGAACAGGGTTCGAGAAGATAGTTTCCCCCGAGGTTGAAGCACATGCGGCATCAGCTAAGGGCAAATACATCCTCGAGGCCTGTTCTCCGGGTACGTAGGATACCAACACTATGTATGTCTCGGATCCAAAAACTAATGCATGCTCACCTAGGTGATCTGGTTTTAATTCATGGCGCAGTCCTCCACAAATCTGAGCGCAATACAAGCTCTCACACTCGATTTGCATACACATTTCATATGATCGAGTCTTCTCCACGTGCCCTTTACGATGCCAAGAACTGGTTACAACCAACCCCTAGCATGCCATTTTCTCGTGTTCTGAACGAGCCCAATCTGAAGTTGATAAACCCAGCCCTTGCATAAACAAGGCCCGCTTTATTTTATATCGAATCCAGAGGTTTGTATCATATAGGAACGCATTCAAAATGTTATCCTTCGAGTCATATATGTATCATGATTTTCAGTCCACTATTTGGGAAGTAATCCTTCTTCTTTGAGTTTGGTTACCGCTTCATCAGCCACGCGAAAAGCCTCCATCCCTGTACTACATGAACAATCAATCATAGGAACGCTCTGCTCTGCTCGGAAAATCGACGTACGGAATTCCGCACTGGATGTATTTGGCTTCGTCAAAAGGGAAGTATCGGACGAAAGACAGAAGAAACGCGCACATATACGGATGTGTGCAATAATGTCTCTCTAATCTCTATCTCAGACGCGCCGTTCTTTACTGCACCTCTACAAAGGGTAGATGAAGAAGGCAAAGAGAGGAAATCAACATGGTCTACCGTATATGGCCTGCGAGCTGTAAAATGATTTAGAGCATCCTCTGCGGCAAATATTCTCACTACCCGCACCTCAGCCTTTTTCGCTTGGAAGGCAAGCAACGCTAAGTTTATCAAACTACGCTGTTTGGGCTCAAGACCCGGTCGACTCCATATGGTACCCCAGCCAACCTGTAAGGATTCGTAAAACACAGAATCTCAGATACTGACATCGATATGAACTTCTGTAGTGAGCTGAACAAGTCAGGATCAGTCATATTCGAAATATTTTCGAAGATTTCGTATACCTGTTGCATTGGTTTCATGAATTCCGATTCCCCCTGCATTTACGTTCAGTATCACCATGAGGAGATATGCTAATTTTCCACCTTCCGCAATTGGTTGTCTACATACTCATCCCCCTGTCATTCTACTTCGTCAAATAATGTAACGACAGTGGTTGAACATTATCTGCTTGCCATGACTTTGCGACGCATAACCATACCAGCATCGTACAACTCTTGGTGGGCTTTCTCGAGTTCGTTAGACATTCCTCACTAGTTTAGGAAAAGAGCAGAGATAGACCAGTGTGACTACTTCATTTTCTGATTATAGACAGGGTTCTACGGAGCCCCGTCGCGTTCTCACACCGTGCCCTATGACCCTCGCACGAACGAACGGAAGGACAGATATTTCAATGACATGTGAGCCTGTTCATTTCTAAGATACACGCTTTGAAATGATGACTGCTTGATTTTCAAAGCTCGATACCAACGTCGCCTAGGTCAACCATGTCTAAACCTACCAATGTTTTTCCACAGCGCTTTGGATGGGTAGGTCTTGGGGCGATGGGATTCCCGATGGCTAGCCAACTACTCCAGAAATTACCACCATCTTGCGAACTCTTCGTTTATGACATCGATTCAGTCGTTCTGCGGAAATTTATTCAAGCGAATGCTGATCATCCAGCTATAACGATGGTGTCATCGCCCAAGGAGGCTGCTGAGTACTCGGTGAGTAGACCTTGGAACTTCAATCCAATGAACTTTTGCCATAATGCACACAAAAATTAGGACTTTTTCATCTCGATAGTCCCAGAAGGCACGCAAAGAATAAAAATTAGAAAATGATGTTTCTATACTCATGATTACTGGTATCCCTTTGCAGGTTCACATGTCAAAGACGTGTATATGGCACCGCAACGAGGGGCACTAGCTGCTAATACTGGTGGAAAAATATTCATCGATTGGTGAGTAAGTCCTTCATAAAAGGGTAACGCAGAAGCTGACATACTGATGACATTCTCTCAACAGCTCCACCATTGATCCCGGAACCTCGTTGGAGGTGGGACGTGCAGTAGCCGCTTCTCATCCTACAAATCCTCCTCGATTCTTTGATGCCCCAGTTTCCGGTGGTACCCGTGGCGCAGAGAAAGGTATTCTAACATTCATGGTAGGAGCAGCGGAAGACGATCCCCAATTTGTGCTACTTCGGAGGATATTTTCTTGCATGGGAACTTCTATATACCCTATCGGAGGACAAAGTCAAGGGCTAGCTGCGAAATTGAGCAACAACTACCTTTCAGGAATGATAGCTCTGGCGACGTCCGAAGCAATGAATCTCGGGATGAGATTAGGCATAGATCCAAAGGTCCTTAGCGAGTGCTTTAAAACTAGCTCTGGTGGAAGCTGGGTCAATAGCACCGTCAACCCTGTTCCAGGAGTTTGTCCTGATGCAGTCACGAGCAAAGGATATGAAGGTGGATTCAAAGTATGTATTTAGTATCATTATTTTAAGATATCTTATTTAAAACTGGATAATATCAACGCAGATACAGCTGATGAAGAAGGATATTTCATTGGCAATCCAGGCAGCGAAGACAGTAGATGCAAAGCTAGTCCTAGCAGACGCAGGGCTGGGTGCATATGCTGCCGCAACGGATGACCCAAACTGCAGAGATAGAGACTCTCGTGTAGTGTACAGATGGCAAGCACCTTCGCTTTATACTCGAATGCTCAGCTTTGGATAAACTGAGTTTTCAAGGTTGGGCGGTATCGAGCCTGAGTGCACTTAGTACAGCGGGCGCCAATTTCCCCGATATGGCTTCTATATGTTCATTACCTTCAACTTCATATTTAAGGCAGTGTATTCTTTTGCTCATTCCGTTTCTATGGAGAAATTGTTCCTTTACCTCTCAAGAACTCAAGTGCTAAGCAGTGCCATCGCAGTAAGAAAGGAACGCTCATGCGATACACAACCAAATATGGTCGCCCGATGGCGGAAAATTCAAAATTCGATCGTATAGGCCCCGTGCGAGGGTCCAAAAATTTGAACCTGTGCAGATTATGAATCAAAGGTGGCCATTCATGATCCCCCATCCATGGCCTTCTTTGGCCCTTTCAGGTAAAAGTCAGAACAATGGAGCTCTATGTAGGCCAATGCCACTTTAGCTAACCGATGAAATTCGCCCTTTGATTCCAGGACCTGTATAAGTTAGACCAGCACAGATGATTAGAGTCTCCCAACCATCGTCTTCTACGTCGTGTTACCTCCGCCTTCTGAGATGTCTTCTTCCATTCGGCGTGCGTTCCGACAGTGCGTATTTACTTTCAATCTCAGAACGGATTGATGATAACTCGTACCGACAGAAACACAAATAGTGAAGTCTACGATAGCTCCTCCACAACAAATTCAACTCCTACAAAGTCATTCTTCGGAAGTTCTTTGCGCGGTCGGTCAGGCTCCAAGACGAACAAGCCAAGTGGCAACGAGCCTGGTTCGCCGTCGAGGACAAAGCGGACAATTAAAACGTCCGACATCACATACATTTTCTCTGAGGACAACACTAGCTTGAGAGACTTCTCACCAGAATTTGGTCTTAGAAATCTCGAAAATTGCAACGAAGATCGCTTTTCTCGACCCGGTTCACCTCCTCTGATGATCGATAAGGCTCTCGTCGACCAGTTCCCCCTACCACCAGTCGTTCATGCATATACCTCCCCTGACGTCCGCGTTCCAGTGACCAGTCCGGATTTTGAGTACGGTCTCAGAGTGTGTTCCGATGGATTGTTGCCCCCTCCACACCCTCGAGTCCAACAGTATATGGATGAGCAAAAAGCCTTGAACGGGTCACTTCGTCGTCAGCCTCTTGTCCGCTCCTCCTCTGTAACGTCTTATTCTCGACCAACAGCTACTGCATATTCTGCACTGTTTGAGGATAATGGCAGCTCGACTCCCAGCTTGCCGCCATCTCCAAGTGACCGTTCTTCCGTCACGCACCATCACACTTACAGGCGACTACTTCATTCACAGAGCCTTAGCAGTCGCTCCCCACCTCCTTCAGTAAAGACTTTACTCCACCAAAGGTCACATTCGGATATGAACTTCGATCGTCCTGGGAGTCGCATTGGATTAAGAGCACAAACGCCCGTGGGAACCCAGGATAGGATAGGATAGGATATAAATTATACTGGCGAGGTCCGATTCCCGAACGGCCAGTTTACCATACTACTGTACAATTACATATACGTCTATGTCTCATGTACAGCTATGGAACACACATTCCTACTAAGGGGGTCGCAATGTACACTTGATGTCTCTAAGCTCTCCCTAGCCTTGACAGTACACCCTTTCCCAGTTCAGATATGCATGCTGACTGAAAATAGCTTCTGAAAGGCTGTGTGCAAGCAGCATACACAAGATGACATGCACAACAACTCCAGCACATTCCAGTGCACTGATATATTACCCAAGTACATCATTCCAAAGCAATCTTTGCAGTGGATCAGTTCAATGTCTCGAAGATCTCTTGCCAATTCAACCAAGCATTGGTAGCAGCCCACCTTGCACACCAATCACAATAATTGACTACAGTGGAAACCCACTCACCACACACATACTGACCAAAATAGAACACAAGTTCTTCAGTGGATACCCGGTCACTACACACAAACTACTCAAAATAGACCACCAAGTACAAGCATTGTCTTCAGTGGATACCTGCACACCACGCGCAAACTAATCAAGAATGGAGGACCAAGCACAAGTAATGTCTTCAGTGGATACCCGCACACCACGCGCAAACTAATCCAAATAGACCACCAAGCACAAGTAATGTCTTCAGTGGATATCTGCACACCACGCGCAAACTAATCCAAATAGACCACCAAGCACAAGTAATGTCTTCAGTGGATACCCGCACACCACGCGCAAACTAATCGAGAATGGAGGACCAAGCACAAGTAATGTCTTCAGTGGATACCTGCACACCACGCGCATTTAGGTCCGGAAGAATCCGGTCCGGGAAATTGATGCTAGTGCTCGAGGCTCGAGCTCACTACCAAACTCGACGTGCAGAGTGTGGAATGCATTCTGTTGCCACCAAACTTGCACAGAATATTTAAATCACTAGTATACACTGACATCGCAAATTCCAAAGCAACCAGATAATCAGAACAGGTTGGATTTGACACCGATATTCCGGATGACCTTTTGATGATGGTGGTAAGAGTTCTATCTTCACCCAGTAATCGTGTAAACTCGTGTAAAATTTGTGTAAAATAAGATCATAGGGAAACATACATTCTTCAATCTTCTCTGATATACTTCGATAGCAGGCTGTGTTATGTGTTCTTCTTCCTGGGCGTTTCAAGCGCAACGAAGCAGTTGCATGTATATTAAAGGTATCGTCGATATATACAGCATTAATTGACATTAAAATCGATTCAAGAGCCCGCGGCCACCATAATTATCCAACTTTGCGTCGTTAATACCAAGGTCCTACAAGGATGATCAATGACTCCTTGCATCAATACAACTCATGTACAGGAGCAGTACGTACCGTAGGTGCAAACGGCCATTCGTCGAATTCTTTAACAATAGAAGCCCATTGTGATACTGTTATTTCCCTGATTTTGGTCTTTGGATCAATCGTCGCACTTAGTTTGGGTATAAGCGACTGGGCACCAGGTCCCAAATCCCTGAACAAGGGAATAAGCAATCAAAACGCACTAGAGCAATCGACGAGCTTACTCTATACATTGGTTCAGCGGCGTCGCTTTCCGCACATATAGTCGCCGTATGCAATAATCCCAAGTGTCCAATTTCTCCGGGTTTATCACTTGCTTTACCAGCGGCGTTATTTCCACAGCTTGGAAGGGGACACCAATTCGTCGATTAGAAATTTTGATCGTGTCGCTAGCCTTTTTCAGAAGTGTAGGGTGAAAGTGTTGAGCGTAGGGCTGTAATTCATCATACAGTTTTGTTTGGAAGTCGGCCGTAGCAGTGGCCATGACGCTAAGCTTACAGCGCATGAGAGCATTTTCGGGAGGAGCTGTCAGTCTCTGGCAACTGGTAAGTAAAGATAAATTAACGCTCAATGCATACAGGACTCACCTGCCAAACGTATTCACTCAAAAGTAGGTTCATCTTCACGCGTCCGAACCTGAATAGCCAATTCCTATTTGGAATCAGTCGGAGAATTTGAGCAATGAGCTGTTCGCCGTAGACGGTGATGGGAAGATGAGATATAAATTGGAGTTTTGGATGTACTGAAAGAAGGGGACAACGATGAACAGCAGCACGAGAAGATAGCAATATGATTAACCTCCTTGATCCCATTCAAGAGTTTCTATATCTTCCAATAAACCTTGTTCTTCGATTCGGTCAAAAGTATCCCACTCGAGAGCAGTATAAGGAATAATGGTCAATCTAGGATCAAGCGCAGCGAGCGGCTTGGCGTAGCAGATTGAGTTAGAGAATGATGAATAGCTTTGCTTGAACGCACCCTGAGGTAATCTAGATACTTGGGTTCCTGCTCCAAAACAATCAATCTCTTTATACGGTTTTCCGGTAGAGCCAAGAGAGACCGAGTCAGTTGTCCTGGTCCTACAGAGGTCGTGTAAATTCATGAAAGAAAAGGATGTAAGTAGGGACGGAGCGCACCAGGGAATGCTTCAATTATAACTTTATTCGTGCTGCCTTCAGGAACAAAACACTCAGCCACTGTGTCTGCGGTGTCAGAATTTGACAATGAGACGCGGTCATTAACAGGAACCCAGGCAAAAATTTGTCGCCATTTATCTCTGGGTGGAAGATTTGTCTTGTCTTCAGGGGAATCTGGGTGAGTTTCGAATCGACTTCCAACTCTCTTTTGCTTCGGCTGAGCGAAGTCTAATAATGTAGTCTTCTTCAAACGCGGTTTTCGAGTGGAGGTCTTATCACTGACAGCCCTTGTTTGTGAGAGGATGTTGAGCCGTGCAACAAGGGGCACACGATTTAAATGTGAGCGAGAGAGAAGCATCTGAATTTTAGGTCAGCAGAAAATACATATAATTCTTTGAGCGCTAATTTCGAAAAATTTCTGAAATGGCAACTTTACTTCCACCTCCGAAACGACAAAAAGTCTACCACGGAGTGCCAGAGCCAGAACCAGAGACACCAAAACCCACTCGCAATATCTTAGTTCAGTTTGTATCAGAAGATGACGGCTCTGTTTTAGCCCCCGCGGTCAATCTTCCTGCCGATGTGTCTAGAGAAGGACTCGAAGTTCTAGTGAACCGATTGACGGTAAGAAATCCATATTGGTAGAGAGAGGGATCCTAACTCTTGTTAGAAATCCGATGAACCTGTACCATTTTCCTTCCATGTTGATTGCCCAGAAAACGTGAATGCAGCACTAGGTCCTACTCGAATAGTCATCTCAAAATCAATCCAATCGGATATCCTAAATCATCCTACACATGCCGACTCATTTACTGAAGAAGATGTTTTTGTCGTGCGATGTTCTCCGCAAAGCGTGTTTCGTGTCCGGCCAGCAACGAGATGCTCAGCCAGTCTTAGCGGACATTCTTCACCCATTCTTTGTGCATCCTTTTCTCCGACAGGTGCTTTATTAGCAACGGGCTCAGGGGACGCAACTGCGCGACTATGGGACTTAAATACAGAGACTCCGTCTCACACATTAGTCGGCCATAAGGGCTGGGTGCTTTGTGTGGAATGGGAAGCTATGGAGAGATTACTTGCAACTGGAGGGCATGACGGACACGTTCGTTACGCATGCTATCAGTTGTGTACGCTGATTTATCTTGTCAAGCGTGTAGGTGCGCCTTTGGGACCCCAAAGCTGGCAAACCTGTTGGAGATGCCATGAAAGGCCATACAAAATGGGTCACCTCTTTGTGTTGGGAGCCAATACACTTGTACGTATACTGTAATTTGTTTGTATTGTTACTGAACTGTTTTTTTTTAGAAACTCAAAATCTCCACGAATTGCGTCGTCTTCAAAGGACGGTACCGTTCGCGTATGGTCTACTCTTACTCGTAAAGTAGAATACACTCTTGGCGGCCATATTGTATGTTGCCATATTTCCATTGCTCTTCTTTTCAATTTTGATTATATTCAGGCCAGTGTGAACGTTGTGAAATGGGGCGGAGGAGGGACGAGTGGTTTCGGTCTTAAGAGAGGCGTCTTGTATACTGCTTCCAGTGATCGTACTGTAAGAGTATGGGATGCCGATGGTGTACGTTGAGCATAGCGTTTGTTTTCTCAACTGCTAATAACCTTTTAGGGTCGACAATTACATGTCCTTAAAGATCATGCCCACTGGGTGACAACGTTAACTCTTAACACGGACTTCGTCTTGCGAACGGGTCCTTTTGATCATACAGGGAAACGTCCTGCAAGCGACGAAGAAGGTACAAAGTCCGAAATTTACGACCGACCTGACACTGATGGCATCGCAATATAGCTCAACAACTCGCACTAAAACGATATACCGACCTGTTAGCAACCACCCCCGAATTGCTCGTGACAGGCTCGGACGATCACACCCTCTTTCTTTGGTCGCTGTTTCCTTCTTCAGTGCCAAGCTCGGATATTGCAGTGTCCCAAGGAAAACTCAAACCTATCACTCGACTGACAGGTCACCAACGACAAATCTCCCATGTTGCCTTCTCGCCAGACGGAAGATGGGCCGCATCTTCTTCCTGGGACAGTTCAATACGGTTATGGGAGGGTCGTACAGGCAAATATGTTGCGACGCTGAGAGGGCACGTCGGTGCTGTGTATCGACTTGCTTGGAGCGCAGATGGTAGAATGCTGGTCAGTGCGAGTAAGGATGCCACGGTCAAGGTAGGATACTTACACCAACTTTCAACGATATTTATACTAACGTGTTGCAGATATGGGATCTCAAAACATATAAACTTAAAGTTGACCTTTCAGGTCACACAGATGAAGTTTACTGTGTTGACTTTGTTGCAGACAAGGTCGTCAGTGGAGGAAGAGATAAACATCTTAAAATGTTAGCCGTTTTTCATATGACCGTTCACCGAAAATTTATCGTTTGCATCTTGAATTAGATGGAAAAATTGACATTCCTCCCCAAAGTCGTTCTAGATTGGGATACATTATAGGAGGTATTTCGACTCTCCCGGTTGCTTCCCGGCCTCTAATTACCGTTCAGCGCTCGACGATAGGCTGGCAGTTCGCCGTGTATGTATGTAGTTTAATCAGCTTTGATTGTCTCGTACACCTCTTATACGAGCTTACAATGTACCAGCAATGTACTGCGTTATACTATAGCGAGTGATAGCGCCCGCCAAGTTTATCGAGGTCTTAAGGGCCCGATCAAATTGATCCGTGACGAATTCGCGAACTCCTTTTTGAGTTTATATAAGTCGGAGCGGGGCCGCCGCTCCCTACCATCGTTCCTCTTGCAACCCAGGCCCTCTCCTAAATTCTAATGCCGTTGGGCGTCCATTTCTATCAGCTATAAAAATTTCCTTGATTTGCTGCGTTTTGATGAAGAGTGTCAGCTCGTATAGCCGGTTACGAGCCCGTGTTATTTTGTTAGTTATCGTCGTTGCTCTATACCTGCTCTACTACAAATACTCCAACAACAACAACGACACCTCTAATAACCCACCACATTCATTATACGCGGACCTTTATCAAAAAGAAGAACAGACTGGTCGGAAACTCTTAGAAAGTCTACATCTTATAGATTCCCAGAAGGATCCTAAATTTGTACTTTTCCGACAACACGAGGGAGCTGACTTTGGGAATCAGGTGGGTAGTTCGTTTCTTCATTTAGACATATTCTGGGTGAAGTAATAGTGGCGTTCATTAGGTTCAGGAGATATTACTGCATCATCATTTGGCCTTACAATCCTCTCGATTCTACATCTACCAACCGTTCTACTGGAAGCCCCGAAATGAGCAGCTTCCGCTTTCTGCCTTCCTGCTAGGCGCTACCGAGGAACGGGCAGTTCCTGCTTCATTCTTTGAAGAGCTATGCCCCAAGGGTTCAGAAGACGTGGTACACATCAAAATTCAAGCGTCACAAGAAGAGCTTTGGGACACCGCGTTGTCTGCTTTGAGAAGGGAGGAAAAGTGCATAATTGTGGATAACCCGATCGTAGATACAGCGTGAGTTGTGATTTGCAATTGTTCCCTATAAGTGCTAATACTTTTTACGTAGCTACCTCTCTTCACCTGCTGCACAAGCGATTTGGCCTCTTTTCCAGAAATATCTTGCCCGCTGGTTTCGATGGTCCCCACAGATTCTTGACATCGTTGAGCGGAGACAGACTCAACTTAATCTCCGGCGTCACTTTTCCAATCTTAAAGGCGAGCCTTACCTAGCATTGCATCTCCATCGAAGTGCGTTTTCCAGCAAAGACACTCGCTGTACCGGAGAATTGATTCTTGTTTCATGTAGAAGAATTCATCGATTACTGTAAAACTGCTGCCCACCACAAACTCGGATTCACAAATTGGGCAAATCTTCCATCCATCTTATCCACTACCCTTCCCCCACAACTTAATCCTAGAAACGACTCGTCTGTCATGGAACACTGCTATCCATCCCTTTTTCGTGTTATGGATGCCATAGACCAGCAGATTCGTCGGAAGCCGTATCTACGCACTATTCACATCATACACGACGGAATCGCATTGACCGACCTTTGGAAGTTAGAAACTGCTCTGAAGAACCCGGAACGTGCACATCGCGCTGGGTGGACGTATGGGCCTATAAAGTCACTTACGCATTCCGCAATGTTACCTCGCGAGTCTGGAGATTCAGATTTCCTCGTAGGCGCGGATGCTGAACTTGCACGACGAGCTGAGGTTTTCATTGGAAACGGTTACTCAAGTTTTTCTTCGTATATTATCGCGTTGCGAATGGGAGGGGACTTGGTGGCTGCGGGGATTCCTGAAGACATAACTTTGCTATGAACTCGAGTGATTGGATTGATCTACATTGGAAGGCGTTTGTAATTTTTGTTCATGTAAGTACTGATATTTCGAGCAGGATCGTTGTTGACATTCTTAGACTAGTGTGCTGTGTTGCTTTCTTACATCCTCATCCTAATTATTTATCTACACACTCATATATATTGCAGCAATGAGGAACAATGTCAAGTTGCTTAGCATCCTTCCTGTGATTACTGTTCTACGTAGAAGGTTTACAAGTGAATCTATACAAGTGAATCAATATGTGAGTGAAATATATATATAGCGGGTCTATAAAAATCTCTAATCATTAGGACAACATGAAATCTAAATCTAATAGTTCCAAAACCTACAGTAATTCAAGGGCAAATCATACTATAGCAAAAACACGTCTATCCCTCAACATTCTTGCTGCAAAGAGGAATGCAGCGCCAACAAATGCCATTAAACCCTAAATGTGAGAATCCATCGTCAGAAAACTTGAAGCAGAGCTCATTAGCAGGCAAGACTCACAGAAAATAAGATTAAGTGTTTGAAGTTGGCCTCGGTTCGCGTTCTAATGAACATACCTCCAATCGGAGTACCGGCGAGACAAGCGGAGGCCATGAACGCGTAAATTGATCCCAAGCGTGCACCAACTTTTTCGATTGGAGATATTGAAGCAACACAAGGCTGAAAAGCAAAGAAGTTGAGTAAGATATCGGGTTGTAGATCTATAACGACATACAGGTATCAAGGTGAAGAAAGGGCCGGCAGCGATACCATACAGCACCACGAATGTCACAAGATTCGCTTCTGAGAACGAAGTGTACCAGAGCGCAAATATAAGTGTGGCAGAAAGAAAGGTCGAAATCCACAGGAGATTGAACCTTTGAGAATTCTGTCAGTGAGGAGCTCTGTACAAGGACCATAGCCTCGAACACATACCTTCCGACTCGGAACGCAATCAATCCCGGACTCACCCTGCCCACAATCGACGTGGCACAAAGTATAGCAAGATAATACTCGTTGAGGGGTGATCCAGGATTAGCCATCTTGGCAGAAAGTCCAACATAGAAAAACGGGTTCCAAATTGAGAATACAGCGAACCAGCAACCCAAAGCGAGGAACAGGTAGCATGGGTCTTTGAAACCCTGAAAGTCCAGTAGCTGGGTGAAGCGGGGAAGGGGTTTAGTAGGCCGCCGAGGGTAAATAGTAAGGACGGCGACAAGGTAACAGAGGAGCGAGATGAGCGCGATGGCTCGAATTGTCCATCCTAGACGCGATTAGTCAGAATTGCGACAAGTAGGTCAGAAGGGGAACAATTTACCGAAACCAATACGTGGAATAAGGGTATTGAGCATGATGGGGAATATGATTCCCCCTAGACTAGCGCCCGAAACGAGACATCCTACAGCGTAAGGCATCTTCATTTTGAACCAATGCGACATAAGAGCAATGGCCGGAAAGAATCTTCAATTTACGATGAGACGGATTAACTAGATCCGATGGAATAAGACGACTAACCCAAATGTTGCGCCAATACTGAACAGGACCGACTGGCAAAGAAACTGCTGGTATATCTTCTGAGGCTGCGTGAAGGACAACAAGAATAGGGATAGGACGACAATGACCCCGCTCGATGGTATGAGATATCGAGGACCAACAGCGTCAAACACTGCTCCAGCAACACCAGCAACTGTCAAATACACAGAGAGAGAGGAACCCAAGTTAGCGAGAGGATTAGAAAGGCCAAAGAATTTTTTGACATACAGATATAGAGCATGAATACTTGCAGCGCACCAATCATGGATATGAGCGTAGGGGAGAAATTTGTGAGGTATTCCGCATTGTAAAAGTCGGAGAAAGCTCCATATCCATTTGAAAATCTGAGGTGAGGGATTAAGTGGTTGCATAGTCAAACGGAAAAATAAGCATACCCGAAGGTAGTAAACGCAACCAAAGAGGCACCGAGGACGGTGCTCCAGGCTTTGAATCCACCATCTGGAGGAGTATACGAAATATCGGAAGTGGCAGAAACATCAACCTTAATACCGGATTTGAGCGCCTCGATATCTTGACACTTCTCCGGATCTGAAGTCTGAGATTGATGTGGCTCGTCGTGATGTATCAGTGTATCCGAGCTAGCCAGGGGTGTAAAAGGAGGATGGGTGGTCCGCTTGTCTTCCACATCGGTATGTAGAGTGGAAGAGCTAGCCAGAGGTGTTGAAGCCACTTGAAGATGGTTACCATAAGGCATTGTAAGCTTTCGGTGTCGGTATATGAAAGACGAGAATTGGCGAGTGGGAACTTGGATAAGAAGAACGGGCAAGCAGTCTTTTATGCAAAGGAAATAACCCGAGTGGCATCGAAAATTTTAAGCCTTGATGCTCGTGTAAACGAGTTTCAACGCGGTATGCTCTAGATCTCATCATTTCGAACGGGGCACAGCGGGTCTGCCTGAGAGACGAGGTCAGCCATCACCTATTTCTTCCGAAGACTATGTGTTCCTGACTCACCAAGTGAACCCGCTACAGGCTACGTCGATAAAACCTTTGTGATGAGCGTTTCCCTGTACCCAAAATCGAACTAGGAAGGACAAATCAAATTTCAAAAAAACAAAATAGTGAACAAGTTATATGAATAAAATCTTCCAGGCTGCTCTGGGAGATATTTGAAGGCAGTCCACCGGCGGTAAAATCGAGAGCTGACCGAGATTTGATAACTAGCTGTGGATTGAATACGTTCTACTTTGCCACCTTCCGAACTTCACGCTGCGCGACTTCATCTTTGCAGCATTAGAGGCTATTACGCCAATAGACCCTGTCGCCATGAAGCTCTGGTGCAGGATACCTTTCGTTTGCTGTGTCAAATGCGACAGTAGTGCTTGCTTATTGCTGTTCAAAATCTAGACTGGTCTCGACCCAATCTTATCTATATATCAAGTTGAATAATCAACGAGTTAGGCACGTCTTGTTTCTCAACTTTCTTCCTCTGCATGCCCTTGAATGAGCTCATCCTCTATATCTTATCATGAATACTTTTTCCATATGATACAAACCTCCAAACTCAGCGGATGCCAAGGCTGGGTTTATCAAGTTTAGATTGGGCTCGCTCAGAACATGAGAAAACGGCACGCGGGGATTGGTCAGATGGCATCGTAAAGGGCACGAGGAGGAGATGCAATGTGTATATGCGACTCCGAGTGTGGGAAGCACCATGGCGGATATCTGAGCACATTTTGCCAGTATCTTCAAGGTGGAGTACACTCCTGTATCAATGTTTCATGTATTCATATTAGAGATGACAACCGACGACAGCGTAAGTACGACGTACATCCATTTCTCTGTTGTAATCGACGTTTCCCGAGCGAATCCTAAAAATCGAATGCTTGTAGGCAAACTTCAAACGCTCATTGGCCTGTGTTGTTTATGGTCAGTGGGATACATCGCACTGATAGAATGAACATTGTCTGTGATGCATAGTTAGGGTGTGTCAAAAGATTAACAACATGTTCATGAGCACGCTGATTGGCATCCAACATCACTTCCATCTTGAAGTCCGCAGGAGCTGTGATTTTGCACCATGATCCAAATGAGCTTGAGGAAAGGAAGAGTAGGAGGTCGATTGGGGTTTAAATTCGATTCAGCGCGCTATGTAGGCCATTATAATATGTATCAAAAGATTTAGACTGCTGCAGGACTGCTGTATATGTTGAACGGTTGACGAGAGTCGGACCGATCCGACTGTAAACCCCGTGGAAATCCGGCAGATTTATTCCGGATCCCGACGTAAGCATGTGAGCCTCCTCGAGTCCTTATACCAACATTCCGCTCGAACTCGAAGACGTCTAGACAAGTTAAAGTGTGTACTGTAGCTTTCTTCCATCCGTAGTTCTTAAAATTTTACTACATAGAAGTTTCTCAGAGGTTACTCAGACATCTTGTGTGCAACCAATTGTGTTTCGCGTATTTAATCGACGTCGACGCAAAAGTATCTCAGTCCGGTTAAATTGCGATGCGTCTTCAAGCTTCAAGTCCCGAATGCTCGCACAAAGCTACATATGTAGAATATTTTTTCTTCACTCTCATCAATTCTGGCTCGCCAGACTCAAAGCAATGATTCTTTATCGGAGTTCTCTCACACGCACTCAATTCTTGCGGACAACCGTAATGCCTACCATCTATGGACAATATCTCTCCACCGGAGTCTAAGAATCCTCCCCTATTTTATATACAGGGACAACAAACATCGATACCCGCTTCCAGATTGACACAAGACTTCACAAGACACACAGGATTCGCTTGGCCATGTTTGACCCCTGGCTCGTTGTGGACTAGCCCGGTTTTCTGAAGCGAGGGAAAGGAGGGAAAGGGTATATTAAATGGCACAACTTCCGACGTTGCTTCCCCCCTACAGAGCTGGTCTCTTTCCACTATCGCACGTGCAGCCTCACACCCCAAAATCGCTGATTTTTCCTCGCTTCATTCCGAATCGACTCAATAAACGACATACTTTTACGATGGTTCACTCTCGCTCCGTGCTTACAGCCGTTATTGCTGTCGGAGTGGCTTCCTCTGTTCTTGCTATTCCCGTACCACCTGCTTCTACCAATACTGGAGGCCCCAACAATGGTGTAACGCCAACACCTTCCAATCTTCTTGTGTCAGGTCAAAATGTCATGCCTAGCTATGCTTCCAACTCTCCTTCCCCCAATGTCAATTTTGTGTTGGGACAATCATCTTCGAATGATAGTCAGGCGCAAGGTTCTCCTATCCCTGCAGGAAATGTAAAGCGGGCTTTGGAGAGAGAAAGTCGATATCTCGATATCACCGTTCAAGACAATGTCGACTCAGAGGAGCCCAACGAGGTCAGCCCCAACGTCCGGAATTTTCTTCCTAGCTGGAATCTGATCTACATCCGCAGGGTCTTACTACCAGTACCGTTCGTCGCGAAATTCTCGAACGAGGTCCTGACTTCAATATCGAAACGGCGATGGAAGAACTCGCGTCGACTAAGTATGACTGGTCGAAGTTTTTGGAGAACACGCAGCAGGGACAGATGATCAAGAAGATGGATAATGACTCTCAGAACAATTGGAAAACGTACTTTCTTTCGGTGAAAACCAGCAGAGAACGTCCTACGAATTCACGCGCTAGCGGTGCCCCTCAATCTACTGCTGGTCCTGGTTCTCAGAGTCACAATTATGAAAATCTTGGCGACAAGGACGTGAAAACTGGTGCAGGTCTCACTCCTCTGATGCGCCGTGCTCGGTCGAGAGCTCGCGCTTCTCCTTATAATCATGTCGAGGACTTGGATTGAGCTGATTGGTGAGTTTACGTCCTCTATTCAGTTTATCCCTTTGAGCTCTTGCTGATTTACTATGCCATGGGTGTGTCATTAATAGCACTTGTATTGCTCGTGAATAGGTCCTAGTTTCATCGAATGGGGACGGACCTCTTTTGAAGTCTATACTTATATTGGTTGCAAGTTTATACATCGCTATACTTATAGTCAGTCTTTGCTACTGTACCTGTTCCTTCAAACTCGAGTTTTCAGATGGCTTGAAGGTCCCCTATGTGATCGATGAGGATAGATTCGGGACTTTTACACAAACTCAACCTTCATTACGTTTCTTCGTGTCCACCACCACTTTTCAAAGCTGCTATAAGCGCCTTCGCTTCAGCCGAAAACACCCACAAATGACCACGTTGAGGCAGAGTCAAGACTCCCATCCGGTTCATCTTTATCGATGGCATAACCTTATTGGCTCATTTGACTTTCGTTGATTTTTCTGTGTGGCAAAAGCAGCAGAGAAGTGCGAGGCGTTTGAGATGATCTAAACCAAAGTTTGCGGATGAACTCCAAATAGACGCTCGTCATTGAAGTCGCGCGGAGTGCAAGGATCAGAATTGTTGCTTCTTGCAGGTATCTCCTTTAGATTCGTCATATGATAATCCTTTGTGGGAGATGCACTCCTCAGTGTCAACTCATGGTGTTCGTATTTCAACACCACGATAGGCGTAGAGCCACGATCCGCTCAACCTGCCTAGTACTGCTAGTAAGATTGCGAGTTTTGGAGGTCAGCGGTTCGGAAATTTCTATTTGGCTGCTTCCACTCGTTCCCGGGCTGACGGAATATCTGCAGTAGCCATGGATAATGTCATAATGTAAGCGCAAAATCGATGGTTTTTCAAGTTCTGTACTTTCCCCAGTTTAGCTGACGGACTCTTCTATCCTATCGCAGGTTGTGAGTGCTCTCGAAATTAAAAGAGTGGGCACATTCCTGCATGATAAAGATGATACTCCGCCCTCACTATTGGAACCCAGCTGGCTCTAGAATTTTCCAGACATACTGATAGGACAAGATTACTGATAATCGCGATGTGTACTGTTCCGGCAGAGCCGAAACTTCAGCATGATGTCAATGCTGGACATGATCCATCCTAGATAAAGGAGAGGTTTTGTGGTCCTACATGAGTTCGGCTTCCAACTCTCCATCTTCACCCTCGCCTATTTGAATACTGGTAACACTGCAAAGTGAGTCGTTTATTGGATACAGCTTACTTATATTTATGTCTATACACCGCAAGTCCCCAATCCGACAACATCCTCTCTTGAACGTCACAATGTTTCCATCTCTTTATACTTGGTCATCACTCGAGCGAGATATGGCATCAGATCTGTATGACTACCATGAAAGTCCAGATTTGAATATCGTCTATGAGCCTGGAAAGCCCTCGCTGAAAAATGTGTCTCTACCTGCAAACAGTCCAGCAAGCGGCTCTCGGATGATCTCGACAGGCCTTCTTACACATCATGGTGAACCTTCGACAAGTTCATCACCCCATTCCAAAAGATATTCTTCTAGTGCCAGTGCTGATGCACAAAAAATTCGGAGTTCAGTACCTTTGAAGGGTATTTTGAAGAAGTCACAACAAGGAGTGTCGTTAAGACCATCAACTCCAGCACCTTCTGCTAAAGGTATATTTACCTGCCATATACAACGCCGTATATGTTGAAGGTCTTTAGATCATGTTAATACAGAATCAGGGGCCACTCAATCAACCCCCGAGGGTAAGTCTGTGGACAAATTTCACCGTTCACTATTTCATTTTGATTCTCCGGATCATAGAACATCGTTCCAATCATCGCCGTTCTGAGAGCAAAAGTTCAGAAGGCTCAAGCTCAAAACCTCAACGTAAGGATTTTTTTCTTTATTCACCGCCTATCCCGAAATTTCATCGTTTTTCAATGTCATAGACCAACATATGCATGAACCACAATTAATCAAAGGAGCTTCTTCAGGTGATAACAGTAATAAGTTGCGACAATTCTTGATCTATTAACCAGCTTTTTCATATATGCAGTAGCGAAGTTGAATGAGAAAATATTGAAGTCTGGGGACAATCACCGAAAACATTATCCCAGTAAGATTTTCCGATTGACTACACTGCTAGCTAGATTAACGACGGACTCAGTGCATATCAAGGTCCCAATGAAACCTGAAGCAATCGCACTGACCTGGCCTCTGATGGAACCAAACACGACGTCACCTCGCAAGCAGAGAAGAGCGAAGATCTGCTTTGATGTCGCCTTTGATCCAAGGAAAGATAACAATGTTGTGGTTTTAGAAGGGGCATACCGAATGGATAGTATACCCTATCAAACCATCAGACTGCCTGCATCCACACACTGCACGCTGACCGAAATGTGTATATTCTTGGACATGGAAGAGTTTAATCATTGGCCAATCAACGTGATGCGTAAAGACGGCATTCGCTGCTTGGACGTTCTTGAAGCTATACACAAGATGCTTCAACGCCCTCTAACGGATGGGGATGTGCGAACTTTTGGCTTAGCTGCTGCTCAGCGGGGTATGCGACGCGTGGATTTACTAGGAGGGCGAAGGTTCTTTCGTGGACTTTCGCAGTCCGGCGAGAACTGGACACTGCACATGGGGTCATCGTGGTATTAGTTCTGTCTGGTTATGATCATCTGGTTATGATTAGTTTTTATATTCCTTCCGTCCGATGCCATCGAACGTTCCCAATAAGGATGGCTAAAAACAGCTTTGACCATCGCAACCTGGCATCTACAGATGCGCTCGACGAGCAAGATATAAACAGATGTAAACAGATATAAACATGACTGTGAGGCCACTGTGTGGACCTGGTGTGGACAGCTGTGAACACTGCAGGAGACTTCAAAGTTTCAGGGTGAATGTTAACAAATGTATACTCCGTCGGTGTTCCAGTGGGTTTGTCAATCGGAACTTTTATCCGAACTCACTAGTTCTCTCCCTGTTTATCGCTATTCAAAACTCGACATACGTTCAGTGCTCAGTACTCAGTACTCAGCGCTCAGCGCTCGATCCTTATCTGCTCTTGTCACAGTGTCAGCCCACCCACTACCCACTGACGTTTAAGCAAGTAGGGACCATCCTTGGATTGCATATAAATCTAGTCCGCGTTTTCCTATCCCCCGCTATTCCCCGTAATCACAGCATTCGACGGTCTATCATCTAGAGGCTAACAGTTGCATTGATCTCGCATTTGTACCTCTGAACTTCATCAATCCTATGACACGAAATTCTTCAGGAACCATTCCTACGGATATCGAAGATCATGTTCAGGCAACCAAAATCGAAGAAATCGAGCTTGAAAAGGATGTCAAAGATAGCTCCAGAGATTTATATGCCCCCCCTGATGGAGGCTGGGATGCTTGGGGTACTGTTTTTGGAACGACGTTGGTGTCATTTGGAACATTTGGGTAAGTTTTGTTTCTCGATTTGCAGATCATCACTCTAATACGAATGGCATGGTCCATCAGATTTGTCAACGCCTTTGGCGCCTTCTCTGACTATTACAATGAACAATACCTGACGAATTACTCTGCGACACTTATTTCCATGATTGGTGCCGTGCAGGTATTCATTTTATATCTTTGTGAGTGTCGTTATCTTCAACATCTCTTGATCTCACATCTAGCAGTTGCAGGAACTGCAGGTGCTCTATTTGATTCCATCGGTCCACGATATCTTGTCCCCACTAGTGGTGTAATCGTGGTCTTCTCGCTGTTTATGCTCAGCATAACAAAACCCGAGCACATATACCAGCAGTTTCTATCGCAGTCAGTGCTCTTTAGTCTTGGAGCGACTTTCAGGTGTGCTTTCTATCGCGATATACCACCTTCTACTTGCTGATATCTCCGACGTAGCTTCTTTCCTTCAATGGGTCTCATGGCCCACTGGTTCAAATCAAAGATCCCTTATGCCATGGGATGTCTTGCATCCGGCTCAAGTGTAGGTGGTATCGTGATTCCTATCATGATATCGAGGTTGATTCCACGAATAGGCTTCGGTACGTGGGTTTACATAAGTAATGCCGTTTCTGAAACTAAGTGTTAACATGTCTTAGGCTGGACAATTCGAATTTTGGCCTTTATAACCCTTGCCTGTTTCGCTGTTGGCACGGTGACCATCAAGCAGCGTAGACCCTCGAAGCCCTTTCCGAAATCCGTGTCAGCATTTTTTGACATTACCGCCTTCAAAGATCCATGCTACTTGTTCCTTGTACTGGGATGCTGGTTTACGGTCTTTGCGGTTTTCAATCCGTTCTTTTATGTCGGATTGAGTGCAGAAATCGCGAATTCAGGCTCCAATGTCAACGGGTATTATCTATCAACCCTCTGCGCAACGTCGATATTTGGAAGGGTCAGTCCTGGCTTGATCGCAGGAAAAGTAGGAAGGTATGCATGCATTATTATGCATTATTCTTCCGGTCCGGATCCTTAATTGCCTTTGTCTAGGTTCAACATTTTATACATTTCAAGCTTGATATCTTCAATATTGATTTTGGCGCTATGGTACACCTCGTTTGCGCAGGCAAACCTGATTGCATTTGCAGCCTTATACGGGATTTTTTCTGGACCCTTTTTCTCCATAACGCCTGTAAGTTTGCTTTGTTCACACCACTTTTCCATCGCTATATCTTGCTTTAAGTCCTGTGTTACCGAAATATCACCGATTGAGCGCGTTGGGGCAAGAATTGGAGGAACCTTTGCTTTCATGGCCTCCGCTACGCTCGCTGGGACACCAATATCTGGCTTGTTTATCAAAGAGCAGACAAAGGATAATTTTGACAGGTTGATCCTATTTTCGGTGAGTATTGACTCCGTTTTACCTTTCCTCGCTGTTCAACGTTCAACTTCACCCTCGCCAGGGTATCATGTCGTTGGTGGGGACGGCCTTGCTTCTTGTTTCACGCCTTATACGGAATAGGAATCTCTTTGCGGTAGCTTAGGAAAACACATAGTGAGGCGTATAATTCGGAGTGAGTACTTCTGAACGGACCTGTACTGTTGATGATATGTGTACTGTGCGGCAAGACTGTAGGCACAGGACCCGCAAATCCCGAGTAACGTTCAAAATTGCAATCACCAGGAAATATGATGTACATAGGTTTGAAAATTCTTTGACTCTGGACTCCTCGACAGTATTTCCTTTCTTTTCGGACAACTGCATCAAGGTGTACAGTGATCTTAGACTTTAAGCAGTCTGGAGTCCTTTGAACACTAAGTGCAAAATGTTTTTGCTAAATCAATGCATGTGTATGATACAGTTCTGAGAAAATAAATGTTTATTGTCCTGTGCAATCGTGCAATCATGGATGAAAAATTGATGTTTTTTGTAATACTAATTGTTGGAGACTAAGCTTGAGACTAAGCTTAGGGAGCACAAAATGTATTTTGAAGTACTTTTGTTCCAAAATGTGGGAGTCAGGTTGCTCAGTCAACCTTGTGTTTTGAATGTTTTTGCAGGTCTCTTCATCAAGTGTTTGAAAGGTGTTGTATTCCATTTTGGGAAAATACTGCATATAAAATTTGGCTGCATTTTCTACAAAAATGGCCGTAACGCAGAAATAGTCACTGTCAAATGTCAATTCCGTTTCACCCGTTGGAAGTAGAAGATCATCTACCTGGAGCAACAAAGACCTGGGAGTGTGTCAAGTTGAAAATCCCTCTTTGCGCGACTTGTCCGTACCAAGGTTAAAAACTTCAAAAAATAACCGAATTAAAACAAGGTGAGAGTTCAAACGTTCAAATTTTGCCAAAATTGGTCCCATGATTCCTCGGATTTTGGGGGGTCCCTCTTCTGAACAGTGAATATTAATTTCTTTGATTCGAAGATGATTCGAATATCTGTTTCTGCTTCGTTCGAATCGGAAGATTTACGGATGGCCTCGAAACACCCCCCAAAATCTTGCTTTTGGGCTCGTGGTACATTTATGATGCAGTTACTGTACATGTACTCGAGTCTCAAGACTCGACTTTTTGGGACAAGAGCACTCAACAGGACGCCGGAATGTCGGACCATTAAGAAACACGTGTCTTAAGACCCTGGACCGGCGATGGCATTCTCGTCTTTTGGGATGATGGTTGCTGATTCTGAAATGGTTCTTTACCTGATGTGCAATGAAGAAGATATAATCAGACCCACAGTGCTAAATAGGACCGAATTTTTCCCTCTTCTTCTCATACTACCGACTACTCATCCCTCGCCGTGAACTAGGATACCGCCTGGCGCAAGTACATTTTCTGTTTCGTCTCGTCTTTCTTAGTGTTGATCAGTCTTCTTCTCATTAGTAAAATCTCGCGACCCTCTCCGGCTTCATAACGCTTGAGCACTGCTCGCGAATTTACTCGACTATAGAACCTTCCGGTCGTTTCTCTCATCATGCCAAACGTCGATTCCTCCTCTTCAACAGACGATTCTTCCCCTCAGCCGCAGACACCGCTTTCCTCATCTCAAACAGGCTCCTCTATCGCTGACCCTGCTAACGCCGATCCGTCTCCCGATAATATCGCTGGCGGCAAAAAGCGCAAACAGAATCGTCGTATTAACACTGCTGAACGCCGAGCGACCCACAATGCCGTTGAGCGCCAGCGCAGAGAGACTCTGAACGGAAGATTCTTGGTAGGAAGTCCTACATCTCACTTTGATATATTGTTCAACGACACAATCAGGATCTTGCCGCTATTCTTCCTAATCTATCTCAAATCCGCCGACCATCAAAGTCTGCCATTGTCAACTCTTCAATCGCCTACTTCCATGCTTCCCGTCGACACCGTCTTCTGGCTTCGCGTGAGCTACGACTGCTCAAGTTTGAGACCGATGCTTTGCGCCGTGAACTCAATGACTGGCGCGACAGGGCATCTATCCGCCGAGTCCAGGAACCTACCCGGAGTGATGGATTCAGCATAGTCCTCAGCGGAGAACTCGAGATATTGCCTATCGACGGTATAGACAACGAGGACGGTGATGATGGTGATGATGACCTATATACACCGGTTGTTTCCCCGGACGATAACTTTGAGCATCCTTTCGACAGTCCACCCTCTACTCGCCCACCCGCATCTGGTCCTGAGCACGATTCGTATAACATGAACGCAGTGTATCCCATACAGCGGCCAATGGGAGGTCGTGGACCTGTACCGGTGATCGCGTCTCCTAATGGCATGGCAGTGGAAAATCCAGCTGCAACCTTTGACGCAATGGGCAGTGGCGTTGCCGAGCCTTATCCTGCATTTGGCGAGATGGGCCAGGGTATGCAGAATAAATGGACTGTGCAGGACCAGGCTTACTATGGTCCCCCGCCTGAGCGAGAACACGTACATAGCAATCGCAAGACTAGCCTCGGAGACCAGCCTGCACAGTATTTCGAGCAGCGCTGGAACAACAACAACGGCATGCACAATATCGAAATGAACGGCAACAACAGCGGTGGTTCGTTCGGAATGATGTAGGCGGACTTTGTTGCCTCGAGGCTCGCTATCTGCTTTGTCACCTTGGAGGTCATAGCGTAAATCATCATAACCTCTTCTTGCCTCTGGTTTACGTTTAACTGTCCACCACTGGTTCAGCCGACTTGTCGGTGTCTTTCACTCGTTTTCCGCCAACCAAAATGTGTATGCTTGGTTACACCTTCATCAATATCAATTGCTGCCCTTTGCTGTCATTTCCGCAAACTCTTCTGCAACTTCCCTGTAGGCATTACAATCCATAGATTGTATGACCCAGGTTGATGGATAATGGAATTCAGAACAATATCTGTCCCGCCTACAGGTAGTAACGTATCTACTTGCCCAAATTCATGAAATAGACTGTAAACAAAAATCATTGTACTGTACTTGGACTATACCGAAGAATGACTCTTACAAGTTACTCGCGGTAGATAAACATAACGACTCAGTCTTGAGAACAGACGCATTCCATTTCCCTGTCATATATTTCAAAGTGGCATTGCTCAGATCGCGGCAGCACCGGAATCTTTCTAATTTTTTGGACTTTCTCACCTGTACAGAGTGTGGTAAATGTTCATTTTCTAATCGGTCTTCGACCTTCATCTATTCATTCCTATGAGTTCGCACACCATCTGACTCTCCTTGTCAACTGGTACCGACGAAATTACAGACCCAGCTGTGAAAGCTCCTGCTCCTGCTCCTCGCTCCAAGATCCAATATCGTCTTCTGATCCCGTCGGGGATTTGGCCTCCACGCCGCGTGTATCCTCATTTCGGGTCAGAGGATCAGGAGCGATCTTGTCCAGCGTATTCAGCAGGTCATTCTTACGGGAAAATTAGCGGTACTCTTATTGAATAATGGGTGGTTTCACTGAAAATGGACGACCCACCTTCAAAACATGAAGGTCTTCCACCTTGGTTTTGGCCTCATCTCCAAAGTTTGGAGGGGAGAAGAAAGGGTCAGAAAATACGGGTGAAGCGGCTGCTGGTGGCTGCCGCCCATCAGCCAGCAGTGTATTTTTGGTGATACGAGATGATGCTAGACGGCGCGGCGAAGATTCATTAGTGGGGACAATGGTCTGTGAAAAAGAGGGAGTCTGTGAAGGAGGAGTGAATCGGAACGGAGTAGGAGAAGGCAGATCTACAGCAGGTTGAGACTCGATTGAAATTGTTCTTTCCTTTACACGAGCAGTCGCGTTATGCGTCGTATCGAGCGAATGGTCGTCGACCATCGGAGGATCACTGGATGTAGCCAGCGGAAGCTCACGATCAGAGCCCGTTTTACCGCTGTGCAGAACAGAATTCGAAAAGTTGGAGTCATCACCAGAGATTTGGTCGCTGGACGGAGGCAGGCTACCAAGATCTTCAGTTACACTCGGTTCTTGTTCTAGTATGTAATGCGTTATAGGCCTGATGGGGTGTTTGTATTCAAGGGACCCGGTGATCTTGCGATCGAATGGCTTCCATTGGAAGTTGAGGGTAGCGTAATCTATTTCGTAGGCAGGATCTGGAGGGTCGGAAGAAGGATCATCGGTGGGGGCGTCAAAGTAGAGGGGACGAGAAGAGATATATGCGGACCCGGGATCGGTAAAGGCATTGGTTAGTTCAGAATGGAGGTCTATGTCATCATCAGAAGCAGCATCAAGATTGTTCTCGTGATAATTGGAACGGTCGTTTGGGGAGCAAGGGCCTATGTTAATTATGGGCAGCATTGAAGTGGGCGTGGAGGCATGAATAGGTATATTAGCGTCGAAATGTTGTTCAACATCGTTCCCGACCGCGGGATCGCTGTATGGAAATTGTTGAGAAGGAACAAGGAAGGAAGAAGCAGGAGCAAAAGAGGAAGCAGGAGGATTCATTGGTTCCATTGAAAATTCATTTGAAGCAGCAGAGACATATTCGCGGTTGTCTGGCAGTAGATATTCATTATCATGGTGTTGTGCTGGGGGCAGAATAACCCTTGCTGGGTTGTACGGTTGATCTTGCGAATACGCAGCAGATGGCACAAACGAGTTTGGTGGGCTGGGCTGAACAATAGACGAAGCAGGTCCTGGAGTTGAGAACAGTCCAAATTGAGACGTAGATGAAGCAAAGTGAGCAGGAATGGAAATTTCAGTTGAGCTGCGAGGGGCACGAAATGCGATAGGTGACTGAAGAACATACGATGACCCAGCAGGTGTTGGCGGCGGTCTAAATGCAAACAAGTCGTCCGGTTCCCCAGGGGCAGAAGCATCCTGTGACGCGCTATCTGCATTTGAGTCGCGCATAGAGCTTGGCAAAAGCAGTCGGAGTGGGTGTTTCTTCGTCAGTGTAGTGAATGTTTCTGAGAGCCATCCAGGTAGGGGCGCAATGCATCGGGTATTTTGAGAGACCTGTAAGATATGATTGTGAATTTCAATTAGCAAGACTATTTGTGCCACCCATTCGCACCTGAGATGCATCTTCGTCCTCTGTTTCCAAGTCCATGCGTGAGTCATTTCTCATCTTTATTACGGAGAAATCCTGTCCTAATGCACCAACTTGAAGCCCTTCATATACATCGACGGGTGTTTGTGGCACTCCGTAACTACTGACTGAAGAAGATCGTGTTCGTTGCCGTTTCTTGGGAGATCGATAAGTTGCATTCATTGTTTCCACCATTTGGTCGAACTTTGAGTTGAGACCAGTTTTACGCCGCTTCGCTCTGACCACTGCTGCTTCGAGAGCTTTGAGTCAGTATATTTAGAAAAGTGGAACAAAATGAACTGACCTTGCTGTTGAAAGCCCATGCTGAATACGGGGGGTCAGAATATCGGCAGAGTAATAGAGCATGAACAGGCATGAACTTGCCCATTTTCAGCCTCTTCTGCAAGCAATTCTGAAAAGATTCGGCTCTTGGCTGGCATGGATGAAGAGTTGTAGAGTATAAAGCAGTCCTCGCCGTCGCGGTGACGTGATGAGTCTTCGATGTCACAAACTTTATCGCATATGTAAATTCACTCAATAACATTATCCATCTCTATTCACCTCCTTCACTGACAATCCCTTGGCTGTTCCTTGCTTCATACCGACTTCCGGTGAAGATCTTATTCATCGGTCGATGAGTACGCGAAATTTCCACCAAACTCGGAAAATTCTTCAAAGCCGCAATATAATCGTGTTATCATGCGTGAGTCAGCACAATCGTCAGCAGTAGCGATAAATACATGGCATTGGAAATCCCCAATCACCATACCGCACGCCTTCTGGTACCACTTTCAGCTCCCTGTCCAGCCAACTGGAGGTTTCTACCCGTAAAATGACACCCAAGGCTATTTCCGATTTCCCCTTACCGGTACCCGCGTTAACTACCAGTCATATCTCAAGCTCAAAACCCATCAATCGAAGATTATTCGCTTTTGTTTTTGCTTTTGCCAGCTGCATTGGTCTGCTCTCTTCCCGTTGGAACCCTTATTTCATCACCAGAACGCTCGAGATTCACTCTCAACCTCGACTTCGTAATCCTTCATTTCTAATCGAAGCGCAGAATGGAGCTGTTGCTTCCGAGAATGTTAGATGCTCAGAGATGGGAGTGCGGATCATGAAGGAAGGAGGCAACGCGATTGATGCTGCGGTCGCGTCCTGTATGTGCATTGGAGTCGTTAACATGTTTTCGTAAGCTCGTGTGCTTTGTTTTCGTGAAATGATAAGAGGCATTAATAATACATTCAGGGCTGGTCTTGGTGGTGGTGGTTTTCTGGCGGTTCGGATTCCTCCCTCTAGTTCCAATACCTCGTCGGAGGTGTTCGTTGTCGATTTCAGAGAGACTGCACCTTCGCTTGCCAATGAAACAATGTTTCCCGCTGGTGGGAACTCATCCCAGTTTGGGGGACTGGCAGTAGCTGTACCCGGAGCAGTCCGTGGACTAGCAGAGGCCCATCGGAGATGGGGAAAACTTTCTTGGAAGCAAGTCATTGAACCTTCAGCGGAGCTTGCTCTTGGATGGGAAGTAGACGTGGAACTAGCAAGGCGCATTACAGTAAGAGACGTTCATTCTCATAATTCATCGACATTACTTATGCTCGTAGGACAGTTTTATCCGGATTTAATGCTCAATAATCCAGATTGGAATTCTACATTCGCTCCTCATGGTGCTTTACTTAAAGAAGGCGAACTAATTCGCCGACCTAACTTATCTCGAACATTATCTATCATTGCTTCTGAAGGCCCCGAAAGCTTCTACAAGGTGATCCAACTCTGTCAATTTGATGCGGGAGTTTAATCATGGTATAGGGCCCTATTGCGGACTCCTTGGTTCGCAAAATTCAAGCCACAGGCGGCATCATATTCAAGGAAGATTTCGAAAATTATACAGTAAATGTCTACCCAGCTTTAGAGGGCCGTTATGTAGACAAGAAAATCTACGTTTCTGGCGCTCCTACAGCCGGACCAGGTCTGTCCTGACCTCCATTTAGTGGTCAAGTACTGATGTTCAGCTTCCTTAGTTTTGTTGCACATGCTCAATATTCTTGAGGCGTACGATTTCAACCAGACCACTGGCCTCAATGTTCATCGATTGGTTGAATCAATGAAATTTGGATTTGCAGCCCGGTCAATATCTCTCTACTTGGCCTTATACAAGTACTTATCCGTCTTGGTGCATCTAGGACACATTTAAGTGACCCAGCTTTCCGTAATGACACTGGGACTATTCATCAAATTCATACGAAAGCATATGCTGATTTTATACGAGAAAACCTAACGGATGTAAGCTTCCCTTCGTTCAAGTTTTCTTCGCTCAATCGAAGAGCGACTTAACAAACTTTGATTTAGGATCGCACACACGCGGCACAATATTATAATCCGTTATTTGACATGCCTGAAGACCATGGGACGGTAAAGCTTGTGATTTTTGGCGTTGATATTCAACTCATCTTCTATCAGAGTCATATTTCCGTTGTCGACAAGGATGGAATGGCAGTGGCACTGACTGATACGGTCAACACAGTCTTTGCGTCCCAGGTGCTCGATCCTGAGACGGGCATCATTCTGAATAACGAGGTATGGACAACAATCATTCAGCGTTTACGAAAATCCAAACCTCATTTCACTACTTACGTAGATGGATGACTTCAGCGTTCCTGGCACGCCCAATGCCTTTGGATTATGGCCTTCACCTTGTGCGTCGCAAATCTCCAATTAGACTAATGGTCGATTGTTTACCTGTCAACTTAATACAGACAACTATCCAGAGCCAAGAAAACGCCCATTATCTTCGACCGTCCCTGTCATAGTAGAGAATGCAGACGGATCCTTTTATCTTTCTGTAGGTGGTGCTGGCGGCTCGCTCATTTTTACGGCAATTCTTCAAGTTTTTCTTCACCTTTTACAAGGCATGAATCTCCTTGAGGCAGTTGAGCATGGACGTCTGCATGATCAAATCTATCCTGCCGTCACGGTGGCCGATAACATCTACCCTGAGGATTTATTGGACGCTCTACGAGTCAGAGGACACAATGTGACTGGTGAGTTGATTTTTGACTACAAGTATGTTTTCAAGTGTGATGATTTCTTTTGATTAATCAGTATTTGACATAAATCGGATTTCATCAGTCATCAATATCGTAGTCCAGCACAAGAACGGTACAATCTTTGGTGCGCCTTTTTTCGCTGCCTTGAATATGTACTGATGAAGCCAATGCAGCTGTAAGCGATGCAAGAAAGAACGGAATTGCAGCTGGATACTAGCCAACGGGTGTAACATTAACTACGTGCGTTGTAAATTGGGTCAGACGACCTTCCGGCCGCGGGACGCCACTCCTGATGAATGCCATAGCTTGATATATTTGAACAAAGTCATTTAGTGAAAGACAACCAGGAGAATACTGTATTTTCTGAAAATTGTTACTCATCGTACTCTCTCCAATACAGGACAAAAACCTGGAGTAGATATTGCTGACCTCGAATTAGCATTAGCAAGGCTCGAGACCTTTTGAGCTTGTACAGGTGGAGTTTGGGTGGAGTACCCATATTCTGTCCATCCATCAAAGCTAGAGCTGAGACCTATCAACGACTTCAACTTTATTAGGAGAGATTCTTCTCGTGTCGAATTCCGGGATTGAATGACTTGTTAATGAGATCAGATGATTCCAGAGAGATCGTACATTGCACTCGGAGATGTCCAGCAATACATAGATGGATGCTTTATAGTACCCTGTGAGGCGTGCCAGAAAAAGAAACTGCGAGAGAGGTCAAGAGGTCCCGCTGGAGTTCTGGGGTCCTAAGGAAATTGTTCGGCAACATGTGGGAAATTCAATCAGACGCGTCACATTTCTGGGCGCTTGCGGACACGTCAGAGTTTTTTTTCGAGGCTGTTCAAGGGCACCTTAACCTCTGACCGCGTCGATGTCAACAGAAGTGGATCTCATCGCTTCCTATGCAGGCCTCCTGAGTCTGGCATGCATCTGCATTTACACCGGAGCATTTGCCTCTTTACCTGTTCGTCACGCTGTTCATCAATTCTTGTCCAGTTTGCTCATTCATATTTCATTGAATTCCAGACCAAAAAGCGTGCCGGACGAGCCGAGAATAACACAGACAGTGACGATGAAGACGAAGACGAGCAACCTGAATTTCTCTCTGTCGAAGATGCGTGGCTTTTCCCCATTGTACTTTTCGTTCCCATTCGTTCACGATGTTCATCTTCTGATTTGATGGTTTCAACGCATAGATTGGATCTGTGGTGCTATTTGGTCTTTTCGTGGTAATCAAGTATTTTGGGAAGGAATGGATAAATTGGTTACTGGGTTGGTACTTCTCTATTGCTGGGATTGGAAGTGTATGGAAGGTAGGAACAAGCTCCGGATGATCATGCTGCATTCTCAAATCATCTGCAGTCTTTGGTCTCCCTTACCCGCTACCTGCTTGGAAATGAGCAGTGGCGCCGGTTTGAACGGTTTTCAGTTCATGTTAAACGGCGTGGCGTCGGTCAGTGATCATGTTCTTTTTCGAAAAGCATTACAATGTAACAGAGACTTAGACATTTTCTCCCTGAAATGGAGAACACCGTCCCTCATTTTGTTCCCGCTTTCCGTAATTCCTTCTGCCTTATACAGGTACTCATCCGCTAGCCGAAGATCTGCTTTGCTCACAGACGTGCTGTCTATGTCATTTTGCCATAACGCTCTGTCGTTATTGAAGCTTGACTCTTTCAAGACCGGTACGGCTCTACTGTCAGGTCTCTTTATTTACGACATCTGGTGGGTGTTTGGGACACCTGTTGTAAGTCGTTACATATTTGCGACATTCTTCAATCGATTTGATCTATCAATTACAGATGGTGGAAGTTGCGACCAAGCTTGACGTACCCATCAAGTTGCTTTGGCCCAAGTCAATAAACTTTTCAGATGAATCGGGATTCACGCTGCTTGGCCTGGGGGATGTTGTGATTCCTGGGGTAAGTAGTCACAAAGTATTAGCGGATGACCTTTCTGTACCTAATCAGATTCCTTTAGTGTTTTGTGGCACTCGCCTTGCGCTTCGACCATCACCGTTACCTCAAAAAAGGAAAAGCCTTTAGCAAGCCGTATTTCTACGCATCGTTGTTGGCGTATATTCTGGGATTAGTTGCCACCATGAGCGTCATGCACATCTTCAAAGCTGCCCAACCAGCTCTGTTATACCTTAGGTGTGTTTCAGGAAAACTTCTTTTTTGGGATTTAAGATTCATTTTTGATTTATTTATTTTTTGATTTTTTACATGTGCTCAGTCCCGCGTGCATCCTGTCATTTGTCGCTACAGCATCCGTCCGGGGAGAGCTCTCGGAGGCTTGGAACTGGATCGACGAACCAGAATCGGAAGGAGACGGTAAAAAGCAAAACTAACGCGTTTGAGTTCCTCGTGTATGGTTCAAGTATCTATCATAATTTATTTCCCTCGAGCGTTTTTGTATAGGATGCATGGACCTCAATGAGACCTTGCCGGTCATTACTTCCCTTCGTCTGAGGCAATTTTGGCAAGATACAACAAGAGTTACTTGAGCATGTACGTTTCGAAAATGACCGCAAAAAAATCGCAACATCGGTGTTCCATCAGCACCGGGTCGCTGCGCTTGGGTGACTACTTCAAATTTCAGGAACTCTACTCATGCACGCGGAGCCATCATCTTCGTCGTTGAGACAATGCAAATGCAAGGGCTTGAAAAATAATTGACTCCGCGGCTGAGACCCCTGTATTCGGCTTCATCGATTGAAGACCTCCGACACCAAGCACAGCAGTTTTTTTTTTCAAGATGAAGGCGTCCACTTTCCACTTTGTTGAAAGAGTAACAGAGATACAGCTAGGTTGACCTGCTTCCGTAGCCTTAATTCAGCAATAACTTGATCTCAAGACCTGATGCTATACATACCCGCCTATGTCGTCTCGTACGCGCATATTCTTAGCAGCGCAATTCCGACTGCTTCCGAAACCGGACTTCCTTCCTCCGTCTTCCGCCCCTCGACTCTGGACTCAATGTGCAACTCTGTTCGCTTTGTGCAGTACTCACAGTACCTACAAGTTGACCCGATCCTCAATTCGCATTCTACACTTTTCCTCATTAGGCGCAAGTCGTTGGCAAGTCGTTCAGTTAAACGACTGTGTCACTTTCAGAAAAGTTTTGCATATGCTTGAATAAGTGCCAGGGGATGCTGCGACTGTCTGTATTGGTCATCACCAGTAGCTTTTATAAGGAACTCTCAGAGATAAGAGATAATGAAATCACGAACCACCTTATTTTGACTTGTATGAGCTTGTATGTATATACATAGCTTGAGTCAGAGCAGAGTCAGAGATACGAGTTCCTCATCTCTAAGTTACGTGAGTTCTTAGGTTTAGTTTAAGCTCTATGCAAACAGCATGAAGATCTCCTTTTTGTGCAGTGTGAACTCATTAGCTTTCATAAACGGTCGTGCATCGCAGTATAAATCGTCATAGAAATCAAAGTAACTTTGTTCGATATCGAAATATCGGTCAATTATCTGTTGGATCCAGTACTATCGTATCAAATATATGTTCAGCCATTGATTGCCGGCGGATAGATTTGCAAGGTGTGGTGGCTTCGGAGACTTCGATAGTTACTTTGTTATCGCTGAAGCTGTATGTAAACGATAGTGTGCATATCGGGCTGATATCTTACGATTCGACGCTTTGACATTGATTAACGTGATGGCCGTGCGTTGGTATTTACATAGGAGCAGACTGTCATCATCTCTTGGACTGGATCCAGGATTCGTCTGAGTAAGAAACACTGGTGAGTTCTGTACAACGAACAGCATTAGCATACATTGACAGGAAAAGGATCAACACACGCACGTGCGTTTACTGATTGGTCCTCCCGCAATCGAACAGTAGCAAAGTCCTGTCTACGACCAGATTCGCCAAGAAAACTTTATTTCATCGCTGGGTCCAAGACAAGGAAAGAGCTGTCTGGTTTTACGACTTACATCTACGGTACTCTGTTGTCGATATATTCTTTGCCGTGACTTCAAGCTATGTAGGATCCTAAGGCCGCGGTGACGCGCTTGGAATACGGCTACAGTCTGCGATGGTAGCATCCGGGAACACGGTGCACTTTGGCTTAATATTTCAATCGACCGCAAGGAGCCGCAAGGCCTGTAACATAAACCAAGCGATCGCGAGTCCTTGATGAGCGCAAACTCGCGTACAAACCTACAATAGTAGACAACAGTTCATCTGGACTCGGTGGCCATGAATAATCAGTCCGATGACGATGAAGAAAAACTGCAGCATGCATTAATTCCGAGGCGATTCAGAGACTATGAGTAGAAGGTGCGATGGTGTTTTGGAAAAGTAGGTCTGAGTGCGCGTGTATGCCTAGAAATGTTTTATTTTTGAACGTTGCGGTACTCCCCTTTGTGAAGAGTTTTTCGTGAGGGATTTGCTTAGTGAGGAATTGGAAGCATGTGAATATCATCAGATCTGACAAGATCATGCGATGAAAAGGGACAGAGAAAAATTCAAAGAAAGGAAATAGAAACTGTCCGGGGTCCTGTCATGTATATTCGGGCCGAACAATCCAATGTGAGCTAGAACGCAGGCATGAAGTTAAAGCATCTTGGTACTCTTGCTCTGGTCAGTAACCGCCAATTTCTTCAGATGTTTACTGATGCTATACTATCCTCAAACTAGCATGGATACTCGGTCAGGAGAAGCTTTTACTGACTGGGGGAATCTTTTCTCTGCTCCTCTGAACCCTAGCGTCTTCGCTGCACTTGATGCAAACGGCGTATTAGGCCCACCGCCTCAGAGGCAGCATTTACCCAACATCGACGTTATGGTTCAACCTACTGGTTCCAACCAGTGGCAAGAGTCTCCCATGTCGTATCCTAGACCGTCTATGCAGCGCTCGGATTCTTCTTCGAGCGTTCAGTCCAAGAACTCTTCTTTTGCGCTTCCTCCTTCTCTCTGGATGTCACCAGCCGCAGCTCCCGCTGGAACGCCCATTCCAGGGCCTTCGAAACATGATCTTGGACCAACTCCTGCCCATTCGCCTAACACAGATAAATCGACCACGGCTTTTTCTGATCTATTTTCAGACGACCTCTTTACTGCGTCCCAAACTACATCTCCCCGTTTGTCTGGTTCTCCTGAACTAACAGGTTCTCTGGATACATCCGCTACTTCTTCTGTTGCAGACGACGCTGCTCAATTTGCCAAAGAAGATCCTCTTGCGACTCAGGTATGGAAGATGTACGCTAGAACTAAAGCCGGCTTGCCACACAAACAGCGCATGGAGAATATCACTTGGCGAATGATGGCTATGGCGCTAAAAAGAGGAGACTTAGTAGATCCCAACGACGAGAAAGCATTGGACTTGTACCCGTCGAGTGGGCGACTATCTGAGGAGTTTGAAGCATCGACGTCCACTTCCTCCATTAAAGTAGAGGAAAAGGATCCATCTATCACTGGTGAACGGGGCAGAAGAAAGGATAAAGGAAAGGACAGGGTCAGGGTAGTCGGTTTTGATGGAACAAATCAGGACGAAGAGCCTGCCTTGAATGACGAGTAAGTGGCATGCTTTTGCGCAACTTTGGCCTGGTCTTATTCGAATCAACATCAGAGTGATACCAATGGACTGGCGTGCAATATCTCGCTCACGCTCTCGTATATCCATGGATTGGAGACCAACCTCACGGTCTCGATCTAGACCACCCGAATCCACTAGCTCCGCTTCTACCTTCTCCGGTCTCAATGGTTTGGGCTTCGATATGGTTCATATGAACTCGAATCTGAATTTTTCGCCCATGTCGAGCTCGATGCCTAATTCAAGTATGATACATGCCCTTGCGAAACCTATGTCTGGCTTGTCGGCAACTCGTACTAGAAGTCCACCTGGTGGCATGAATATTGGCATGGGTTCCATATATGAAGATTCAAACGCTTTCGACACTTCGTCAGACACGAGATATTCTTTTGCAAACCACCAGTTTGCGGGAGTGCAATCACCGTCGTTTGCACCCTCCTCATTACCATCTCATGTTATGCATCATCCACATCCTCATCAATCTAGTCACCATCCTCACATCACTTCACAATCTTCTCATCCTACGAATGATTCCACGAACTCTCACATGGGTCTCGGTTTGAATACATCTGGAGTGAATTTCAGTCTTGGGGCTGCAGGATCTTTTTCTGCAGGCGGTATACGCAGTGATTCACCTCCGCCCCCTTTTGGGTTTCCTCGGCATGTGCGAAAAACGAGTTTTGATCATACGGTTTCTAAAGACTCAATATATCCTCTTTCACCTGCACAAGGAGGAAGACATCAAGTTAATGGGCGACCCCTTAGTCCCAAGGGACCAAACAATGCACTACTTGTCCCTCGATCAGGTTTAAACATGGCCGAAGTGGGATTAGGAATGAAGAGGCGCGCAGATGCGCCACATGCCGAATCGCTTCTTCGAGGTGACTTGACAGAAATGCCTTTCAATATGGGTAGTGCTGCAGGCTTCACTCTTTCACAGTCCTTGCCCGCTCATTCGCATATACATACCGCTCAACATTCTTCCCGTTACGGCCCTCATCTTCCTTCTCAACATTCTCAACATCACACTGGTCGACATCACCAGATGGGTTCTGGTGACGGTGCTGAACATTCAAGTGCGGGGGGAGTTTCTGGTCCCGGGAGTCCATTCCCTTCCTCAACCTCATTCAACTTCTCATTCCCTACCTACGACGATAATTCTACCTTCGAAGCCGCGTCGTCTACGAACAACTTTGAAGGCTTCTCAGATGCAGCTGGTGTTGGTTCGCAATTCAAATCTGCGCGATCTTCGATTTCTGGCCCAACGCACTCGCCTTATATGACCAATTCGTCCAATGATCTTACAGGGCACCATTCCCATCCCAATCACGGTCGTGGTGGGCACTCACATCATAACTCCACTGGTAGTGGAGGAGCAGGGTCAAATCTCTCAGCAGCAGCAGCTTCTGCCTCCGTGGTTATGGCAGAAGGTTATGCGAGGCTGAGCGCTGTCAATGGCATTGATGATTTGACCGGTGGAGGTATGGGACTCGGAGGGATTGGAATCGATGGTTCCGGAGGCTCTGCGGTAGATTATACACTTATGGGAAGCCTTGGACCGTTGTATTCCGGGCTGGAAGACTCATCCACCGGCGCAGGAAATTCTAGTGGACCATTTACGCATGTAGATCCGACACAGATACTTGCAGGCTCTGGAGGTGTTTATGCCCATGCGAGTCCGTCGAGTGATGGCTGGGGACCAACATCCACTGCGTTGCCCAATGCCTCAGGTGGTCCAGGTAGCAGTTCATCCCCTGAGGCCTCAAACGCAAGTACGCCCCCTAGTGGGGAAGGTGGATCTGGCCTTTTGACGGGTTCATCTTCGAAGGCTGGGAGGAAGTACTTATCACTCAAAGACGAGAAGACTAGGATGACTGGTCTCGGAGATTCGTTGCGGAGCGGGAGCAGCACACCCGATTTGGAAACGAACTCGGCTTCGAAAGATGGCAAAGGCACTAAGTCAAATGGAGAAGATGGAGACAACCCGACGCTATGTACAAATTGTCGGACAACGAACACGCCCCTTTGGAGACGGGATCCCGAAGGGCAGCCGCTGTGTGAGTATCCCCCGCCCTCTTTTCCTGATGAATATTTATCTTTTCGTTTTTCGTTTCAGGTAATGCATGCGGTTTGTTCTATGTAAGGACGCTAAAATCCTCTTGTAACTGATTCTGATGTTCGCTTTTAGAAACTGCACGGTGTAGTGCGTCCGCTCTCTCTTAAAACAGATGTCATCAAGAAGAGGTACGCTCTATAGAAAGCAACCCAGTACTGGACTCATTCCTTTGTTCCTGCAGGAACCGTGCCTCCGGTACGCCTACTACAAGTTCCCGAAAGTCGAACGCCGGATTACCGAAGCTGGCTTCGTCTGGTGCAAGACCTAGGTCGCAATCCAATTCAGCTACTGGAAGTATGATTGGAAGAGTGGGCATGGGACAAGGCGCTGCTAGTATAGCAGCTGCAGGGAGTGGAGGTGCAACCCCCGGCGGTGGAAATACGATGGTCAAGAGACAAAGAAGAGCGAGTGGGGCTCAAGGAGGTGCAAAACGAGGTGATTCGACTTGAGTGCCTGGGTAGGCGATGTGGTTTGATCTGTTTTTATCTTATTCGTTTGCTTTGGGTAAGATTATATCTCTGCAATATGCGTTTTCTCTTCCATCCCTTCCTCTCGTTCCATTTTAATTGACGTACACAGAAACATTGTTGTAGATGTACTCGTATCATCCCTTTTCTCGTGAAGTTACCGCTCTCAACCTATGTCACGTTCTTTCTTGTCTTGCTTCATCTGTTTTGCAATCGTGTTCATTGTTTTAATAGGACTGCGTACTGTATCTCTTCGATAGATTTTCCAAACTAGATCAACTATCTTGCGCTGCTGTATGTCGGCCAAGCTTGAAAAACGAACCATCCAATAATGTGGGTGGCGCAAGGTTTGCCGTTTTGGTCATTTGACTTTTAATTAATTAATACACACACTCTCTGTTCGATCTCTGTAAACTGTATACCCCCCTTCATTCACACTGGCACTATTCCGAACGAATGCTTCTGCTTCGCGCAGCAATGGCTCACCGCCGACCTCTTTTCCTGGCGGCTTAGGGTCGAGTGATTTAGCCGGCCGCCAAGTTCAACGGCGAGTTTCGAGAACGGACTTGGATTTCGAGCAGGCTCTGCAGGGTCAAGGGACCGTAATACTCAAGGAAGGTGTCGATATTAACACTCTTGGAGTTGTTGAAAGTCCTTCACCGGCTCCATTGCCAAAATCCCCCAAATACGACCCCAAATATAGAACTCCTTCGAGCAACACAAAGAAACCCCAGCCTTCCACACCAACAATCGTGCCACCCACACCATCACCTGTTGCTGGGCCTTCCAACGCAAAGATACCCCAAATGTCGCCGTCAAACGACTTTTTCAGCGACAATGATGATGACAATACCACACGGCACGTAAATCGTCGCTCTATGTATCGTTCACCCGGTACTTCGAGCAGCCCTGATCTTGCAACTCTTCTTCGAAAAGCCAAAGAACGAGGTGGCCTGGTTAGCTCTGCTCATTTCCAACGAGATAGACGGAGAGAATCTCCTCCTCCCTTACCACAGTTCCCAAACTCTCCGTATACCTCGCCAATGCCCAAAAGCAAAGGCCACCAGTCTCATATACATCCTGGAGATATGAGTGGTGGGTCAGAGTGGATATTGGCTAGTCCAAATGACAGCGGCAGCTCGCCAGGCAAGGTGCAGTATACATTTGCCCAAATTACTCGTAGCTCATCCTTGCTTCTAGCCTATAAAGTCATCTGTCAGATCGAAGGCTAGCACTTTTCTTGGTAAAATGCTGGGCCAGAATACTGTTAGGGAACGATCTGTATGTCGCCTGCACCTGTCTAGAACTGAATCTTAATGACATACTTCGTCCATTCAGAAAACTGACGCAAGTTCTCCTTCAACTTCTCATTCCAACTCCTCTTTGTATGATGCTTTTACTCCTCCGGTACCACCCCTTCCTATGGGGAGTAGACCGATTCCTTCAACCTCACCTATTGCCGACGTATTTTCTTCGAGTGCTCTCCGGCCCTCATCACCTTCGATATCTAAACCTTTACCTCCCATCATGACTACTGGAACTCGGGAGATCGAAGATGAACGATCCATGGTCTTTGTCGACATGATGCCTTCGGATAATACCACTGTCAAAGGCAAACGTCGTAGCCTCAGCGTTAGCCGTATTGATACCAGCAGCGTTATGGCAGGTGCTATCTTGGGTGGACCTCCTCGCACGCCAGACCGTTCACCGTTACGAACTCCTGTTACCGAGAACGATGGTCTCTCAGGCGGCAGGATCGAAGATACCACACTCAATGGCATCATAACCCACTTCAAAGGTGAACTTTCACAACTAGATCCTATCACTGTTTCAAATTTGGACCTTCGGGACCCTTCCACCCCAGCCCGTCGCGCAGCGCTTTTGAATCCCAACACTAATGGTTATTCTCAAGGTGGCCAAGACTCGGATTCAAAACACGCATCAATGATGCCCACAGTGACGTTACAGCCACCGTTCCGGACAGAAGAAACTGCTCAAGAGTTGGATGTGCGATCTGTACCCCCTTCACCATCAGCGCATAGAGTATCCACCGTGCTTTCGAATTTGGATCCAGCCACTAATCCTCGGAATCTGTCGCTGCAAACATCCTTACGCTCCTCTTTAGGTTCTGCTGGTGGTGGGACGACTTCAGCGCGGAATATGCACCGTCAGAGTCTTAGTCCACTTAGATCAAGAAGTGGACCTGCCGAGTCGTTGACATATAGTAATTTACCATCACCTCATTTAACGGGCGCTAGTTCTGCTCGTGGTCTCCGGGTGATTCATCGGTCAACTGCGTCAAGTTCAGAACCGTCATTGATACCAACTGTTGTCGCGGCTGATGGTGCGCGGATAGGTACGTGCCGTTACACCTCTACAACCTTGTTTCCCTTTCACTATCATCGCAAACGACAATGCCTCTTCTTCTGGTCTCCTTGTTTAAGCATCGACTTAGTCCTTTTCTCGGCTTAGTATCCCAGCAAGACTTGATGGTGAATGACCTTGACCTCACGAGGCATTCCTCGTCAGGTCACTCCTCGGGAAGACGCGGCAGTACATCTGCTGTTAGTGGCAGTGGAAACTATGCCACTTCTGGAGGAGATGAATCACCCGACATGGAAGTCAGAGGTCAAGAACTGGCATCTCGTTGCTGGAACGAAGACGAAGAGTTCCTGGGGAAGGAAAAAATAGCAGAATGGTTGGGCGGGATGTAAGCTCGCTTCTCACTCTACCTCTTTTGCAGGCCGCACTAACGAGAATTCCAGCGGACGCATCAATAAATCCGCGCTTCAGCATTACATATCCAACTTTGATTTCTCCGGACTCAGATTGGATGTGGCCTTCAGGTATACCTCCTACGTGTACTACTCGTAGCCTTGACTGATGACTTCTTCGTGCTCAGACGTCTGTGTGCAAAACTCTACCTCAAGGCTGAAACGCAGCAAGTTGATCGTATACTCGAGGAATTCAGTCGACGGTATTGGGAGTGCAACCCGAATACTTTGTATGGTAGTTCCAGTGCGTCCTCGATGTTACCTGACGTATACTTCCGATTGACCACGATACGCGTAGATCTTGTCCACGCTGTTGCCTACTCTCTACTCCTTCTCAATACTGACCTGCACGTTGCGGATCTCACATCACGCATGTCACGCAGTCAATTCGTTCGAAATACCCTTGCGGCCATTCAGATGCAGCTGCAACCTTCCTCCTCCACGTCGCCCAAGGCATCATCGCCCGATGTCTATGATGAATCTGGAAGTCTTCGTAATTTTCCTCTACCCGGAAGTGACCAAAGTTCCAACTCGAGTTCTGTAGCTGTTTCGGAGGGGTCAGAACTAGATACCATCACTCGATCAAAGAGAAGTGATAGTATCACGAGCTGGAACAGTATCTCGAGAGATACGATTTTGTCTTCGCCCGCTTTATCACTGGCGACTTCTCAGGCTACAACACCGATTGTAGAGAACGACTGTACACCGAATATCTCTGACCTTCAGTCGTCTACAACTTCCATGGCTTCTTCCAATATCGTCTACGGACGTGCTTGGGAAGCTAGCATGGAAAATCTTTTGAAAGTGCTTTGGTTTCATGCTATTAATCGTATCATCACTGACTTGTTCGTAGGAAATGTACAACGCCATCAAGAGTCAGCAAATACTCCAGCCTTTGAATGTCAGCAGGACATCAATGTCTTCCTCACTAAGTCCAGGAGGGCCAATGTTAAGGAACCGCAGCCTACGAGGACCTCCTGATAGGTTGACGACACTGAAAAGAGGCAGCATACGAGGTATACAATCTATTGTAGGACAGGGAGGAGTTAGTCCATACAGTAGTAATAGCAGTATTGACGGTCGTGCCAGTCCATCGCCCAGCTTTGCTACTTCGACGCACGAGGTGAGTCTGTCGGCAGGCTTCAATCTGAGAGACTATTAATTCAAATTCATCCGCCACAGGCCATCTATGGTTCAAGCTCCTCCTTCCTTTCACCGACGCTCGGCTTCGCCTCTAATCTTAGCCATACGATTATCCGTGAAACACAAGAGGATGACGATCGTAGTGTGCACAGTGATAATTCAACTGGTACATCTATAAGTATTACTGACGAAGAGCTTGCTCTGTTGGGAGCTCCATGGGCGAAGGAAGGTATGCTTTGCCGGAAGCAGTATTGGGAGTCTGCGAACAAACGATCCAAGGACAAAGCCTGGCTCGATGTTTTTGTTGTCATTCAGAAGGGAGAACTGAACATGTTTACTTTTGGCGAGAACGGCGGGGGAGGATCAGGCGTCTTTGGAGGTGGAAACTGGCTGGTGAGCAGAAATGAATTTGAAAATGCTCTTTGCTGACTTCAGATAGTCCAATGCCAATTCCGTCGGTGTCGTTCAACTATCCCACTCTTTATCCCACGCCTTACCGCCTCCAGGCTACAATCGACAACGACCCCATTGCATGGTCCTCACCCTCTCCAATGGCGGAGTATACTTCTTCCAGGCCGGTACCGAGGAACTAGTCAATGAGTGGGTATCCACCTGCAATTACTGGGCTGCTCGAACAAGCAAAGAGCCTTTATCCGGCGGTGTATCCAACATGGAATATGGTTGGAACCGTGTACCAGACCCCGCTCATGGACGTTCTCACTCGGACAGTGAATCAGTGCGAGATAGTGATGTGACAAGTGTCCGAAGTAATAAGAGTGCTCGAAGTAGGTTCAATTGGCGGGAAGGGTCGGCCACTGTTCGTGGACAATCCCCTTGGAACGATCGGATACATATCAATGACTGGAAACCGCCTATGCCGCCAACGGTTGCTAGCCTGCACGATGAAGAAACTCAGATGGATGCTTTGAAAAAGTATGTCAAATCGTTGAAAAGGGACTTGCAGAAACACAACGAACTGCGGGAGCCTATGTCTGCATTGGTAAGTGAAGATTTTTTCTTTCCTGTCGAGTTTAATAACGTCGTTCCCGCAGTATCAACCTCGTACGAGCAATGCAGTCAAGGCGATGAGTAATTGGGAGAAGAAATCTCAATATTTATTGACGGAGATTGTTAAGTACGATTCGTACATTGATTCTCTTCAAGCTGCGATGTCTCTGCGACTCAAAAAACGGGGCGAAAAAGGCGAGCTCAACTAACATAAACGCATTACTTTCACTTATAAATACGTGGATACTTGTAGCTTTAGAGCGAGCTCTCAGCGGCCCAAATCCTGACGATGTGCCTGATGCTCTTTACAAGAGCCCCGAAGCGACAATTCCCGAAGACGACGAGCCTCCGACTCCTAATCCTAGCCAAAATATGCACAAGCGGGAGAGTGCTGATACAGGAGATGACTTCCTATAATGTATGCTGATATTCTTTTAAACATATTATTGCTCTACGGTACATACATACCCACTCACGGAACCGACTTAATATTCCATGTCTTCGCTGCTTTTCTTTCCTGTATACATGTTCACGAAAACATATGCAATAACACAATTAGCTATATCATTGAACTAACAAGGTCCATATTTAGCTGCGGCGACATGGGCTTCCAGTCCGCTTGTTGAGGTCTTCGGAGTGAAAATCGAACCCCCCTGTAAGTCTTCATCAGGAATTGATTGGACTTGCACGACGAACGCAATACAAACCTGATTCGGCGCGTACCTAGTCACTGTGAGTTAGACTCCATGCAACAATATACCGTAACATAGTGCCTACCAGACAGAACCAACATCGTTGCTTGAATCGGTACCATAATGGAAAACAGCGGATGTCTGCGAGCCTAGGAAGGGACTGTATTTGGCTGTACGAGTGCTGTCATTGGCCATATCGAGATAATACTGGACATGTTTGGTCCACAGGCCCTGCATCGTAATTTTAAATATAACGACCATGATTAGCAAGAACGATAGAGGTTGACCTTGAACAATTGCTGGTCAGCATCACAAACCTGGATTCATCGCTTCATTAATACTGCTCGTAACTGGTCTGTATCTTTTAACACCCACCGATCCACCAGACAGTGCATCATCGCAAGATTCCTTAAGAATGTCATCATCAGTTAAAAGAGAAATTGTGGCATCCAGTGTTATTTCTGCTTGATCGAGGAGGGTGGTATTTTTCGTAGCAGAATAAAGAGCAGCTAAACCAGAAGCAATGACACCCTGGTGGATAGCGAAAGTGTTTAAAGCGTAGCATTCATGTCTAAAGGGAGACACAAACCTGATTGTACGTCCATGTCGTCTGGTTCATAAATTGTATCTTTAGAATAAATTATGGTGCAGCACGATACGGGGTTCCTTACCTGTCCATTATTGACGCAAGTATCTGTCAAGCCATCGTTCCATAATCCTTGCGAATTTCTCATTCCAGAGGCAGACAACCAGTTCCAGACCTCGCAGTACAGATAGTTGAGACAGTGGACATCAATGTGCTCTGAGAATAAACTCTCTCTCACCTTGTTAGCATTATCGAGATATGTCTGCCCTCCACCCCTCAGATATCCATCGGCTGATACATAGAGGAAGAGCTGATTTGTGATTGCATTTTTGTACGTATGAGCGGTACTCCACCATACTGGCACATTCAAGTGAGATCGAATGCATTTCAAAGTTCCACAAGAATGCCTACCTCCACCCCCACAGGTATCGTCCCACTGACCTGCGATAAGGTTATATATGGTTGCCGCGGCATTCTGTGCAAGTTAATACATTGGTTGGTCAAAATCGATGGTTATAACAGGATTTATACTCAAGTCTCACAAGGTATGCAGCATTCGAAAGACCGCGAGCCCCCTTGTAGTCAGCTATCTTCCACAAAGCCATTAACACCCACTAGCGGAGTCATGTATAACTTCAGTGCATTATGTGGCGCAATTCTCGAGGGGCTTACACCAGCATCATCATTCGCGCCTCCTAGTAACGAAGCCCAATCCGTAGATGAAGAAAGAGCCGCCTGGCCAATGTAAGAGCCATCTGCGATCGTGCTCCATGTGTCCACATCTGCGCCGAGCATTAGGTTGTGTAAATCTTCCAACGCATTCTACCGGAAAAGGAGGACCGAATTGATGACTCTGTTTTACCAAACGCTGATGATGGAAGACCTACTGCATCTGTCCAGAGAGAGCCACCGTTATACATCCCGGTGCCGCTATTGTAGTAATGTGCTTGCAGGGTGGACGCAACGCTCTACATCGATCAAAAGTTAATCTGATTGAAGACTCCTTTGATTAGGATTACTACCTCGGCGACGGTTAATGTCGCTGCACATTGAGCACGTTTCTGATGCTGATGTAGGACACTGGCTGCGTTCACCGATAGCTCAAATAATGAAGTTAGGAGGACCAGGATTGTCGTCGAGCCCACTATCATCTTGATCGATCCAGGAAATGGGTGGAATCCCCTCGGAAAGGATTCATCCTACTTTATACTATGCGAATTTGAACACTGTGGATGCGAATTCATCTTAACAGGTGGAAGAACCTCCTAAATTGCTGTTCCATCTTCTCAACGGGCGATGGTTCCTGTATATGACGATCATGAAATGCGTTCAGTGGTTCGAAAGGAGTTTAATTTGAGCTCCTGACTACCGATACATGTGGTATCTTTCCGGAGGAACCTGTGGTACAACCAAAGAGCCACATTCATCGTAATCCAATGTGTTCATCGTTACGCCGTGAAATCACAATCTCAAATCACCAGTGACCATTACACCCGCAACTATAAATACCGACTGAAAAGGATTTCAAACAAGCGTCTCCTAAAACCCGTGTCATCAAGAGAAGAATCACGATAAAACAGTGAACAACGTGGGTCGTCTACATTGTACTCTAGAAGATGTTTCAATATACAGGTCTAAAATAATCATGAGGGAAGGGTTCATGGTTCGAAGCAAGTTCAGAACAGCAGGAAAGCAGGGAGGAAAGCCAGGAAGAGAGATACCACAGACTGCAATCTTTACCATCCGACTTCGCCAGCTACGAAGGGCTGTACGGTGACTCCTGTGACTCCCGCAACCTTTCGAAGGACATATCTTTCGAGGTCGTACACTTCGTAAGAGTCTTTGGCAAGCATCATGGCACGGATATGGTGGGGCCGAGAATTTGCTGCGAAAGTATGCATTAGATCATGTAGCAAAATCGGAAAATTTGCTGCACCTGCAATGGCATGTTTTCGGCTTTGCCATATACAAGTTGCTAGGTTCATGCCCGTTTGCTGATTTGGAATACCGTACCAGTAGAGTATGAGCTATGTAAGATGAGTTAATGGGTGATGAGTGGTTGTCACATGAAGTAAACGTACACCACCGTTTCCTACAGCTTCTTCATGGGCCTTCTTATCCGCTTCGTACAAAGCTAACGGAGGGTTCAGTTCAAAGAGACGACATCATGAGTGCGATTTGTGCGACGTACAGCCGCCATCACTGCCTGCCTTCCTTTTACTCCGGAACACGACGCAATACCATTCTCTCTCCTCATCTACGGGGAGGGACAGTTCGTGCCAGTTAAACGCCTGTGCATACGGTGTTTCGGAGTAAAGCGAGTCGAGCGGCCGGAAAAGGTGAAGGGCTTTGTGAAGAGACAAGGAAGCAGGGTCTATATCTGGTAGACGGGTTTCCGTTACGAGCGGAGGGTGCTCGTGCGGTAGTGCAGAACGCGGAAAATTGGGAGGAAGGGATGACAACAATGGAGGAAGATAGAGAATTGGGGTCTTTGGTTCTATGAGACTTTTAGAATCGAATGTGGGAGTGTCATGAGGATCCCGGACAGGACTAGACGATGAAGAGCTTAAAAGGGGAATGGCGAAAGTGTAAGAGTTTTTCTTCCTCTGCAGCTCCGACGGATGGGGGGGATGAGCAAAAATCATAGACATAATTCTGGTTGGGGATAGCCTGTGGACAAAAGGTGTTGAAAGCGACCTGTTTTTAAGGACGGGGAATAATTGTACGTACAAATAGAACTCAGTACAAATTTACTTCAAAACCAGTCCACGAAGATTGCGCAATTTTACGCGACCACCGCGCGACCATGAAAGGTTATAACGCCAGGTAGGTCCATGTAATGTCGATATGAAGCGCCTGAAAATTACGCCTACTCTTCCAGACACCCAGATGATTGTTTGAACCAAGATCGTTGAGGATATTCAGGTGAAGGGTCTGCCAAGAGTTTGCTGACTGCTGAAACACTGGACGTTTGTCGAAAGCTACCATCAATCCAAGTCTAGCCATGAATCTGTGTCTCATCGTCGTGAAATACAGTCACCCAACCGTAGGCTTCCGTTGAGTTGGCTTCATTCTGATTCTTGCGTGTACTATCGCGAACTTGTGTTTTCATTTGACTAGTTGACTAGCACCCTCTAAGCAGTTCATTCGAATATAGCATTCTTTTGGAGTTCTATTTTTGACTATGTAGCATGTAGATAGATAAATAGATAGATGGACGATGTCGTGGACGTTGTTGATAGTAAAGACAGGAATGGCGCGGGAAAGGCGCTTACATACCTATTTGATTTTGTATTTCAATTTGGTTTGGCTATTACTCTCGACCCACAAACGCCTTGATAAGAAGAATGTCACTCACGCTCTTTTCTGCTTTTGTTTTCTTTGTGCTGTTAGTCTCCCCCGCCTTCGTTAATGCCGAGACGCACATCGTCAAGTTTGACAACCAGTTGCGTGATACTGTCGACAGATTTTGCGTTTCTTGCTGTTTCTCGAGTTTACTAACGAGGATTCGTATTTGACTTAGATGTGGCTACGGCACGGTATCATATCCATATAGTTTTCAAAATAGTTATTTAACGTCGTCCATTTCAGCCTCAATTGATCCAAGGTTCGTCCGTCCGCATTAATGCTAGTGATTGAAGACCCTCGGTTTAATTCGGATTGTAGGTAACGACGTATTGACAACTACCGAATATACGTTCAACGAGCCGTATTCTGGAATCGCGTGAGTCTCGTTGAGGCTCTCCTCAGGGCTATATACTCAATCGAGATGTCGGGATTGCCGTAGCTATCTTCAGACCGGTGAGTACAACATAATACTTTACATTATGTTTGTAACTTCTCCCAGGCGGCTGTGGATTTAATGGAGAATATTGCGGTATCGTTGAGATGACATTGGATAATCCCACTGTCAGTGGTAGCGGGGCGTCTGCGGACATTTCTTACATTCCTCCGTGAGTAATCCCATTTTCCTCGTGAGCTCGTTGTCTTTAAACTTTTGTCAATGTCACTGTCAGGCTGGCGTATTCGGTCCCCTACAAATTTGAGTAAGTGCTGCGCATATATTGGATCCTGTTCAATCCGCAGTAATCCTGATGATGATCTCAGGTTTTACGGAGGCTGTGATGGAGAGGGAGCAAGTTGTGAGCAAAAATCAAGAATTTTGCTCACCTATCATGACAAGATGTAGGTAATTCCAGTGCCTGCTCTGAGGCTTTCTATGAGCCCGACCAGACTTATGTTCAAGTTGCCTGCCAGAATGATGATGTATGTGCTATGTTCAAGTTTGCTTTTCAGAATCACGCAAAACTCATATCAACTCTCGTGAAATGCAGGTCAATATCCTCATCACGTTCTGTGAAGGCGGCGAGTCCAATACTTCAATTGAAACTGGGTCAACTGCAGTGGATGTAATGTTGACTTCTACTGCAAGCTCAACCTCTTCAGCCCAGGTCGGGATTAGTTCTAATGTTTTGCCAACGACGGTAGTTAATGGCGACAGCGCAACACCATCGGTGTTTTCGACGACTGCTACTGCACCTTTCATTTCTTCCGGCTCTAGCTCTAGGAGGTGCAACGATAATCGCAGGCGACGCTCTAGCAACCTGTCTGAAAGCCTCAAAGGTCATCGTCGCCGTTCTCCCATTTCACGGTTTTAAGGGTGCTCAAGCCATGTTTGTTACTTATGGTCTGACTCACCACTTCTCTGCTTGCACACTGCTGCTCCCTCTGTGATTTTTGCTCTAGTCGCTTGGGCTACTTTTGTATTACTTGTTTGTTGTTCATTGATCGTAATGAGTTTGATGCTGCACCTGCATTTCTCCTACCAATCTTGCGGTCTTGTGATGGTGTACTTTACAAGCTGTGATCGGAACTGGACGTGATGGAGGAGATACTCAAGCGTCAGTCGAAAGTAGAGATTTGCTCAGATTTGCCCTTGAGACTTTCAGCTGGCCGCTGCCGACATAGCCGAATTTGGCTTTTTCTCCGAATTCGGTATGCTTGGATAATCATCCATCCACGAGGCACAAGTTGAACTTCAACGATTGATCCTGACATTCCGTGTTTCGTGTGTTTCTTCTTTCCCTACCCTTTTATCACTCCTGCGACACCTCTATCTGTTTTCTTTGCATCACCTTGACTTCAACAATATCTGAGGTCACCATTTACGCCACTTTTACCCGCGAATCCCATCCACCGCCCTTAAATTTTGGACCAACCACCACAAATTGCATTCGTTCTCGTTAACGTATAGATGTCTACTGCAGGAGGAGAGAAGGATCTGACAAGGGTTCTTATGCGATCCACCACTCCTGGTGAGTTCTTACTACTCTAGAACCCTGTGTCTCGTATAACATCGAATTATTTCAGCGCCCAACGACAAAGGTAACCAAATTGTGGATGTAAATATATGCAACATTCCTCATTCGTCCATATAGTTCTCAAATATCTTGATGGAATGGCAACGGCCCAATCTGAAGGAGAGATGGAGACCCAGGACTACCAAGATGAGCTACGCAGTAACCATTCTGGGGCTTCCCGTCATTCTCGAACTATTGGTTCTCGATCGCAGAATGGCGCGCTTTCGCCTAGAAGTCAAAACGGTCAGATTTTTCACGAATTAGTTGGCTCACTCGTCAGTTATGAACGTTTACCTCCCTCAGACCGGAGGTTACACGAAATGGAAGAAGATGTAGACGACATGGCGTCAGACGTACAACAGAGATCTGAAGGAGGGACGGCGTTACCTGTAGTACGTTTGACTGTTTCTATCGTCAAATTGACTTGTTCTGATATCTTGCAGCCAGAGCCTGGTCCACATGATGCCCCAGGCCCTCATTATATCTCATATGGCTCATCCTTCGGAAACTTTGGGCCCTTGCCACCGGATGATTTACCTCCCCAGAATGCCCTTAACACATGGGTTGTGAGTCTCCATCTTCCTTGTCTTGTCTCTTCGAATAGACCATCCCGCAGAATACTGCCTGGACACCGGATCTTGCAAATGGGCAAATTCCTTGGAATTTAAACACTGGAAATTCGTTTGAAGGAGGTCTGGGTCTTGACAATGTAGCGTCACATCGGGGTACTTCCATAGATATTGGTGTAGAGAGCCCTTCCAATAAGACTCGAACACGCTCTCAAGCCCCTTCGAGAGCTTCTGAGAAGCAAGGTTCAGAACATTACTCGCAGCCCCCTACCGTAAGTGATCCGCATTCTTTGGTGGTTGAAAATTTATATCTCACAAAGTACGTTAGTCTCCCAAAGCTGCTTCGCGCGCGCCCACGGCGAGGACCACTGACAGACCCTTGTCGCCACCGCAATCAGTCAAATCTCACGGGACCAACAAAACGAGGCCTACTGAAAAAGGCACAGTGTACCCTCCTCTTCCTGAGAGTCGCTTTGGCGACGAATCAATGTATGACGGACCCTCGTCACCCACTCGTTCGCGCGCTGCTCGATCCAAAGCACCATCCAAAGCGCCCTCCGTCTCCCCTTCTGACTCTCTCTCGCAATACAACGTCAGGCGTTATAAAAGTCCATCGCACCGTGAGGGTTCGAACGTGAATCAATCAGAGCCTGGTGTTAATGGAGCCGATCTTTCTCCACGGAGTACCGTTCGGCAGCTGCCCGTTAATGGGAATGGTATGATTGACTTCTGACCCGTGCTCAGTCTCATTACGTTCTCATGCAACTCTTCTGTTCAGGTCGGGTTCCTATGTCTCCTACGAGTTTCTCTCATCAGAGTCGTCCGTTTTCGCCATACCGTCATGCACCAACGCAGGAAGACTTACTTGCAGCGGCAACCCGTGGACGGGCGATAGTAATTCCAGAGGAGGAAGAACCAACAAAGGCCTCGTCAGTTGCACATTCAAGGGCTTCAAAGACAGCGTCTGCCGCTCCTTCTGTTACACCTTCTCATCGAACTCGGCAGTCGGTGGCTACTAATGGGAAGGCATCTAACAAGCTACCTTCAATTGCACCTTCCAAGCAGCCTTCTATGGCACCTTCCAAACCATCTTCTATTGCACCTTCCAAACAGCCTTCTGTTGCGCCTTCTCATCAGGGCCGATCCAGTCGAAACAGAGATGTAGACGCAACCCCTACTCCTTCTCGCCCTCATACTCCAGACATGGACGAGCTGAACCAAGAAGAAGCGCGCATTGTTGAACAAGCACTTGCTTCAGCTGTGAGGACGCCTCGTACCTCGTACTACACGCCTTCTGTGCTCGATGCGGAGGTGCAACAGAGCTCATTCCATGACAATGAATTATGCATTTTACTGCATCAATTAAAGGCTCCTCAGACTCATGACTTAGTGAGAAAGGTTGTTCTGAAAGCTGTCAAACAGAGAATGAAGAAACTGAGCATGAACTATGATAATGAGGTGCGTGTTAATTTAGATTTAGCTTAACCTTCATCGCTCATCGCTACACGCAGTCCATCAAACAGTATCAAAAAACTTATCACAACCACGATCCCATAAGCCAGCTTCCTGTTGAAGATGTTGATGTGAGTACAACGTCATCTCTTAATTACGACTGTCAGTTTGATCAAACTATGTGTAGGAACCGCCAAAATGGGCCTCTGACCTGAAGAGGGAAATTCTGTTGATGCAACAGCGTATTGAGAGTCTGGGACCCAAGATCGAGAATCTTCGACCGCCTCCGCCTCCTCAATCTTATGTTGAAGAAGGGAACTTCTACGACGATGATCAGTATACCCACACTCCTGTCACGCAAACCGTCAACATTCATACACAAGCCACTGGTACCATGGCAGAATCGATGTACCAGCCTGAAACGGAGATGACCATGGAGGATGCGCCCCCCGGTAGTCATTTCGACAACGCTGCGGAATTTGAAGATGATGGCGAAATGACTGAGCCCACTCACCGTGGGTTCCCGGCGCCCACCGCCGACCAAATTCGTACTCCTCCCAATTATGCTCTTTCCGATGGCCGTGATGATTCTCCTGGTCAGCAATACTTGGAGGAAGAACTCTACAAGCTACAACAGAGGCCGTCTGCCACTGGAGAGGAACAGACTACTTGGGATCTTCGTCGCTCAGACGTTCCTGACGAATACGATGATGAAGAATCGCCTGCCGTCGCTCCGACAATTCCTGGGTCTGAGGCCGGAGACCTCAATCGCCGGTCTACATCACCTTCATTGCCACCCATTCCTCGGGATGATACCGGTCAACGCAGTCTCGTCCCACAGCCGCAGTGGAATGGAAATTACAACGATCACCAGCAAGATCTTCCACCGTGGCAGAAGATTCACCAACGGTTGCTCAGCTGGGCTATAGTGTGGCCGTTGTCTGAACTCGATGAAGCCTTGAACAGTACTACGAGGGGTCATCAGGTCAATGAGGTTGCAATGAGCATTTGGTCAACACAGACTTATAAGCGTTACGTTCGTACTCGGATGACTGATACGCCTTCGGGGGTGGTCGACCGTCTCTTCGTTCCGCCGAATATGGCTGACGCTATAAGCAATGCGGTTTACAACGGAAGACATGGTGATGCATGTGGTATGTTGAGGGATTTGTGGGGTCCGTTCGGTTTGCAGGGAATGCCTCGACTGCTGGTTGTGTTAGCTAAACATCGTTCCGATGAAAATCACTGGGTTGTTCACAGGTATGTTTTTGATCACTGACCGCCCACCCACCAACTTATCGTTGCTCAGATTTTCTCTTCCTGATGGGTCTCTGACAACTTACGATTCCTATCCTGAAAAAAACCTTCCTGATGGTCGTGTAAGTTATCACCTCTCTTCTTTCGGTTACTTGGTTTTTGATAGATCTTCTAGCCTCTGGGTTGGTGGTTCGCCATCCGTGTTGCATGGCCGAATGCCATCTATCCCAGTCCGGACAACCTGATGCAAAAAATGGTACGGCTTCATCGTCCAATGCAGCTTTCCATCGACAACTCTGTGGCTGCTGGTGGTATTTGGCGTAACATCCTAATGGGGTCGCGCGCTGAGCGAAGTCTGGATCTGGAACGTTTGCGAGACCTCATCAACACTGAGGTTAAGAATCTCCGACAACGAAAGCTGTTGGGGAAGCTGTCCATCAATGCACCGCGTCCTCAATGGGAGGACATGAGCTAAATGATCCTTCACTATGTACAAGTAAACTGTGTCCGTATCCTTTCTTTACGTGGAGGGTTTCTTCATCTCTGTCGTTCAATTGAATTATTGTTTTACTTACTTTTCCTTCTCGTTCGTATGACTACTGCAGGTTATAGTACTAATGGTTATGATTGGTATTGGAAGTTTTTACTTGCTGTTTCTTGTACGTAGTGTAAATCTACATTTGTTACAATACAAGAAATGCATACAAACATCTCAACTTGACGATTTCTGGCGGATGAAACTGAAATGAACGCAAGGGGAATTGGGATGAAATGGCCACGTACAAACAAACCCCAGCGCGGGATTCTAGAGGTTGCTCAAAACTGCAGTAAGGTCGTGCACGCTTGATCCCACCAACGGCGAAGCTTTTGAGGTAGCGTTCGTTGTCTTGTAAAGTCCAGTCATCAAACGTGCAAGCATGAATGCGATGAAAATCTCACTGTATTAATCGGCCCATCATGATAGAGAAGATGAGCCTGGTTGTCCAGAGTTGCTTTCAACTCAGCATTTTTGAACTTTATTGCTCTAGAATGTGTCTTCCTCTTCTTTTTTGAGGCATCCTTCACTGCGGTGTCTCTTTTGCCTCCAGCATTGTGGGATTTGACGCGTTTATTCTTCGACATCAATCGTAGAGAATTTGAAGGAAGAAGTAGAGAAAATTGAAATTATGTAATCGTCGCGCTTCTGCATCTCCTCCCACTTGAAAATGGCGGACACTCCCATTTTGAGCGTAACACTTCTCGGAGCAGGCCAAGAGGTGGGCAGGTCGTGCTGCGTTCTACAGTATCGAGGCATAACTCTTGTCTGTGATACTGGTATACATCCCGCGTATAGTGGTATGGCTTCTTTACCGTTCATTGACGATCTAGACTGGAGCACTGTCGATGCAATTCTTGTTACCCAGTCTGTCTACACTTTCCCTTTCTGTATCTCCACTAATACGAGCTTCAGCTTTCACTTGGATCATGCCGCTGCTTTGACCTACATTACCGAAAAGGTATAGTCTTTGCGCAATCCATGTTCGAGTTACTAACAATCCTCCAGACTAATTTCCGAGATGGCAAAGGCAAAGTTTACATGACCCATCCAACAAAGGCGCTTCACAAATTCATGATGCAGGATTTTCTTCGAATGAGGTCCACCTACTTTGCTAGTGCTCTGAATAACACATTGATATCCCGTATGCCTTAGTGCTTCATCTTCCGACGCGTTATTCTCTCCTCTTGACATGACGATGTCACTCTCCTCAATCATCACGATCTCTGCACATCAACTCATCACACCTTGTCCTGGTGTCACATTTACGCCTTACCATGCCGGCCATGTTTTAGGCGCGTGCATGTATCTAATCGACATTGCTGGCCTGAAGATTCTGTATACTGGTGACTATTCCCGTGAAGAAGATCGACATCTCGTCAAGGCTGAAATTCCACCGATCCGTCCCGACGTTCTGATCGTTGAGAGTACTTATGGTGTCCAAACACTTGAAAGTAGACCTGAGAAGGAACTCCGTTTCACAACTCTTATTCATTCGATCATACGGAGAGGTGGTCATGTTCTTCTTCCTCAATTCGCCCTTGGTCGAGCTCAAGAATTGCTTCTTATACTTGACGAATATTGGAAAAAACATCCCGATCTTCACAATGTTCCAATTTACTATGCCTCCGGTCTTGCTCGCAAATCCATGGCAGTGTACCAGACATATATTCATACCATGAACTCAAACGTTCGGTCAAGATTTGCGAAGCGTGATAACCCCTTCGTTTTCAAGTGCGTTTACTTCTCACTTCTGTCTCGTTGAACCACATCTTGACATTTAAGATTAGACATATTTCGAATCTACCACAACCTAGAGGCTGGGAGAAGAAGATAGCAGAAGGGCCACCGTGTGTTGTTCTTGCAAGTCCTGGGTTCATGCAGTCCGGTCCAAGTCGGGAACTATTCGAGTTGTGGGCTCCCGATTCCCGTAACGGTCTCATCATCACTGGGTACTCAGTCGAAGGTACACTAGCTAGGGTGAGTGGAGAAGTGAAAACCTATATGAATCTGTATGTACTGTTTGAAAAAATCAAATTTAATTCATTCTTCATTTTCATGTTCACTGATTGAGTGAATGAAGTCAGCGGTTTCCCCCTTTTCCAATTCCGTTGAGCTATCTTCAATCATAAGTGCTCATTATATCTTCACATTAGGATATCATCAACGAGCCGGACGAATTTGAGTCTGTCAAAGGTGGAATGATACCGCGAAAAATCTCGGTCGAGTATATTTCATTCAGTGCTCACGTCGACTATTCTCAAAACTCGGAATTCATTGAGGCGATCAAAGCTCAACATGTGGTATGCAATTTCACGCGCTTCATCTAGTGTGTACTAATCTGGTCGTTAAGGTGCTGGTTCATGGAGAGCAAAATGCGATGGGTCGTTTGCGGGCCGCAATGACCTCGCGTTACAAAGAACGAGATGAAGACGTCAAAATTCATACACCACGGAACTGTGAAACATTGGAATTGTCATTTCGCGGTGAGCGAGTCGCGAAGGTAATTTTTATTTCAATCGTTTTTTATGCCTTTTGAGCGATGTTTTATAGGCCATTGGTACGTTAGCCGACAACCCACCCCAAACAAACGATGTAGTGGCTGGCCTCTTAGTGGCCAAAGACTACTCATACACTCTACTTGATCCTCGGGACTTAAAAGACTTTGCCGGTTTATCCACCTGTACAGTTAGCCAGCGTCAACGAATATCACTCGGAGTCGGTTGGGAGTTGATTCGATGGCATCTGGAAGGTATGTACGGTAAAGTGGAAGACAGTGTCGATAGGGAAGGTGTTTCTACTATGCGAGTATGTTTCTTTTCATATCCAATCACTTGGCGAAGGCTCTGATTGGGAATGACGACAGGTTATGGGAGCTGTAGATGTGAAACGCACTCAAGAACACGAATTAACGCTTGAGTGGGACTCCAGTGCAAGCAACGATATGATCGCGGATTCAACGCTTGCTCTTATAACAGGAATCGACAGGAGTCCCGCGTCTGTCAAACGTGAGCGTTCTTTTGGTTGTTAGAAGGATATTCAAAAAAACACTGCTTGGTTGAATTTAGTAACCAGTCACTCACATTCGCATTCGCACCCGCACACCAAACATCCCCATGCAGAAAAGGAATTCGACCAATTTGCAAGAAATCAAAGTTTGGCTAAGTTTCTCGAAGCCCATTTCGGGGAAGTCGAGCTCCATATTCCAGACGAATTGGATGAATCTGAACAAGGCGAAGATGAACATGATGTCCCGTCGCTGTTCGTTCAACTGGACGAAGCGGACGCGACCATCAACCTCGTCTCGTTGGTACGTGCTACCAGATCCGGCCAGACAGTAGTGCTGACTATAGTCACAATATAGAACGTCTCGAGCAACAGTGAAAACCTGAAGAGGCGCGTAGAGGCAGTTCTCGCTATGGCTATTACCACCATAAGCCCGTTATCAGAAGCTTTCATCACGGTGGCGCCAACGTCTCACGAAGAGGCTACTACTGAAAGGGAAACAGTCAAATCGGTCGTGATACCTAAAGAAGAGGCGCTGAGAGCGGAAGAAGATATCTCTAATGGAGAAATCCACAGCAAGGCAGGAGATGTATGATAGATGTTGCTACCCTCAGGCTGGAAGCTGGACGATCCACACTGATGCTTGATCGATGTAATCACAGCAGAACAGAGTAGAACACCTTTCTTCCAACACGGTAACCCGTCGTAGTGTTCATGACATATTATGTTAGTTATGTGGTAATAATATACAAAAGACATGCAAAGGAAATGGGAGGCAATCGATACACAGTTTGAGAAAGAAGAGAAAATTTAAATTACAATCCACCGGAAAAGAACACGACGAGTCTGGGAAAGGAGGTTCTTCATCTATGATTGATACTTTAAAAAACATCAGCGTGGCTCAACTAGGGATCTGAAAGAAGCAAACCTCCAAGAGTGGTTCATGGTCAAAGGCCTCCATTTCGCAGCATATGTTATCCTCTTCCTCTCCTTTTGATTGAATATCGCAATTGTCCAAGTAAGTCCAGACTCTACGAGCGCAAGCGCTGCACAGGTCACCATTAACCATAGCCCTACATGCATTTGATATTTCGGAAACACATCCATTGCTTTGAGTACGGTTGCAATCACAGCGACACAGATGCATAGAGTCCAAGCCGCTGCCGTTATGAACCCCCATATGACTCTCAACCTCGAAAAGAGGCGTTCAGACCCATGAGGCTCGACACGAGCTATCCTGAGCATCGTGATATGATGAGAGAATGTGGCAACGAATGTGACTGGTATGGTCCAAAGAAGAGGCGAGGCACTCAGGATTAAACCAGCAACCGCAAGGACGGATATAGCTATAGAGATGCCTATAGATGAGAAAATGAGAACAGCGACTGGCTGAGGGAGAGCCTGCATCTCCCTTGAGTAGAGGGGAACAAAGTTAAGAAGATCAATCTATTTCCGAGCTCAACATTTATAGAGAACGCAACGCCACATAATCAGCTACGCCGTGACGACCTGAGTTAATCACAATCTAAGCCTCGGTATCAGAGAGTTCATCTAAATGTTGATCACATTAGGTTGTTCGTGAGTTGAAGTCTAGCCTCTGTCCGAGGATAATTGCTACGGCATCTAGAGCCCAAAGGACGATAATGTCGCGAGTAGCGTACGTACAGCTTTTTATTTCCGGAATTCGGAAGAACAGAGGATTCGGGCCATTTGAGCTGAATATGATGTTTATGCAGCCGTCGATCATCATCATTTTCTGTGCTAGATGATATCTTTCAATCTTGTTGGTACTGTTTTTTTCGCTATCAAAGGCGCTGAAACTGTTGATGCCTCGAAAGCATTATTAGCAATAATTTGAAGGTTGAATTCAAAAGAGGGAGAGTTCTGCACTCAACATTTTCTCAACGTCCCAAATTTGAACCATGGTGAAAAGTACGACCGCAAATGTTCGAGGCGTCTGCGAATCAGAGTGCGATTCAAAATATTCCGTTGTATTCACATTTTACAGGATCATTTGCAGCATTCATGTGCGGAACCGGAGGGAGACGACGGCCGCCGGCGGGGGCAAAGGCTACTAGTACACCACAAAATGTACTTCAGTTTGATCTCACATCAATAGTCTAGGATCTAAGTCATGTAATAAAAAGTGTGAATAATACCTATTAGATCACCTGAAAATGGGGTCAAAATGCCACAAGCAGGGATCCAGGTAGCTGTTTGATGTTAGGGCAAGATGTAGTCAAAGTCTGGTTTTGGGTGAAATTTGATGTCAGATTGACTGGGACATCTAGGTATATGAGACCCTTTTGGAAGGTCCATCAACTACATCCATCTTGAGGTCAATTTGGCACCCACTTGGATCCTCTCTTGACTGCTTGGAGCAGGACCATTGAAGCTTAGATACAAAATCAGTCTGAGCTTGTTTGCACCCCGCTCATAGCATGTTCAAAGCATCAATAAACTCAAAGAATGTTTTAGTGACTTAATTCTCTCAAAGATGTATCTAATGAATTATCTCCGTTTGCGCTTATTATGAAATCCAGATTCTGGTTCCTCACCACCGTCATCTCCATTCTCATCACTATCATCATCATCCTCATCACTCTCTACCAGTTCACCAGCATTTTGAGTATGATTTCCTGCCATCTGTGCATTATGTTCCTCTCTTTTTTTTTGTTGGCATCCCGTGTCTCCTTGCGTTTAATTTGTGTTTGAGTACGTTTTGATGTCTGCGAGACCCGAAGTTTCTCTGCAATTTCATAATGGTATGCCTCTCGATCATTGTGTAGAGTCTGAGGGGCTGTAAGCTCCCGAGGAAGTAGCTTGCGGATTAAATGTGCATTATGGAGTGCATGTGTATTGATAAGATACCAGTCATCATTTTTTGTGTTCAATGAAGCTAGTTCTCGATGAAGTTATCTGATGCTCTTGAATAATTTGTCGAGAGCCTGAAGCTGTACATTGTGCACCCCGACAATCATGCTGTACAGATAGCCGGAAAAGTATATCCTTATAGCCAATAGCATAAGATAAGTTGGGCAAATTTAATTTTGATTTGTCCACTTACAGAAGGTGCAACTACAACATATTTCGATAGGACTTCACTTTGAGACCGGTACAGAACTGGCATACCCAATGAATGATGCTGGGCAGCCCCAATGATGAATCTTTCAATGGTAACATGGTTTGCTGGAGGCACTAACTGTGGTTTTGGAGCAGGGGAAAGAAGCTCAACAATCCGGCCAATGATATATCCCTGTAAGATAATACCTCATAAATATTTTTCAGTTTCTGCATCAATCCACTTACATTATCTGCTTCTTTTGCTGTAACCCAGGAACCAATCCTACAGCTATCACCTGTCTGAGCAATTACAGAGAAATTGTGATTCCAAAATATCCAGTCCTCATCCCGAATTGATGATGCCTTAGTTGAAAACCAAGTGATAGGCTTAGTTTTTGCCTGTGCCATTGGCTTCATAGCTCCTGTATGAGTTAAGTTTTCAGCAAGAGTTTAAATATTGAATTAGCCATACCCTGCCTGACTGCCTGTGGGGATACCCATCCTAAATGGCGTTGAATAATTGGATGACTGTGTAGTATATTCTGAACTCGGGTAGTTGCTTGTATCCATTCGCCCACAGTATTGCTATACCAGAATCCCCCACTGAGGATATGCTTCATACGATCCATTCCGGAGAATTTCTGTGCAATATCTCGGCTTGGGGCTTGACCATTACTGTAGACTGAGCATAATCTAAATTACGAGGCTGTAGTTTACGGAAGACTCGTCCTTATGTAGGTCGCGTCATGCCATTTCGCTTTGCTTACTTGGAAGGAGTTTCTCCATATATGGTACTCAGTCACATTCTGTTGGAATACATTCATTTAAATGTGACCGGCACGGGATATCACGGGACTGTCACCCTCTGTCACGATTACTTTTTCTCGTCTCATTCGGTTACTCCCTGTTACTCCATAGATAGTTTAAGTTCATATACTTTTATTCTGCTTTTCTCAGAAAATCAATGTCGGCGCCTGAAAGGCGCCCCTGTTTTTTGATTCCATAATATTCAATTAATATTTAATAACCCACAAGGAGGGAGCCGAGTTTTTGCCATGCACGGTGGTGCAGTGGCCTACAATCGCATGTACAGCATTGAAGCATTCAAACCCCTCAGTGGAATTACGGATAATGGGGCCAAAACGGCAAATATCAGGAATGATATGTGGCAGAAGGTGCAGTTTGACTTTCTTGATAATTTTTGCTGGATCAACTGCTGCAAATGCATCAAGGGTATTGCCTATAATGATATCAAGGTCACCCTGCCCATATACACATATATATTAGAATACATTTCCAAGAGATGGAAAATTGAATTTTGTACCAGATATTGTTCCATGTTGTCAATCTCATGAACCCAGAGCATAGCACCAAGCTCACCCACAGCTTTGATCAAATCAAACTGCACAGGGGTAACCATATCCTGTACATGGAAGGCCATTGTTTGCATCAAAGTTTTGAAATGCTTCCCTATCAAATTGTTTCGGTATTGCATCATGTATGCTGCACGTAATGGGGGTACTGTGAGTCCATCAAGATCAGTTGACTGTAGGCGGACCACAAAGAATGCCTTCTGCTGATCATTCAATGATGTATGGAACATGTACCAAACATATTTAATGACACCAAGCAAAATGGTGTGCAGGATCTCAATGGGGGTATCCTGAGTAAGGTCTAGATCTATATGCTATACATAAGTACCTGAAAAATACAGAAAAATGCATAAACATACTGGCAATGTCCAAGATTGGATTGATTTTATCACCAGGTTGGTTTTTTAGCCAGGTCTCTAATTCAATGGATATTTCTTCAGCAGTGCGATTGGGATTTTCATGCTTCATCTTCTGTGATTTCTCAAGCAAAATATCAATCCAGTACTGTGCAACCTTGTCCTTTGTTCCTGTACTGCGTTGCAGGTCAATCACTGTTGACTTCACTCCCAATGTAGCAGCTTTCAGCTGTTGGACAATTCGATCACGAGTCTGAGCTGCCGAGCGAGCTGCTCCAGTCTATTACTTGAATAAAAATCTCAAAATTAGATGGAAAATTGAAACTCCACATACAGTGTATAATGAGTGGTAGCCAGAATTTGACTCTGTAACTTCATGTGTTCCTCCTGCATCACATTTATGACAGAGAAGATTGGAGTTACCACCTGAATGGCTAGCTTCTTCAGCTTGCTGGGGATTGTCTCCAGGAAGTCCTGGAACATGGACTCGCACACCACACATCTGTTTTGTATATGCATTGTAGCAAAGAATAGGCTTGACATGTGTTTCACTAGAGGTAGGTGAGACTCAACAGTTATCTAGGATGCAAGGAAAAGATACAAACTTAATTATCTCTTTCACTGCAGCAAATTGTTCTGGGGAAGTGGCATTTGGGGATGTTGATATGAATTGTACAAAATATTCTTGTTGGATTAAGCGCCCCGGAAGATTGGAGTTAACAGTATACATGTTGATGTGTTTGTTGTACTGCTTTGATCTGTTACCAGAAACATCATCAACCCACAAGGGATAAAATACATCATAGAGATCATATCCATCTGGGACAAGTTTGCGAGATGGGTGTGGCATTACAGGTATTGCATGTGGATCTGGCAATTGAATTAATGAATCTGTTATATACATATCTGAATTGAGCTCACTCACCATTCCAGGTCATTGGGAGACCATTCCGCAAGGTAATGATATCAAGATAGTTGAACTTGAAATGTGCTGCTGGAATAGAATTTACATCTGAAGCTTTAACCCAATTCCCATCTATTCCTTGAGTTACAGTATGTGCATCAGCACAGATGATACCACCCTGTTTGATCCAGGAAATAGGAAGTACAAAATGGTTGTCATGAAGTTGTGCAACCTCATCAATATAAAACTGCTTCCCTCTGGAGGAGTACATTGATGTATGCTGAGATGGTGAATATTCCTTCCAACGTTCACACTGCCAGACTTCAGAAATTGGTCCATCTGTCTCCTCTGGATAGAAGTTGAGGTGAGGAGCAATGTGTGGATTAGAAAAATTCTTTGGAAACAATCATTAATATATGGATTTCCAATCAAAATAGTAAGCTGCTCACCCTTTGGACTGCAGCCTTCAAATCATTGACATGGAAATGATTTCCCAGCATTGAAGTGAATGGTTTTGGCTCACATCCTATAGCTTTCTGAAGCTCAGACTGCATTTGACGAAAGGCATAGTAGGATGGTACGTTTAGAACCCCTGCCTCTTTCAATAGCCATATAATAAGTTTGAAATGAGTGGTAGAGAGCCGTAGCCGGGGTAGGTTATCCATTACATCAAGCAACATCATCTTTGACCAGCAATAAACTATCATCTCCCTTATGAAGCATAAGTACTCACTAATTTACTTGGATAGGGTGCATATGCACCAACAGGTTCGGAGCTAGCAGCTGGGTTGAACAGGTTATCATCTCCTTCCAGTTCATTATCCTCAACTATAATCAGTAGGTGAGTGATCAATAGCACAGATGCAGTAAATACATACATCCGAGGTTATGAAGTATCTCAATGATATTAGTTTCACTAGCATCCTCACTCTCTTCTCCAGAGCCAGAAAGAATCTCTTTCAAGATAATCTGCTCAAACTGGAACTGTATGTCTTCTTTTTCCCTTGCTGGGTCAAATGGTACTGGTGACTGCAAACCATTGAGAACCAGCTCAGGCACTACATTAGAAATGTAGTTTTCTGAAGAAGAAACAAAAGATGGTATTGGAGGTTCCTCAAGCATATCCATGCCTTTGCTTAGTTGAGATGAACCAGCATATGACTGTTGTTGTTTTGCTTCCTTCTCAAGCTGTTCCACTTGTTTTGCCAAATTTTGTACATGTGTTTCAGTTGAGCAATGTCGGAGTGCTATAGAATCACCTCTCTTCTGATAATGACTTGCTTTGCTGTGTGGAGAAAATGTGAAACAGAGTGTGCAACGCATTTTGGTATCATCATTTGGATGCACTTCGAATCCTGCTTCATACATCAGAGATAAAGCATCAAAACCCATTGTAGCACCATATACATACCATCTGATACAGGCTTTTTTCGTGCTCCCATTGCTATTAGAGTGATGTAGATGAAGGTAGTATGGAACAAAGCAAAGATGCATCTGCTCTATATATGTGATTAACCCCGGAACTCGGGAGCAATAATCCCACCACAAGGCAATCATGATAAGCAATGTCCGACATGCTTCCGGTACTACAACTACACTTGCATCTATTTGCTCCTTTGATTCTATGAATATGCTTCTATCTTGTTGAGGTATCAAATTACTGCTGGCTCCCAAGAGGTATCCCCTGCAATAAAAAGGCAAAGCAGTTGTCCATTAAATTGACCAGTGGTTTCAGTAAATTAGAATATGGCCTCTCGGCCATTCTAGTTCAATATGTGTTTCAGCTCACTTAAACCCATCCGGTCTCATTCAAAGCCAAAGCCTGCAAATTACTTATAATTCTTCGCTTTGAATTTTTCGGAACATTTCACCCATTTTTTGCTATGTCTGCACTTGACCTTACCGTCATGGACCCGACTCTTCTAACCCCAGCCCAGCGTATCATGCGTGAAATGCAACTTCAGGCCACTAGCCAACCCCCCACCAACAATACCGAGTCTGATGATGACACTTTTGACACTTCCGACAATTTGCCTTCACGCACACCACACATGTCAATCTCAAACTCACAGGCTGAGCGACAGGCTATTCTTGCCACTGCAAATAGTGTGAAGACGGAGCTTGGTCTCTCACAAAAGTATAGTGGTTGGCTCGATAAATTTGTCAATGTCCGTGTTTTTAAAAAATTTTATATTGCCATTTCTGATGTTCAGTAGTCCTCCTGCGCAGAACAGGTTATTCTCAGTGCTGCATTCAACCTTTACAATGCCCAGCTACTAGAGCGCCTTGCCAAGGCAGAGAAATACACTATCTCAGATGGTTTGAAGGTATGTTCCAATACCATATCATTTAACCTGTTTTCAATTAGCCATAGAAAATCCTCCAAAACTATTCCATGGTTTTTCTCATGAACGGGCATCTCTCATCCTATCGGGGTCCCATTGCCGATGCTCTAATTGTAAGTGACATAATTGATGTAGGTTGGGTGACCTGAATTTATTCCGTAGGGGGCATTGCGTGAAATCGGATATGAGGAGATTCCACGTTCTCATGACATTGCCAAGCTCAATGTTATCCGCAGGCTGTGCAATGAATTTCTTACTCAGGATCGTTACAATCTGAAAAAGAAAGTAAGTATTGTTGTGTTCATGCCCTCTGCATGCTCAGTTGTTGTTCTAGCTTGATGCATCTGTGAAGCCGAATGCTCTGTTTGCAAATATCGCACTTCTCGCTCATACCTTGTGTAAGAAGTTCAATATTCCAATCACTATTGAGCTCCTTTCTCGGCTTGCAGTTTTGGTGAGTTTCTTTCAATGTTCAATATGTCTGTTCCGATGACATTTCACCAGCGTTGGTCCCTCAAGCAACATCCAGATGCAAATGATGAAGATTTTTGGCCAAATGTCGATAATGACATTGCTCAATGGCGGGGACCTGGCGGTCTCAAGAATCCTGACAATGTTGCAATATGGCAGTACGTCTTCAATGCATTCTTATATTCAATTTGCTGTTAACTATTCCATCTTGCAATATGGCAGTACGTCTTCAATGCATTCTTATATTCAATTTGCTGTTAACTATTCCATCAGAATGTTTAAGTACATCTACGAGAATGATACAAAAGAGTACGGAACACCCGGTTCTACTGATATTATCATCATTTCAAGCTCAAGTCTTGGCAATGACAATCAACGGGATATTATTGACAAATGGGCAAAACAGGTGCAGCCGCCAAGTAACACCGACAAGGGACGGAAACGTTTGAGAATTGACGAGGACGAGCCAGAGGATGAGGAAGAGGGTAGTCCCGAGCATGTGGCATCTGATGGGGGTTTCAGCACTGGAGGAAATGGTGGGAGTAGTGAATTCAGCACCGCAGGTGACAGCGGCAGTGGTGGTGGATCCGATTAGACAAAATGCATATATAGACCAATGCCAGATTACTCTTCGTTTATATTGGGTGTTTGGAGAACTGACTTAAGCTCATTCAACTGCAAATTATGAGGGAAATGTTTGAAATAGTATACATATTGTATAGGTCACCGAAGCTATTCAACTGATGCTTGACCCATGACAAGCTCAGGTTGCGTATGAAGCATGATAGAGACAACCTCCGAGCTCATTGCAAGTTCATTACTTTTATGACTATTGGATACAAATTATCATAGAGCTGATGTTGAGGAAAGTGTCACTATTACATATAGACTTATGACCAAAGGAGAAGAATAATGACATGGAATTAAGGTCAAGAATTAAGTCAATAATATGTAAAGCCTAGACATCGATGCCAGACCGCAAGTCAAATAGATATCCAGTTGATTGTCCCTATAGTTGTTGATTTCACCACAATACTTGAGCTCGGGGTGATTCTACTTCGAGGTCAGCTCAATACACACTCAGTGATACCACACAGGCCTGACTACCAAACTGGGGTGTACACTTCAAGTTCGCATTGTTGTGTCCTGTATATTGAGGTATGAGATATGTATTTCAGCTGATGGAGAACTTGAATGTACGTATTCTCAGCACCAATTCTAGGATATGTCTTTCACTACTCTAAGCCTTTATCGACAGGATGTGACATGTCCATGCATCACGTGCCCACGAAGGACAAACAGTTACTCCCAGGTTACTCCTTGTTACTCAAATGGCCTCGACTGGCCTGGGGACCTCTCAAATTATAGCAGGAAGTCTGGTGGGACAGCGTTATTCGGAAGAGGACTCGCTTTGAATACTGTAAACCAGCTGTGGACAGTGAAGGGACTCTGGGCTTCCGATGACACTCGGATCTCTCTTTTGTCAACTCGACGCGCTAGGAAGACGAGACAGAGTTACTCACCGAACAAAACACATTCTCGTTTGCCTCAAATTTCTGTCTGTATCAATTCCATTTGCAGAAAATTTGAACCGGGTTTCCCGGAAGTTGAGCCTTGCTAGTTAAACCTAGTTTGATAAGGGAATTGGCGACTCGCAGGGAATAGGCAATGAGGCACAGAGAGGCTGAAAGAATGATACAGTGCTTTGCAGATGCTTTGCATTGACATGTTCGAATTCTCGCCACCGACAATTGAAGCAGTTCCGGGTCTGCCGTACACCAAGCAAATTGGCAATTTTCTCACAATGAGCGCGCGCACTACCCCTGATGAGATTGCCTTGAGCAAGAAAGGTGCAAAAGTCTTCGCAAAGCACTTATAGTGTGATAAGATAAGTAGCTTAGAGACTATATACTAAACTGAACTCACTCCTGCTTGCATGAAGTGAGTCCCCAGTTCTATAAGTCAAATCTGAACTTTGGCTGGGGCTTGGCCCTGCGGGTGGGCAACGACCCGGACGCGGTAAATCAAGCCGGAGCATTCCGTACTCCGTTTCGTTGAATATTTCAGCATCCTTAGTCGAGCATCGAGCATCCTTATCTCCAACCTTTCGGCACTTCACCTCTTATATGGCTTCCTGGTGTAGGGACCGAACATTGAATCGGAAGGGAGGGCAGGAGGGAATTTACGAATGTGACCCACAAGATGCGCGAAGGCAATGGGAGACAGGAGTAAGAGATCTGAAGCGCTCAGTGCGCGCTAAGTCGTCTCTCATACGTCGGCCTTATCTTATCTTATCCTAGAATGAGCTCCTTTGTTTGCTCATCACGGAGTTCGAGAACCATCTATGTATTCTATACCCTCGGCGTATTCGAAAACTTCACCTGATTCCCTTTCACTCTGAAGCAAGTTACCAGGCCAGACATGTCAGATCGTAGCTTAGCGGTGCAGTCGCGAACCCAAGCCATCCAAGGTCGGTTCATGAGAAGCGAACTTTCAAAAAGTAAAATGCATGTATTTGAAGCACAGAAATCGACATCTTCTAGATCTGTAGCGTACCATTATTTGATACGAGACAGCTTTTCTGTTCTTTTACAAACACGTATGTCCAGCCCTTCCTCTTGTAAAACCTCCATGATGGGAGGAAATACATGGAGACCCATGATGTCTAATTCCCACATATTCACCACGATGTTCATTCGACGAATGCTTTCAACGTGATCTGATCGACGACGGGACCGCACAACAACCGCTAAAATTGTCAGATCGAATGCATATATATCTGCTCGTTCGGTGAGCCCGATATCCAGGGTATGGAGCATTGGTACCAATGCCTCCTGGTTTTGAAGTAGTGGCAGTATTGTCAGACTTGACCAGACGCGGAGACGAGTTATCGTTGAAACCGATTCGAGAAAGCGCATAAGCGAGTGATCTATCGTGTTACCAGATAGTTCAAGGTACTGAAGTGAGCACGCCGAAGAAATTAATACGGGTCGAAATAAGTCGAGAATTGGGGTAAGGACAAAGGGGCCGGCAAGAAGGGCCAATTCCTGGAGATTCGGAACCTCAATAGTTGTTTGGGACAAAAGCAATGAAAGGTCATGAGCAGAATTCCTAACCCGTATGGTCCACTTTTTGAGTTGTTTCAATGGAAGCGAGGGAATAGTGGGCCAAGTATGTGTACGATCAAAAGCAACATCGCATTCAATGAGGTTCGGACACAGTAACATGATTTCCAAATGGTCGATGGCATGTGAGGCATCAGATCCAATGTAGGTCGTGAGCTGGTTCCAAGGTAGTTTGAATACGGAAAGACTCAAAGTGTCAAGGTTGATCAACGTGTCCAGATTCGGGGCACGGAAAAAGACTTCGTATGCAGTGGAAGGGTCTTCGAACTCGGGAGAATCATCGGATTCAATGTCCCAATTTCTAGAGCGCAGAGAAAGCTCTTTGAGTAATGGCAAAGAACAGAGCTGTATCTCACGCTGCATCGCCAGCGTATCCAAGAATTTTATAGACACATCCACGAGCTCCACGGTCTGCCAGCGAGCAGACGTACTAGCCAGTGTGGTAAGCAATGCAGAACCACAGTGATGTCCACAGAATCCCAGCGTGGCAGTGATCTGGAATTGGAGAGGGCGGTTGCCGGAACGGCCAAGCCAAGCCTGCAGTACATCGACTGCAGAGTCTTTACAGCGAGGAAGTCTGACGTAGAAATTGGACCACAGTTGTGGAATAGATAGCGCGATGAATCTCCATCGGCTGCACACTTGCGCAAGCACCCAAGGCCCTTTCTTTAAGTCAAATATATCCGGCCATGGAGGAGACACCGTGATCTCGTCATCATGACTCTCGAGGGGATCATTCTCTGCTGACATGGTGAGCTCGAAAACAGCATAAAGCAGTTCAGGAGGAAGTGAACGAATACTAGTGGGCATTTCTTGGGAGGTATCCAAGGCAGAAAAGATCAAGTTGACGCAAGATAGAAACCTGGGCCCTTTAAAAGGCCTTCGGAATGAGATGGAGGAGTATATCCGGTCAGATCCGGGTCTGTAAAATGTGGGCAGCAGAAAAACAACAACTAAGCACAGGCCCTCGGCGAGTGGCCAGACAGAAGTTGAGGGAAGGCTGAATCTGATGACATCGTGTGAGTCCTTGAGCAGCTATTCACATGGAAGGAGGAATGCTTCACCAAACGTCTAGGAGCGACAAGGGGTATGCCTTTCACTTCGAGAGTCGAGTCTGGGGAACGTGGTAGACGAAGAAATCAATGCATTGAGGTCGACTGCCTGACTGTGGACTCTTCACGGTCAGCGCCAGAGATGAAACGGCTTCCAAGGATGTTCAAAGAAACTGGAGGTAAAATTCGACAAGATGACATAACTTTAACTTTATCTGCTTACATGTAGCATTCAGGCGGACTCGGATCGTGCGCCACATTGTTGCCGCAAAACCACCATGTCGTTACGGAAATCTCGTATTCTGAAGCGGCGGTTCTCGTCAAACTCAATAAATACTTCCTGGAATAATGCCTTTGCGGCTCTTTCTTCATCTGGGATCAACACTCCGCGGGGACGAAGGCTCAGAAAACAAAACGACGACGTACAATCAGATCCCGACACTCCTTATGAATACATTCACCCAGGAGAGGATGAAGGACTCGGGATCGATGACTCGACTTCTAATCTCCATCTAAACTCTCATCATCATCTATTTTATCCTCATGCAGACCAAGTTCCGCTCACTTACGCGTCTTTGCCGCCGACACCCATTTCACGCTCTCCCTCACCGCTGCCTTTACCTCTTTCTCCGTCACCTTCCGAGTATGTCTCTCTACAGCGGCAACAGCAGTACCAAGCTCCTTTCTCGCTGTGGGATTATCTCAGGGAAGAGCTGTTGGCGACAGACTTTGATTCGCACCAAGAACTAAAATGGGAGCGGGTTTCGAACTTTTTAAGCATTCCACTGGCAATGGAGAAGGTGTGTGATGATTTTCTCATAGGAAAGCGATTTCTGAAGCTTGGTAGATCATAGGTTTTGGGTTTATTCTATGTTTTGATTCATTCTTATACACATTCACCGTGTTACCCATTCGCACCGCCATAGCAGTCTTCTGTCTCGTGAAGAATTTATTTTCTTCATCCGCGTCATCCCTGCCGCCCTCCCAGAAAGCGGACATCCTCCGGACACTCCTCCTCATTTTGACGGTTGCGATACTGGTTCCCCTTACAGACGCTAGCAAGATTTACCACTTTGTGCGCGGACAGGACACTATCAAACTATATGTCATCTTCAATGCACTCGAGGTACTGTTCAGCCTCCGCTGAAGATTGACATCTAATCGCATTTCGAAGATTGGTGACCGACTGTGTGCTTCAATAGGGCAAGACATTCTCGACTGTCTCTTTTCTCGGTCTACGCTCGAGCCTCTGTCACATCGTGTACCATTTTCCTCTCATACCTTTCGGCCACTGGTGTTTTTCCTTCTTGCTACAGTGTACAATGGTAGCGTCTTTCATACTTCAACGATCGTGCAGCACTCATTGTAAATCTATAGTCTTGCATTGCATTGTCATGGTCTATCAACTCATTTCTCTCAATGTTGCCGTGAACTCCTACGATAATGCTCTGCTTAGTCTACTTATCTCAAATCAGTTTGTCGAGATCAAGGGAAGTGTGTTCAAGAAATTCGAAAAGGACGGTTTATTCCAGATTACCTGCGCTGGTGTGTAGTGAGGTCTTTTTCGCTCGATGTATGAACTCATTTTGTTTCAGATATTGTCGAACGGTTCACGCTAACGCTGATGCTCGGTATCGTCGCCTTTCGAAATCTCATCGAACTCAGTGGGTCGGAGTTCGATTTTGACACCGGTGGTTTTGTTCTGCCAAAGAGCTTTGGATGGTTTTGGTTCAGAGGTCATAAGACGATCAACTTCCTCTGGACGATATCTTATGTACGTAGCCTGGACCTCGATTATCTACTTCTGCTGATACAACACTTTTGTAGCCGGTACTGACGGTGATGATTTCAGAGATGCTTGTCGATTGGCTGAAGCATGCTTTCATCACAAAGTTCAATCACATCAGACCCTCGGTCTATGAAAGGTTCACAGACGTCCTATGTCGCGATCTTGCAAGCGGTAGCGCTGTTGGTAGACGGGGTGCAAGAAAAGTAAGATATTTCGTCCATGAGTTGGAACCTTTCGCACTGACAGGTCTTTTTCAGCATACATATGTCGATCAATCCCCTCTAGTTGCTCGTCGGCTGGGATTCTCCTCCCTACCTCTGGCCGTGCTTGCCATCCTCATTTTCTATCAGTCTCTTAGTCTATTGTTCTCTCTTCCCTCAGCAACCTCCGGCTCGTTTAGTCCAGCGGGCATCTGGGACACAGAAAGTCCAGTCACTCGAGGATCCTTCGACTTTACAAATGAGGAGCTCCTGAGATGTGCAACATGGATTTTCTTGGGAGTACTAATTTGGCTTTGGTTAGTCCCCTTTCTTTTTTTCTCTATACACGCAAGAATGTTAACCTGTGAGATTCAGTTTTGTCGTGATCAAGATTATCATTGGTGTGAACCTTATCAGTTATGCTACGCGAAGGCGCGCCGGGATGGAGGCTCGGGCGGCGGAAGACGTAGTGAATGATTTCGGTAGAGATCCAGTCGGGGAAGGTAAAGAAGAACGGGTGAGCTCCTGCACAGACCTGCCACCCTCTTGGTATCTTCTTACCTCCGTATCTCTTTTTAGCAATACAATCGTGAACTGAAAACCCTTCTGGACAACCAGAGGGACGATATGTCTCCTACAGCTGAGATAGGTGAAAATCCCCCGAGGAATAACAATGATGGCAGGGGTAGAGGCAAGAAGGGAAGAATACCTTTAGAGGAGTTGACGAGGTATACGATGGTGAAGCGGATATGGTAGACCCGTGTCAGGCTGTACTATGGAATATCATCATTATTCTGTGTACGATAAGTCTCCGGTCAGAGGAAGGAGCAAGCATGAGAATTTTCACAGCGCGTCGAACCTCCCCGCATCATATAAGGTAAATTATGAAAGAGTCGTTGTCGATAACATGCTTACGGAGGCGACCATGTCGGAAACTTGAAATGGCGCTTATAATCGGCCCGTGATTAGAATTTGATTAGATGTCGATTACACTGCAATTGTAATCACATTATGACACATCTGAAACTTGAAATGGCGCTTATGATCAGCCCGTGATTAAAATCAGATTAGATGCTGATTATATAATCGCAACAGGATGTTATGATAAGATGATAATCAGATCACTGTACAGCTTTTTGAGTGGACGCTCAATTAGGCAAGGTAGGGATTTCAGACAGGTTTGCCTTTTTTGGCCTCCACAGAAAACTCTTAAACAAAACATTGTTTCCTTTCTAAATGTCTCGCCATAGGGCTGCTCCTAACACAAATAAATGTGAATGCAATATTTGCCATGGCCTATTTGCTCCACAGACCTTTGCACGGCACCAGACTGCTTGCAAATGCAAAATAGAGGAAGAAAAATCTGCGAGGTTATACAGGATGAGGGAAGCACCTTCTGAAACATCAGGTGAGGCTCTGGAGCTCAAGGAAATATGTATATACTCAGTTCATAGCTAGCTTTTGGCGACACACACCCTGAAGCTCAAGAAGATGACCCCGGTGTTGGCAATTTTGAATCAGATACAGACTTGGAACCTATTTATTTCGACAATTATCAAGAGACTTCCACAAGTATGGAAGGGGATAATCATACTCCTAGTAGGTCCTGTACTTCTATACACTTGGTCTTCTACTGACCATAAGTTACCTACTAAGTTCTCGAAGAGTTGGAATCCGAAGAGTTGGAATCAGAAATACAACTGGACGATATCAAAATTGAATATCATCCCAACAGTGGCCGGAAGCCTGTGATTGTACATTTCGATGACTTCGGAAGGAGCGAGGATGTAAACAAAGGATCGATTCCACCAAATCGCACACCATGGCATCCATGGAGGAGCCGTATGGATTTTGAAGTTGCTTCATTAGCGCTTGACTGCCACATGAATAAACAAAAAACCGACAAACTTATCAATTTGATCTATCGCGCTGCCCGTGGTCTTGACGCTTTTACATTAAAAGATCACCAAGAAATCCAGAATACTTGGGACTTAGCAGCTGAACGATTAACAAAGGTTTGTTTTATTAATCCCTCAAAAACAGATATTGATATTTTAACAGTTTCGAAAGACAGAAGTTGTAGTCCGCTATCGTGATCTAGAGCCAGAATCATATGAGCTGTATTACCGACCTGTTTGGGACTGGTTGCAAGAGTTATTACTTAATCGCGATATTGTATCCAAGATGGAATGGGATGCTCGTAGACTCTTCAAATTTGATGGTGGATCTCAGACATGGAAACGTTTCATTGAGGAAGCATGGTCAGCAAATTCATGGTGGTCATTTCAGGTGAGCTCATTAACTATTGCCAGTATAATACTGATCACAAGATACAGAGTAAACTTCCAGCCGGAGCGGTACCACTTTGTGTTGTGTTTTACGCTGATAAGAGCAAACTATCATCGTTTGGTACTGCAAAAGGTTATCCTGTCATTGTTCGATGTGCAAATTTACCCATGGATATCCGGAATGGCTCTGGTATTGCTGGAGGTAGGGTCGTAGGGTGGTTACCAATTGTATGCCTAGTTAATCAGCTATTTACGCAGTGTTTGACATCAATCTAGGTTTCTGAAGATGCTGCACATAGTGGTAAGGCCGATTTTGTCAATTTCAAAAACGTTGTATGGCATGAATCGGCCGCGAAGATATTCGAGTCCATGGCAGAGTATTGTCGAACTGGGTATACAATGGTTTGTGGTGATGGAGTTCATCGGTGGATGTATCCTATTGTCCTCATCAAGTCAGCCGATTATGAAGAGCAGTAATTCATATCTATTGTATCCATCAACACGATCTCATGAATATATAGATGTGTCATCTGTCTTACTCGGGGGTTAAAAAGCTTGCACCCATGCGTAAGATGCCCAATTCCACATGACCAATTATTAGACTTTGACAATAAATACCTTGAACGAACTGCGAAGGACACTATCGAAATACTCAATAATGCTAGACAGAAGGCATTAATCTCAAAAGCAGATGAAGAAGCAGAGCTTAAAAAGTATAGTCTGCGACCATGCTTTGTATGTATTAATTTCATCATCATAACTTACTGGCTGACCTCAATTCAGAATTCCTTCTTCAAGCTCGCCCATAGTGATCCGTTTGCAGGCGTTTCCTTCGACGATCTCCACTTCCAAGACAGTGGGGTTTGGGGCGATCATATATTTGAACATGCAAAGATCCAAATTGATAATCGGAGTGCAGTAACCAAAATTGATAATTGGTTTGTTTTCAGTTCTTCAAATTTGTTGTATAGCAACAAACTGTCTGTTAGGTTTAAAGAATTTCCTCGCTGGTCCAAACTCAACCATTTCGACACTGGTGTTATGAAGCTATCATTTAATGATGGTAGTAAACACTACGATATATCAAGGGTGAGTTCACGCTAGATTTATTTTCACCATCGCTGTTCATATTACAGATCATTTCTAGCTCTTTTTATTTGCCGCCCATGATGTTATATCAGAAAAGGAGAACAAAGCTGCCTATACGCTTCTCAAAGTCATGCGGAAGTACATCAACATGATCATGTATTCGGGACTGAACGTACAGACTTCTGATACAATAGCACTTGGCCATGGTGCTATCAAGAATTTTGTAGATATGCTCAAGGTTTGTGCTCTTTCGAGAATCTGACAAATCTAATGCTTTACCTACAAATAGGTGTACATATCGCTCTCACCTGATGTGAATAAAACATTCAATGTCATCAAGGTACATTACCACCAGCATCTCTACGATGACATTGAGAACAAAGGTGTTTTACGTGGAATGAGTACCAAACCAAATGAGAAGTTTCATGGCCCTTTACGCAAAATTTACCTTCGACAAACAAATTTCAAGGACACAGCAAAACAGGTATATATTTGTAATTTGTTTCTTATATCTTCTGTGCATCTAAGATCACCGGATTCTTAGATTGTACGGTTTGAGCATCAGAGTGTTGTTGCTACCCTCATACAGGATGAAATCCAAATACTGGATAGATATGAGCATGGCGATCCAGAGCTCCCATCAGATCTGGAGACACCAATCGACAATGTCCACTTCACATTAGACTCAAAATTGAAGCCCGTTTCCTTTGCTCAACTTGAGGGTGAAGATCTTATATTTGCACGAATACATATCCGCTTGGCAGAGTTCATGTCGACCTTACTCACAACTGCAACTGACAAGACTGTGCCTACAGGTCAATAGCTATAGAGGTTCTGAGGCCGGATCTGGCCCGGGAATGGCCCGGGATAATTCCGAGGTCCGGAACTGAGTACTGGCCTGTAGTACACACTGGGAGTGGGACGTCGGTGAAGCTATTAGCAACACCCTTCACACACTGTTGGTGTCCCCGGGAATTATGGCAAGAGTGCAAGATTGGGATGAGCAGCCTAAATGGGGTTCCTGATGATCCGGGAGTCCGGGAGCAAAAGGTAAAGAAGATATTAAAGAGTGGGATAAGGTGGTACACTTGATTTCAAGCTTGACTACAACGTACAAAGTATTCTAGCTTATATACATCCCAAATACAGTAGTCATAAGACCTCGATGAAAGCTCGGAATAATAAATAAGTCACAAGGTAATTATTCCGAAGTCCGGCCGCTCCGGGCCGGGCCGGGAAGCGTATGGGGTGAATTGCATGCATATGACAGTATCCCCCCGTTAGGCCTGAGCCCACGAAGGCCTCTGTGAATATGTGTGCAGTGAAATAGTAAAGTATAGTAAAGCAAAGGGATTGGATTAGATCCAGTAGTGAAGAATAAATTAAATGTGGAAGTTTCGGAGAAACTGGAAAGGATCGGCCTGCCGATGTAGGGGGTCAAAGGAACATAATAAAGCAAACAAAAACCAGATTGAAGCAAAGTAAACTCGTAACAAAATAATCAACAAAAGAATGGATGACCACGTAACTTCCGAAGTCCGGGCCGGCCGGAAAGTGTTCTGAAGTCTCAAAAGACTAAAACAAGTTCCGAAATTCGGAAAAATCGGGAGTGTCTGGTCCAAAAATTGGAATATAGGACTGGAATACAGTGGTATCCCCCAAGTACGCTTGAGCCCTCGAAAGCGATGAATCAAGAGCCGAAGTTGGAGTAAATGGCGATGTAGGATGATAGGGTAATGGAGTAGGGAAAATTTCGGAATAAAATCCGAGCCGAGGGGCGGGATTGGGCCGGAAAAATCGTCGGAAACTGCGGAAAAGTCCGGCATGCCAATCAACACAAAGTGCTGCCAGAGATGATGACCTAAGCTGATATCCACACAAGAGCAATGCCTAAAAAGGCCGAAATTGACACAAAGTGTCCAGAATGATGGTAGAACCATCCCGAGACCGGAAGTTCCATGGGAAGCAAAGCCGGAAAGCGCTATAAGGATAATCATAAAAAATGAGTTGGAAAAGAGTGTTTCGGTCTACCCGGCAGATCAACGGATCTAAGTGGGAGTAGAAACTGTATCCTAACAAATAATCAATGAAATCCTACTAAAACAGAGGAGCAGCTTGTGGGTGAAGCAAGGAATCAACATAAATAGAAATGATAACAGATAAGTGAATGGAAGTGCTAATGAGCAAGCTTGAGATAATGTCAATAAAATGATGGGAAAATCGGAGCAAGGTCGGAAACATGGAATGGAATAATTAGTAATCAATAATAAGCAAAAACATCGGCCAAATCGGGCCGGAATGAAGCAATAGTAGTTATTACAATGAAACATTACCTGAATATTCAAAAACTCGAAACAGAAGTGGAACATATGGAAAAAAAGCGGTCCGAAGCTTAGAAACAAAGTAAATTATAGTGTCAACAAAAATTGATCATGGAAAGGTGTAAAATTTCGGGCCGAAATTCGGAGAAAGCGGAAATGCGTTCTAGCATAAAGAAAATAAATAATTGGAATGGTAATGGCAAAAAATCGGGCCGAAACTCGGAAATGAAGTAAATCATGATGTCAATCAATCAATAATCATGAAAGGCATAAAAATCGGGCCAAAGTTCGGAAAGAAAGGAATTTGTAAGGTCAACAAGTGAAAATCATGAAAGGAAAGGAAAACTCGGTCTAAGACTCGGGAATGGTCGGAAAATTCGGAATTAAAATGTAGAAAAAATTAGGAATTACTCGGAACCGTCATCGGAGCCCGGAACATCTGATTCAGAGTTATCTGCATCATAGTTCTGTCCTGTACGGGCCTGTAGTTTGAGACAATCTACCTTCATATGTTCTCCTCCACAATAAAAGCACAACCCAAGCACCTTGCGCCTCTCTCTCTCAGAGTCCAAAAGCCTGCCATCGGGTCCGAGGTAAGGATGGCCAGATCTGTCATCACCGGGCCGGAGTTCCGGCGCTTCGGAGTTGTCAGAGGCAAACGAGTGGAAAGACTCAACAGAGTCTGAGGCTGAGGATGAAGGATAGGAATGTAGATAACGGAGATCGTAAGGGCCGGGGTGATCCGAGTCAAAGTCAGAGGATTCATGAAGATAATCATAATCAAATGGGCCAGGAAATTCCGAGTCATAACTTGACTGGTCAGGATCGGAATTAGTACCGGACTGAACTGATTCTTGTTCAGAATTGTGGTCAGATGGGCTAGATTGGTCCGACGGATCCGAAGGTTCCGGGTCCGGGCCAACCGGATCAGGTAACGATAAGGCATACTCGAGGAAGGATTCAGGATCAGAGCCAAAAGACATAATGAAGGGGTATTTTGGTGAAGGAACAGTGTAATGAAGTGTAAGCTTGAAATACTGACAAGACTGTGCCTACAGGTCAATAGCTATAGAGGTTCTGAGGCCGGATCTGGCCCGGGAATGGCCCGGGATAATTCCGAGGTCCGGAACTGAGTACTGGCCTGTAGTACACACTGGGAGTGGGACGTCGGTGAAGCTATTAGCAACACCCTTCACACACTGTTGGTGTCCCCGGGAATTATGGCAAGAGTGCAAGATTGGGATGAGCAGCCTAAATGGGGTTCCTGATGATCCGGGAGTCCGGGAGCAAAAGGTAAAGAAGATATTAAAGAGTGGGATAAGGTGGTACACTTGATTTCAAGCTTGACTACAACGTACAAAGTATTCTAGCTTATATACATCCCAAATACAGTAGTCATAAGACCTCGATGAAAGCTCGGAATAATAAATAAGTCACAAGGTAATTATTCCGAAGTCCGGCCGCTCCGGGCCGGGCCGGGAAGCGTATGGGGTGAATTGCATGCATATGACAGCAACCAACATTGTTCGCGTCACATATACAGCTCATGATACTGTAAGTTAATATTTACAATTCATGGTATATTCTTATCGGAACATACTTAAAGGTTATTCCATATCAATTCTTGAAAATCCGTTATGAGTCTTTAGAGACCTGGCGGCTTGCAGTTGACATCCTGCGTTGTAATCCCAGCTTTCATGGCCATCCTCGATACGACTACATCATCTTTCGTGGAATTCTGGGGCCAGTCTTTGCCCGGCTGCATTATTTACTCCTTTGTAATGCCTGCAACAGCCAATACCCGATAGCACTTGTGCAAGCTTACAAGATTGTTAATACCCGGTCACGTATAGACAAAGATCTTGGACTTCTTCACATTCGCAAGGAGCATAACCTAGAATTTATTTCGGTGCGGTCAATTGTCCGGGGAGCAATTGTACTACCAATATCATCTGAAACTGATGATAAGTTTGTTTGGGATCCTCTGGATGGAGACATGTTTCTTCGAGTAAAAAAATACTTTCCTGGGCTTACAGATGGTAGGTAGATATATCTAGTTTACTTGCTCTCCGCAATCATTATTATGTCATAATCTTGAGATTTTTTGTGGGTCCAAGTTGCCACAAGTTCTCATTCGTCTACTTCGAGTACTCTTCGTTCAACATGTTTGAAGATGAAGGCAATATCTCAGATGCCTCTGATGATCCTGAATTTGTACCATATACACTACCTGACTTGGAGAAGGTTACGATGCATGATTTGCGACAGGTGAGTGTCATTTATTAATCTTGCTTTGTTTTTGTCTCATCTACATTACATCAGGCTCTCAAAAAGGTTCAAGATCAGAATCAGCAGCTCCTTGGTCACAACTCAAAGCTCAGGATGCAAAATTCAGACTTGAAATCACAGCTTGCCCTAGCAAAACGACACAAGCATTTAGGGAAGACAGTGGGAAACGCAGATCCAAATATAAACCATGAACTTGTGGTGAAGCTGGCGAAGAAGTACACTGTGATGGTATATCCTTGGCCTACTTCAAATCTTTTTATGAGCTTTCCGCCAAACAATTTACCCGATCCCGAATCCCCGGAACGATTCAAGGATGAAAGTGCTTTTGAGGCTGGTCTTATAAACGAGCTCCGTCTGTATTTGAATGACCGAGATCTTCGCAAAAAAGCAGCAGAGTATAGTCCATTCCAAAAATCTGTATGTGCTTGTTGAATCTTTTCACGTTGGCACTAATATGCTTTGACTTCCAAAGTTTCTACAACAAGCAAAGCAAGGCCGGAGTTCAGCCCTGCATACAATACGCGAGTGTGCTTCCATTATCATGCAAGGCATCAATGTCGAGGCTGCTGTATGGGTAACCAAAGCAAATTTGTTGCGCCGGAATTCCACAACATTAAGACTTCAGCTTGAATTTCCCGGATCTTCAGCTGTAAATGATATATTTTCCCCTATATTCCATCCCAATGGAATTCGCGATGATACAAAATTGTTCATGAATGATTTTCAACCGAAGGTGCGTATTTCCTTGATTAATATATCTATATAGAGCTCAAATGTATGTAGATTCTTCGCGCTATCTTTTTTAACAAACAATCTCTTACTCTTGACCAATATTCCTTCAATTATGGATCGTCACTCACTGGGATGCTTTGGGGCGTGAAAAGTGTCAATGATTCATCTATTGCACTATCTGCAATTCTGGTGTGTTTACGCTGCATTTGAATAAGCTCAACATTAATTAACTTATTGTTTAGGTGCGATTTCTTCTTTCAGACGACACCGAGTTTGTTTCCATTGGCAAAAATTCGCAATTAAACTATAAAAAGAACTTCTACTCGTATCGTGCATTCTTAAATGGCTCAAAAGGCACCAACTATATCAAGCAGCTCTATTCCTTTTTCAATCAGCGTGTTTTTCTGGGAATGCCATCAGCAGCAGTATGTTCCACAAATGATGACCACGAAGATGATGCGGTTACTCAGGCATTGCTGGCAATCAGACTTGCTGATTCACGCCCTGCGGATACATCATGTATGTATAGACTTATCTTCTTTAACCTTTGTCTACTTATGTTCATTTTATCTTAGCACTTCCCAGCATTCCAATTAATATTGACACAGATTTAATTCCCACTCAATTCACCGCAATGGAGGTTGAATATATAGACGAAAGCTGGCCTCCTGAGGACAATTTAACTGAGATTCCTCAGAACATGAGCAATGGTAATGTTCAGGATCGTGGTCGGGGTCGGGGTCGGGGTCGGGGCAGGAGTCGGGGTCAGGGCCGGGGTCGCAGTCGCAGTGATAGTCAAATCCAAAGTCAAGAGGCATCAGCACCAGCTCCAGTCCGCACCACACGGAACCGGAAACGGGTAGTATAGAACATTCATAGTCATATCAATAGGAAAGCTCACAAAGATGTATATAAGTAAAAACTGAGCAAACCGTACCTGAGTGATACACATGATATATTAACTGAAGGGTTTTTTATAACAATGTGTATTTAGTGTAGTGGTAATATTGTATTTGATAGTTTGTGATTGTATCTATGTAATGTCTTGAGTTCGATTCCCCATTATAACTACTAATAAGTTTTCCTCTCCAGTATCAGTTTGATTATGTAATACAGTAAGTACTTGTCTTCGATGAAATGAATAAAGCACAATGGAAAGAGAATGAGCGCCTGAGTGCCGATATATTTATTAATATATCTTCTAAAGGGTTTATAAGCGCTTGCCTTCGCACAAGGCTTAAGAGCGCTTATGCTACTCAATTAGTAAAGAATGCTTATGATTTTCTATGAAGGTTTAGGATCCGGCATAATCGGCAGTTCGATTATGGGGTTTATGAGCGCTTACTGCTGCTTACGGGCGAATTTTAATGTTTCCGACACACGAAACATCTCTGTTTCTCACTCCAATACTTCAGGCCAGTGGCGACAGAAAGGACGAAATCTGAATTCATCCACTTTCACCGGAAGTGGGAGGTGGACTTGGAAACAAAACTTTTCTTCATGAGCCCGCTCCCGGCCCGCTCCCTTACAAAACAAGAAGCGCGTGCCACTATTTAGGTTAGGCTTTCGTCGAGTGTTTTTCCACGGATCTCGCTCCCAAAGAAGCGCTCTTCAAATCTCTTGCTCCACTTATGCACTGTGTATAGGTTCCCGTCTCAACAGTTCATCGAGTTTTTCATGCTCAATGCATTACCCCGTGAATCTGCTGTCATTCATTCACTACTCGGCCTAGTTCTCGGGATTCTAAGGGACTATCATCAGCTGCGGATGTTCTGCGAGAGGTTTTTTCGAACTATACATCCTGTGAGTTATAGTATCTCTGTTGCGGCGTCTGCTCGATTGAGATTACATTGGATAGTCAAACACACGCATCCAGACTCGGACGCATCCATACCATCTTAATCTTTCCTAACGCATCAAGTGAATAATCGGCGGTAAGTGGGCAGAGTCATCAAGTGACTATGTACAAGAAGCTGGAAGTCCATTTTGCTCTCATATACGGGCTTGGTATTGCGAAATTTGAAGGATTGTTTGTCCTCAAACACGAGGAAGAGTCGTACCAGAATTCTATCAAGATTCTGTGTAGTAGAGTTATAGATCTCCTCGCGGTCACACTCCAGATCGTAACTGTAAGGTAATCCGCCGATGCTAGAAGTAGCCATTTTCCTTTTGCAAAACGGGGTGTCAATATATCCGATTCTTGACCATTGCTGTTGATTTTTCTGATTTGCTTATGGTTTCGTTGACTCTCTGATTCAGAAGGGAGAAAAAGCAAGGAAAGTAGGGCAAAGGGGATCTGAAACGTCTGTATCAATCAATCTGTGACCTCCTAGTTTTTGCACCTTTTTCCCGATTACCTCCTTTAAATCTCTGCTTGACTACCTTCAAGCATCTGAACTAGGCTAAACTGTGGATACGCAATGCCCCAGGAAGGCGATAGCTACTCTCACAGTTTCAAATATCTTAAGCTCCGATTTCAGTCCAAAGCTTAACGATTTCGACTGTAGACAGTGGGCGGTCTTACTCGGGGGCGTTCCTCCAGTATAGTTGACCCTAGCTATCCATGTGCATTTCGACGCGTCGTACGCACTCAAGGATCTTCAGCTCCGACTCCGAACTTACTCTTGGTTGACTCGACGCTTCATTGCATGAACTGCTGTTCACAGCGGTGTTTCAACAGTATCATCGACCCTTCCCATCCATATGCCATGAATTTTCAAGGCCTGCAACTAGTGCCATCACATCAGACTATACACTTTTATTGACTGACTCTGTGTCGCAAGTACTGGTATAAAGCCAGTGATATCCCAGGGTGAGTACTGTAGTGCTGGTCACTATTTGCTGATTTTCTATCTCTTTCTGTCTCTCTCCTTCACCCTTGTTGAACAAAATATTGTTGTACTTTTCACCTTGCTGGCCAACTGAAGAGCATCCTCAAAAAAGCACCACGCCCACTTTTGACAAACGCACGCCTTATCACCTACTCGTAAAAGATGTTGGCGAAAATACTGGCTCTGATCACAATTACCTTGTTGCTTCCATTTGCAGTGGCCTCTCCTCTGCCTACCGCCGTCGACCATGCAGACAAGGTGGCGGAATCAAGCGTAAGCCTTACACGCTGTATCTTGTCAGTATACACACATTTTACATCTATCATTGCAGGCACTAAGCATAACAGTCCCTCCATCGTCCGAGAATATCAGACGTGCACCGACAAACTTGGTGCTAAACTTGATCGGATGCACTATGGAAGTTATCAATTGGGCAAGTTATAACCCTGGCAGACTCACGGCTAAGCAGGATGGAATACTTTATGGTTCTATCATCCCCAGCGGTGAGTAGCATCTTTCTCAATATAAATTACTGTCTTACAAATTTTGCACCCAATTGACCACAGGGGGCTTATACTTGGCCGTTGACCCACGAGATGCAGATATCATAGGAAGGGCCTCCAGGTGCCCTGGGGGTACATTTGTCGTAGTCGGTAAGTTATTAGATTTCGAAGGGTCATTTTCTCAGATTAACTTGAAAATACTAGAGTATAATTTCGTTAGTACTGGCCTTCGGTATGATACAATTGATGTTTCTTTTACCACGTAGACTAGGGCTAATAACTAACTCGAATGTTTTACAGTATTGTCGATATGACCGCCGGACAAAGATATGATGAGACAGCTCATGCTGTGATTGGGTGGATAACAGATTTATCTTCTCATTCGTTCACTCCGATTTAATTTGTCAACCAGTTACTTTGACCCGTCCCGAGTTGGGATCTCCGCCCCTCATATGAAGATGTATGTTCTACAGAACCCAATAGGTGAATGTCATACCTGAATACCGACTGTGATATGCTTGTTAATGCTCTGGAATTTTGCATAAATAGCTGTTGCAGAGGCACACTTGAAGATCAAGATGATCAACCACAAAAGCATACACATCCCTTGATTTTTAGGGTCTGTCACCTATTAGGCCTTTCTGTAGAGTATGTGTATGTGCTTTTCTGGTTCTGTAACAAGAAGGCTTGAGCAGCCATGGTCAAATTTATTGCTGCTTTTTTTTTTTTTTGAGATTTCAAGAATGGAAACATCGTTCTTGGGTAGAATAGAGACCGAAATTTAGCCAATCAGCTCGTCTCATCATCCCCAAATCCCGAATCGATAGACTGGGAGGCAAGAGAATTTCAACTACAGGGGGAGTGACCGGAAAGTGTTACAGATAAAATTTCGGATGAAGGCAAAAGAGAAGCAGGGATGATAGTAGTAGGAGAATGTGGTGAGTTCCAGGATTGATGACGGTTGCAGACCATTTTTTTGAGAATGGTTTTTCTCTGTTCGCGAGTGACGAGCAAGCACCGGAGATGCATCCCTACGGTGACGACCGCCTTATGAGGCTCAACTTAATTTACTTCGATGTTTCGGACGAACTTGCGATACGACGCAGCCGTAAAGCGTTCTATTGAATGTGGGACAATACTTTGCTGCATTCGCCGTCCATTCAGGCATTCAACCACTGATCAGCGGAATATACCCTGATATATACCTGCCATTTAAACAGTCGAAGCATGTCTTATTTCCGCGTCAATTCTGTGTATGGACCTACTTACATCCTTGAACTCTTCCTCTGTAACTGAATAACATATGCGGTATCGTCTGGTATCGTTAAAGATCGTTAATGACCTTACCACCAATTATTGATGCGGTCTAAAATCTCATGTTGTAACTGTGACAGGTTGGGAATTAAGTTTCTCTGTATTTCGTTCTTCTGTCTTTCATTCTTTCCGATTCAAGTTGCAGTCAAACAAGCTGGAATCCATGGTGCTTGGGCTCATCCTGGCTCATCAATGATGAATTATGTGAAGAGTTAATGTTGTTCTCAGGCTCTAGCGCCGGTAGGCAGTGCCGTCATCTAGCCTGGCTTCAGTTTGCGCCACGCTCACACCTCGATGTCCAGGGCAGGATATCAACCTCTTTCACAGTTGGTCGATGAGACAGAAGATGTTGATGTTACTGAAGAACTTCCCCAGCCTTCCACCCGTGGCCTTCGCCGTCCGGGACGTCCTGGGCATATAGACCTCACCAAGCTCGACAATGCTTTCAAGAGGCAAGTTTGCACTGCGTGCACAGCACACGTATACCTCAATATCTGATTTGCGTAACTCAGATGGACAGAATCAATAGCGCACAAGGTTAAGAAACGGAAGAAGAAGACCACCGAGCATTCGAAGAGAGAGATCTGGAGAAGTGTTTTCGAGCCCACCGTCGTCGGTAATGTTGTGGATGGAACAGTGAGTGAAGCGTGGTTTATATACTGCTTTATTTGGTTGAACACATGCTTGTGTGCAGGTCAAAACGCTTGACCACAATCCACCTATGACGCAGGCTGAGTTCGATGTGTAAGTCATTCAAGTTGTCGAGGACATGTCACCAGCGTTGATGCGAACATGCTCTTCGTCAGACTGGTACAATCAATACAGGACAGTATAGCTGAAGGTCTACACCCTAAAATGATAACGAAAGGCAGCAGTGGCTCCTATTTTGCGCGCGCAAAGGACGAGCATGGACGAGTCCGGACAGTTGCCGTTTTCAAGCCAAAAGATGAAGAACCTTACGGACGATTGAATCCCAAAACGACGAAATGGTTGCATCGGCAATTTCGCTGGTTAATACCCTTTGGAAGGTTAATAGACTATGTTTCATTGAATATTTTCACTCTGACGCTCCCTCCATCAAGAGCTTGCCTTATCCCTAATTTAAGGTATGGGATGACCTTCTCCTGGATTTTCTCACTCTAAGGTGTTCCCTTTTAGCTACATCTCCGAAGCGGCAGCATCATTACTCGACTCGCGTCTCCAACTTCATATTGTTCCGCCCACTCAGCTTGCGTCGCTGTCAAGCCCAGTGAGGGCGTCCAAAATATCCTTTTTCTGTGCTTACTCCCTGATCTGACAGGCGTTCTTCTACGACTGGATAGATCGAACCGCAGCAAAAAAAGGAAAACCTCTTCCCGTAAAGGTAATCTCCACAATTACTAGTCACCTCTCAAAAGTGATTACAACTGCCTTCCCTCCAGGTCGGAAGTCTGCAGAAATTTCTCTATCAGTATACAGATGCTTCAGAATTCTTACGGAAACACCCCTGGCCAGGACGTTCCATCGCTGATACTTTCGACGACACCTCGCATCGGCGGGGCGGTTTGACTAAGAAAGTGATCAGCGGTGTTACTGCCATTTGTGGTCGTAGCGGCGACGTCGACGAGTTTTACGACGACTACGAAGAAGAGCGACTATTTGATGCAACTGAATTTATGAACGGGCCGCGCGAATTCTATTGGACTCCTTCGTTGCAGAGAAGTTTCAGAGAAGAACTAGAAAAGTGGGTGCAATTTCTGCAACCTACCCGCTTAACTGATCATTTGCGCTGCCAGATTGGTTATTTTGGGTAAGCTCGCTGCATTGATTACCATACTGTCGCCAACTATCCTTAGATTATTTAATGCTCAACACGGACCGAGGAGCTGACAATTATATGATAAAGTATTGTGAGGGCGATGTAGAGAAACAATTGATAGATGTCGCCCCTTCGCGGTCAACGCGCGAGATGCCCCAGATGAGCGACCTTCGGCGAAGTGGTAGCCCAAACTCCACCCCAAAGATCAAATCCGACACTCTGGATGCAGAAACGGGTGATTATACTCGACAGCCCCATATTCATATAGCAGCCATAGACAATTCGCTGTCGTTTCCCCACGAGCATCCTCAAGGATGGAGATCTTATACTTATGGCTGGTTATACCTCCCGATTTCCGCTATTGGACAGCCTTTCTCTCAAAAAACTCGCCATCACTTCCTTCCACTATTAACTTCGAAGCAATGGTGGGAAGAGACTACGTTCCAGCTGGAAAAACTTTTTGCTGTGGACCCAGATTTCAACATGAAAATGTTTCGAGTACGTGAAAGGCGCTGCACCACATTTGAGACTTACGTTTTGCCCTACTAGCGCCAACTTGCTGTAATCAAAGGGCAAGCCTTGAACATTGTACAATCCTTGAAACATGACGTACGCGCAGGTTTTTCTCTAGATGAAGAGCTCTTACTTACGGGTTTCATTTAGGACGAAGGTAAAATTCATTTAAATCATCCTGATGTTGGAAGCTGAGCTACTACAAGGACCCTTGGAATTAACGAGGCGCACAAAGATGTTAGTATGGGATGACGAGATTGAGATATCAGGAGATGACAGTGGGCTTGATGAGGCCGTTCGTGATCTGAATGAGCCCACCTCATCCCCAAAGCTATCAATCAATTCAGTGCCTATAATTCCCCGCCGAACACGAAGCCAAAGCTCTAGCGGTGAATTTCCCCCGCCCATGCGTAGAATAATCACCGAGTCAGGTATCAATCGACCAGTTCCTTTCTCTTCCAAGTTCCAGCGCGTACATCCTGGAACAACCGGTGTCACAGTACTGGAGCATTTGGAGCGTCTCGATGCAGTAGAGGCTAGTCTTCAGAGGCTTGTTTCAGACGACAATGTAGATGAAGTCGACGTAGGCGAATCGCAAAACGTTCATATCCAAAATGAACCAACAACCTCAAATTTGCCCCCTACTTCACCGTTCTCGCCTCCTGGAAGTCCTCTGGCAACTGTACCCGAGATAGCTTCTTTAGAGTCTTCCATAACAGAAGAAGATTTAGTAGCGCTGTCGAAATCTACATCACATCTTGAGGGTTCGTCCACTATCTCTGGTCGTCATACTCGCTGGGCTAGTCAAGCGTTAGGGTCTGGTGTGGATTGGTTGCAGGAGAATGAGACACCCGTTACAAGGACAGTGATATCCGAGGTAAACCTTTTGTGCTGCAGCAGTTCCATCTCTGTGCTAACAGCTTCACTCAGAGATTGGAAATGGTTACTAAGAAGCCATTGTGCTCGTGTTGGTGATACAAATAGACAGGTATGAATTTTGAGAAGCGCGGAATAGACAAACTCGAATCCAGCATCGTCAAGTCGTGATCACTAGTGAGCAACACAGTTAATAGGTAAGTACATATCAGTAATTGTGATCTGAGGGTGAGCAACAAGCAGAGGATACCGGTCAGTAGCTGCATTAATGCAACAACGGAAGAGAGTCGACTGTTTCTGCAATGACTTCTACAGCGAACGTTAACATACATGTTATATAAAAGTATCGGCTCATAAAATATGCTGCTCACAAGTGTCGAGTTATTGCCGTTTTCAAAATAGTTGGCGCCTGATCTCACGACGTCAAATTTTTGCATGAATCAATCCCGACCTCAGAAACACGATTGTGGACTCAAATGTTCACCGAATTCTTTGATTTTTGGTGCGATACAAAGCGATAAGCAGCCGTTAGTGCGCCCCATAGTTAGCTTTATATGATCCCAATATTTTGAACACCTATATATTGGAGGTTCTATGACCTCCGAAACACTATAACTCAAGAAACAAAATTTGTAACGCTTAATCCTTATAGCATGTAGTCCTTGTGGATAATACCTAGTGCACCCCGGGAGAAATTTGTGCCCAAAGACTCGACACACTAAGTTTGAGTGCATGTACACTTCTGAGCCTTGATTCATACAATCTCATTACCATACCTGGGCCCTAATCAAGATTTTGGGCATGGGGCGCACTTAAGGCAGCCTAATAGCTTGAAATACTGCAAGGAATAGATCTCACAAATTTTGTTCCTTATGTTATAGTGTTTCGGAGGTCATAGAACCTCCAATATCCAGGTGTTCAAAATATTGGGATCATATAAAGCTAACTATGGGGCGCACTAACGGCTGCTTATCGCTTTGTATCGCACCAAAAATCAAAGAATTCGGTGAACATTTGAGTCCACAATCGCGTTTCAGAGCTCGGGATTGATTCATGCAAAAATTTGACGTCGTGAGAACAGGCGCCAACTATTTTGAAAACGGCAATAAATTGATAGTACTGTTCTCTTCGCATCGTGAACAGATTGGCTAAATGAGGCTATGCACGTATCTACCTTCTTCCAAATTCAACTCGTCCCTACTTGTCCTGGATGGTCCCGCCAATATCTAGCGCTGATATCGGCCACATTTCTGACTAAACCTAGAGGACAGAACCAGAGGGACGCGTGGTATGCCAAAAGGAAAAACAGTGGATTTAATGGCAAGCTTGTAAAGAAGGAGGACCATCCATGAAGATTTTTAAAAACATTTTAATCAATCATTCAAAATTCTGGTCGAGTCATAATTATCTTTGACTCAGGGAATACAATCTATAATTTTCGAATTTCTTGTACCCAGTACATCTATATAATTTCAACGGGTAGATACACCATACAATAACCATAAGCAGCCAAAAGAAATGTAGTCACGAAGTGTGATTTGAATATAATAGACCCCCCAACTGCCCCGCAGTGCAGAGGGTTGTGAAGGTCCTGCTGCCACTTTATCTAATAGATATTTTAATGGCTCACTGCGCAACCTACTTTCGACGTTTGGTCATACAACATCAAAAGCACATCCACCCGCCTGAGCATCAAGCTCAACGATTTCATTTAGACCTACGGAATGGTTATTTCATTAGTTACCTGTACAAGATATAGCAAAATCTTCATACCCATGACTTCGAAGAACGATTTTGGATCCATGCCTTGAGCAGATACCCAGTCTGTTCCAGTCTTCTTGAGTGAGTGCATAGCAGCTCGTAAAGCATGAACCATAGCGACACAAGAAACGAGGGAGAAGACTAGAGTTAGATGATTTAGTACGGGAAACCATCTATGAAGGGGGTATAAACATACTAATGATTTTGGCGCCCATTTGTTCTGCTTCGGGGTAAGTAAACGAAGGAGTCAGACCACCAGAGATAACATTCACAAGGACCTAGAGTAAAATTTCATGAATAAACGATCATCGATAGTCTTTGAAATAAAGGGGTAGTAAATACCGGTGTGGGTGCGAGCTCCGCTACTGTCTTTTCGAGAAGATCCTTGGTCTTCACTCCTTCGATGAAGCATACATCGGCTCCTGCAGCCGCGGCCAGTTTTAAGCGAGTCAGGGCTTCATCCATTCCCAAAACCTGAGCAGAGTCGGTCCTGCCAATGATGACCTAAAAATGGTACTCGTATCAAATGGCAAATGAAAGAACTGATGTAATCATACAAAGTCAGATCCTCCTGGTATGGAATCTCTAGCAATAACGGCAGCACGAATGCGGGTTAAAAACTCCTCTCGGGACACAACTTGCTTGCCCATCAAGTGACCGCAACGTTTCGTCTGAACTTGGTCTTCAATATGCATGGCAGCGACACCTGCTCTAGCATACTGTCTGACTGTACGAGCAACCATGGCCGTGCCTCCAAAACTATTGAATCGTTCAGTAAGTATATATCCTATGCCTTGGAATGAACTTGCCCTGTGTCAGCATCGGCGATCACGGGAACACTGGGATTCAAGCTAGAAACCATTTGGCCGGCCTGTAACAACAGAGCTTGAGCGCTAAGATAGACGAAGAGACCGAAGTTTAATCACCTCGACAAAGTCGTTCAGGGTAGCAATGGCTAAATCGGGCTGTCCCATTCGAGAGGCAGTAGTCGCGGCACCACTAATAGATGAATGATGTTAACAATTAAATTAAACAACATCCTGGGTAGTGATTCAATCTGACCTTTGGTATAAGCAGTCAAACCCAGCTTCAAGCGCACATCGTGCTGAAATTCCGTCACAGATTCCAGGTGCCACAACAATACCAGGGCGGGCAAGCATCTGTCGGAGTCTGGTTGAAGGATTGGGAGAAAGAGGACCTTCAAGGTAGTTTTTCGGGTCGAGTCTTGGGTTGTAGTAGATTGAGGGATCCCGTAGAGCCGTAGGCTCTTTGACCTCTATTTCCTGTTCGGCGCGGAGGGAATTCTCAACAGCAGTGTGATAATCAAGAGCAGGGGCCATTGCAAAAAGAAGCGGTGGTGACTGTTAAGGACACGGGTGGTGGTCAGAAAGTTAAGTATGGGGTTTGATACACAAATTAAACCATTTCCGTGTCCCTCTTATAGCATTGAACCGCTAGAAGCGATCAGGTCTGGACGTGACATGCAGAATGTAAAAAGAAATTACGAGTCACTCACTGCTGCATCGCGAGATTGATTACGGATCGCTGAATAGATATTCCGATGCTCATTGTCGGTCCAAAGTCAAATACCATACTGCTCCGCGCTAATATCCGCACAGGAAGGTTTACAAGCCAAGAAAGTCCACGTTTACAAAGGTCCATTTGAAGAAGGCTTCTAGCCGTTCTCGCACTGTGCGAATGCCAAGAAACACCTGTATTTGGGCGAAGACGGATTAGCATTCTAATAACACATGAATCTAGAACTGAGAAATAGGTGTCCCGAAAGTTACTGTATCCCATAGCTTTGGTGAGTGGAGATAGAGTGGAGCTACTCTCTGTGACGGACGTGTAGAGCACTTTGCCGTCCGCAAATCTTTGCACATGAACCAGACCAGGCCGAGGTCCGAATGTTTGAACATTTACAGGTGCCCTTGCAGACACGATTCCCTTGGTGATCGGTGGAAATTCAGAAAGGCCAAATAAAGGGAGTCTGTGCTAGTCTGCGGTGATTTTGGCGCATGTCTTTCTACAAATGGAGAAATGCATTCGATCTTCAAACTTTGGAAAATAGAAGCGCAAGAGGTATATATATTCAGATATGAGGAGAGGTTGGACTAGGAGGAGAGGCTTGACTAGAAGGAGAGGTTGGACTAGAAGGAGAGGAAGTTGGAGATGAAATGATACCAACCGATGATCTGAGTTGATTTCTGTTCTCAGCTGGTCTCGGTCAGCTCGCAAAATTCTACGCAGTAGTACTCAGTACTCAACGATCCACAATGTGGGAATGACTTATTACAGAATTCCCGATGCCATATTGAGTGTTGGGGAGTGATTCACCAAAAGAGTTTGACTTTTTTCCCGACAGTCGTTGTCATACGTAGTTGAAGTTAAACATTCAGTTGCAACACTGCACACTGCTGAGCAATGAAAAGCGTGACTGCAACCGCGTTCCGAAGCGGGCCATTGGCCGTGCTAACTCCGCCCATGTTCACCGACTCACTCCTTCCCTGCTCCTTCCTTCCGTGCTTCCTCCTAACGGAACCCAGATTTTTGTTGGTACACAGACACTTGTATAAGTAAACGCGTCTTTTGACCATTCGCGCTGGTGTTAACAATGCTTTCAGCTCAGACAATATCGGAACACGCTTCGAGAGACAGCTGCTGGATCATCGTTCATGGTATGTAGTGCCTTCTTGGCAGCTCGACCACTCAATCATTCCACTCTTTTTTCCCCAGGCAAAGTTTACGATGTTACCGAGTTTCTAGATGGTATGTAGCGGGGTCATCGTGCCTAGCTGGGCATCATCGTCTGACCATCCGTCCCAACCGTTTCAGAGCATCCCGGAGGAAGCAAGATTATTCTCAAATACGCGGGGAACGACGCCACGTAAGGTCGCGTGCTTCCGCCTATAGAAGTTTTTCCTGAAAGCTACATAGGGAGGCGTATGAGCCCATCCACCCGCCCAATGCCATAATAGATAACCTATCTAGTGAAAAACAGTAAGAACTTAAACCCCTCGAAATAGCTAGCATTCACAATTTACTGCTTTAGTCTTGGCGATGTGGATCCAAGCACTGTCACCAAAGTCGTGAAGGTGATCTCTGAAGCCGAAAAAAAACGCCAAGCCTTGATAGCCAAACGACCACCGCTCGATGAAATCCTGAATCTACACGATTTTGAGGTTAGGATGTCGATTGGTCTTACACGGCTTGTACTAAAATCAGAATAAGGCCATCGCAAAAGTGATACTGCCGGATAAAGCTTGGGCTTACTACTCGTCCGCATCAGATGATGAGATCACTATTCGCGAGAATCGCGCTGCTTATCAAAGGCAAGCTTTTCTCTGTCACAAGAGTTCTACCCGTCCTGATTGAATAATTCAGAGTCTGGTTTCGTCCACGGATCCTTCGAGATGTAACAGTCGTCGATTGGTCAACAACGATTCTTGGACAAAAGTCTAGTTTACCTGTCTATATTGTGCGCGTTTTTTCTAAATCCTACTCGGGGAACAATGTCGACGGTCATATCTATACTAGTCCGCTACTGCTTTGGGCAAACTTGGCCATCCGGATGGAGAGTTGAACCTTACTCGTGCAGCCGGAAAACACGGAGTTATTCAAATGGTTAACCTGATTCACTGCTCCGTAGTTCATTGCTTGAACGTGATTAGTAGGTTCCGACTCTTGCATCGTGTTCCTTCGATGAGATTCTCGATGCTGCACAGCCCGACCAGCCCCTGTTCCTGCAATTGTGAGCATAGCGAGACTGCGTTGCACCCTATACTCTAATCCTTAAATTTAGATACGTGAATCGTGATCGAAGCATCACCAAGCGATACGTTCAACATGCAGAGGCACGAGGAGTCAAAGGATTATTCATTACTGTAGATGCACCTCAGCTTGGTCGCAGAGAAAAGGACATGCGTATGAAATTCGTTGGCGACGACGCTGGAGCTAAAGTTCAAGAAAATATGTCTGGTGTCAAGAAGGATGAAGGTGTTGCCAGAGCCATTAGTGTATGCATTCCTTTAGCTATCCTACGTTTCCACATTCTTACTTTGCGTTTAGTCTTTCATTGACCCGAGTCTCTCCTGGAAGGATATACCATGGTTCCGAGGGATCACGAAGAGTACGTCAAGACCTTATAAGCATTCTTTGTCTCCTTTGATGAGTTGTGGAGTGTAGTGCCTATCATTCTCAAAGGTGTCTCAACACCTGAAGACGCAATTCTTGCTCTAGAAGCAGGAGTGCAAGGAATCGTTCTGAGTAATCACGGTGGTCGGCAGCTCGACACAAGTCGTTCTGGTCTGGAGAATTTGATAGAAATCGCAGCTGCACTAAAAACTCGTGGTCCATGGCCCAATCCTAATTTCTCTGTCTTCGTGGATGGTGGTGTTCGCCGAGCCTCTGATGTTCTCAAAGCGTTGGCGCTTGGTGCGTCTGCGGTCGGCATAGGAAGAGGGTTTCTCTATGCATTCTGTAGCTACGGGGAGGCTGGAGTAGAGAAAGCATTCAAGATTTTGGGCGTGAGTTTGTTTCATGTCGCAATCATCGTTGAAAGGGCTGAACAGTGCATACAGGAAGAATTTGAAATGAATTTGCGTCTCTTAGGTGCCAGGAATCTAAACGAGCTTGTACCTGAGATGGTAGATGCCAGTGCTCTCCAGGCGCATGTCAGTACGCCTAAGGACAATCTGTTCGATTCAACCTGCAAGTGTTTATTCTTGTCCTGCTTTTTTCCGAATTGGTACTTACACATATTATATAGATCAGCCCCTACGGCTGGCGGAGATCAAAGCGGCTAAGCTCTAAGAGATGGTGATTCGGGATGTTGCAGCATTGGTAACTTGTAGAACGAAAGTTGTATGTATGATAAAGTTCTGAATGTTTGGAATTGGATGTACTTTCTCGTTTTCTCTCTCTCTCGCTTCGGGCGCTTTGAATGATTGCTTGAGCCAGTCTTTACTGCGCGTCGGACGTTATCCATTATATTACACTCGATTATGCAAAACAGTCAATGAAGTCACAGTTTATTGTTTCGCCGTAGCACCTTGTTATTTGAAAATTTTCATCACCTCACTCTCCTTCCTTGCCTGCTTTACTAATGGTCGAGGGAGACGCGTTTCCTGCTGGCAGTCGGATTTCACTCTGGAGGATTACGCTCAATCTAAGAGTGGCAAGCAATAATTCTTCGATTCCGAAATCGACATTGTGTCTAATCATTTTCTCCGGGACCGTGTCGGTCAGGTGTCGGTTACAACGTTGGCGTTCGGAGCATCCCGCCCGCTGTGCATTATCTATTTCAGCTCGCTGTATGCCTTTATACAGTCAGCGTTCTGATGGCTACCCCTGTTGAATGGAAATTCTTATGTAGTAGTATCTGTGCATACTATGTTTATATGTACTGCAAATGGGAAAACGGTCCTTACAACAATTTGAGATTTGCACAGGTTGTCAATGGTAGACACTACAATAATACTATGGACGATTATGAGCGGATATGCCGTTGTGGAGTCGGTGTGTAATAAGGACAGGTGAAAGGACTTACTTCATCAACATATCCTGTGATGTCTTCTTTCCCTCCACCACCACCTGTCGCTGCTGGTTCATCTGCCTCAGCCCAAGCAGCAGCCTTTTCAACAGATCAACGGTACTGTCGTTCTTTATAAGTCCGTAAATATCATTCTTACAATGAAACATCCTATGCCAGAATATACTTTAGCAAAGAATCAAATACTTGGCGGTACGAAGAAGAAGATGGAGCTGAAATGGAATTTGACGCCGTCAAGGGCTTATGGGTGCCTCTTGTCCGTCCTCTCATGGACCGTTATTTCGAGACCACCGTAAAACGACGTCTATTTTCGACAGATTGATGAAGATTTAGTGAAAGCACAACAAGCTGCGTACTCGATTGCTGGTGTGGACGAATCCGTAAGTGTCCTGGCGATTTGTCTTCTCAATTTTCATAAACCCCGATACATCTAATTATTCTGTTCCTCCAATGACAGACGCCTGCTGCTCCTGTTCTCAGACGCGAAAACAAAAAACGCAAGGAACCAGAAGATTACACCTCTGCCACACCAACTCCCCTAGCCGGTCCTTCTATCAAACGGGGAAAACACGACAAAAAGGATAAGCCTCCTGCAGAGCGCAAGTCCAAGAATACTGCTGTCTATGTTACTGGTCTACCCGTGGACACGACTATGGACGAATTGGTGCAGTGTTTTTCCAGGTATGGCGTACTTGAGGAAGATGATGAGGGCGATCCCAAGGTGAAGATGTATGCAAAGGATGACGGCTCGTTTAGCGGAGAGGCACTAGTGGTGTATTTCAAGGAAGATTCCGTGGTGTTGGCCCTCAACATTCTGGACGAGAGTGAATTACGGCTGGGAGATCCATCGACGAGGATGAGTGTCGCCAAAGCCGATTTCGCGCACAAGACGAGCCAAACAAACGGTGCTGGAGGTGAGCCGCGGAAAACGGTAGACAAAAAGAAGGTTTCAAGAAGACTGGGAAAGATGCAAAAGTATTGTCGATATTCATTTGTCTTTTTTTATTATGAATTCTCATCATTCACTAGGAAGCTGGAAGAATGGGTCGATGAAGATGGTTTTGGTCCTGCCATGGAGCCCGAAGACAATGCTAATGTTGCCAATAAAAACGGCAGAGTGGTCGTTCTCAAGCATATGTTCACCCTCGACAATCTACAGAAAGATGCATCTTTACTACTCGATTTGAAGGAAGATGTCCGAGAGGAATGTTCATCTTTAGGGGAGGTGACGAATGTCGTCCTGTACGATGTAAGTACTACCAAATATATTTTCTAAATCTAAACTTATTCTCGCATAGAAAGAGAAAGACGGTGTGATGACCGTAAAGTTCCGCGACCCTTTGAGCGCAGCGGCTTGTGTCATCGTGAGCTTCTTACACTTCCCATTCAGGCTTAGGCTAACTGGATTTATCAGAAAATGAACGGCAGATTTTTTGACGGAAAAAGGGTAGAAGCTTCGCTCTACTCTGGCAAGCAGAGATTCCAGCGTAGTGGTGCAGGTGAGGATATCGAGGGTGAGGGCGATGAGGCTGAAAAGAAACGACTCGACGATTTTGCACAATGGCTATTGACGGAAGGCGACTAGTTGGACGTAGCAATGACTTATGTATAATCTAACAAGATTCTTGATTCCCGTTGGACAATCCGCTGAACGACATATCCATCTCCTTTTACTATTTGTACAATTGCAAAGGGAAGTATGCGTGTTGAGGATGAGGAGCATCAGGAGCTCTTTCTGGTCGCCATCGCGGGTATGAAAGTGTTAGTGTTGGTGGGAGTTTGGACTCGGAGTAGAGTTTTGTTGATTTGGTTATCTGGGAAATGGCTGCCGCGAGTTCGATGGGGTCTTGGGAAGTAGAGACGGCCTTGGAGCCCTCCGCTGTATCTCCTTCCGCTGGGGCCGCGACACTGAGTACGCAGTCAGTAGACCATACTTCGTCAAGATACAAGTGCTACGCACACTTGTGGAGTAGAGTGCTCAATCAACAACGAAGACAAGCCTGTCTGTGTTATCACGGAAAGCTGGGGGTAAGCACGTCGGACGTCTCGTTTCCAGTAGGGGTTTTGAGCGATATCGGAAGCTGAGAATATGGTTATTCAGAGACGCAGATGAGCTTGAGAGCACGCAGATAGTAGCACCTTTGGTAGCAGGAGTAGAGTATTTTTCAGGTCTTGAGCCTGGAGGAGGGAACCTGTTCACGCCTTGTAATGGCAGACCACTAGAAATCTCGGGATTGACAACGACAGCATCGCCTAGAATGGGATCTTTAGTATCAATTGTGAAAGACATTTGGACAATTCCTACGGAATCTCTTCCAAAAGCCTTTCGGACTGAGGTGATATAGAGTTGAGTCGGCAGCCTTCTTCGTGGCCATGGCTGAAGTCGGGAGCAACTGTTCGATTTGATAAGCGCCCTGAGAGCGAACTGTTTTTCCGAGCGAAGTCTGCTCCACAAACAAAATACATTCTTGGCCCTAGAAGGATAACTTTTCACGGGAAAAAGACTCAGGATGTCATTCTCAATGTCAAGAAAGAGCGACAGTACTCATGGGCGTGACAATGTGCAAGATATCCACAATTAAATCAGAACAGGAAGCGAGACTTTCTCCATTTTACTCCCATGTACATTCATCGACGAGAACGTAAACCGCCGATGAGCGCAACAAGAAGGAGGAAACTACTACTTTCCTATGCTCCAGACTGGTGAGTGCTCTTATATTCGTCTCATAGTTGGTGTTGATCACCCGCCTTAGGATTATCACGATTCTATTAGGGTATATCTCGTCCGGAGAATGCACGCGGTACCGCTGACGATCTTGCAGTGTTCTATTCTTTTTGCTGGATCGAATTCATGGGTTTTGGCGTGATTTCAGTGTGGACGATACATCGTATGAAATGCGTATATGCTGCGCCACATTGACTAACGATACTTTGCAGGCTACGACACCCTTACGCCGTTCACGAACGTGTTCCTGTGAGCTTAAATTGGACCCTTTGACACCTCCAGCGTTGACCTCGTGCGGTAACAGACGTTTGCGTTGGTTCTCATTTGTTTTGTAGCACCACTTTTGATTCAGCCCGTCATAAACTTGCTGTCAATTAGATCGTGGTGGGATTTGCATAATGGTCCGTGTCCTCTCTTCACCAGTGGGCAATGCTTATCATCTCTGATGCGCAGCGACTCTTGGACGTTCGTACCGATTTTCTGATTTCATACACCCTCCGAGTTGACAAACTCAATTTTTCATTGTCGCACAGTGATTCTCTCACTTGCTATGGCTGGTGTAGTAACTCAGTTCACCAAAGTTACAGTCGGTAGGCCTCGTCCTGGTATGCAACACCTCTATTTCATCTCTGTCTCTGGTGCCAATCCCGCATATATAGATGTCATTGACCGTTGTCAACCCCGCTCCGGCACTATCGATCCTACCTTCGGTCTCAGCACAGCGGCGATATGCACCCAAACCGACTTGTCGTTGTTGAAAGATGGTTTCCGCAGCTTTCCGAGTGGTCATAGCTCGTTATCTTTCGCCGGTCTTGGTTTCTTGGCTTTTTATGTGGCAGGAAAGCTTCATCTGTTCGACCACAAAGGCCACATTGTACGAATATTCCTGTTTATCATCGTGATCCGTACTAACCGTTCAAGTAGGGGAAAGTGTGGTTATTCCTTGCTCCTTTTTCAGGTGCTGCTTTAGTTGCAATCTCGCGGACCATGGACTATCGGCGCAAGTGTGTTCTCTCGTCTTCCGACATCTGTGACCTGATTATTTGTGCACTGTAGACCATTGGCAGGACGTTTTCATAGGCTCTATACTTGGCACAGTCATGGCGTATTTCTCCTACCGTCAATACTACCCCAGCCTATCTTCTGAATTGTGCCACCAGCCATATTCTCCAAGAATTGCGCGCGAGCCTGAAGTATTACCTTTGCATCACCGTCATCAACACAGCGAAACGTCCGCGCTTCCGCCGCGGACGAGTGCACCAGATGGGACTGTTCCAAGACCTGACCCAGGGTCATTGACAGAGCTTTGGGGGAATAATGCTCGGGTCGAAACGTCGGAGTACCATTCCGAAAGTCAGAGCGATTGATACCTATATCGTATGAACGGTGCTATGGACACGGATACGGAGAATCGGACTACTACCTACTACAGTATTGTACCCCGTATAAACACTGCAACTAAAACACTACGTTCATAATTTCGATGCGCTCAACGATACGCGATTGAATAATCTTGATACAAACTGCATACGTACACACCAGCTGTTCCAGGGAGATAACATTTCGAATCTCAGAGAAGATGAGTCCGTTCCAAGTGAAGATACTGCATACTGAGTACTGATTACCTATGCGAAAACGAGTCGTGGGTCGGGGTATAAGGTATATAATATGGTCATAAAGGTCGTCATTGTATATGCATGAATTGCGAAACAGTATAAGCAGTGAAAGTCTAAACTGCAGAAATTGATGGCTGGACCACAGGGGAACCTTGCGTCGCTGTACTGATCACGGTAGAATTGGCTGATATTGCAGGAATAGACAGTGTCGGCGCGATCGGTGTGGCATGGGGCTTTGCAGGTAGAGACATTGCAGGAGGTGAAAACGGCGAAGTTTCTGCAGGAATAGATTCGTCGGGCTTGGAAGACTTTGGGCTGACTGGCGGTAAGGCTTCAACTTCAGTTGGGACAGTAGGCTTTGAAACTAGCTTCGGTTTAGGCGGTGGGAAATCCCAGGGCCGGGGTACCTAACACGCATACTTTAGATTGATATTAACTGAGGAAGAAATGTTATACCATGGCTGCAGGCATAATCCAAGTAGCCGCGCAAACAACGCCTTTACCCATGTCCTGCGCCTGAATAGCCTTGAACTCGAAATCGATGAATTGCGATATGTAGCGAACGAAGGGAAGGATTTCACGGACCCCGTTGTTGATCACGGCGAGGGCTGTTAGGAAATTGACGACAGAGCCGGAAATGGATTGGGCATTCTAAGATAAGGATATAAGCAATTCTAAAGATAGAAGGAAAGATCGGGACGAACCGCGAGATAAACTAGAGAAGGCGGTGGGAGTACTACTTCCAAACCCCACCAATCTATAAAGGGTCATGAGTTCCGACAACACAATGGACATCATTGGGCTTACACGTGAGAACAGACATACGGTCTATCGGAGGGTGTATTCCTATGTGAACGTTATGAGAAACAAGCAATTACGGAGTATATGCGAAAAGAGACTGACCGGTGTGGTCGGGCATGACAGCACGACCAGTGGCATATCCCAATGCCATTAATTGAGGTGTGATTTGCTCTATACCATTAATCACAGTCTCAGCAGTGGGAAGTGCTCCTGCCAGTATTCCGTTTCCGTCTCCCGGTTGTCCGAGTCCAAAATCCGGCGATTTAACAAGGTCGATGACATGCATTTCGTTGAATAAGGATGAAAGCGCCTCTAATGGCGCACTATTCATCACAGCAAAGGATGATACGCTTGGAGGTGTTGTCGTACCAAGCTTGGAGAAATGTAGATCGTGCTCCTCACCGTCCGGATGGGCGAGGCAAACTGCATGTATTGGACCAGTTGGTTTGGGTTCCGCACTGTCTGCAGATAAAGTCCGCAAGTGCGCGATGATCTTGTTCGCGGATTTGGCCTGCATCAGTTGTGACTTGAGTTTACCCATCTGTGGCTTTGCGACGGCAGAGGAGAGTTTCGGAGAGGAAGCGGTCGGGCCAACGATCAAGCCTCGAACTAACAAAGCCGACTGTTTTGCGCGTTTGTCCGAACTAGAGCTAATGGGTTTAACGACCCGTTTGGAAAGCGCCGCGGTTGCCTGTTCCTTCTTCTCGCGTTCTTGAATAGAGGAAAGCGTATCATTATGCTCTAAATGGAGTTGCACAGCGAAAGGTCTGAAAGAGAAGCGACGAAGTGGCTGTTTCATGGGCTTTTCATCATAAGCGATCTCATTTGGTGAAGTAACTGGAGAAAGTGGAAAAGGAACATCTGCGGAACTAGTAAGAGGCGTTGCAGGGGTTATTTGCACATTAACTGGCGACTCTTCACGTTGGGATCGCTCCTGTGCATTGAGCGAAGATTTGGAAGGAGAAAGATAATCGAGCAAACCCATTATACTCGATGGAGGACAGTGACCAAGGTCCGCAGAATTCTCACGATAGGGTTGCAATTCGGAAATCGCTTGTTCCCCTGCTTATATACCGACGTTTGTTTGAGAAATGACTCCCTCCATTGGAATTTTACCTTCTCCGAATCAAGCTTCTTAAGCTTGTTGAGCTCTAATGGCCACTGATGACAATATGCGAACTCGACCTTTCAAGGATGTGATACGGTACGTGAAGCCTCAGTCGTCCTTTTATATCCTTTTCTGACCTTCAAACAGAAACTTTACTCCAGCGTGGTTCGCTGCAATCATGGGTAAGTCAATTTCCACTGGGAGCATTGGCTATGGCGATAGGAAATGCCTTGATAGTAGCAATAATGATAAAGTAGCTCAGAAAGCAGCATCGGTCTGTGCAGTCCTACAATCAGAGAAATGTTTTCGGCTGCGTCAAACAGGATGAAGGCGGTGGATTTCTAGGTCTTTCGGCCAGCCAATGCACCCTGTGTCGAAGCGTTATTCACAGGAATTATCTACAGGAACTGGATCCATCAGTCTCTTGTTCCATGCATTTCCGTACGGGAATGAAACGCAACCGTTCATAATATTCACCCTCATATTCTTTTTCCTCAACCTGACGCTCTTCATTCTGTTCTGTGCTATCACCACTGCACGTTATATCATGTTCCCCGATATCTGGGGACTCATGATTCGACATCCCGCTCAAAGCCTATTCACTGGGACTTTTCCAAGTAAGTCCTCTTCGATTCTCAAGGTATCATCTACTCATCGTTAATCCATAATCAATCAACACTGCAGTGGGTGCTTGTACGCTGCTGAACATTGCTGTTAGCCTTATCAGCGAAAAGTATAGATTGGGAGGAAAGTCATTTCTATACGCTATGTGGGGTCTATGGTGGCTAGATGTAGCTATTTCAATCCTTTGCTGTTGGGGCATGGTTCATATCATGTATGTGAAACCTCCATACACTGCTTTCTGTATAAACTTCAACTGTTGCGCAGGGAAACATCTCAAAAACATTCGCTCCAAAGCATGACTGCTGTTTGGCTCCTTCCGGTTGTGACGTTGATTGTCGCGTCTAGCACTGGTGGGGTGCTTTCCTCAGTTCTGCAAGAATACGATCCGGGATACGCTCTTTTCACTCAAGTCGCTTCAGTATTCCTGGTCTCCATCGGTCTTTCCCTGGCCCTGATGCTACTCACCATATACATTCAGCGTCTGATCATTATCGGAGTTCCCCAGGGAGTCAATGTCCTTTCTGTATTCCTTCCGCTAGGTCCCACTGGTCAGGCAGGCTATTCTATTCTTCTCGCAGGGCAATTTTTCAAAGAAGCCCTCCCGCTGCAACACGGGGGCTCTGCTTTAATGAATGATGCGTCGACCGGGAATATTCTCTGTGTAATCTGCGTATGCGCATCTTTTGTTCTATGGGCTTTAGCTTCTATGTGGATGGTTTTTGCGTTGCTTGCTGTTTGTGACGAGCTTCGGAAGACTCGTATCCCATTCAAAGTTAATTCGTGGGGCTTGATCTTCCCTAACGTGAGTCTGCGATGTTAGTTTCTTCTTGATTACTCCAACAAAGTTTCTGTAATAGGGTGTCTACGCCAATTTGACCATCGCACTTGGCAGCACATTCGATTCGCCCTTCTTTCGCATATGGGGCGCTATATATGCTGTATTCACCCTATTACTATGGTCCTTTGTCGCCATCAACACAGTTCAAGTGGTGTACAATAGGTCCATCTTCGAGGCGCCTTGTTTACAGGAACTAAACCTAACGGAGGGTAGTACTGACCGAAAAGAATGTTCATCGCCGCATGGTGTGCCCACCTCAATCTTTCAATGATTTTACCCGATTTAACTTTAATATCTTGCCAGGAACAGTATGTTCTGCTAGTAATACTGGGATATAAATAAGAATTAAAGTACAGATAATCAAGCCACAGTACGTTCGTGTTGTACGTCCGCTTGGCAAATGCTGTATGTACCGTCAAGTTTGGCCACACAAAATAATACTTTCGCCTCATCATCGCATCGCATCACAGACTCCGTCCGTATTTGGGACAATTTTTTAGTGCTGACGCTAGAACGACTGCAAAAAGTGAGAAAGCAGATGTTGCGGTGGCTATGATGCAGTTGGTACATAGCAGAGCCGCATCGAAAAGTGTGATGTACGAGTAGGATTGCTTGAGATTTACAAGTTACAACATAGATGGAGGATACGCGTATACGATATGTAAATTAGATTGTATGCATCGATTATTGAATCGTGACGGTGCTATCGGGTTCTGAAAAGGACGTATCGTAATGACAAATAACATGCAAAGAAGTGAGGATACCTACCGATAGTCTCGATTACAGAGTCCGAAATGCTTGCCTGTTGCTGGAAGGCTTGTAGTGTTTGAGGCTGGATCTTGGCTGAGAAGCCCTAGGTACACATCGTTAAATATACAGATCTGGGAGGTAAAATGCACAACATACGGAGATGAGACCATCGTACGTATGTCCTATCTCGCCACCTAGCCGAAATGTTCAGCTTGAAAAGCTGTATTAAAAGGAACAGCAAGCAGTCACACCTTCAGACGTAACTTCATCCTTGAACTTCTGGATTTCATCTTTGGAAACACCATCCTTGAAAGTGACAATATAATCTGGATATACAGTTCAAAGACCCCGTGCGTTGTATCATTTGGGAGCGCTCACTGGACATGACTGAGGTTGTAGAGCTTCTTGGCAACGCTGGGGAATGGTAGGAAGTGTTAGAAAGCCTTGTAAAGCGATAAACTCGGAGCTTGGTTATGACGTTCAATCGTGATAAGACCATGACTCATACAATGAGCAATCGGTACCGTATTATATTCCGCAAATCAAATTCACTGGCCAACTTCGGGTATGATTGTTAGTCACCTCATAAGTATGCAATTCTTTACGGTCTTAAGCCCATGCTCAGGACATTTCAGCTGTTTTTTCAGCTCCCCAAAATGCCCATCACTCGCTCTGCCAGTCGTGCAACTATCGCCGGAAACCCTACTCCCGTTGAAGCACACCAAGCTCGTAGCCCCACGACACCGGCAAAGAGGAAAGCTAAAGAAACCCCTTTGACACCCGCGACGAAAGAGAAAAAACCTCGTGCGACCAAAAAGCCTTCCGAAGTGCCCTCCGTTACGCAAGCACAAATCGACGAGTTTCGGCGCAATCTCCCTGAGTCTGGTCCTGCACCTGGACTAGTTCCCGCACAACTCACTTTCACCTTTGAGGAAGCGAAGAATCATCTCATTAATGTGGACCCGCGGTTTCAAATTCTCTTTGACAGACTCAGCTGTAAGCCGTTTGAACGGCTCGAGACTGTTCATCCATTTAGGTGCGCTTTCTTTCCGTGCTTCTTTGGAAACCTACCTTGAATGTCTTGCAGAGCTCTTGTAACCTCCATCGTTGGCCAACAGATATCATGGATCGCTGCCCGTTCAGTAAACCACAAGTTTGTCAGATTATACAACCCATCCCTTCCAGAGAAGGTGACAGATTACCCGTATGTTCCCCTTCCCCCATTTGATTATACTATGACTCAAAAGCAAGGAGCAGAGAGAGGGCTGATGTCACGTCCTTCTTCCCTACCCCTCAGCAGGTTGCTAATACAGATTTAGCCATCCTTCGGACCGCAGGGCTAAGTGGCCGCAAAGCAGAATATGGTGAATATAAATGTTCTCGGGATTTTTGGCTTTCACTGAAATTGCGTTCAGTCCGTGACCTTGCATCACGATTCGCAGACGGCCGACTATCCACCGAGAAGCTCCTTCAGGCCAATGATGACGAACTCGCAGAAATGTTGATTGAAGTTAAAGGCATTGGTCGTGTAAGTCCGCCCTACTCTTTCGAGTTTTGATATATTGATCTTCTCCTGAATGAAGTGGACTGGTACGTGCCTTGATGCCTCCGGCAGCATTCAGATATTTAGAATGCATTATAGTAGATATGTTTTCGATTTTCACGCTACGACGTCCGAATATACTCCCTGTCGGTTCGTTTATCCTGACTTGGTTTATTAACTCTGGTTCATTGCTCTCATTGACAGGGGACCTTGGAGTCCAACGCGGAATGCTTCGGTGGTTCCTCGGATTGCACTCTCCGACTCATAGTTTCAGTTTTTCACCTGACAAAAGCGATCGTAATGTCGAAATTGATCAAGTTGAAGATGAGCTGTCAGACGAGGAAGTAGGCAGTCTACCCAATCTCATGTCTACCGCTACGAGTTCAACAAAGTCGTTGGATGCAACACGGACTCCTCCATTTGACCTCTCCTCAATCCCTCCTGCCCCACTCGCTACGCCAAGAAAGGCAGATAGTACTGGAAGTCAAGCTAACGTTGCCTCTCTTCCCCCACCGGTAACACCGTCTCTTGAACAGACTTTAATGAAAGTAGAGAACTTACCGGGTTATGTGCCGCCACCCCTACCGGCTGGACTGTCAACGTCTACTTTACAGGGTCGTTTAGACGGTAAGAAGAAAATCAAGTAAGTTCGTCGCTGGTTCTACTGTCCAGGTCCTAAACGATTTATCAAGGGGAGCTATCTTAACACCAAACGAGATGGAAGAGCTTACAGCCAACTGGAAACCTTACCGAAGTCTTGGTATGCACGCCAACTTTTTGTTCGTGCAATGTGTTAATCAAATGGATAGGCGTTTTCTACATGTGGGCATTTGCAAAATAGAAACATAGAATAATGTGGCTGTAGCTATAAACTGTACCACATCATGAGTTCAGCAGGATCTTGTTTGGCATGATATAATTGGTTCTTTAATTTCCTTTTGTGGGAAGCCACGCGAGTCTGTTATAAGGCAAAAGGCCCGAGCATAACTTTGTTGTGCAGCTTCGCTTTTGTCTTTTTCTCGTCGACCCCACAGGAGCCAGCAGTCGTTCAAGATCGGAACTTGTACTCTAGTTGTTGTGTCTCTACGCGGTTTGGTCAGCTGGCGAGCTGCTCATTATTCCCCTATATAATTCTCACAGCGCGCCCTTCACTCTTTGTACTCCGACTTCCATCCTGCCATGTTTCCGCATACAAACCTTCATCCAATCATGATCCCAGAACTTGCGTACTCTCCGCATTCCCCTTCAGAATCTGGATTCCTGTCTCCCGCAGAGAGTGATACGCTCAGGACACCCTCTTTTCCCGAACACAACCACCCTTTACTCGCCTTTTCATCTGAGCCTTCCAGCAGTAAGCACTCTCATGCGCACAGTTATGACGTTCTTTCGACAAAGGTCGCTGGCGAACTTGGCGCCACCAAAGGCTTTGGTCTTTTGCCATCGCTGTGTCTCGACAATGTACGCGTCGAAGACGCGCCTCTCACAACTAGCAAATGTCAAAGCGGGTACCCCTTTCCACTGTCAAATGACGCGTATTCCCCTCCAGTATCACCTAGTTCATCCTCTCCTCTGATGTCATCCCCCAAACACAAAGCACAGCATACTTTCCCCGCATACAAGGTCAATTCTCCGCGAACACCTGCGATCGACTACAATCTCAATTCTTCCTTCCATTCTCATCACTTTCCTCCTGACCATCAACTTAATCCCCATTTTGTCCGGATCTACCAACTCGGAGACGAGCTTGGTTCAGGGGGTTACGGTTTCGTGGTCACGGCGAAACACCGGATTGAGGGCCACGAGGTTGCGGTCAAGTTTATCATAAAGGAAAAGGTGCCAGACTATGCGTGGGTGAACGATGAAAGATACGGAAGGTTGCCCACAGAAGTCATTATACTTAGCAACATCGAACACGACAATATTGTGAAGTGTTTGGATATCTTTGAAGATGCGGAGTACTACTATCTAGTACGCGTTTTTTCTATCTCTGTCGCGTTTCTTTCGCTGAAACTCGCGATTTAGGTACAGGAACTCCACGGTACACCATGGCACAATCCTGATCATGACAAGAAACTGACAGTTGCAGAGAACGTTCAGCCTACTGAGCCTTTATCTGTTCCTCCATTATCCCCTTCAGTCTCGGCGGACTCGATATCCAGTCTATCCCCTTCAACTCCATCGCATACATCCAGCGTTATTGCCTCGCACAATTCAAAGCACAAGCCCAAGGCACCTCGACCACCGAAGTTCCCTCGCAGACCATCCCATGATCTTTTTGAGTGCATCGAACAATCGGATAACAAGTGTCTCTCTGAGGACCAAGCTCGCCATGTTTTTGCCCAAATCGTCGATGCCGTCGACTATCTTGACTCTATAGGCGTGGCTCATCGTGACATCAAGGATGAGAACATTGTCATTGACGGGAATCTGAAAGTATGCATCGTGATTTTCCATAATTGATCCCCTCCTTATAACCATTTTCATTGACTTAAGGTCAAACTTATTGACTTTGGCAGCGCCACCTTCACCGATCCCGCCGCCGAACCACGTCCATTCTACAACCTATTTTACGGAACCACTGCATATGCGGCATCCGAAATTTTACAGAAAAAGGTCTATCAAGCCGCACCTGCAGAGGTGTGGACGCTTGGTGTGCTTCTTTCCTATCTTCTTACTGGAACTTCACCGTTCCCCACGGCTAAAGATGCTGTAGCGGGCAGGATTGTGCTCGCGAATGGCCCGCGCGTGTCGCGTCAAGCGTTGAACCTGATGCACGTCTGCCTTGACCCGAACCCAACGACCCGTGTCACGATCCAGGAAGTGAAGAGCCACCCGTGGCTGAAATCGCGTTGCAAATAATCTAAATAATCCACAGAAACAGTGGCTCTTCTAAGTTCTAGTGATATCCATATATGCATTACCCGGACTCTATTGATGATGATTCCATGATTCCAGATTTATCCACCTCGTCTCAGGCAGCTACATTATCGCATTCAACATTTGTAACATCATTATCATCCCCGGCCCTCTCCAGCGATTCACTCATAATCCATTCATCGTCATTTCTGCCTGCCTGTTTCTCATATCGCATCGCATCGCATCGTTTGATTTGTATATATTCCATACTACTGTACTGCACGAATATTACATGTACTCTGGCACAAGAACTGAAAGTTAGCAGAGGTTTGCCTGGCAGCACTGCAGCAGGACTCGGAGCGTTCTGAACCGTTAAATATCACATGACTTCAGGGAACCAATCAGAAGCATTACATTGTCTTCAGCGTCTCATCCCGACTGTCATGTCCTTCATCTTCAAGAACGCTAGTAAGCACGATGCATGTCACAAAATTGGTCTATAAACTGAAAGACCTAATCCAGTCTCTACCGCTGGCCGAAGGGCGGCTTTCCGGCCTCCAACAGGTGTCTTAGGTGAGTGCGTGACACCTAGCGTACTCAAACCGCGTTGAATGTATCAAATTTTTGAAGCGTACCGTTCTTTGCACACTTCCAAGCCTTCCACAGCTCAATCGCCTGCGCCACTTCCCTCATCATCCACGGATCCCGCCAATCCAATAACACAGATTGCGAACTACAACTCAAACCAGCATAGTTTGGAGAATCCTCAGAATAAAGCAGGTGCGTCCTGCATTTGGATTTTTGATATTTGATCGAGTATTTACTGTCGTTGCTCAGAATATGTTCTTTCGACGCTAGACAAGGTTGCCAACTGGGCACGACAGGGCTCAATGTGGCCAATGACTTTCGGTACGTGTTTTGTCCATCGAAAAATTTAAGCTGCGTTCTTATGCATACTTCAAAGGTCTTGCTTGTTGCGCCGTAGAAATGATGCATATGGCTGCTGCGCGGTACGACCAAGACAGACTAGGTGTCGTATTCCGTGCTAGTCCTCGGCAGAGCGATATCATGATCGTTGCTGGTACACTGACGAACAAGATGGCACCGGCGCTTAGGAAAGTTTACGACCAGATGCCTGAGCCTCGTGCGTCACCTTATTCTTCTCAATGGATACGGTGTGTTGATTAAATAGCATTTAGGTTGGGTTATCTCGATGGGTTCTTGTGCAAACGGAGGCGGGTACTACCATTATTCGTATTCTGTTGTTCGGGGATGTGACCGTGAGTGTTGAACGCCTATCTTTCATTCATCCTTTCAAATAACAATGTGATTCTTTAGGCATTGTACCCGTTGACATCTACGTACCGGGCTGTCCCCCTACAGCTGAAGCTCTTCTGTACGGCATGCTTCAACTCCAGCGAAAAATGCGTCGGAGTAGAAAGGGAGTACTCTGGTAAGTTAAAAGTTAAATCTTACTGCGACGTCGACTTTCCTCATTGGTTGATCAGGTACCGCAAGTAGAGTATATATACAGGAAACCGCGCAGAGTAGTGTGCATTAAGGACTTCATACTTTATCTATATACGTGTGAATCGAAAGTCAATGATTATAAGGGCCCGGACTTTCCGTGGACGGTGTATCGCTCGCCGTATCTGTATTAGAAACATTATTCTCTTTAACACCATTAGACAGCAGTCATCCTGCGGTCATCCCACAGTCATCCCAATAGTTTGTCTACTGCTGCAACTTGAACATCTGTGAACAAAGCGGGAGAAGTTTGGCATTGTTGAATCAGGGTCGCTTAGGGTTGAAACCTACCCTCAGTTCAATTGCCTTTGCCTTTTGGTGGTGACAATGGCTGCTGCTCTTTACTCTTCGCACAATGGCCCAGGTCCTTCCACACCGCTCATGAACGAGCTCGACTTTAGAGACAACCGATACCCGTCTATCGGTGCTCATTCCTCCAAATCAACTCGGGATCAGCCAGCGCCGAGCAGTATGTTGATGGCTTCTTCTGGATGGGAGCCAGAAGAAAAAGAAACGAGTTCGTCAAATCCTCCGTTGCGAAATTCGTCCTCTAGGACCGGCGCCTCTGACGTTCAATCGTCGCCAGAGCCGTCCAAAAGCGCTGTTTCTTATTCTTTGCCTCAGAACAATCGTCGTGTCGTTGAACGGTATAGCCTCGACAATGAAGCCCAGCAGGAACCAACAGTACAGCAAAAACAACATTCTTTCCAGGAAGTGTCAGTATCTTTGATGCCTGCGGCTCCTCGTCATCCATCATTGCCTGCAGCAGGTAGCCGCGCAGGCCCGAGTAACACTAATGGCTCGGTGTCACCCGTTATCATGCCTCTGTCCGCATCACCGACATATTCCCCCCCAATTTCTTCCAGACAACGAGCTTACCCTCAACAACCAACTTACATCCAAAACGTCTCTCCCAATCCTGTTAACCCCGTCTACCTGCCCAATAATCCTCCAGCCGAAGAAGTCTGTATTGAGTGCGCTATGCGAGATCAGGATATGGCTGACGTTGATGTCACGTCGCCAGGAATATGGGACAGAGAAAGTGACATACATTATGAAGAGCTGAAGCGCAAGGAACTAGAGGAGGAGGCTAGTGGTATCATCGACACTGAAGGTCCTCCAAGACCCAAGGCAATAGGTGGTCAATTGACAGAGTCGAATCTAAAGCTGTGGCTGAGCGTCGTACGTTCAAACTTATTCACATCCATTCGTATAATTTCTCATTATAATACTTTCTAGAATCCCCGAGAGCCAACTTCACGACAACAGACATTGAACTCTTACATCAAGTCACAGCGCACATTGCTAGAGGCTGAGGCGCTCGCTCGAGCTCGAGCTTTCCATGAGGCGAAAGAACTGGACAACAGAATGCGGGATACATATTCACAGCTCCGGCGCTCTGCATACGACATGGGAAACAGCGCTTCACCCGCAGACGACACCGGCGGCGTTCGCATCAAGCCTCCTACGTCCCCTGTGTCTGCTTCCTTCCCCCGGGCTCACGATCGCTCTCACTCGCGCGATGTCACTCTGCTCGAAAACGGCATGATCGTTGAGCATGTTGATGTACGAAAAGAAGAAAAAGAGGCAAGAGATCGCCGTCGCAAGGACGAGCGTCGCGCCAGAAAGTCTTCTCGCAGCTCTGCGGTGGATGTCAACTCTCTCATGTCGACACATAGTCTCGTAGCACCTCACACAGATAGTGGCGTCGGGTTGAAGCCTTATTCTCGGTACTCTCAGGCTAGTTCCGCACGACCATTGAGCGTCTTAACAGCACCTCTGGATCGACCCGATTTACCCCGGGCCCTATCACAAGCGTCCTTCTCTGACGTGCACAGTCTGGGTTCACCGTCATCGAGGCGCACACGCTTCTTTGGTGTGAGGTCAAGTTACTGGAAAAGTCAAGATAGTCTGGCAATGTCCGGTGTTTCTGGCAGTATGCTCGATATGCAGTGCGTGATTTTCATCAAAGCTCGAAGACATCAGATCACTGACTGTAATGTAGTGTTGCTCTTCAGAGAGAAGGAAATAGAGGTCAAATGGTACAGTCCCCTGTTGACGTAGCCCCAGGCATGCATCGTCAAACTTGGCCAAGTACCGAACTGGCTCCCATTATCTCACGGCAGTCGGAGGAACAGCCGAAGAAGAAGAAAGGTTTTGCCAAGATATGGCGTATAGTAACCAGATCAAAGAAAAATCGGTCTTCCAGCGCTCGAGAGAGCCAATCTCTCGATCGTACTGAAGATGAGGCGGATTACCCGTTAGCTCCTCCACCTCCATTATCCTATCTCGTCAATCGGGGAAATCCTGGTGATCGGATGAGCCCTCGGCACGCGTCCACACCATCGCTTCCTTTGGCTTCTTCACCCAAGTTAGCTCTCTCTTCAACAACCGGTATCTCTCCTCCTACTGCACCATCTACTTCACTCCCATCTCCAGCATCTTCTCGGCAATCCGGGGCGGACCAAGACACAGGTGAAGGGAAAAAGACGACTATCGTCAATGGTGATGAAATAGAGCCCCCAAATGCTGGATATTTCATCTCTTCAAACGTGCACTCTCCGATATCTGAACCAGACCTTCGCCGGATCAGTCAGACCGCTGTGCCTATCATTGACGTGCCGATGGACAAGCATTTCTCCCAAACCGTATCGTCGAGATTGACAATATCCACGTTGTCTCGAGAAAAGTCATTGCCCCCTCTACCCAACGATGCAATAATCCGACCGTATGTCAACGGGAGCGCCCGTGATAACAGTCGTCCTCGTACAGTATATACGTTCGACTCTCGACCTCCAGGCACTGGAGCTCCACATGACTTCATCCCTCCTCAAGCGCCGTTCCGCACAGAAGCACGACGACAATCGTTCGGTGGCCTTACTTCTAGGCCGAACCTCAGTAGCTTTCTTAGCAGATCAACGAATAGCAAGGCAGTGGCAAACCCCCAACAGGGTCTGGCGCCCACATACGATGAGTTTGGTGCCTCGCGTGGCTCTTTGCGGTTGCCACCCGCTGATACCAATGCCCGGAACTCCGTAGCCCATACCGGTCCTACGCCGACGAAACGACGGTCGAGGTTCGGGTTATCAAGCTTATTGGGAAAGAAGAACACCTCTCCCGATCGTTCGAAGGAGGCCTATGAACCGCAGTACCAACCATACACAGTCCCGAACCAACAAGGACAGCCTCAACAGCAGCAGCAGTTCCCCGCTCTTCACACTTCTGGATCCGATGTGCATGATGAAGTTATGACAGGGTATGCTACTTCCAATTCTCGACATAGTGGTAGCGGTGGCGGAGGCCCGCGCATGTCGATCACGTCAAGAAAGGCCTTAGACGAATTGGTATCGCAAGATGCGGAATTTGTCGCATATCGGTATCCGTCGAACGACCAACGCTTAGATTTGTTACGCTAGTGAGGCTTGAAAGGCGGAATTTATGGACCATTCGAATGTTCCTTAGCGTTTTTGACTGCATAATCCTTTCTTTCTTGTTATATCTTGTCATATTATGTTTTCCGTTCTGCTTCCCACTAAGATTTGTACACATACAATACATACTCTTTCACATCGGTGCTTGGATTCTTTTTCTATACCTGTGTCTAAAGTTACGCTCTTTCTCGACTATGACTTGAGTCGTTACTCTTACTACCGCTCCTTGTTTTTCAGGCTCCTATCTATTTCAATGTTCTGACACTCAGCTCTCCTCAGATATCCGCACATTCATTCATGTTCTGTTCCTGCCATGTCTAATTTCATGTGGTGAATCCGAAAACATTTCGTTACCTTACTTACTGCCCTTTGCATAATTCTGCGAAAATGAGAAGATTATATTTCCTTCGATTCGATTTTTGGATGTTCCAAACCCTCACTGATAACAGTTACTTAGAACCAGACTTTTGTAATAACACTCACTAAATTTTCTTGCTTTTCGCAGCTCTTCGCAGCTTGTTTAATCAGCTAGGTGTCCGATTATGTAAGCAGGCTCAATGTAATGATTTTCACTTTGACTATGACGGTGAACTAATACGCGCTGTGTGGAGTTACCCTTTGTCATTCATACAAGCAACGCACTTCATATGTATGGATGTCACTAAATTAACGAAGCATGCCTCCTTCATATGAACCACTACCATCCAACGACTCTGAGCAAGATATAACCCAACCTCAGACCAGCGCTCCGCAGAAAGCCGGCAAACAGCCTATAACAAGAAGCAATCTGTTGTTTATAGTCTTCGGATTTCTTGTCACTGCATTTGTCTTTTATAAAGCAGGCCAGTGGTCTGTCTCGCTGTTACCTTCTACTTCCGTAGAACAATCGTCTTCAATACCTACTGGGGACGTCAAGGAGAACGAGAGTGTACCGGACGACAACTTGAAAAACGGTTCAAGTTCAAGCTCAAGCGCGAGCACTATCGACGAAACTATGCCTGGAAAATACAGTGTTGGATAGTAAGCCTTCTAATCAAAGTTCTGCATCTAGTGTTTCTGACAAGCAGTTGATCAGTTTTGTGAACTGGTATGCAGAGATTCTTCATCTTGTATGATTCTCCAAACTCACCTGCCAACGCTTGAAGGGGGATCTACGGACGGAAATTCCCGCCTTCCTCGATTCCGGTGCAGGATCTAACGTGCGTGCTCCTGTTTTATCATAGTGTTACAAAAGTCAAGATGTAAACCCAGTCACATCTTATACGCCTTTGCCAACATCAACCCATCCTCCGGCGAAGTCTCTCTATCCGATCTCTGGGCCGACCAAGACATCCATTACCCGGGCGATTCCTGGAACGATGTTGGGACCAACCTCTACGGTAACTTCAAAGCCATCTACCTGCTCAAAAAGGCCAATCGGCATCTCAAACTCCTTCTGTCCATCGGGGGCTGGACTTATTCGCCTTCGATTCATCCTGTTGTGGTATCTCCTCCCCTACGAGCAAAGTTTGTTGAGAGCGCGGTGAAGCTGCTGGAAGACTATGGGCTGGATGGGTTGGATGTGGACTATGAGTATCCGCAGAACGAGGCCCAGGCCCAGGGATATGTGGATCTGTTGAGAGAGTTGAGGGAAGCGTTGGATAGGCATGCGATGAATAAAAGGGCAGATTATAGGTTTCTGTTAACCGTAAGCTATCCTTTTCTATCGTGAACTTCCTGAGCTCATTTCATGTACATGCTTTAGATAGCAGCTCCCTGCGGACCAGACAACTACCAAAAGCTACATATCCGAGAGATGGATCGGTATCTTGATTTTTGGAATATGATGGCATACGACTTTGGTCTGTCTCTTCCCTGTATTGAATCTCAAAACCAATTCTCATTGACATCTCAGCTGGCTCCTGGGACCAAGTCGCCAATCACCAAGCCAACCTCCACCCATCACCGTCTACTGCGCTTTCTGTCTCCCAATGCATTTCTTACTATATTTCTTCCGGCGTTGCTCCACCCAAGCTAATCATCGGAATGCCTCTCTACGGACGCTCTTTCCTCCAGACCCAAGGTCCGGGAACCCCATTCAACGGCGTCGGCCAAGGAAGCTGGGAAGCCGGCGTATACGACTATCGCGCTTTACCCCTACCGGGCTCACATCTCATGCAAGACGACAAAGCCAAAGCTAGCTGGGGATACGATTATCAGAAGCAGGAGATGATTAGCTTTGATAGTGAGGATGTGGGAAGATGGAAAGGCGCGTGGATTAAGAAAATGGGGTTGGGTGGAAGTATGTTTTGGGAGTTGTCTGGAGATAAAGGTGGTCCTGAGAGGAAGGAGATGGAGGGTGGACATGGGAAAGATCCTCAGCCTGGGCAGAGCTTAGTTAAGGTTGTGAAGGAAGCGATGGGTGGGATCGAGATGGGTCAGCACAATTGGTTGAACTACGAGAGCAGTCGGTTTGATAATCTGCGGAATGGGATGCAATAAATGTGAAGGTGAATAGGAAATTTGGACAGTGCATTTCACATAACCTGTATATTATAATATGAGTAGCTAGTATTTATCGCGGAGTTGCTGGCTATGGCGAGAATATAACAATCATGCATTGATAGTTTAACAAGGTTAAATCTAACGCAAATGTTACAGGCAAGTGATACGTAGGCAAAGCCGAATCGTGTGTATGGAAAGCAGAAAGAGAACAAAGTGGGACCAGCAAACGGACAAAACAAGCTAAATCGTCAATGGAATAATCATTTGAGATAATCGGGAACCTTTCAAGCATCAATTCTGCGATAAGCCCTGTTTCCGGCTGCCCACTTGTGACCTTTGTCAGCAAAGACACCAGTCACCACGACTCCCGTAGCAATTACAGCAGAGAATATCCATGCAAAGGTGTTGAATACGTAGCCAGTGCCTACAAACCGATGACGATGTTAGACAATTGAAAGACCGAATAAATCGAAGAAGTGCTTGATGGACAACAATTCACGTCCTAATGATCAAGCCGCTGTTCGACCGATATATTGAATCGAAGGCGCGATTATCGCCAGAGGATGGCCCACTGTGCGAACGAAACAGACAAGAAATGTGGGTACTTACCTGGTTTGGCATCTTCGAAGGTTGGGAAAGCCCCGGTACGCATAGTGTCTGTAACGATTGCGAATGCAACGACTTGCATTACACCTGGACAAAAGAGGTCCAACCCAACAAATCAGAACTGTACAGATCAAGTAGATGTAGACAGACCGCACTTTGTAAAGCAACAAGCCCAGCGACAGCTTTCCATATTCTTCTCCTCCTCGATCCGGTGCTCACACCAATTAGGATAGCGAATAGTGCCAACACTGCGAATCCAATACTGATCTCGACTGCGTATCCAGCACTGGTCCATGCGGCACAGAATCCAGAGTTCTCTTCCTCACATCCATCTTGTACACGTTTAGGGAATGTGCGACAGTCGTAGGAACTATATTCGAACTTGGAATTGTTGTCACTGCCAGGAATATTGACATGCTTCAGCTCGCACAGCGTGGTAAGCCCATAGCGAACGGTGATCTGAGTGTGTAGGATTTCCGGTGTCTTGACCACGAGCCTGTAGGAGTCAGTTGGCAGGAAGAATCAGAGACAGTAAAATCTTTGCGCACCAGTCTACACGCTGTAACGAGAGAATGGTCTACAAGGTCGCGTAAAGTGTGAAATGAAGAGCCAGCAATTATAGGGAGGAAGCATACAACGATTAAGCTGACAACTACAGCTAGAAAAGTGATAACATAGGATAATTTTCGCATGTTGAACAAGAGGTCCTGGGTGTTGCAGAGGGAAGCCTCAAAAACGTGATTTACTGTAATCTATTGATTGCTATTGCATGACGTCATGAGGTATCCAACAGTGGATGACTGCCCGTACTTACATAAAAAAACAGAAATTATCCTCTACGCTGCTATAGATTCACAGTACAACACTATAGACACCAAAATGCTTATACATCGACGATACATGTTGTGTGACAGCGATAGCACCCCCCCTTCAACTCGTTCACTGTATTCTTTGAATTTTCTCTTTCTCCGTTTCGCGCTCCAGTATTTCCACCTGTCTCTGACATACAGGACACCGTCCAGAGATATCTGTTAGCCACGGGTCTAGGCAAGTCTTCTATGGATTGATAAAAAGTAGTCAGTACTAGGAACAAAAAGAGTGTGTCAAGCACGAACGTGGAATACATGGCCGCATCTGAGGAGTCTAAGGAGCTGGGCACCTTCACTTACATCGGCCGATTTGAGCTCATCGTTCTCGTACTTTTTCTCCGAAATAACTCCCGCTTTACCTTGCCCACCTTTCGACTGTTCTTCACCCATAATATGGAGCCGTTTTGGTTCCTCGAAGTCTAACAAGCAGATTGCGCATGCGGCACGATTATCGTCGAGAACAACATGAGGGTGACCTCCGGTGTCCCAGCTGTCTTCCCAAAAGCCACTTTCTGTCGGATTGGCCTGCTTCAAGATGCTTGTCAGGCCATCGTTAGTCGTCTTGTTGAACTTCGAAGAAAATTGGTGAAACTTGATGAATTTGAAGCATTTCTTAGCAGGGATCTCCGTCCCCTTTGCTGGAGACTTGGGTGAATAGGAATAGATGCTTGTGAGCATTTGTTTAGGCCCTTCCGTAGGAGATGCGTTGGAAGGAGTAGGAATGTACACGACTAAAGGGATTCGGTCAACCAAGTTTTTAGGAAGCTTCCCAATATCCGGCTTGATCATCTGTGAATTCTGTGACGGACGTCGTCCAATGCAAAGGAGGAATAATCTCCATGTTAACTGCAAAGAAATAAGTCTCGAGCACGGGAAGATTGGAATCGACATACAAAGACGAGCGCAAGGACAAGACCAATCAAATGTAAACACATTCCTTTCAGATACATTGTACAATAGATAGCAACGATGAGCCACCAGAGGTGTGGGGAGGAAAGTCGACAGGTTTTTATGGAGGAGTAGGCCAATATGTACGCCGTTAGAAACCAATATATACTGTACATTAACAAAATGGATGATAATCTGCATCAAGGGGTTAAATGGAAGAACAGTCTGACAGCAGTGTAGCACACCTTTTGAACATGACTGTGTGGGGGAGGTGATCATTCTGTGTTTGTGACGAATTATCATCAGGCAAGGGAGGTTGCTGGGCATTAGGGGAGCATATTTGCCCCGAATGTTCCGAACTGGACGTGCGCTGGCTTGATTCAGGATCAATACAGGTGTTCCTGCTCTGACTAACAGCATTTTCTGGTAAAACATGCACAGCAATCGCAGTGGGCAACATGCCGACTTACGTGGATCGTTCTCGCGTGAATTTCCAGTAGTCCAACACGCATACTACGATGGTGCGACCTAGCCAAAGACAAGACCAAATACCGAGCGGGAGATGACAGGCAGACCATTCGTTAGCTCCTGGAACAGTAGGACTTGCTTTGGGGGCAAACGATGCCAAAACAACAACGATGCCGACCATCTAGATACTAGATATAGCCCAAGTTGAAATATGGTGTACACCGAGACAAACCTGAGCAAAACCCCATCCCAAGTTCCATATCAAAGAGACTAGTGTTCTGCGAACCTCGGAAGCATCGTCCCCAAGTCCGAAGAAGCGTAGGATCTTGGCGATGGTCGAATGATTCGGTGGACAAACTGGACTCCGTAGCGGCGGACCAGGTTCTGTGTTGTTCGTTGGTATTGGAGTTGGCGGGGGATGAAGGTTAGCAGATGGAGGAATATGAGGTGAAGAGGGCATAGAGGCAGTGACCTGATTTTCTCGCCTCTCTGGTATAGGTTCTGGGAAGAATGCAGTGAAAGATGGCCCGGCACTATGAGGACCCCGGTGACGTGCAGATATAGAGTTGTTACGCCCAACGAGTCTGATGCTGATGGTTTTTAGCACCCTTTGTTCAAATATCGCTCGTCTCCATTCTCCGGTTCTAGTTTGTGTTCCAGATCCGTGTAGAGCAATTGTAGAGTGGTATAGCTATTAGTCATAGGGCTTTTCTGTCATATGTGGTAGTTGAGATTTTAACGTTGAAACACAAATCTCGAGCCTTTTTTCTTTGCAGAAGCATCGAACTGATATACGAACTTTGTCTTCCCTCTCGTGAACTCTGACCGCGAGAGTATCGAACTGAGTATAAGCGGTTGAAGAATGGTATACAACTTACCAGAAACCTTCTTTTCATCTTTTCATGAACAGAACTTCCTTCACCCTGCTTAGACCCTGCTCTGCTAGCAATGTACGTACGTTCGGTAAATATTCGACGCCCATGTGTTGAAGTGCAGGAGACGGGATGGCGAAAATTTGATTGCGGACCGGGAATGCATACCGTTCAAGTTATTGCACAGCACATATACGTCTTTTAGGAATTGGAGTGGTAAGAGGAAACATTTGATTTGCCGGACTACGAATATCGAGGAAAATAAGCATGATCCGTGATACGATGCTATCATTACCGTACGCTCAGGATCTAAGCGGGTGTGTCTTGTGGGTATACGATAAGCTTTATTCCATTGACCTCACCCTTCTCGTATTTCTTCACCCCATCAACAATTCCAGAAAGTCCCTTGGGGATTTCTTCGATCCGATTAGGCTGAACAGGACGGTCTGAATATAATAACAAAGACAAATTTCAACCTTTTGCTCACCACAAAAACGCCACGTTCCAACAATCTTGGAAGATGCTTCCACAATGTGACGCCAAACTCCCTGTTTGGGGGTATATGTGGCCCTCCGAACACACCATAAACCTTCTTTGTAGTTACTTCTGCATCTCCCCAAGAAACTATACGAGGAGTCGCGATAGCAAGTTTTCCATCGTCGGCAAGACATGCATAAGCAGCGTTCTGAGCCTCGGGCGAAGTCACTGCAGTGTAGATGATCTTGATGGGTTGGGAACAGACTTTCGGCAAGGCAGCAGGAAGGTCGGCGAAAGATATCTCGTTACGGTCGATGAAGTGTGTCGCACCGAGGGATTTGAGGTATTCCGTATGTTTGGTGGATGCGTAGACAATGATAGTACCGAAACCAAGATATTTCAGGATTTGAATGGCTGGATAATGTCATTTAGATGTATGTCGAGAAACGTCATAACACTTGGTAGAAACATACCATATTGACCAACGGAAGTCGAACCTCCAATCACAAGGGCGATTTCCTTCGGATATGAGACTGTGTCGTCGAAAGTTGGGTTGAGGCCCATACCGACCGGGTGTGCGGGAAGTAACCCATATACGGCAGTGCTGAACGTGAGCGGAACACAGGCTGCTTGACCGTAACTTAAGTTGTCGGGAATCTATAGACGTGAGTGTAAGTTCAAACCTCAAATCTCCAAAAAACGCAAGTCACCTTGCCCAAGAACTCGACCGGAGCAAGAGCATATTGCTGATGAGAAGCATACTCGTTAGAGTTCAGCTTGGGTTCAAGGAATCTATAACAAGGGGATGATTCTTGGTCCCGATCTTTCTATGCATGATAATCCACTTACACTCGATCTCCTTTAGAAATTTCTTTCACGCCTTCACCAACTTCCTCGACGTCGCCTGCCATGTCCAATCCAATAATCGCTGGGTAAGGAGTATTTGGAGCGAAGAGATCGCGAGATTGTATGAACCAATCAACTGGGTTCAACCCAGATGCTATGATCTTGACGAGAACTTCGCCAGGACCAGGCTTTGGAATGGGCACAGTCTTCAGGACGAAAGGTGTCTTGGGTGACTCTAGAACAAGAGCTTTCTGTACGCGATTCTCGAGAGACATGTCGGTGTACAATGCGGATTAGCTCTGAGTGGGATGTGAATGTGATAGTCTAAGATGGATTGACTTCTTTATATTTATACGGAGAGATGTTTTATCAGGGACACATAAACGGAGGCTGGTCGGGCGCATTTTCTAGGAACAGATAAAACGGAAAGTGGTCGGACGTGTTTTTCAGGTACAGTTAAATTTGAACTCAGATTTTCAGGAACCCCGACTTTACGTCATGACCCAGGTGGAAAAATAAACGCTGAAAGTTCGAGTCACGTGAAAAAGACGCCCGTCTATTCCGGCCTATAGCACTTTCTCCATTTCCTTGCAACAAACTGCTACTGCTCCTTGCTTGCACGCTGATCTCATACAGTCCTTCCAGATCACACCTTAATACGCGCGATGAACCACCATGTTAGCGGAAGATCTAGGAAGTGCCTGGTTGTTTGTTGACTTATGCCAGCTACTAGTACCCATGATGAATTTGCCAAATCGATACCCTCAAACGATAGTTGAACCTCAAAACGAATTCGGATCAATGCTCTGCCGTTATCCTCTTATCGATATATCAATGAGTTGTCTTTTTAGAATCTTTTGAAAAACCACTGCACGTTTCACACGAACTACCATCATGGCTCTGTGGAAATCAACTGGAAATGGCACTTTAGAGGGTATATCTCATGTTGCAGACTTGGATGTGAGTACCTGTCCTTTCTTCTTCCCAATCACTCACAATCCTTTGCAAGGCCTCAAAATTAACTGTCACTTTATCCGAAACACTCAAACCCATTCCACCTCCCGATACATGGCAATTTGGGAATGTTCGTCCACTGTAGTAGATTACATTTGGTTACAATTTTGAAACAACGTATCATCCTTCCAGATCATGACCGACCATATGGTAGTGGCAGAATTCGACCCAGAAACTGGATGGTCTGATCCTGAGATCAAGCCTCGCGCTCCGCTGAGCTTAGATCCTGCGAGTAGCTGTGTTCAGTATGGAACAACCGTTTTCGAAGGAATGAAGGTACGTTATTTTCTCTCTCTCTTGTCGACGATTCAACTTCAATAACAGGCTACAAGGCTTACGTTGGACCCGATGGTAAACCGCGTCTATTTAGGCCTGACATGAACATGGCGCGATTGGCAAGATCTGCGGAGCGTATGGCTCTTCCTGTGAGCGGTGCCCTAATATCGACTTCTTATGCTTGAAAATAATGCCTTCAGCCTTTTAATACAGACCAAGTCCTGGCTTTAATCAAGCAACTCATCATTGTCGATCGCAGATGGATCCCTCTGTTAAGCGAACATAGCATGTATATCCGTCCAACGCTCATGGGCACTCGCATGGGTAAGCGTCACTTTCCGGGTTCACTTCCTAATATGATCTTATCAACGAACTATTCACATAGGTCTAAGCGTAGCCGCTTCTGACCACGCCACTCTATGCATATTCTTGTCACCTACAGGTCCATATTTCCGTTCCGGAGGTAAATCCATCTCCGTCCTCGCAGTATTCGACACTGTTCGTGCATGGCCCGGCGGTACTGGGGGGCACAAAGTTGCTTTGAACTATTCGCCAGGATTCTTGCCACTTCGTACAGCGCAGAAACAGGGATATGATCAGATCTTGTGGTTGTTGGGAGATGATATGAAGGTCACTGAAGCGGGCGCGATGAATATCTTTATTGTTGTTAAACGCGACGATGGAGGCAAGTGCTCAACCCGTTATGATCTAGGCAATCTACTGATCATAAATTAACATTTACAGATGTAGACCTCTTCACCCCACCACTCGACGGCACGATTCTTCCAGGTGTAACTCGTGATTCCATGTTGGCTCTTGCAGAAGCTCATACAGCCGGTGAAATCACTCTTCCTGGATTACAAAAAACATCTCGTATACATGCTTCAGAGCGAACCTTCACCATGGACGATCTATCACGCTGGTCTTCCGATGGCAAGCTTCTCGAAGCCTTTGGTGCTGGTACAGCTGTGATCATTACTTCAATTGGGAAGATCGGGTTCAAGGGTGAAGACATCATCCTTCCAGAACATAAAGGTGGGTTGGGACCCATAGCAAACGCGTTCAGAACTAGGATCTTAGATATCCAAGAGGGAAAAGAGGTTTGGAAGAATTGGGGTGTGGTTGTTGATGGTAAAACGGCGCCCACTAAAACAGAAGTTTAGATCTAGGTTTAGACAGTCCCATTTCTTTTAGAGTATTACTGAACAGAGCAAGAGTGGTCTACGTGACTGACTCTATAGAAGCAACACGATGTGCTTTGATGTTGAAGTTTCCTTTGTGTCTGCTACAGGATTCGGACCAAACTTTGTCTGGGCTAGAAGGGCGTGCGGCAAGTGCCAGAAGAACCGGCGCTTTGATGGCCGGTTCCCACAGGCGTTGGCTGCACCATCCAGACCATACTGTAACTGCGACATATCTTTCCTCTTGACTGGTCTACTATGTATATGTCTCGTACTATGGATAACACGAAAAAAGAGGGTTGTTAAATATGTACGTAAGAACGAGTTTTCATTTTATTAAGCCTCGAAATTAGTGAAAAATTGCTAGTAAGTACGCGCGGAAGTGTCAACCGATGCGCTTCAGCGAGAAGTCGTTTTTTTTATCAGTTCAATCTGAGACCGGAATATTTACTTTGGCTCATGAAAATAAGACTTCCTCGGCCTCGCAACCTCGATGTGGAAACGCGTCGCGCCCTGTCGCGCCTGACTTTGAAGTTTGGAGAAAACACGTGGACGTGTTGCCGAATGAGCGCCCGGCTCACAAATCTTTACTCGTTTCTTCTGCGCTCTGGAGCGTTATTCGGGATCTCATCATACATCCCTTCATTTCCAGGCTACGGGTGTTTTCAGAACTGGAAACTAGTTCTTACATTCCCTTTTTCTTCTTTCCTACTGCGATATGACTCAAGATCTTAACGCTCTCATAGATCAATCATACTTGACTGTACCCAGCTTCACCCTAGAATGCGGCGCGGAGCTACATGATGTACCTGTAGCTTACAAGGCCTGGGGTACGATGAACGAGGAGAGAGATAATGTTATGATTATCTGCCATGCTTTTACTGGAAGTGCTGATGTCCCGGATTGGTAAATGCATTTCCTTTCATGTAGTTTATTCATCATGCTTGCGTCATCCAATTCCAGTTTTATCCAGCTAACTATGGTAAATCCGCAGGTGGGGACCGTTAATGGGACCAGGCAAGGCTTTCGACCCTCGCAGATACTTGATTGTTTGTGGCAATGTTCTTGGCTCGCCGTACGGAAGCGCGTCTCCCATAACCATCAATCCCGATACAGGAAAGATTTACGGTCCAGACTTTCCTCCGACTTCCATACGAGATGACATTCGGTGCGTTACTCTAGAACCATATCGTACATATAGCTAAACTGATTGAGGCTACAGGTTGCACAAGCTCGTCCTAGATCATCTCGGTGTCTCCTCAGTCGCAGTTGTCATAGGAGGCTCCATGGGCGGCATGGCCGTCCTCGAATGGCCACTGTGTACCCCTCCAGGCTACGTCAAACATATAATCCCTATAGCTACTTCTGCACGACATTCAGCATGGTGTATTAGCTGGGGTGAAGCCCAACGTCAAAGCATCTACAGTGACCCGGGATACCAAGATGGGTACTACACCTCCCAACCTGCCTCTGGGCTCGCTGCAGCCCGGATGAGTGCGCTATTAACATATAGATCAAGAGATTCGTTCGAAAGTCGGTTTGGGAGAAAAGCCCAGATTCAGAAGGAAGCAAGAAAACCCTTGACGCCTCCTGGATCGCCGAAAATTCGAGCAGAGGATGATGCACGAGTAGCGCATAACGACGGCTATCGGAATTCACACACCAATTCTCAATCTACGACACCAGCACCGAAAACGACAACCCCGATATTCTCTGCTCAGTCGTATTTACGATATCAAGGAGACAAATTCACTGCTCGATTCGACGCAAATTGCTATATTCACATCACGCGCAAGCTCGATACCCATGATCTCGCCCGGGATCGATTTATCGAGGGTGAAGACCAAGACGACGATTCAGCTGCTCTAGCACGCGTCCTATCCATTCTCCCTCCCCGAGCATTGGTCATCAGCATCTCAACTGATGGCCTGTTTACACCCTCAGAACAAAAAGAGATCGCCGCGCATATCCCCGGTGCAGAGCTGGTGACAGTACAGAGTCCAGACGGACATGATGGGTTTTTACTGGAGTTTGAGCAGATTAATACGCATATCATGCGGTTCTTGATGAGGGAATTCCCGAGGTTCTATGAGAGGGAACTCAGGGGAGACGAGGCTGACGAGGCGGTTGAAGGGTTTGAGATTAAAAAGACGAGTCTGTTTGGAGAGGCTGAGGCAGATATCACCCATTGGTAGAAGGACCACGACGAGGTGTAGTTCATCTCACAGTTTACTTAATCTAGGCTTCTTATTTTATCCACTTATGATTATCCAACTGATCGCTCACTGTAACCGTATAGAATTTGTGTAGTGCTATACTGGGACATTGTTGTAGACCTTCTATTTCTTTGCAAAGGAGTACGAAATTCAGATATCAATTTTTTCTGGTTCTCGTTCGAGCCGACGTGCTTCACATATTCAATTGAAGTGCTGACCCTCTTAAACCTGACTCAGTCTTACAATTTGTACGCCGAAAACAATATCATTATTCCAAACTATGTAGTAATTCGACCAACGCATACTACCAGTGATGTATAGAGTGTTCGAAGCCCTAATTACACTCCGGGGACGCCTCTCACAACATGCGGGTAAGTCTCTGCAATCATCTACATCGAAACGTAATTTCAGCATGGTTTCTCAAGAAAAGCATAAGCCTGTGCAGTGTGAAACGTACCCCAAAGAGCGCGGGTGCACGAATTGAAAGCACTTGTGGGTCCTCTCCCAGACCGACGAAGCTAGCCAAGTATTGTAAACAGGTGAGACAGCGAGGCACAAAAAATGGTGGAACATACATTGTCGAAACACCAGCCTCGATAGCTGAAGATAAAGTCAACGCTGCAAACAGCGTTATCAGCCAGAATATAATTTATCGAGGCAGCGGTTACGCACAGCACATCAACCCGATGAGGAATGCGAACAGTATGACTGGAGCAGTGTACTGTCCACCTGAGTTGTACGATGGATCGGTGACTACGAAAATAACGATATTTTAGACGGGGAAAAAGAGGTCATCATAGGTGTTGTGTGGAAGACTTACTGCGCAGGTACAGATATGCAAACAACGAAGAGAGCATCCCGACAACATATGCACCCCATGTCAAGGCTATACAAATGCATGTTAGCGATTACTACAGCAAAAGAGGTTGTGAAGACCAAAAACTTACTCATTCCAACCAAAGAGTCATTAACGAGAGCATCAATACCCCGGTCTTTGAACAATCTCCATGTGTCTTTAGAAGCACCTATGTAGCTCTTGCCGTATAATGCTATTGTCAAAAAAGATACAATGAGCCCATGCAGAGTTATTTGCAGTGAGTGAGATACGAACCAATCTCAATGTAGGCATATCTTTCAAGGTGGTAATTGGTCAGTCGAATGTGCGGATAGCTTATCAGCATGGTAGAGCTCACCGATTGAAGTACTCGACTGCGCTTTCGATACATCCAACAAAACAAGCTGCACAGCACGCCAAGCAGGCCTCGACGGCTAAAAAGGAAGGTGAAAGATTGTCTCGAATACTTACTCGAATACTTACGATGTCCATCTTGATTGGCATTGTTCTGTGCAGCGCGTAGAATCATCTTGAGGAGCTCCAGTAGCGTGACAATGAGGGAACCAAAAGCAATAGAGCCAAGCGACAACGTCGATGCGCGCCCGAAAGCGGATAAAGTGGGATGGTTTGGCTATGTGAAAGAAATGGAAATCCGAGTTTTGAGTTTTGTCAATGTCCCGGGTCGAAGGATGCCAAAAAACGCACCATTTCTCCCATTTCCCGAGGTCCAAAGTAATACCAAGCACCATAAGGCCCACCTGCTAGTGTAGCGAGCGCGACATTGGCAACGACCTGAGAAGTCCAAAGAAAAGAAAAGGTGGCATAGAATATCAGACCAGCAACTTTGCCGCTCGAGCATGACGAAGTGCTACATGCTGGAATGTAGTTCAGTAAACAACATCAATGGGTGAGCGAGACCAACATACAAGAACTTCCGGGTGTCCATTTTCCATAACTAAATATGTATGAAAGCGAATTAGAAAGAATGATAGCTTTATCTGATATCGACCCACTTACATGGCAATACAAGTGAACACAAACCAACTGCAAATGCGAATATGGGTTCATGTAAAATTGAGTGCTCATCGGAAATGAGAAAAGATGATGAGACGTACACCGAGAGAGCAGCTTGCATTATCAGCGCTGTAAATGCCACAACGTAAACGCTAGTGTGATGTTTAGAGACATCCATTACGACTTGGAGAAGCAGTGACGCTAAAGGAATACGCGATCTATAGCCCCAGTATGAAAGGATGGAGAATAACGCGATAATGGTGAAGATGATTGCACCAGCTATGTAAGTTGATCAGTATGCAAACGATGAGGGGAATATCACGGATACGATACGGACAATAGTATTTCGTGATCCAATAATAAGCGCAAATTCCTCTTTGGGCAGGACGTTTATTGGTTAGAGTAATTGAAAGACGTATGAAAGACGTACATATTCAGAGCGATAGATAGCAGAAGAGTGATGTGCATGATGACCCGCGTGAAAGCCCGTGTGAGCATGAGATAGACAACAGACAGCAGAACTGCAGCTGCAGTGACTAGAAGTAACAGATACACGGTGCTCCTGCGTCGCGAAAGAAACATCACAAGGTCGCCTTCTGCAGATACCGAAGCCATTTCACGTACTTGTTGAGAGTAACAGCACTACCGGACGTAGCACCAGACTTTCCAAGTCCTCCTCCAAGCCCGCCATCTGACACCCAAGAATGGATAGCAACAGCAGATAGCGCGACGAATCCAAGAAACTTTACGGAACAAAAAAATGAGATCGTGCTCGGCTCAGCAAACAGTTAAATATGTTATGTTACTTACCTGCAATACGAAAAATACCAAGAAGAACGGATCATTGATCTGTTTCTTGGGCTTGAACCTTTCTCCTTCGTACGACTGCTTGTATTCGCCACCGCCGTTGTTCGTCTGCGGTTGACTAAACCCTGGTTGGACATAATTTGGCGTCGGGCCAGGATACGGCGGTACATTCTGTGTGCCCTGAGGATATTGTGGGTAGCCTTGGGGTGGAGGAGCAGCGCCAGCTGCCCATTGATCTCTATTCCATTCAGACATATTTGTTGTACTTTGCAGATGGTAGTAAAGGCGACAAAGACAAAGAAGCGTTATCCCAAGACCAGCTCGGGAGGTTGACTTTTACCTAAATGACGGATGTCTACAACGCCAAGGAAGTGCAATTGATCCTCGCCACCGATCATAAATGGAGGTCCACGTGGCAAAGCAAAGGATGCAAAAATTCAAAGGTAACTAGTGGGTAACTGTATCAAAATACAGGACGTGTGCAAACAGTGGGGAATAATAAAACTAAGAGCTACAGGTTTTGGAAAGTGCCTTCTGAAAAAACCAAGACTGCCCACTGAAAATTGAATGACCGACAAAGCTTTGACCCCAAAAGAAGAGGAGAAAGGCATGATTTCAAAAGAAAAGAGACTCGGCATATTATAACAACTCATGGTTACTGGTTGTTGTTGTTCTTGAACCGCACTACTACGACAGTCACATTATCCGTCGTGTGGTTATTCAATGCGTATCGTAGCAGATGATGACTGGCCGACTGGGCGTCGTCCATAGTTTTGATCTGGTTCACTGCCGCTTGATCACCAATAACATCCCAGAGCTAGAAGAACAAACGAATGATCAATGTAATGAAGAGAATATGTAATCATGGACGAAGGGAACATACACCATCGCAGGCCAATATCAGAAATTCATCCTCTTCAATCAGTTCGGTTTCCGTCGTATAAGGCGCCCCGACAACAAAGTCTTTCATGGAAGAGTCTCCCAAACTTCGGGTAACAGCTAAAACCCCATTTACTCGACCACCCATAACAAACCCACCGGCATCTGTGATACGCTTCGCTTCCTGTTTGTCTGACCCTTTATGGTCGTATGTCAATCTAACTGCTTTTCCTGCGCGACATAAGACACCGCGCGCGTCGCCAGCATTGGCACAATATAACACGCGCCGCGAACTCTCTGGCGGGATACGAACGGCTTTCTTCTCCTTGGATTCCTTGGGCGAGGAGGGAGTTGGGGACTGTGTTTTTCTTGCAGGAGAGATCGCTCCGGATATGGAACCGCCTCCCAAACTTCTGAGCGCTTTCTTGATAGGATCGCTTAGGGACTTCTTCTTGGGCTTGGTCACTTCATCTCCTGAAACGCTTTCGCCACTGCTCCCATGCGGGCTGGGTGGCTCGTCACTTTCTTGGACCTTGGTGGCTACCGGAGACTCCGGATACGGAGATTGAGATTGAGCGAGATCAAGGAAAGACTGATGACCATCAGCGTCCTCGATTCTCAGGAAAGCAGTCACAGCTGTACATCCCGAGTGGATTTTGCCGTCTGATTCTTCACACATTTGTGACAAACTTGCATCGACTTCGTGGAAAGTCCTATTGAGGAGATCCGGAACGGCCATTTCTGGAGCAGAGCGCAGGCTGTCAAGAAGATACTGCGAAGACCGAGGCGTCGTTAACATTGGCGGTGGAGCGAGAGTAAGCGTATTGACAGATTATGACGCACCTCATGAAAATGATTTCCGCACCACTCTGCAGCGTGTTTCCCTGCGTGACCGTCAAAGATAGCGAAGAAGCCTTGACCACGGATGTTGTCAAAGTCTGTCACGAATGAATGTGCGTCCTCCATCGTCCGTCGAGTACCCTTGTTCTCAGAGACCCCGACTTGGTACCAAATGTTCTTTGCTGCGTGGCGGTTTAGAATCTGAGCATTTGCGCCACCATATCAGTTCATCGTCCAAGGAACCAAGAAATAAAGTCACCAACTCCGTATGTGTCGAGGTCAGCCGTCGTGATAGACTTGGATCGTGCATTGGGCGATTCGCTAAAGCCAGTTCTGGGCATACTAGATGATCTTTACGGGTACTAAGCACAGAAGAAAATAACAAAATTAAAGAGGGAAAACCGACGGTGGTAAAGGCGATGAAGAGCGAGGAGGGGATACCGCTGGAACAGATTTCATTTGTCAAATTCATGCTGACACAGAGACACGGCGATCGGCACGTACAATAGTTTTCATCGAAGGTGTCATCTGAATTCACCAAGGAGTTGGAAGTGGCCATGATAATATTGCACAAGACACGAAATTTACTGAAGTCGGAGGAAGTACTATGGCGTATCCAAGTGAAGGTAATTTATATACAGCCAGGGTCCAAGCGCGCGTCATAACAGGTAACATCACGTAATTCTCAACTCTATCTATCTCAGTCTGGCCTTTTTTGGACCCGGCACGCGTCCCACAACCACAACCATTGTGTAGACTGCAGTTGTATAGAAGAACTATTGTTCAAAAAAGGGTGCAAATGGAGCGATGAGATGAGGGTGCACCCTCAAATTCTGCTTGAACTTCGTTTATTGTCCACTTATCGTTACATAGTACAGACAAATATTGTTTGAACCTACTTTATACAGGTTGTACAGTAAACATACCAGTACTGCTACAATAGTTCACACTGCCCCGTACGAATACAGTATTTTCAGAATATTAGGCGAACCCAAAAAAAGAAAGAAAAAAGTCAATGTCCGAAAATTATACATACAGTGACGAAGTTTGAGCCCAAAGGAAGTTGAAACCACCAAACTCAACCTTTCGAATGGTCAACAGAGTTGGTATTCGTGAATCGTATCACCATCACTGTCACGTTATCGCGACTTATCATATTGTCGTTCTTCAAAGCATATTCCACCAGCATCCGACTGGCTTTCTCGGCATCGTCGACGGTTCGAACCAGATCAACTGCATCCTGATCAGAAATGATGTCCCAAAGCTGCATTGACGAGGGATATCAGTAATCACGGTAGGACTAGAAGCAGATAGACACTGGACAGAAACGTACACCATCACAAGCGATTATACAAAATTCATCATCCTGTTTCAACTCCGTTCGTGAGAGATATGGCGTGCCGATAACAAGGTCCTTCAGCTTGAGCGACTCATACCGCATATGATCGCCTAGACTTCGAGATACTGCCAATGTGCCAAAAACACGGCCTCGAAGCACGATCCCGCCTGCACCTCGAATCCGAGCTTGTTCGTCCGAATCTGACGGCTTGTGATCATGCGTAAGGCGCGTAGCAGTCCCGTTCCGACACATGACACCTCTCGCGTCCCCTACATTGCCACAGTAGAACACACGATGGGCATCCTGCGGAGGAACTTTAACTTTCCCATGTTCCGGAAGGTCCGTATGAGGAAAATTTTGGGATCCATCTGAATCCTCGATTCGGAGAAACGCGACTACCGCAGTAGATCCGGAATCTGCAAGTTCGTCGGAACCTTCCGACATCTTTCCAAGGACTTCATCGGCTTCGAGGAAGGACTTCTTGAGAACGTCTAGCCCGTTGAGAGTAGGATTCTTGTGTATGCAGTTAAGAAAAATCTGCGCAGAGTCGATCAGGCGATCATGTACAGGACACCAGTTCATACTGACCTTGTGAAACTCTTGCCCGCACCATTCCGATACACATTTGTTTCCATGGCCATCGAAAACACCGAAGTATCCCTGCCCCCGTACTGAATCAAAATCCACTATGAAAGCATGCGTGTCTTCCATTGTCGGACGCATACCCTGTGCTTCGTGTACACCTATCTGATAGGAGTTATACTGAGTGGGAATGCGATTGAGGACCTGTGTTGATCAGACTAGTTAGCCGGGTAGCAAGCGATGATCCTACTGCAAGTGCAACGTACTCCAAAGCTGTCTGAACCACTCGTTCGAGTGATCGGCTCAGAGTATGCATTCTGAGCAGGGCTAAAGTTCAAGTTAGCTTCCAGGAGCAAAAGCCAGAGATAATGCTACTCTTTTTGACCGTTGGAGCGCATTTGCCTGAAAGATGAATGATATGAGCACAATGAGATCTCCAAGAAAACCTTCGATGCCTACAATCGGGACATGGCAGGTGACGGATCGATGAATGCGAAAGAATATCTATATGGGAGTCCCGTTAAATATGACACGCATTATGAAGTGAACAATAGAAGGATTGCAGGATACATACACGTTAGTATCAGGTGCTTTTTGCAAGTGCAGATGGTGGTTTATTGGGAAAATAGCAAAACACCAAAATCAGTAAACTTGACACATCCTAAGAGGACGTACTTCGAGCACGAGCTTCGAAGGCTGTGGTGGTCTGAGAGAGAGAAAAATGAATGGCATGCAAACAGATCGCACTGTACAGCCCGCCAGTTACCTAATCAGGCATAGATATCGTTGATACTCATTTCCATTTTCAAGCCTTGTCCAGTTATTTGATCCACCTTTCGATTGATATTCGAAACTAGTGGATGTCTACACAATCAGCCGCCCCAAAGCCTTCTCTTCAGGGGGTCAGAATCAAAGCCAGAAAAGGCGCTGTAAAGGCTCACGCAAAGCACGAACCGACTGGTAATAATTTCTACTTCGATATACATACATCCGCTCACAGTTATTCCACAGTCTTCAGAGATCAACTCTACAAACATCTCGAAACCGTCCCAGACGGGGATTTTGAATCTTTCACTACCAAACTTATCCAAGCAGGCTCTACCCTCGAATTTCTAAAGTATGCGGATCCGTTGTTCGAAATCATTCTCGTTGGGGGTCTCCTTCAACCTGGAGGCAGTTACATCGATGACGGTGCTCCCGTCTCCCCGTTCGCCATCTTCAACGCCAAGGATCCTGCCAACGTAGAAGAGATTAAAAAGTATATTGAAGTCTTGAACAAACTCATCAGGAGGTACGTTGTACTGGCTTCAGTTTTCGATCATGCGCTGATTTTATTTCTTGGCTCATGCTAGATATAAATATCTTCAAAAACCTCTTGAAACCACTGCCCTTCCAGGAATCCTCCAGTATATTCATCGCTGGGACCCCGCTCAAAAGGACAAGTTAGCCATGGCGACCGGTCTTCTGATGGCTCAAGGTCTAGCTAACGCATCCGTCCTTCAGAGTTTGACGAAGGAGCACCTCATCAAAAACGGTGCGTTCCTATTTTGTTTTCAACCGTCCAAATTTAAACCGGCTCGTAGATGTATCAATCAACGTGCTTACCCTTATCTTCCGAGCGTACCTCGTCGATCAATCAATGGACCATCTCTCTGGCTCCCTCAAGAAAGGCGGAATTCGCGATTTGTTGGCCTTCTTCCCTGCCAACAAGCAGGATCCTAAACAATTAGAGGAACATTTTAGGAAGGCTGATTTGCCTCAAATTGCAGAATGGTACGCCAAGAAGCAATATGCCATGATCAAAGATGCTATCGTGAAGGAAGTTCAAAGCCTCGTGGAACACGATGAATCTCCCGAGCAGGTCTGTTTTTATCTCCTGAAGCCAAGTTTCTTACTCATTGCATTTCTTTAGATTGTGGCTGCTGTCAAGGCACAACAGGGGAGTACTCCCATCCCAGATCCCGAGCTTATCGCTTGTCTGTGGCAAGGCTTGATCTCTTCAGTTGACTGGAGTGCTCGTCCAGATCAGATTGAGGGTTTGGCCCTGCGTGAAGTCGGAGTACGTCTCTGAATAGCAACCGTTCTATCTCTTTGATGTTAATAACTTCTCTAGAAATTCGCTCCCATCCTAGAACCTTTCTGTTCCGGTCCTAAAACCGAAGTTGCTCTCATCAATGTAGTTCAAGTGTATTGTTACGAAGATACTCGCATTATCAAAACATTCCCGCAAATTCTCAAAGTACGCCTGCGATATATATTCCAATGGCTATTTCTGACAGTCAACTCAGGTTCTGTATAATAAGGACTGTATTTCTGATCAAGCTATTATCTATTGGTACCAGAAAGGCTCTAAGCCTCAAGGGCGCCAGCATTTTCTTAAGAGCACTGAAGCATTAGTGAAAGTGGGTATTCCTATTAACTTCATTCTGGATTTTTACTCAGATGTTGCCACAGTTCTTGCAGGAGCAAGAATCCGAATCCGAAGAAGAGTAAATCTTGTAAACCAGTAATGTCATTCTGGGTATATTCTTCAATAAATCCCTACTACAGCGCTTTGTTACCCTTTTTACCGGAAATACATGTGTACATGGGTTTTTCTTCGAAAACAGTACATTGCTAGTACGAGGGAATCTCGAAAGCACCTGGCAATACAAAACTACAAACATTCAAGACAAGCAGTCAAAGGAAATACAGAATAGGAAAAAAGATAGTAGGCGGCGAAGACCAATTGCTTACCATGCCTCAGGCATGGGAGCGAAGTCTCCAGCCCATCCGTTCCCAGCCATTTGCAAAAAGATACCATCCGAACCGTTAACGGGAAGACCAAGGTCGTTCAAGCTCTGGGGTAAAAATGAGTGTCATGTGTATAAAGGACTAGCGACGTTACTTACTTGTTCTTGCAGCCAAAGAGGTATAGCGGCAGGAATGACAATATTACGATCTCCAGGAGCAAATCCTAGCTCCTCCATGGTGAAAGGAGGAGGAAGGTTTGGATCCACATATGAGGTGGGGGTGACTACCATGTCGGCAAATCCTGGCGGAGGAGGTCCCCCGTGAGGAACGGGAGTTTGAATTCCGCTTCCAAGACCAACCTTTCGACGAAGGTTCGCAAGCATTATGCGAAGTGTGAGCGCATACCTTGGGAATGCAAAACATCATGTTAGAATAGCTTGAAATCTAGATATTCTAACAGAAGCCAGTGACTCACCGTTCCGCGGCAACATCCGACAAAAGTTGGGCAAGCTGCTCAACTTGGACAGTGATCATAGCTAGATCCAATTCCGCCGGGAACAAACTGGCCATTTTCAACAGGAAGAGACCAGAGAATGCTGCAGTCACAAGGCTATCGTGAACTGCATATCTGAGGGCAGCACTAGATACGGGACAATGTTTGTCAGATACACGCCATCCATTTCGGACATAGCGTACCGGTACTCTGGAGAGGATAGGAATATGTCCAAGCAGCTGGATGCAGCATCCTTGGCTTGGAATGCAAGTTCGCGTTGTTCAAAAGGCATTTTATCCCAGGATACGCCCCTGAGCGCCACACAGACTAGCCAAAGCTTGGCGTAGTGCAATTCACCAGCAAGAATCTTTCGAAGCAAAGAATTTTCGTCCATTGTTTGTCCTGTTGATGCTAACATTGTGAATTTTAATTTGACTGAAGATTAGATCTACTAACGATGAAGCTCATCGCACTCGTTGTACCATTTCTCAAGTGCAATTGTAGCACGACGGATGAAAGCTAGAGTGTTGTGGTTTACTTGGCCATTCATTTGAGCCAGGGTTTCGTAAATTTGCGCTGTGTAAAGGTATCAAAAGCTCAGCACATGGAACTCCGGCTTTCATACGTACTCTTCTGAGCAATCAACTCGACTTGGGAAATGAGTCTTACGTCCGTGGGTGAAGCCATAGAATGACCAAGAAGCAACCGGCAGTGTCGAATAGAATTTTCGTCGCGCAGCACAATCGGCCGGCCAGTACCAAGGCTCATCCTTCCATCGATTGAATCAGTCAAAGGCCATTCATGGGATATCAGAGTAAAGACGCACTGGTGATCAAACCAGTAAAGGCATAGCCAGATACGGGCAGATATGACTGCACAGCATGATGTTTAGATTTAGAAAGATCTTGCATGAAAGCACATTGTACCTAGATCTCGTTCTTCTTCTTGTGTTCTTTGTTTTCCCGTATCGTCAGCAAGTTTTTCTAACGCGCGATGGAGGCCTAAGTCAAGTGCCATTCGCATAGCATGGCCAGAAGGTAGCCAGCCATTGGTACTCCAAGCTGCCAACAGCAACATTCCTGAGGTTCATCATGAGACATGGATACATTTAACTCGAGCATGAGCGGCGGACCTTGGACCGCCTCTTTCCGGACCACAGGCCCAAAGAGAGATGAACGAGCTATGCCCTGCGCTTCTTCCAAGCACTTGTAGAACGTCGGACTGAGGGGACCGTTACCGCTCCGGATTTTACCGGCAACAGCAAGAATTGCGTCAAAAGTCCAGGGCGTACGTTCCATTAAGCTTTCATATGTATCATACAATGGGTCGAAAACCGGTATGAAGAGATGGCATCCTGCAAAAAAACTGTACACCGAGGGTGAGATAAATTCTTGTATGGTAACAACACCTCAGGCATTGAGTGATTATAAATTACATGTTGTATAATTCTCTAGCCTCTGAATCCGCAACGAGACCCTTGAAGGATACATGAGCGTGTCTTTCGAACGTAGACGATGCTGAAAAAAGTACCTTCTCTACCACATGAGGAAAGGCGTTGCGGGGAATTGGTTCAGCGCGCTTGCGTTTCTTGACTCTAGATTGAAAGGTTGATAAGATCTTCACTTTCAAACATGACGGCTACAAACCTGGGTGCGGAGGTAGAAGGGACAGCAGCGGCTTCGGCAGCAGCATTCGCTAACCCCTGAAGGGCTTCGATAGGTGCATTCAGAGTGGCACGTGGAAGGGTGTCTTCAGATTCATCCTCAGAAGAGGCTGCAGTGCTGGGTATGATTCCGTAGGTGGCATATTTATGAGGCTAGAGATGACGTGATGAGCGTGAGTGTTGAATTGCTTCAGTAACTAAAAGAACACACGGGTGGTGCAAAGCCGGGAAGGGGGGGAAACTTGTCGCCTCGCTCCTCCTCGAAAGACCTGTTTCCCAGAGCCTGCGAGGGTGGAGGAGGAGGAGGAAACATGGCACTTGAATGTGCTTGACCTTGCACAACTGAAAGAATCCTGTCCAAAGAAGATTGCATGCCAATCATATGGCTTTGCATTACCTTGAAATAATTCTGGAGATGTTAGGAGCAAAAACGAATAAAGCACGTACCAAATATTGGCCTTCCAGGCGAGAGAGACGTCTAGAGAAATGGTGATGAAGGTGTCGATTAACACGAGTCATGCTGGAAGTGTGGTCAAGCTCACTCGGCATTAACTCCAGCCGCTGCGGGGGGTGCGTTCTTCTTTTCGGGCTTTTCGAATATGCAAGGGGTCCCGCTCAATTGGCATCGTCGACAAGGCGCCTTGGAGGAGAGAAAAAGCCGGGCCGACCGGGGCAACGGACCAGTGAGCAAAGGCGGGACGGTGAAGGATTTTCAGACTCACATCCCCTTCACAACGATTCTTTCCTTTCCTACAGGCAGTGCAGGCCCGGGCACCTCTCTTTGGAATATGTGAAGATGGTGTAGCCGCCGGGATCGATGCTGGAGAACCGTTTGTATCAGCGCCATTCGTTCGCCGTCGTTTTGTAGCAGACTCAGAACCATTTGAGACTGAAGCAGTAGGACTCATCGACATCTTGAACGTTGCAGACGGGTTAAAGGAAAAAGAGCTGTCACTGCTGATGCGAGTGAAATATAATGGCTGAGACAAAACCGTTGTCGTTCAAACTTCGCTTTCTCAGCGCAGCCACGTGGCACCGTCGCCAGCTGATGCCTGTTGATGCCAACACCGCCAACTTGGACTTGAACCCTGGACTACTTTACTGATGGAAAATACCTCTCAATCTGGGAAATTGTGCTTGAATCCACTCGAAATACACATCCTGAATTCTTGGATTATTTCGGTTTTTTTTTCATGAAGTGAGAAGTTGCTTTCTCATGGCAATGAAACTAACACAGTGTCTCTTTCTTCATTCCGAGTCTGTTGGCTAAAATCTCAATTATCTTCATTCAGAAGTATTTACTCGCCGCAGTCACTGGTCAGAACTGGTCAGAAGGATAGATTATTGAATCGTAATTTCGGGCACAGAGTGGCAAGTATAGAGCTTGCGGAACTCTGTTCTCTGATGTATATACTTGAATGATATTATCAGATAGCGTGTACGCATTTCTCCCTGTTCTGTACTTTGGGTCCACAAGGACGGAAGCCGTAGATTTCATAGACCTGCGATCCATTAGACAACCAGAACAAACCTCAACTCGTTTTGGTGTGCCATGTGGCCCTTCAGCGCGCAGTGACAATTCACACCGGAAAGAGAAAAAATTCCGCTCGACGGAATCGTAACAATTCAGCGTAACTGATATATCATGTGACCGCGGATAAACTATATCGGGTATATCGCCGGTCACATGATATATCAGTTGCACTGAATTTTGGTAATTCCGTCGAGCGGAATTTTTTCTCCTTCTGGTGTGATTCTCTGTCGATGGCTCTTAGGTTCTTGCAGGTTCTTGCCTCTAAAGACGATCGTGTGCCCATCTGACCTTTTTACTGTTTTCCAAATTATAAAGTCGATTTAATCATACTGATTGAATGATATCTTCGATTCAGTACTCTCCCGTTCTTATCGCTAATCCATACTCCCAGCCTGATACAGACTGAGACTACTTCCCCAGCGACAACCGTGTCTGATTCCACATGAACTGGAATTCTGGAAGTTCTGGCAACATGTGGATGTTTATATGTACAAGCAGCTGGATAGATGTATGTCACTATCGATGTAAGTATTCAGTGGGCATGGGTGGGCATCTCACATCTGCATTGGCTTATGTATGAGTGGAGAACGCGTCACCTTGGAATTGTTCTGTAACTTGAGCGGATTAATTCTAATCTAATTAATCCATAGGCCGACTCTCTTGTTAACAGAAAACCCAGTCCGTGGTACCCCTACGGGCCTCCTTCGAGCGCTCTTCGATGATCTACGCTGTACCCATCGTCGTAATCGAACTCAGAACTTATACAACAGAAAAACACGTTCAAGGCCGAGACGCCAACCGACTAATAAATATCCTCGTATTCTTCGTCGATCTCCAAATACTTCCGAATATCCTCTATTGAGGCCATGCTATGATGAAGGAAGTGTGGCAAGAGCGCGCTGTAGTTTTCTGCACCAAAAAATTCATGCGTCAAAGAAATCAGGAAGGGAACGTCCAAATTACCTGTCCATCGCATAGCCGCCTCCTTACCCAGAGTGATTGCTCTTCTAGTCTCCTCGAGCTTTACAGGATCGCACGCGCCATATGCGGTCAGTTCCTCGTCAAGTTTTGCCAATTCTTTCTTCATATACTGAAGTTTCGCGATAGCTGCTGTTCGGGATTCCTGCAGGAATTTTAGAGTTCGACTTGTTTACACGGACACAACAAGAAATCGACACCGATTCAATCCGAGTGGACTTCTCCCTCTCAATGGACTGTTGTATTTCTAGCAATTGCGTGTGTTGGGATATCTTCATTTCCTTGGCGTTGTCCACTCGACCTTGGATCTGTGGAGCGCATATATGAACCATTTCTACTAAAAAAACCTTTACGATGATGGCCATACCACGGCTCCTTGGTGAGATGGAAAGCTCCAGAAGACTGGAGTAGTACATGAGAAGGTCTGATTTAAGATTACAAGTTCGCCGATCGATAATTCTGAAGCGACTTGCAATTGGATGCACCGATCTTGTCTCCTTGTACTAGCCCGTCATCCACTAGAGACTGAAGAACTTCTTTGACAGACTGGGAGACTAAAACACGAATTTGACTGATTTGACTAGGGAATATCAACGCGCGCCACGTACCGATTCCCTTCAATTTCGGTCCAAGCTTTTCTAACTCTTTCAACTACCCCATGTCAGGTGGCGGGATGGCAACTGAAGGCGCAAGGTGAGCTACCTGATAAAAATCTTTCTGCAATAAAGTTTAGATGAAGGTTATTGCTCGAATTCGAATCAACGCAGCATACAGTCTCATGGAATATTTCGAGTAGTTTGACGCGTTTTTCGTCCGCTGAGAGACCTCTCGGTGCCTAAGAATGTGAAAGCATATGCGTTCAACAAAATACAGTACACGACAACACACCATGATGAGTTTCAAAGATCAAAGAAGACGAACTTTAAGGTTTCATAACCCCTAAGAAAGAACGCGTCCTAGTTCGGGCCAGCAGCAAGTTCGCGAATCATAATATTAACTTTTTTCGTCATATTCTACGAATAGTACAAGAAAGAGTACAGATACAACTCAAGCACCTAGCTTTGAAATGGGAGGGGTATGTCCATAGAAGAAGTAATTATTAAGAACGTCCAAGAGCGGTCAGCAGGATGTATGAAAGCAACAGAACGACAACAATGCAATGTATATGTATATCCAGTCAAAATATGAAAGCACAATTTGAGCAAGGTGCACGAGTATGGAAAGCAAGACATGCGAGTCGTAGAAAGGACAACATCGAAGATCAACTTGGAGATAGATAGGTAGGTGGTGTCTAGTCATTCAAGCATTGTACACGCTGGGTGGGCTAATCCAAGTCCGTGTTAGAGAGGGGAAGGACGATCAGGTATGGTCGTTGCAAGCGTGTTCTAGCATTGGCCCAGGAAACTATTCTTTGGGAAAGGCTGACCGTAGTCGCCGCGCCAAGTTGTCAGATTGGGATTTGAATATGCTTCGAGATGCCTTCGGGAGTTTGTCAGGACACAAAGAAAGGAATATAGCAAAACCAAAACCCACTTGTTGATATATGCTTCGGTCGGGAAATCAGGAGGATCACATCCAATGTTGATAGCATCCGAAGGCTGATATACGCGGATATAGTCAATGGTTAAATGAACAGGAAATTGAAGGTGGTTTAGATCTACAGGTCCAAAGTTTGTAGACATGCCTGACAGAGGATAAGTATTGAAGGAAACAACGAAGGATTAAGAAAAAAGGAGGTGAAGACATGAAGAAGTGTGTGGCAATGACCCGCACCTAAATTTGCTAATAGATACTGCCCAAGTCGTCAAAAAATTAGCACGAAACAGAAATTATTCAACGCACCATCGGCTCCTGCGGAACTGGTCGAGCAGAGATCTCAACAGAAGAGTCCGCGCCAAGCCCAGCAACATTTAATCCCCAGGATATTTTTCCACTCGAAATCCATGTGATGTACTGCGGAGGGAAGAATGGGCGGTACAGCGCGGAAGCAGAGTAAATTGATACTTACCGCGTCATCGAATCCTGATATTCAATGAGTTCCAGTACGAGATGAAGCGTTAGGAGCGGGACTATGAGAACTTTTCGTTGTAACTCGCCTGGCTTATACTGAGTATATCGGAAATATTGATCAGCGCGGAGGTATTAGCGCAAAATACGACACAACCGACCTCGAAACCGTAAGTTTGGAAGCATCCTCCGTCGTACTCGTAGCAAGAGGCATTAGTAGCAGTCACAACTGAGGTAGCTTGTTGCTCGACATTGCCCATGAAGCCATTGAGTTGTGAAATTGAGGGGTCCGCAAGAATCATATTATCCGAATCATTATTCCATATGTATGCCCGATTGAAGGGCTAGACGACCGACCAGTCAATTGCATTCGCCTTCGAACATTCTGGGAAGCGATACTTACTGCCCATTGAGCACTTTGCGAGACTTCAGCTACGAACGTGTTTTGGTCAATCTAACGCAAGGTTTTAATAATCTCAATCGAAGACGAGGACTTGCGTCAACACGCACCTGAGCCTCGAGAACATCTATTTCAGGAGCCGATCTGCCCACGAAGGTTCCATCGTCATGTTTAGGTCCTGGATGGTCTTCTCCAGCGCACGTACACCTCGAAAGTTTCTGTCCTGGGAGGTAGCTCAAGACACCGCCTTTTCCGGTATCCCCATTGACTGTGGCAGCTTCAGGCTGTCCGTTTATTGTTTGATTTTGTACAGTGCCGACATCGCAAGTATCTTGATAGAAGCATGAGAACCTGGTCACATAAAGCCATTAGGAGCAAAAAATTACCGTAAGTGTATGGCCAGGTGCCTTCTAATGTCGCACCATATCCTGCTCGCCCTAAATTCCCTGTAGGCATTGTAAGTTGAAAAACGAAAAGGATCAACAATGGAGATCAACGACCCATGGTCCTATATGCATCATAAGTGAAGATAAGGCATCGAACAAGTGATTTGCGAACCAGACTGCAGGCCAGAGACCCAACACGTTATTTGCTCCCGGAATCACCAGTGACGTCTCTACGTAACCACCAGTAAAACAGAACTTGTTCCTGTATATCGGGTCAATACTGCGGGAAAAAAGAGGAAAAGGAATGCGCACCAAGTAGCAACCAGGCCTATAGGGGCAGCATCAGTCTTCCGACAAGTGGAATGTTATGATAAACCTACCGCCTTGAAAATTCAGATCGTGTGTGTTCTGTTCAGAGAGGGTGATAATCAGAGACCCATTGGCAGTAGTTACTGCCTGGGGAGAGTACCACTCCAAGTTATTGGTTTCCTAAACATCACGTCAGGAAATGGTTTTGGACATAAAAGTTCGACCCACCCAATAATGAAGATCGGCTGCTTCCCAGTAAGGATCATCTCCAGGGTAAAACGACCTTCCTTCTCAAACTCATTTAGAAGCGAATGGCGGCGTTGAGACATTGAATGCTCTAACCTGGTGTATTAAACTCGTCGGAAAATACAAGTTGCATGGTTTTGGAAGGATCCTTCCATGACGGTAGAGTTTGCACCTCCTGTGGAGTTTCAAGATCTATCAAGCCCCAATTTCCCGGCATCGTGGGTACCTAGATTGGTTTTAGGTGAGGAACCATATATGGAGATAGAGAGCTGGTCAGTATACCTGGCCGCTAGCATTCAAACCGCCAATGTTGAATGCACCTTGTGTAGAAAGCGAGGGTGACAAAAGCGAATGGGCTACCGGATAACCAATACTAGAAACAACGAACTGAGATTTCAAAAAATCAAGCAGAGTAAAGGACTTACAATAATGCCATAATACCTGAACACAGGAAGAGCAGAAAACCCAGATTCAGAACACCCCGTTTTGACCACGCATTTCCATCGTGCTCTATATCCCTGGTCTTCTTATCCGGAGCGTGCAACTCATCGTCCGCTTCAACCACGTTTGCAGACAGCTCCGACCCCCATAGCTGTGGGTCTACCGCAAGGGCAAGCTGAAGAAATTTTCGGAATAAGGGCCAGTAGGAGCTGATCAGAGGAAAATTGAAGACCTTCTCGTATATTGAGGGGAATTCACCACGAGATCGCCTATTGACGCTGTCAGGATATGGGGAATCTGAATTGGACTGGTGGAGGTCAATAAACAGTGCATCTTGAGGAATAAATTTGGCGTACAGCGAAAGACCAAGCAGACTGTGAACGAACGAGAGGCATTAGAGGGTAAAGGAGAGAAAAGAAAGAAGAAAGAAGGAACGTATAGTGGGTGGGAAAAGGAATCACAAACCGTAAAGTACGTCAATAATCACTATTCACTGGAATCAAAATCACGAAGCTTGCAGAATCAGGTACGGCCAAATCCGTATGGGTTGATGTAAATTGATATCGAGTGATTTTGAGATGCCTTTTTGAAGATAGAAAGCCGTAAACTACCCATTTTGACTAGAGAGTGAACTTTGGACGGTGTCCAGGACTTTTAGACCGAAACTTGAAGCCAGAAGAACGCGATCGGTACGTGTTGCGAAGGTGAAAATCTTATCCCCATTAGAATTTTTTTTTGATTAGCCAGTCCGCGGTCCGCCGGCTGTCGGCGGTGAATAGGTACACGGGCCGTACTGAGCACGCGTTTTACAAGATTTTACCAGATTTTACCAGAGCTCTGGCAGAGTATCCAACTCTTATTTTGATTTACAGTCGACCCTTTCAAGTAGAAAATTCAATCGATATTCGCTGGCACAGTCGCACATTATGAGATAGTGAATAGCGACCCTCTTCACCGCCTCGTCCTGCCTCGTCCCAATCAGTCTATTGCGCTCTTTTCCACCGTCGGAGAGGAGAGACTTCAAGGTTTTATAACACTTACTGATTATGAATCGAAGAAACATAAGTGGCCATAAGTGGCCGAAGACCGGGCCAGTGCAACCAAGCGCAATCCCCTCGCTTGTATTGTACCATTTTCCCCGCCTGATTCCCGCCAGTTCCCGTCCCCTAAAAATCTGAACACTGTTGCAGTCGCCAGCTTCAGACAGGACCGAAAACTTAGTATAATGATGTAGAATCCACATGCTGGGTGTCAAGTTATCAAACTTCCCCGAATGTGATTTTCTGTTTAGCGATCTCTTCAATCCGATTTCTCCATATCGGCATTATTGATGAGTCTGGATTCTTATAGAAAGTCGATGTAGTGTAAGAGATGCGGAGCAAAGCAGCATTTGTCCAGTCAACGCATTGCCAGCCTGTGTATATAAGTACTATACATTGTTATACATTGTGTTCAAAACGTTGATATGCAGCCTCTCATTGAGAGTTCAGAGTCCCGTGCAGAAGCCAGTTGAACAAAGAAACGGCCTAGATGCTGCAGAACTGCAAGTTGAAGTAAATGGGCGGTCAAAGCAAGAAATATGTATCCTGATTTGGTAATTGCTCCTTTGTATCCTAGCACCAAACCAGCACTATGTACCAATACCACTGATATAAGTTGAAGTTGAACATTATATAGCAAACAGTACAACCAAGGTATTTAAAGTACATACAACATCAAAAACCAGTCATACAAGTTACAACCCGAACAAGTTCAGCCGGCAATACAACATTACTTCAATAAGATAAGATAATCATAATAACTTTGTTATAACGCCTAGGCCCTAAAAGTGGTGAGAATAAAGTTGAGGAGTGTCAGGAGCTGTCACGGCGGACGTACTTTGGTTTTCCCTTCTCGAAACAAAAGTTTCATACCTTCCTTGACGAATTCGGGATGAGAGATAAACTCAAAGGATACCGTCGCACGGTCTCCGGTACGCAGGACTCCCTGAGGATGGTCCATATCTATTATTCGCACTGTTTGTCGTATAGCCTGTTTGCAAACACACTGATTAGTTGATACCCTTCTCACATAATGTAAGAATTCAAACTCGCCCCACAATGTAACATCGCCTGGTAGGTTTATACCCATTTCTTAGTCTATGAAAGATCAAAAGCCAAAATCGGCACGAACCTGGTAATTCTTCTGCAGCGTAGTGTTGTGGCTGCCCAAAATGATCAAACATGTCTATTTCATAAACGAATTGACTTCAATACTCACTAAAGGATCAAAACTTGACCTTGAAATTGTCTCGTTGCTGAGGGGGAGAATTTGCGTTCAGCCATCTGAAAGCATGACTCACACCCAAGCGTACCTTTCGGGAGTATTTCCGACTTCGAGACCATGACCATTCCTTTTCGAACTGTATTTCGTCTTATTCGCTTCAAGGCGCAGCTAACACATTGACCCGCTTCGGCTGTAGTCACTGGCGCTCTAACAAGAACACTGACAGTAAGTGGGTGAAGTTCAACTTTGAGGAAAAACGGCTAACCTTTTCCGCTGCATGCTCTTTACAACTGTGCTTTGGAAATTCCCATTTGAATCGGGACCTAGCATGACTGGATCACCGGTTTTTATGCTGCCACCGTTCACAATGCCATTTACGACAGTGCCCACATATGGAACGGACCACACTTCAGTGACAGAAAACTAGGAGCATTGTGAGTACATATAGAATAGATCGGCAACAAGGGAAATGTAAACCTCAAGGGGCTGATCGACAGCAAACTTGTCGGTGTCACCTTCACTTGAAGGAAGAAGATTGAGGAATGTACGAAGCTGTGGCATTGTTAAGTGTTGTGATTATATTATTAAAATGCAAGGCGTACATATCCAAGACCTTCACCGGTGACATTCGAAATTTGGAAGATAGGACATAACCTAGTGAGATCTGAGCATCTAAGCATGGATATAAACCGAAGACAGCATACTTTTCCTTTCCAAAGCCAGTTGCTATTTCCACCGCTACTTCGCTTGATTTTACAAACACAGGAACTTTGCTGAAGGATCAGGTTTAGATGATAATATGAACTTGAGTGATTACACAAGAAGCACCCACCGACACCCAGGACTACGCAATATTTTCACAACTTGTTTGATAGTTTCTGCTTGAACATTGGCTGGGGTCATATCAATCTAAAGTAACGTGAACAAGGTATCGCGGTATTCGAAGGGGGTAAAGACCTTGGTAATGCACACCACAACCGGCACACTCAAGGCAAGAGCGATAGAAAGATGTTCTTTTGACATTCCAATAAGCCCGGCATTTGCTCCGACAATCAGTATGACACAAGAGGGAGCACCAGAGGTTAGACCGTAGAGTGTTGTCTTGAGATATCGTTCGTGTCCAGCAAGATCTGTTGCGTGATGAATACATACCTATCATGGAAAGATGGCCAAGGGATAGCAGAAATTTCACCTATAAAGGATACAATCTTTGAAGCCTGAACGGAAATCTCCTCCCACCCAAGCTTTTCGCGTCGAACTACTTCTGTATCATTCGAAATAGTCGTTTCAGGTAGGATTGGAGAACCTGAAGGAGCAAATCCAAGGATCTACAAAATCTAGTCTCAATTGAAAAGGTGATGTGTGGTCAATCACTTACCTCCATTCCAACACTAGACGTCCGCCCAGTCTCAATCTCGTGTTTATGGCGGAACAAACTCACTCGTGCTCTGCCTCGTCCGTCATCCAGAGCACCACGCGTCAATACTCCCAAAGTCGTCGATTTCCCGCTGTCCACATTTCCAACAACAGCACAACGAACTTCCGGTGTTAAAGAGACACTTGGAGGAGGTAACCGCAGGAGTAGTGATTTACGTGGGTGCTTTCCGTGAGCCTCGAATAGAAGTGAGGTCTATTCGCGGACATTCAACAGCAGTCGATACTAATCATGTTTCATAGCAGTTACCTTCCCGCCAACTTCCTCTACCGTGTTGGTGATTTCCTGAAGCAAGAAGTTTGACATGTCCTCTGTTCGTTCAATGCCGCTCCAGTCTTCCGCGACATCATTATCTAGGTCCCCTGCAAAGAGTTTTGCTTTAGAGGGTTGGGCGCCAATACGGAGCACATATTCGCCGTGATTCTGCGTTAACAATGCTGCAAGTATGTCGCGGGCGCTGTCATGATTAGCTGATACTTTGCTTGATAAGAGTTCCTATGATTATAGTTGGCATAATGTTGATACTATATATCATAGGATACTGATAACGCACCAGTATCTTCTCTTCTGCTTCTGCTGAATCTCGAAGCTCCTCCGTTCCCGCTTTAGCAAGTTCTATGACAGCCCCTTCCTTGGCCTTGCCTTTGACTTGAGAATACTTCTGCTCTTTCTGAAGTTGCTCCGCCCCATTAACTTTCTGTTTCGCAAATTCGCGATTGTGGATTTGTTCGATTTCGCTCTGGAAATTCCGTAGTGTTGTCGCCATTGCGGTATTGCAGAATGTCTCTCGATTCTATATTTAATGCGCAGACTCGAGTCACGAAACGACAACGTCAATGGGAGTTGAAAATGGTCAAAATGAGTCGACCTCCCGAACAGCTGCCGTGGCTTCTTAGCACTTAGTTTTAGTTACAGAGTTAATGCGCCACGTGCGCGCAAAGGCCAAGTTCCAAGGCTCTAAGTTCTGTCTGAACTCCTAAGGCCTTATAAGCCTGTTATAAGCTTCAACTGTATTCGACACAAGTGATTATGAAGTGACAAGAAAGAAATCGAACTTTACAAGCTTGCACCCCAGCGGCCGCATGCGACATTTCCGTCTGCTTACAGGTATCTAACGCATCTAACGCTCCAAAAAAATCGAAATTTGTTATCATCATGGTTTCCGGAATCCGACTCATACATTTCGATAGATACTCTTGCTATCGATAGTTGGGTTCATCAACTGCAATTACAAGTCATCGTATTTGATCTGGCGCTGTACGAGCCTTTTATTTGACCATCGCCATTGTTCCCAAAAGAGAGTATTGTAGTACACACGTGGGCGTGGCGAATTTCATCCCTTGTTTTTTTACAACTAGGTGTTATATAAGGTCTACAGTGAGTTTGTCTGGTTAGTGCGCCTTATGGATAACTTGACTTATCGTCTGAGAAGGTTACAGGTCAGGATGGCCTCTCCCTTTGCAGGACCTTCTTCTCCCCGCAAATTGACTGGATCAACTCCTGGCATATTGGATTCTACGCAGCGCGACCGACTTCTAACGTTCTCTAGATCAACACTATCCTTTGCTTCATTTAATCCTCGCACTGCGACATCTTCGCAATTAACACCAGATGCACGCAAACTTTCCTTAAATGAGGAACTGTATAACCCCAAACGCGTCGTTATAGAGACGTCTCCAACGGGAGAAAGTTTCTGGAGATTCGTGCCAAAAGCTCGAATAGATGAAGGGGTAGTGGATGAAGGTGATTGGCCAAGAGTAATCGATATTTGCGGGTGCGTAATCTAAACTGCTCTCTACCAACTCCTCCTTACCTTATTGCCTTCAGCATGCTTTACGAATGCTCCCAAGATCAATGGGATATATACAAGCTAGATCCTTTGTACGAATGTCGCGTGCGAGCTCCTCCCGCGTCGTCAACAATTATTCGTGTGTCTCCCAAATCTCCGGAGAGTCCACAATCAAATGGAAAAAGGACTTCCAGTAAAGCTGGTATTCCTCCTCTTAATCCACGGAAAAAACTGCATACTGGCAGTGGAAATTCATCTCTCGATTTAGGCTATGACGATGATGAGGTGGAAGAAGTAGAGGACATGATCGTCGACCAAACTATGCCACCGCCACCGCGAGCGAGATCGGCGAGCCTTCGGAGAAAGCGTGAAGAGATTTCACAAATCAGACAACAGAGAAGGGAAAATATATCACGTCGGGCGGAAAAGCTTTCAAGCAGAGAGGATGAATTTAACTTCGATTTCAGTACGGAGGATTCACCAGGGCGCTCTCAAAGTGTTCCTGTCGACAACGGAGGCAAACGCAAAGGTAAGCTTCTCTGTGTGTTCTGACTGAACGTATTCTTATAATTCTCTAGCCACTTTACTTGTCGACCCATTACGCGCTGCAGATCTAGAGGTGGAAGAAGATCTGTTTCGTACAACATTCACCTATAAACAAACCGCTCAAAGGAAGCGGACGCGAAAAACATCTCCTGGTGCAGCCAAACGTGAACTAGACATCCAACGTGCAAAACGGGAACGACGACGACGGGACAGGCAGCAAGCCAAAGTCATCGGTCGTAGACAGCAATGGCACGAACAGTTTATGCAAGAAGTGTATGCTGAAGTGCCCGATTTCAAATCGCCATCGAACGGTTCGTGATTTCATTGTGTCTTTGCCTTAACTTCTTTGACTGGCACTCAGATATTCCGGCTCAGAATATTGGGGATGGGGAATACGACGACGATAGCGGTAGCGAGGACGAAAACTGGAACGGAGGACCTTCTACCGACACTTCTTTCGACGACGACGCCGCGAGAGTAGCTGCCATAGCTGAATCACGACGTAAACTCGCAGAGCTTGAAGCTGATCGTCCGCTCTGGGAAGAAGAAGCTAGAAAGCGTGCTTTACGTCAGAGGGTAGAAGAAGAATCACAGCGCTTGAAGGCGGAGGAGCGCAAATGGGCTGATATGAAGCGTGCTGAAGTTGAAGCACGTCAGGCTGAGATGCATCGAAAAGCCCAGGAAACCGCAGAGCGAACTGAGGAGCAGCAGGATGCGAAACTTCGGGAGGAGGCTATCAAACGACAACGGGAGAGACGGCAACGTGAGCAACGGTGGGCATACGGTCACTGGACACCGATTCGCGCTTTGGAGAGGTACAGGGTCTTAAGTGAGGCCTTTGACACAACCAAGTTCAATGTTTACGACCCCTTAACCTTTCATGTTATTCCCTGGCCCATTCTTAACCCTCCTGCCAAAATGTCTGTAGAAGACGTCGACTGGAATGCCGTCGAACTTTTCTTCGAGTCTGTCAGGCCACATATGCGTTCACAAGATTTCAAGTCATTTGTTGAAAAAAGTCAGCGCAGGTTTCATCCGGATAGGTGGAGGTCGCGAGGACTATTGAGGACCGTAGCTGACGAGGCCGAAAGAAGTTGCTTGGAAGTTGGTAAGTAGGCGCATTTTGCTCGTCTATGTCCTTGCTTACTGATGTTGTTGAAAATGCATTCAGCGGCTACGACTGTTGCGCAAGCGCTTACACCTTTATGGAGGGACATTACTGGTCGTTGATGTGTATATGTGTATGATAGGACGGCATTGCAGAGTATTACACGGTGATAATTGCAAAACAACATCGATTTGCAAGGAAGTTTGAATACAGAACATACCACCAATATTCATGACTCATTCCGATGGTGGTGGGAGACAACATCTTGATGTCTATGTACGTGTCTTGATCGCATCTTGTTCAGCATTTGATGACTTGTACGAGAGGATAGGATGCTGAGGCTTTGAGGTATCATTGATTTTTGAGATGTATGCTTGCCCTTTTAAGGCTCTGCAACGTTCATTTTCCTTTGCTGGGTTATTGGTCCTAGAATCTGCTTCGACTGTGGAATTCGTGGCCAAGAGAGTCAGAGCCTCTTTAGTACGATCGCAAAGAATAGGACGAATCAAAAATTAGGTCCATCTGCGCGTGTTGTTCTTACATTACAACCAGTGCGTAGTACATACCTGTAAAATTATGAAAGCTCTTATTTCATATACAGGAGCTTTATTGGAGTTTTTTTGAAGTGAAAGGAATACATACATACATAGGAATAGGAAACGTCCCAAGTTCAGGTACATATAAATATTGAAGCAATAAGCGCCATTACACGAGCGTCAATTGGGCGTAACAGCTCTATCTTTGAACGTCACCTTCAAGCGACGTATTTGCCTGAAGAGCTGTCTACTGGCAGTGCACAAAGATCCTCCGAAAGCGGACAAGACTATCAACAAGCCTCACATTTCATTGACTGTTTTTTTCTGTAGATTTTCCATCGTATATGTCGAACGGGAATACCAAGGATGTTTCCGGAAGTTCTTTGCGGAGAACACGATCTGCAGGAGATCCATCGTTTTCACCAAGTGACCTCGGTATAGCTCGAACTGGCGCTTCACATATGTCCTCAGGCAACTCCCTCTCATCAACTGTGATAACACTTTCAAACGGTCCCAGTCGAGGTCCTCATAGTGCCGGGCCATCTTTCAATGCATTCTTCCCAGAATCTATACCAGAGAGGCGAGAACATCAGGTCATTGCATCCATGCCCGCTTCACCTCGTATTCCTCCACCTGCTATCCTTCATCCTCCATCGACTCCAATACCAACAAATGTACAAACGTATAACACAGCACGTGGTCCGCCGCCGCGGAGACCAGTTTATCCACCGAACCATTCGACCATTGCCAGACTCCTACGCTTTTTCGGATATGGGAATGATGCTTCCAAGGTTCGCAAACAACTAGTTTCTTTAATATGGAGCTTGGGATGGGGCTTTGCTCAGGTTTGTCTCAGTGTGCACCATATCTCAACTTGGGCTATATCTATCTTAGATGGTCAGCATCGTCGTTGTATTGGCATCGTCTGCCCCCAAAGCGAGTCCTACAGTTCCAGGAGCTAACGAATGGACTGCCTGTGAACGGCCGCTCGGCGTTTGGTCTTGTCTTTGGCTAGCTCGCGTCATCGTAGCATGCGTGTTGGCCTACTGGGGATGGACTCGAGACCGATCAACGTAAGTCGGCATGCTGTTTACTGCGACTGCTGTGCATAATTAACCAGAAAATGCTGTTAGTCAGAGTAGGAATGCCCGTATCGATCCTGAATCAGGCCAACGCGCGTCCAACTCGGAACATCCGGGGCAAATACGTTCCCATAATTCCCAGCAACCTCCTTCGCCTGGCACTCATTCACCACAAACACAAAATGCTAACCTTCCCCACACAGTCATGTTCAGAAGGTGCGATACACTGTTGTTCAACCATTCATTCGTTCAACCACTTCGCGCAGATTATCACTCTTTTCTTCAATGTACAGTCTAACTTGGTTTCTCACGGCCCACATATTGGTCTACACCTCCATAAAAACCTGTCGATTTTCTTCCCCGCACATTTGGTGGCTCGTCTTTGCTATCCTTTGTACAACGTATCTGATCATATTGGAAGTAATTATTCTGGGTCTGATTGTCTTTGTCTTTGCACCGGTCGTCTTTGTATGTCTTCTTTCAGTCTTCCCATGCCTGAGGCTTATTTCATCGCAGTTGATATGGAATATATTCCTCCTTTGCATTGGACGACATCCGTTACAGAATCCTCAGATGATCAAGCCGGATATCGGGAAACTCCCTAAAAGCTTCGTCGACCGAATCCCTTTAGTTATGTACATTCCTCCACCTCCCGATGCGTCTCCTATGGAAGGACCTATACAAGTACCCCCAAGCATATATTCCTATCCACCCAAATCTCCAGTAAAAAGGACGGAAATCTCTGCTAAGACACGCTTCAGATTTATCAAATTCAGAAAATTTTCTTCCAAATCCGACAAGATGTCTATTGATGGCACGACAGATAGTTCAAAGCAGGAGAAATCGACAAAACCTGGCTCTTGGGAAGACAATTGGGACACTGAAGGATATCCTTTTGTCGTTCTCGATGACAACCGTGCTGCATGTGCTATCTGTTTGCTAGACTTCGAAGAGCCCACGCGGCTACATCCTATAGGTGAAGAACAATCAAAAGTAGTGGAATCTGAGCCGAACGGCGGGCCAGCTAAAGTGGAAGTTATTTCGGAGGAAGAGCGCGAGAGCAATGAGCTCAGATTGGCCGATGTAGGTGAAGGTGCACAGCCCCTTAGACTTCTTAAGTGCGGCCATGTATTCCACGTTCGTCCTTGGCTCTTTCTCTATCCATTCCTAGCACTGACCACTTGTAAAATTCATAGAAGACTTGCCTAGACCCGTGGTTGACAGACGTTTCTGGACGGTGTCCTGTGTGTCAGAGACAGGTGGAATTACCGGAGCCTGAAAAGCAGAAAAAGGAAAGAAGACGGTGAGCGAGTTCGGGTGTTGACCAACCCGCGGTTGGTGGACAATTTTTAATTTGCTCTGAGGTTGTTTGCTATCGCTGTCACACAACTCATGCTATCTCATTTGTACATTAATAGTTTCTTGCTTTATATTGTAGTTGTTTAGTCCTGAATCCAGTGCTTGTAGTGTTGTTGTACTTTAAATCTATGGTAGCGTAGAGGATAATTCTACAATAATCTCTATGTTTTTTTACCGGACAATCGTGATTGAGACATTCCTTCTCCTCTGGATGAAACAAATACCCTTTGTAGAAGGTCAACCGTCTTCCGGGACCGGGCCGACTTTCACGACCTTCGTATTGACCACCATCATCATGCCCAGTTTTCCTGCGACTCAGCCAGATTGGAACAATCTCAGGGGTAAGCGAGGGGCATAACGTTGTCAGCTCAACTTACTTTAAATAACAAGCACTCGAGTTTAGTCTTGCAGAGGAACCGTCTATCTCATCGTGCCTCCTTCTTCTCATACCGAAATGAGGAAGATGCACTAACCTATGACGAGACTTTATCTACAGCGATATCCCTAAACGGCACATGGAAGTTTAAGCTGGTTGACAATCCTCTCAATGCACCTGATGATTTTCAACTCCCCTCGTTTGATTCTACGGCGTGGGCTAATATCGTGGTACCAGGAATGTGGCAGCTACAGGGCTTTGGTCGGCCTCAGTACACAAACACTGTCTTTCCCTTTCCTGTCAGCGTCGAACCTGATGGTACTCCATCTATACCATACGAAGGGAATCACGTTGGAAATTATATCCGCAATTTCTCTGTACCTTCGGAGTGGGAAGGGAGTTCAGTACGGCTCAGATTTGAAGGAGTAGACTCCGCTTTCCATGTTTTCTGCAACGGGAAGGAAGTAGGATATTCCCAGGGCTCCAGAAACCCCTCAGAATTCGACGTAACTTCACTGTTGCAGATCAATAATGAAAACACTATTGCTCTCAGGGTGTATCAGTTCTGCGACGGGAGTTACATTGAAGATCAAGATCAATGGTGGTTGAGCGGTATCTTTCGCGACGTCTGGCTCATATCATTCCCTGTGAATCACATTGCGGATATTCAACTTCAAACGCACTTAGATGAGAATTACTGCGATGCCACGTTGGCTGTAGAAGTCAATACCTTTGGTTCTTCGATTCCGCTAACGATAAAGCTGCTGAACTTATCCAAGTCGCTGGTAGCTACCAAGGAAGAATCCGCCATTGCTCCCTCAACCTCTTTTGCCTTTTCTGTCTCAAATCCACTGAAATGGACAGCGGAAACTCCACACCTCTATCACCTCGTTGTTAGCACACCACAGCAAACCGTTGCAGTCAGAGTCGGCTTTCGCAATATTGAAATCGAACATGGTGTCTTTATGGTGAACGGCCGACCTATCAAATTTCGTGGAACGAATCGCCACGAACACCATCCTGAATTTGGGCGAAGCGTCCCCCACGATTTCCTTCGTGCTGATTTGCTTCTTATGAAGAAGCACAATATTAATGCCATACGAACATCGCATTACCCTAATCATCCTCGTCTGTACCATCTGGCGGACGAACTAGGGTTCTGGGTGATAGACGAAGCTGATCTTGAGGCCCATGGATTTGCTGACATCGAGGAGGCGGCTCTTGGTCCAGACAAAGATGCTTTGAAAGGAAAAGAGAGGCAGAATTACTTCTATGACCTTGCTGCCAAGTGGACCACGGATAATCCAGCATGGAAAGAGGCATATGTGGATAGGGCTCGTCAGTTAGTTTCTCGCGACAAAAATCATCCCTGTGTGATACTCTGGTCACTTGGAAATGAAGCATTCTATGGAAAAAATTTTCAGGCCATGGTGAGTTGTTCACGCACTCGTTAAAAAGCTATGAAACACTGAAGGGCGGCTGTATATTATATAGTACGACTGGATTAAAGCCTACGATCCCACAAGGTTAGTACATTATGAAGCAGATCGGAAAGCCCAGACGGTCGACGTTCTCAGCCAGATGTATTCCTCTGTTGCTACTATCATAACTTATGCAGAGGATCCTGCTTCGACCAAACCTCTTGTCCTATGCGAATACATTCATGCTATGGGCAACGGTCCAGGTGCTATCAAGGAATACATCGACGCTTTCTACAAGTACCCTTTGCTCATGGGAGGCTTTGTCTGGGAATGGGCTAATCATGGTCTGCTCACCACGAATAAGGAAGGAAAGCGATATTATGCATATGGGGGCGACTTTTGCGACGAACCGAACGATGGGAATTTCGTGATGGACGGAGTTCTCTTTTCTGATCACACGCCTACTCCTGGCCTTGCCGAGTACAAGAAGGCCATCGAACCCGTACAAGTCATCGGCGGTAGTGAAAAGAAAATTGAAATAATCAACCGATACGATTTCCTTACCCTCGATCACTTGAGGTGTGAATGGAATATCGTGGGGGATGGATATGTGTGTCCGGGGGGCGAGGTTACCATTCCACTAGGGATCAAACCCGGTCAAACTGCTACATTAATCATCGACAATGCAGTCAAGTCGAACAGTCTTCCTGCGGAAGGGTTTCTCACTGTGAGATTCTCATTAAAAACTGCCACTTCTTGGGCTCCTGCAGGTCATGAAGTTGCCAATGGACAGATACTTCTCAAACCACATGTTCCTCGAAGCTCCAGTTCGTATTTCTCAGCAATGTATAAAACTGTGTCATCTTCTTTGACCTATCCTTTTCCTGTCACTGAGAAGGACAAGATGCTGTCGATAAAAGGAAAGGACTCGCAATGGACCTTTGAAATGACATCCGGTCATCTCGTCTCCTGGGTCAAAGGAGGAACAAATATTCTATATTCCCCGCCCGTCATGGACTTCTATCGCGCGCTCACAGATAACGATAGGCCGCAGGATGGTATGCAATGGATTGCAAAACGTTTACACCAAACTAAAGATCATCTCAAATCTATATCGTGGAAAACCACGTCAAAGGGTGATACGGAGGTGTCTGTGGTTTCTCGAATTGCCCCACCGGTATTTGAATGGTCGGTAGACACCACGACAACGTATACCTTTTCGTCAGCTGGAGTTCAGATCAAGATACATGGAATACCACAAGGAATAAATCTTCCGGACACCTTTGCTCGCATAGGTCTAACTTTTCATATGCCCCCGGAGTTTGGCACTGTCCGATGGTTCGGTCGCGGACCAGGTGAAAGCTATAGGGACAAGAAGCTTTCTCAGAAATTTGGAACTTGGGAGGCCACAGTCGATCAACTTTTCACCAATTATGAATTTCCTCAAGAAGGAGGCAACCGCACAGACGTGAGGTGGGTTAGTTTCAGCTCAGGGGAAAGGCAACTCAAGGCAACTTTCCCGTTCGAGGAAGGTGGAAACTTTTGTGCTAGCCATTACACAACTGAGGCATTGGATTCTTCGAAGCATCCTTTTGAACTGGAGGAGAAGCGTCTGGACAATGTTGTTTCTAGGTTAGATTTTGCGCATCATGGTCTTGGCACAGGGAGCTGTGGCCCAAAAACGATGGACAAGTATGCTTTGAGAGCAGAAGAATTCTCATTCGAAGTATGGCTTGAATAGTCGTCGTATGCACTGTGATATCCATTCATATTTTCTTGAGAAAGATCAAGTTTTCTCCCTATCTAAAGGCTATCGAACTTCTACTTTTCTTCCCTCCCAATCTTCCCTCAACCTAGATTCTACAATAACATCCAGGTCCTTCGCCTTTTGCACTGCAACATTCACAATTCTGAGGACATCCGCTGGTTCCAACGGCACTCCGCCGCTCTTCTGAACAACGCACAACTCATGATGGGCGTTCAGCGCGATAGATATCAAGCCCCCATTCAAGCGCTGCTCCAGGTGATTCGGATCGAGAACAGGATGAATCGAAGTATCAGAAAAAAAAGCAAAGGTGAAGCAATAAAGGTTATGATGTAGGGAAAGAGGTATCGGTGCGCGAAATGTTGGATGGTGCTGTGAAAATGATTTAGACAAAATTTTAGAAACGAAGCGTTTTTCGAACATACCACTGTCACCTCTTCTCCAATTACTTCGACATCTGGTCTGCGAAAGTGTTTTAACGCGACAATGCCTGCTAGGCACGCACAATCCAGTAGATTTCCGGAATCCGATAGGCAATGTACGTTTAGGCGTAAATGCCAAACCTACATTAAAGAAAAATAAGAACCCTGTCAATGACAACACAGAAATGCTTACTCGTTGTCCAGCCAGAATACATAAGGATTCTTTGTCAACAACATCGCTACGGCGTATAACCTTGTCAAGCATTCGAGTGATAGTTACTTCTTCTTCTGAAGGTCTACAGAAAAAGAGAAACAGAAAAGCTTAGATCGCAAGATCCTGTCACAAAGAGAAAATCACGTACCTACCTACCAAGCTCAAATTCACTCGAAGCCATCGGAGATATTTCAGAATGAATGCTGATGACCCCTTCAAATGGCCGTTCAGGCGGTGGTTTGATCATTTTCGCATCGACTTGAGCCAATACCCTTCGATGCAAGTGAGATGAGACAAACTGGATGGAGAAGAAGTTGTGCCTACCGTGTTTTGCCTAAAGAACATTCTACCCATCCGAGTTCTGGTCCAAAAGTGAGCGTGACGGGTCGCGTTTCGAAAAATTCTCGGCCATCTAAACGAAGGCCTTGCTTTAGAGCAGAGAATAAAAATTCTTTTTCAGGAATGGACGGTGATGGTGGACGCATGATGAGAGATATTAATTGTCGATAAGCGCCTACATTTCTTCGTCCCGAACTTCGACCTCCTTTCTGCGCCTTAATGGTCCGCCTATTAACGCACAATCTCCTCGCGTGCCATGTCAAAGGCTGCACATCAAACAACTTTCCACTCCAATTCCAAAATGCCCAGATCGAGCTTAGAGAAGCCGATTTCAACGCTGATTTCCTCAAAAATTTCTTACCGAAACTCGAGTGGAAGGCCCTGGTCGACAGCGCGAAAGATGCAAGCAGATCGTTCATTTAATATCTGTTACGAAGACTTATTTTAGGCTGATATATGTTTTAATTTAGCTGGGGGATACTTCATTGCCGTTAGAACAGCCTGAAATGTTAGACGATGAATTCTTGAAAAATTTACACCATGTATTGCTTGAGGTATATATATTGAACCGTCAACGTGAAACATATGGCTCTAAGTCATTTTTGTAGATTCATGTCGAGGAAGGGAGCATGACCTGCCCAAATTGCAAGCACAGTTACCCCATCTCGAACGGTATACCAAACATGGTGCGAATGGCTTTCAGTACACATCCATGGACCAACTGATCAGATATCAGCTTTTGGCCGAACATGAGATTGGTTAAAGAAGAATTGCTATTATGTTGGAGGTTCATGTTCAACGCGATCAAAAATGGTTAAACACGAATCCACCTTATTCCGCACGAAATGAAAACAAGCGGGAAAAAAGCTTATGTCTATGACAATCGAGACACCCCTCATAATTCTCCAACTCCTTGCAGACATTTGTTTGAGGGCCTGCGGATTATGTATACAATTGAACATACCAAACTCAACGCGAGAAAGTATGTTTAATCTGCGGCGAGCTCGAGTTTGATCTTTGCAATAGCTGCAGCAGGGTTGAGACCCTTCGGACAAGTTCTAGAACCTACATAGAGAAAGGAATTCATTAAAGCAGATAGACGACTCCGGAAAGGTGACAACTAACAGTTGAAGATAGTGTGGCATCGGTACATGCTCAACTCGTTTTGCAGATACTCTTTTCGCTTCGCACCGTTGCTGTCCTATATAAGATGATTCAGTCAGCGAACGCCTACAAAGAGATTATGATACGTACTCGAGAGTCGGCGATCCACCGGTATGCCTGCATCAAAGTAGCCGGACCAAGGTACTCGTCTTGATTCCACCAGTACGAAGGGCAGGATGTTGAACAGCATGCACATAGGATACATTCGTACAATCCGTCGAGTTTGCGACGTTCTTCTTGAGACTGAAGGAATTCTCCTGATATGAAGCGAAGCTGTCAGCGCATGGAGATACAGAAGCAGAAGTAGAGATGTCTCGCCTTTTTCTGGAGGGTTGTCGTTCTGGAGGTATGGCTGAATTGACTTGTACTGTTTGTAGAATTGAGTGAGGTCGGGAACTAGGTCCTTTACAATGTACACTGCGCGACATCGTCCATGAGAACGGTTATCCGTTGCTTGCATTGAAATTTAAACACGCACTATGAGGTAGAGGATAAATCTTAGAGTCTTTAGAAGCATCCCTGTCTATGCGGCAAAGACAGGCCAGCGTATTTTGGCCATTGATGTTCATTGCACACGAGCCGCAGATTCCCTCTCTGCACGAACGACGGAAAGTGAGGGTAGGGTCGATTTCATTCTTGATTTTGATGAGAGCATCAAGAATCTGCCCAATAACGGTAAACTTTTGAGCTGGAGAGGACCAGCACAAGACACACCATAGGCCCTGTCTGGTTAAGATCAATCGTGTACGATTGCAAAGTAGGCTTCTTAGCAGGCTCATCAGGGTTCTACAATACGCACATTTGTTAGTCCCAGTCATTTCAAATACCGTAGTAACTTAAAACTTGCCCAACGATAAATCTTGAACTCCTTGTTCAAAACTGGTTTTTGCAAAGGCTCAGCCTGGCGCCTGCGAGTGCTGGTAGTGAAGGTGCGAGCATCGACAACAGATGCCCTGACAAGTCGGCGAGCAGCTTGGCTGAGAACGGACATGGAGGAGAGCAATGAGTGTCACAAGCGCCGGAACGGCGGGTATGAGGGCAAATCCGGAACGCGAGCATTGTCCAATCAGATTACTCCTATTGGCTGACTGGCTTTCTTCAGAACACTCCTTCAATCACAACGGACCCCGCATTGTGCGCGATATCTTCTTTACAGATGTTCGCTTACTTCACAACTACTATCACTCGTAGCCCACAACAGGCACACATCTCTCAACAGCCCCGCGGTCTATCACAAGTGGAGTTCTCTTAGTAATATACAGTCACGGAACACCCACACTGTGCTTTCTTGGAACGGGTTTCGAGCTCAAATCGAACGTTGCAAACAGTCTCAAACAGTACTAACAATTCAAACTAAGTGATAAGATTGACAGGTTTTGTAAAGAGTCTCTTCATTTAAGTATCTTCATAAGTTATGCCCGAGCTCTTATAAAGGTCTATCGACGTACAATCGTAAGTATTCTTTGGTACGAACTTGTTATCATGATCGACTCACAGTTCCACAAACCTAGCACGCAGGTCCAGGCCCAAACCCAGCGGGGAGAGGGGTTCTACATCTGAATGGAATGGAGATCAGCACCACTGGAGACTTTAGAGTTGTCACCCCAACGATGCCTACCCAGAAGGATCGCTAGTAAGTCTTGGACAGCAAATTTCGCCGGTGGGACCTATGACCATTCATCAACACGAGGAAACTTATTAACTAGGAAAGACACATACACTGTAGAGAAATGAACCAATTTCCAGTATGAATTCAGTCTCTTGACTCTGAGTTAGCCAGAACACTTACGTCCGAATCACTGGTGCCTACATGCAACAGGCAAACTCAATGATTGCGCGAAAAACGAATATCAAATAAGACTTACAAGTAGCAGATGCCCCCATGAACAGAGCCTGAGTGAACAATAGCACGAAGACAGTCTGGAGAGCGAATTTGAACATATCGGTAGTAATAATGGATTCTGGTGGGTTTCGTTTTACTTCTGGTGAATTAAAGGAGAAACGATGCTAAAAATTAGAACTCATGCTGCCTTAAATATTCTTCGCCTTGAATTATAACGGGAGTTTCGCATATATGTATATAAGTAGTTCGAGATGTGCTAGTGCAAGTTGGGCACGGAGCTTTACTCTGCAGTCAATACTTGTATTCCTGTACTTGGTCGAAGTAAATTCATTTTGAGCCATTTCACAGAGTCGGTTTCAGCCACCCGTACTTCAAGGATTAAGTATCGTATACCTTAAAGGAGCAGGTATATGAAGATTCTCGGCTTTAAATCGCCTTTCGTTACTTTGGATTAACTTCAGCTGCAGGCCGCTAGTTGCTTTCAAAGTAGCGCCAGGCCTTAAACACAGGATAATTTCTTTTGAGAGACACCGACAGAGATAGAAGAAGTGACGAAGACAGGTAGTACCGGCCTATACGGAAGAGACAATGTCAGCAATAGCGGGGCTGTCTAATATCTCCAAACTAAAACACCCGAACGCGGCTGAGCACTCGCTAAGAATATCCAACGATCAATAAGTAGAGCGACATAAGGAGAAGGATTCAGCTGAGATTAGAAGATGCAAATTTGTCACGACACAATCTCATGCATCCAAGAAATTAACTCTGGGATAGCTTCTGCAGCTGCCTCAATCGGCAGAAAGTGTCCTACCTGATCATCTCCTACCTGCTTCACGGTAACACCCTTTGACCCTAGAGATTCCCAGATCTCTGCCACATCCTTATGCTGCTTCAAGAACTTTGTTGTGTGGAGAATGAGTAAAGGACAATCCACTACCGCGTTTCCTGATGTTTCATCAATTTTGTCGTGTTCTAAATCAATAGATGCGCCAGCTCGGTAGTCTTCGAGGGAGCCTGTTAGTACCGCTGGATTGCGGTACTGCTCAACCCAGCTAGCGACAGCAATAGGGTCTAGATGTCCCCGGTAACGAGGACCAGTCCATGACTCGATAGTATGGCTAAAGTAGTAATCGGACGAAGCTCCGATGAGCGTTTCGGGGAGGTTCGGGGGTTGGGCGAGGAATATCCAGTGGTAAGTGTTTAATGTCAATTGATGATCATTCGAAGAATTCATTCCTTGCGACAGCCAGACAAACAGATCATTGTTGACTGGAGTTGCAAATGTGTTTTTCACAAAAAAAAGAACTCACTTTCAAACATCAGCTTTGTCGGAATGATTTCCATCAGGCATATACCGAGAATACGGTCTCGAAAGTCTTTGGCCATACGATAGGCAACTCTTGCCCCCCTATCGTGTCCAGCGACAATGAATCGCTGACCGGCGCCGTACATCTTGTCGATAAGCGCCACACAATCCGCTGCAATGGCGCGTTTGGAATTTTCATAGTGGGAACCATCTCCTGAGGGAATTTTGGTGGAACGTCCATACCTATGTTGCATGAGATCATAGTACAGTAAAATTTCTGTACCGTGTTGGAGGTACTATCAAGGTACTTACCCAGGGAGGTCAGGGATCACTACATCCCAACTTTCGAGCATCCCTGCTTTTGAAAGTTCCTGAACAGTTTCGTAGTACAGCGTGTGGTTCTGTGGGTACCCATGAAGTAGAAGCAATACTTTTCGAGATGCTTCAGATGGAGCGACGATAGATGATTGGATGGGAGAATGTCTCAAAGTAAATATCTTCACTGGAACCTGAAGGACAGTGGCCCTAGATCCGCTTTTCGTTGTGCTGAGAGTAACAAATAATTTCTGGAAACTCTCTGGAAAGAGCATTGTGAAGATGATAGATGATGAACGTACTTGTAATAACATATTTATTACCGACTTGTCCTTAGAATACTCGGAGTCGGAGGGCGGGGAACTTGAACTGTCGCCGTGGTCCGTGTTATCCCGTGGCCGAACGGCATCGGACGGTCTTCGTTGTCCCAGGTTGTTCTTTACCAGCAAGTACCGCGTTGCACATGTCCGCGATACGGTGAATCCGCTTCTGGCTTTAAGGCATGACTGCGCGTTATTACCTCGAAGCAGGAAATATCCATCACGAACGGTCATTTCGCATCTTCCTTACTCTTACACCACATGAACACAACACACATTTCAATCGATGAAGTTACAAGGTCGAGCGACAACGATCATCAGGAACAGTCAAGCTCGCCGTTGACCATCATGTAAAGAAATGTTAGGAAGGTGAAGGAGAATATTTCAAATTCGCTCCCGACTCGACTTGGCGTCTCAAACTAGGTCTGACCCGTCCAAACGGATTCTCAAGACTCGAGTATGTACTCTGTTCATCCAATTTGTTATCATAGCCATACAGACCACCAGACCATCCCTCAAAGATATTACTACAGCCAGCTTGCGTTTCCAAGAATCGAATGAGACTCCATTCCCGCAAATCAAAAATACTACTTTTCTTCATTTGGATGCAAGAGCTTGATATTCAGGTATATATCTACCATGACAGTCTTGTTTGTCTCAGAACAGTCCTCCTCGTCCCGGGCTGCGGGCTGAGCAACGACCCGCCAGTGGTCTTCCATGGTCCTAGACCTTGTACAACCTCGACCTTCTCTTCCCTCTGATCGGATATCACGGCCATCTCGTCTCAGGAGTCATCACGGTACTTACAGATAACCATAATTACAAACGTAACAATCATACTCAAAGCCCTCATCCACGTCCTCACCGCTAAATTTGCCGCAGCGAAGTTGGCCATCACGCTTCATCACATCCACGGTCCGCGTCTGTGTTTTGAAGAGAAATCCCGAGGCAATCTACACTCATAACGCTGTTTTGCTATCACTCGCGTCTCGACCCGGGTCTACCACGAACCGGTTGAACTTCCCTCGGGTACCTTCTTGTTTTCTTTACCGCTCCTTCGTACAGCTATAGATATTTCAGGAACTACGTTGTATGATATCTGCATGTAAGCGTATCATGAGGGTACTGAACGCGTTAATGAACTCAACTTACTTTTGAACTCATTGTGATTGGCTGAGAAATCGAAGTTCGATGTTCTCACGTTTTCGCTCAGCATCGGACGTCGCGACTGAATCCATGTCACCACGGCTGACGACAAGTTTGGTTCCAATACCGGTACAGCGGTTCACGGTTTCTTACCCATCTTTCATCTTGACCACCATGAAGCCTTCGAGCTGTACTCCCTCTATGCGTTCTCTTACTCGCTCGCTCGCTTCTCTTCATAAAACACCTGCCGCTAAAAGGTTGATATTCGTCTTTTTTGCTTTGATCCTACAAACTGACGTGATGTAGCCCAACAGGTTCGTCTTCGTTCTCTTTCAAGTAGAAACCTTGTGTCTAAATTGAATGAAAGCAATCGTAATGCTGAATATGGGCGGTCCATCAAGTGTACGTTCGCAATATTTCGACTTCCATTTTTCTATCTGTTGTTCTAAAGTTTAAAGGTTTAGGTCGAGGAAACGCACGACTTTCTCAAGAATCTCTTCTCTGACAATGATCTTATCCCATTACCTTTCCAATCATTCATTGCTCCTTATATTGCCCGAAGACGAACCCCGATGATTGAACAACAATATGCCGCTATAGGTGGAGGCTCCCCTATTCTGAAATACACTCAAACACAGGGGGAGGGTATGGCCAAACTGCTGGATGAATTGCACCCAGAAACCGCGCCACATAAATCATATGTTGCCTTCCGTTACGCGCGTCCACTGACTCAGGAAACAGCGAAAGAGATGAAAGCGGATGGTGTGACGCGTGCTGTCGCGTTCACCCAGTACCCGCAATACAGCTGCAGCACGACTGGAAGTAGTCTGAATGAGATATACCGACGTGGAAAGATTGGCGAATTTGGAGATGATATATCTTGGAGCGTGATTGACCGATGGGGAACGCATCCTGGCTTCATAGAAGTATGTTGCGTGTCCTATCCTGAATAATCAGTCCTGACCCTGCGCGCGCGTGTGCAGGCTGTTGCCCAGAGAATAGAGGCTGCTTTAGCTAAATTTCCTGCATCAACACGTTCAGAAACTGTCATCTTATTTTCCGCTCATTCCTTACCACTCTCTGTGGTGAACCGCGGAGATCCTTACGTGCTCGAAGTCTCGGCCTCCGTCTCTGCGGTCATGCAACGACTTGGCCAATCGAATTCTTACCGGCTCGCATGGCAGTCGAAAGTTGGACCCTCGAAATGGATGGGCCCTCAGACCAGTGATGCTTTAAAAGGATTAGCTCGTCTGGGAAGAAAACAAGTCGTGTTGGTTCCCATAGCTTTTACAAGCGATCATATCGAGACGTTGTATGAACTAGATTTAGAATATATCAAGGAGGCCCGCGAGGTAAGCGAATGCGATGCTCGATGTTCTTCTTCCTTCCCATATACTTATGTCTATTTTTTTTGCCTTTGACCTTTGTTGCACCCTTTCGTCTTCAAGCTTGGTATAGAAATCCATCGCTCAGAATCGTTGAATGAATCGCCGGTCTTCATTCGAGCTCTAGCGGATATTGCTGCCGACCATCTCCGCGGCCAATCTTCCGGTAAGCATGGACCCACAAGCGTACAGTTGGGTCTCCGATGCCCGGGGTGTGTCAACGGAACGTGTGGGCAGCAAAAGTTGTGGTTTTCTCGAGGAGGAAGGTGAATGAGGGAATTGTATTGTATAGGATAATGGAGATAATCTTATTGTGTACATGAACGACCTCACCGTGCTATCATATAATCGGACCTCGAGACGCGTCAAACTACACTACACGTTATCGATGCTCATCTTATTATCATCTTTCCAGGGCACTTGTCCCATGGCAATACGCAAGTTTGAAGACCGGACTTGAGGCTGAGGAGCAATTACAATTTCTGTAAAATCCGATTACGCAATCATACTTTGTCTCACAATTGAGTTACCCTTTCTTGTGTAACGGTATAAAAGCCATGGCATTCGAACCCGTAGTTTCCTTGAACGTCGCGAGATGGATTCTACTCCCCAGCCCACTGTTGTGTCTGCTCCCGGGAAAGTGCTGATTGCTGGCGGGTATCTTGTCCTGGATCCTGCTTATTCTGGCATTGTAGTCTCCACTTCTTCGCGTTTCTACACTGTCATACAATCTTTGGCGGCTGGCACAACGAATACAATCCGAGTCCGGTCTCCTCAGTTCAATGACTCGACGTGGATGTACTCCCTTTCCTTCAGTTCTCCACCGAAAGTAGACGCGAAAGAAAAGTGAGAACCAAAATTATTTTGCGCGCTAGGTGTTCATAATCAGTGATCTAGCACGAGCAAGAACAAATTCGTTCATCTGGCCCTTCAGCATACTATATCTCTTGCTTGCGAAGTTTGTGGAGTACCTGCCATCCAGGATCTGCTTACTAGAGGACTGGATATCGCTATCGTCGGCGATAATGATTTCTACTCGCAACGGGCGCAGGTTCGCCTATATTGTTCCTCCTTTAAACTTGAAAGCTTATTTCATTTTCATCTAGTTAGCTGCTTTGAATCTACCCAGAAATTTGTCTTCTCTAGCTTCCATCCAGCCATTTTGTCCCCAAGGTGTCACCCTGTCCGAGGTTCACAAGACCGGGCTCGGGTCTTCCGCGGCCCTTATCACTTCTTTGGTTTCTGGTTTACTCGTTCACCTCGGAGTGATACCTGCATCCGCACTTCTAGAAGATCAAGGAAGGGATAGACAACTCGCTCACAACCTTGCGCAGTTTATCCACTGTTTGGCCCAAGGCAAGGTCGGAAGTGGTTTCGATGTGTCTGCTGCCGTGTTTGGAAGCCATTTGTACACTCGTTTCGATCCCAGCGTCATAGCTTCTCTTATGGGAGGTGATCCTGTACGAACAAACCCTTGCTTAATATTTTCTTTCTGATCATCATAATCTGTTCCATGTAGATGCAACCGAAATCATTGCTGCCCGTGGTTTCGCCGGACAATACATCATGGAACCATCGTATCAGACCATTCCAGCTTCCTCCCTTAACAAGGCTGATGCTGGCTGATGTCGATGCTGGAAGTGACACTCCATCCTTGATCGGGAAAGTCCAGCATTGGAGAAAGACTGAACCGGAAAAGGGTAGGTCTTCGCGAATTTCCCCTTCTCATTTTAGCTAATTGATCGGAATACTTTTGCTCTCTAGCAAATGCTGTCTGGACTGCCATCGACCAACTCAACCAGTCTCTAGCTTCTACGCTTTTACGTCTATCAGCCTTCCATTCTGAGAATCCCGCTTGCTATGCTTCTATCGTGAAGTTCATATCTACGTTACAACCACTACAAGTGAGTATCATTGTTGCGGACATAATGAGAACAATCGTTCAAATCTCGATACAGTGGACGGCAGACCCTTCGCTCTCGGAATTTGAAACCAATGTTGCTGCCCACTTCTATCAAGCTCACAAAATAACACTGGTAATGTCTTTGCTCTTTTTTCGAGGTTACTCGGTAACTTAATATTAATCAGGAAATTCGACGAAGCATGAGAGAGATGGGAGAACTCGCTGGTGCTCCAATCGAACCTCCTGAACAGACCAAACTATTAGACAAGTGTTGTTTCCAAGCAGGGGTGATAGGAGGGGGTGTTCCAGGCGGTTGGTCTTCGTTTACATCTTCATTTACCACCCTTTCTAAATTTATCTCTACCTTTTCTTGGGTGATAGCGGGAGGGTACGATGCCGTATGGTTGCTGATGTGTGAACCAGAACAATGTAGACCTGATCAGTGGCCTCGCGAGCGCATCGAACACGTTTGGAGTAATTATACAGAACTGCACGTTTCCCCCCTTTCTGCAGTAGAAAGTATGGCGAAGGGAGCTCGGTTAGAGATTATAGATAAAATCAAGGGATTGCGAGAGGTAACCCAGACTTAATTGAAGGTGTCGAAGGTGAGCTTCTAGTAAGTAAGTAACTAACATATAGTCCCATTGGTCCATATTATAATTTGTGTACACTGTAAGTAAGTGATCGACAATGTAGATAGAGTATGTGAATACTACATACATATTGTGGCTTCTCCTTCCTTTGTCCAAGATTTTTTAAGAGCAAGAAACAAGGAAAGTGTCATGACAATGACCCCAAAGGTTACGCAGAGGAATGCTGGTAATCTATTACGGCTATACCAAGGTAGGGACTGATTCGACAGCTTCAGATAACATGCAGCGGGGAAGATGAACGCAAGAGCGGTGGCGGAAACTCCGCCTGTAATTTCCAGCATGACCCCAAGATCGCAAGTTATCATGGCAACTGTATCAAGCAATTCTGTTTAGGTTCAACAAAATTTGACAAACCGAACAAACTCACGGGTCATTGAAGAGAAGAGGATAGTGGTAGTAAAAAATAGATGTCTCTGTGGATTGAAGTCTTCGTGTGGGAAAAAGTAGTCTTCGATGACCTGTAGACCGTGGCAATAAGCATTCAGAAGAATTAAGAATGTACCAAACGAACCTCTCTGCAGACAAACAGTTCAAGTGGTAAGGTCGTGAACATGTTCAACCCGAAGCAAAAACGGGCCACGTTGATCATTGTGTTATTCTATAATAAGTTTTATGAATGAGGATGATTTCACGCTTCGGTGATCAGGCCTCAGGCCTCAGGACTAGAGCGACTTACGGAAGGAAAATTATTCAAGATGTTCCCTTGCGTTTTGTCTGTGAATACGACATACCCGGATACTGCTAGTGTACAGCAAGACACCAAAGAAATAAATGTAGATACATGCGTGACCTGGGCGAAACGGTCCAGTGTTGGTGTCCTTAAGCTTCCATATATGAGAAGAGAATTGTGATGACAGACTACGCGCGGATGTTGGTGTCCAAAGGACAAGACATGAAGACGGGCACTCACCAAACGCAAAACTTATCACACCAATCGCCTGGAATATTCCTGCATTCACAAAGGAGAATCTCATTGACGGGTCACCTTTGAGTATCGAGGGAACACCAGGTCCCTCCACAAGTACTGACGCAACGATGATGACCATGCTAATCAAAGCAAGCCCCGAAGCGCGAGAAAGTTTGTGGATGTCGCGATACAAAGATAGCGGGTATGATACGCAGGTCGTACATAGAAAAATCACGAACTGTCTGTTGGTTAGAAGTCCGAGTACAGGTATCTTGTATAGGGTTGGAAATATGGAACGAATGACATGAGGTATTGTGTCGCCGATGATTATACCGAAAGCGCACATTCCTGGTATGCCTTAAGTTAAAATTTCCATTCGCTACGAAGATGCATGTGCTACTCACCTCCGAAAGCAAAAGAGAACTGAAAGAATGATACGGCTGCACGACCACTGGATCCAAAGCAATGATTCATGATCTCAATGTAGGTATGACTGCCGCTCAGTTTGGCGTTGATGACTATTAAATTAATGGTCCAATCCGTAACCCCACATAGAACCACTAGAAGTAGAAAGCCCATGAAAAATCCGGCTTGGCTAATAGCATATGGCAAGCCTGGAAAAGCAGACATTAAAAGGCATTCGGAGGACTAGGCACATGGAGGTTTACCGATGATGCCTGAAGAGGTGGACCAAAACATGTCAGCGGCATCGACGACCGGTCGTATCTTCTATTCACCTGCACCCAAGATAGAGTTGGCCATATTTGCAATGGAATCGAACAATCCTCCGCCAGCGGTCCGTTTAGCTGCTATTGCTTCGAGGTCGAGGTCGCCCACGCGTCCGTTCGCATCGTTTAACGGTAACGGACTGTCAAAAGATCGACGGGAAGAGTCCAGCAAGCCAACTATGAGAGGCATGTTAGGGCTCATATGTCCCCGCGGTGTACTCGTAATCTCTGGTTCGTCGTCGATCTCATCACTGTCAAGTTCATACTCTGCAAGATCCAAGTTACAACAGCACATTCAGAGTCAGCAAATTACACACCTGCCTCACGACTGGCGGTAGTAGAGCGCAATGGGGGGCCAATGACCTGCACATCTTCCTGAAATCTCACAGAATGCTCGGTTTTTGAGGGACCGGCGAGAGACTCTTCATCGGAATCGTCATCAACTGAGAACACGACATTGTGGTCACCGAGTAGGGGTCTGCTTGCTTCACCGTTCTCAACATCTTCAGAGGTTATTCTGTCCCGAGTCTTATTAGAAGAGAACATTTGGGACTGTCATGGACGTTCTGGAGGCTAAGCGTGCGTTGTCCGCAGGTTGTCGGTAAGCTGTCGGTAAGTGAGGATGGATCTTACCACGTGAGAAGAATTTATCTCTTCACCAAGTCGACAGTGGGCACGGCTAATTTCTGAAATGAACTCTTTTATATACTCTGGATTTGTCGCCTCCTCATTTCTGTTTTCTTCCATTCGTGCAACTCAAGTTTCACCGGCTGCGTTGGCATCCCAATATACCCTTACGACTAGCACTTCTCTGCCATTTCCGACAGAAACTCTTTCTAGCTCGAATGCCCAATCATTAATCGACTCCGAATGGTCTCTGAGTAAAGGACACATCCAGGATCAAGCAAGCGATCTCGCCTTTGTTGCAAACCCATTTCTCGACAGCTCTTCAAATTCTTCAAGCCCTGTTCTTCAAGTGACATATCCAGCAGGAAGCTACTCACATAATACTGGCGGGTCTCAATTTGAAAACTTATGGAACACAACTGACGGTTCAGCCTTCCAATCGATGTCGCTAAGCTACGAGGTCAGTGTGCACCCGGACAAGCATATAGTGATTGATGTAGCTCCCACTAAAGGTTGCTTTTGATGAGAACTTTGACTGGGTTCTCGGGGGTAAACTCCCAGGACTTAGAGGAGGGACGAATGCTACAGGATGTAGTGGAGGGGACGAGCCTACAGGCTTGGACTGCTTCAGTACGCGTTTGATGTGGAGACCAGATGGTGCTGGTGAAGGTGCGTATTTTCAAAATCATCTCTTCTCAGGCCATAACCTCGCTGGATAGTATACGCGTATATCCCTACTACAAGCGCTTTCTGTCAAGAATCGAATATCACTTGTAATCCTGATTTTGGTGTCAGCATTTCTCGAGGATCTTTCACATTCGTGAGCGGAGAGTGAGTATTACCCCTCAAGTTCCTTGAATTGGCAGACTTATGTCCGTCATACAGATGGAATCGCGTCACTCTTTTCGTGCAGATGAACGACCCGGTCACTACTGCTAACGGAGATCTGCAACTCTAGTAAGATGTAACATTCCATGAGCGGTCGTGTAAATATTGATATCTACTACAGCTTTAATGACCAGCTAGTAATTTCTAGACAAGACTTGCAATTCCGGAAAGGTTCCTCTGTTGACATCGATGGTCTTTATTTCTCGTAGGTTCATGAGCCTGTGGACTGAAATCTGGCTGACGATTCGATAATTCCCAGCACATTTTTTGGAGGTCCGAGCTTTCGATCGTTTTGACCGAATTCAAAGAGCTAAGTCAGTTATCTACAGGTTCCGACAACTCGTGGGCGACCCCAAATACCACACACACTTACTATCGCAACATGCAACTCTGGGGAGGTGCTAACCCTTCTAATGCGACTGCAGTGAACTCTACAGTAAACTCCGCTCTCAAGACAATCAAATCTTTGGATTACCTTTTCATCTTGACATCTATACTCGCTACCTGGGGAATAGTCCTATGATGTTGGACCACTAATAAGTATTATCGTCTATCAACTGCGTGTCCTTATACTATGTATCATCAAATGTATTCGCACACGACGCCTAGTTCAACTGACTTGTTCGTAGAATTACTCTATTTGCATTCCATGAAATTGTATCTTCACCTTCCATCACCTATCATCATGCGCTCTTTTGCTAGTCAGGTATGTTTTCCGTGTTTTGCAGTTGTTCAGGTTCATAGTGACGGAGATTTGCTACCTGTAGCCAAATGAATAATTCGTGTAGACATGGACACGGGAGAAACGGAAGAGTTTATTTCCCGTTGATCTACATATGTTCAAAAATCGTCAGAAGCCATGAGGTCCTTTTTCCTCGACTCGGAAAAAACATTGCACGTTTCACGCAGATTGAGGATGATACAGAGGACCCTTTCCTCAAATAATTTACATAAAATCCCAACAGATGAATGCTGGAATCGAGATGGCGAGATTCGATGAAAGACCATATCGTGCTAATTTATCACTGGGAAAAATGGCGCTCTTGTCTTCCAGCCTTAGAGCTTGATATTCCGCGCGCATGCTCGGAGACATCAGGTCTTTTCGTCTCCGGTAGTCAAAATCTATTGCACCGCTATGACTCTCACCACTATATATCTGAATTTTGTAAGAAGATCCTTGGATAAAGAAGAAGGGAGAGTTGTGTTTCATTCCACGGGCTTGAATTCACTTGGTAGCCGACTAGCCTATCTCCCTGACGCGGTCTGGCCAGTCCGTCTAATCTTCATTAAGTCGCAATCTGATATATACACAATCAGATCTGACTGGATGTCCGCAAGGACTACTTATCTACGTTCACTGAAGCCCTTGTAAACGGTAAGCCTATAAGTCGCATTCTGCTGTTTCTACGCTGAGCAAGTAGGTGGCATTTCTTGCTTCAAGACTTGCGCACACTCCTTCTACTTTTATTACTATAGGACGCATTCTTTCGCCGCATTGTCGGATCTAACTACTTTGATGGACACTTTCACTACACGATTCTTCATACCCCGGATTCTGTCGCAGCTGCCGTGCATATACTGTATTCAAAGTTCGACAACAGACTCTGGTCCCCAGCATCTTCATCTCTTGGCACGACGAGGACTACTACCAAGTCCTGCACACCATGCCCTGCTCCTCACCTTCATAATTTTCTTCGCCGCCATCGTATTTCCCCTGCTCTGTCTTTATTGCCTTCGACTATATGCACGCCGAAGGAGGACTAATGAACGTGAAAGCTTGGAAGCCTCCCTACGCCGTAGATTGGAGGTACAAAGGGACATTGATCGACTCGAACGAGAATTTTTAGTTCCGGGATCCATGGCGGAACCCCTTCCTCCATACTTGCCTCGTCCACCTGCCTACTCGTTGGAGACGAACTCTATTAATAGCAGTCGCATGGAACAAACTGCATCCCCGGCAGAGATCAAAGTTGCACCACCGTTACCTGTACTTAGCAGGCAAAGATCGGCTACATTTTTGCAAAGTTTGGAATACCCGGGCAATGACCGTAACTTAATTATTGCTCGGACCAGTAGTAGTGCATAGTAACTCAGCTGTATGCATTAATACTCCCGTCGGTGAACGAATGGTCTCTTCTTGATTTCTCGCAGGTTTTTTGCTACGGCTACCATTAGCCCCCTTGCACCGACAGATCTGTACCATGGTCAAATAACAGCATGTAGGAAGGGCTATACGGTGTACGTAGTACATCCAACGACCCAGCCAACACTTCCGTATATAAACCGGACGAGCTTTTATGATACATATTGTCAACGCATCGGTGGTCTTATTTCAGTATTCTTCCCTGTTACAGTAATGTTAATGAAGGTCCGTAGTTCAAGTTAGTGATAATCTAAGTTCTCCCCATGTTCTTTGTCCCGAAAAGCCTTGATATACACTCACTCTCGTACGAGCTCAGTCTTGCGGTAACTAATACCGTAGCGCCGGCTGCTCTAAACATGAACTAAAAAATGGGGTACTCATTGACAGTTAGCATGAGTAGGTCGGGAGAGAAATTGTGGAAATATCCGGAGCTTCTGACTGACACTGTATAGTCTTGTATGATAGATACTGTTTCTGAATTTTAACTTCACGTTTGGGCACACCAGATCAGGGATCGTCTCAGGATGGAGGACGAATAAAAAACTTGAACTTCAACATTTTTTTTCGGGATAAGCGGGGTTAACCCATTCGGACTACGTTCGGACCGAGCTTGTCAGCAAATTGCATCATTCATGAATTTATCATGGATCGCCTCTCTTGAAAAATTCTCCCATCCATGGCATTTTCTGGTGCGCTCGTAGGTCTCTGCTACTCAATTCGAATGCAATCCCGTTGATATGAAGCCAAATAGACACTTACCGATCTCAATGATTTTATAACTCCGTCGCAAGCATGTATCAAACCCGTTGAACAAATTCTATCCAAGACCGAAGGGAAACAACCTGGCTCTGCATCCGTATGTGATTCATTAAATCCCTTTTACCCGTATCGTTTCAATACTCTGCAACCTCAGAATGAAATTCGCATTGACCACAACGGTTCATATTACGAAGTAAATGGTGCTACTCCGATCGGGGGTTCTACAACCCCGGGAAAGAAGCTGGAGCAAGCTCAGATCAGTTTGAATGATTGTTTGGCTTGTAGGTTCGCCAAATCTACTTTTCTTTCTCTCTGATAGTCACATTTAAGATCATGCTAGTGGTTGCATAACGTCCGCTGAATCCGTTTTGATCACTCTGCAGTCCCATAATGAGGTCCTCAGTTTTCTTTCTTCTAATGCTACCGCCGACGTCCCGTCAAGAAAAGTTCCGGTCATTTCCATCGCTCCACAAAGCCTTGCTTCTCTAGCAGCATCCGTCTCCTCTCCATCTTCTGCTCCTATCACACCTCGGCAGATGCTTCATCGACTTCGGGCTTTTTGCAAAGAGGTTCTAGGTTTTGACCATGTGTTCGACACAACTTTCGCCAGGCACGTAGCATTGAGGGAACATGTGAAGGAGTTTATCGAACGCCAGGAAGAATATCGGTTGAAAGATCAAGCTGTGAAGAGCGAAGGTGGTACGGCTTTACCAATGTTAGCAAGCGCCTGTCCTGGATGGATCTGTTATGCAGAAAAGGCACACCCTGAGATGCTCCCATTCATTGCAAGAACTCAAAGTCCGCAACAGGTCATGGGTACCCTAGTAAAGCATTGGATGGGTGAAAAGTGGGGCAAACAGTCAGTCGTGTGCCTCTTTTGTGATATCTTTTAACTTTTGCTCTGGTATCACTAGGCCAAATGAAATTTACCATGTGTCGGTCATGCCGTGCTATGACAAGAAACTCGAGGCCTCTCGAGCCGACTTTTACAACGAAGCATATTCTACTCGGGATGTAGATTGTGTCATCACAACTGGTGAAATGCAACTCTTAGCACAAGAAAAGGGCTGGGATCTTTCGTCACCGGTGCCGGAAGAAGATACCTTACAACCCTCATTGACAACGTCTTCAAAGCTACTTTCTGACGTTTCATTACCGGAGCTCATGGTGCATTCGGGATCTTCGTCTGGCGGTTACTTGCAGTCAATAATAGAACATATCCAATCCACATCACCCACTCCCCTTTCACTGTCTGTAAAACAGATTCGAAATGCAGATTACGAAGAATTTGTGCTCAGACGCGAGGCAGAACCCGCTGCGGAGGGCAAGATAGTTTTCAAAGGCGCTAAGTGTTATGGTTTTCGAAACCTTCAAAACGTGGTTCGGAAAGTTGGAAAAGAAACTGGGGTTCGTGTGGCCATGGGTGCCGCGGGAAAGTTGAAAGGACAGGCGGCTGTAATGAAACGAGGAAGAAGAGGGCAGGAGATGATATCAGAAAAAGGCTATGACTACATAGAAGTCATGGCTTGTCCTGGCGGCTGTGTGAATGGAGGAGGGCAAGCAAAGCCTCCAACCAATTTCGGAGTTGTAGAAGATGCTGAAGGATATTCTCGGAAATGGGAAGAAAGTGGAGTTTTGTTAGAGGATAATTCAGGACCATTGGCTGCGAAGTGGGGAAACAAGGAATGGACAAAACGGGTGGAAAATGTGTACTGGCACGATTTGCCTACGCCTCCTGCTTCGCCTACAAGCGAAAATCATCATATGACGAATTCTGGGGAAAAAGAAGATGCGGGGTATGATTCCGAGATAAGGAACGAGATTGTGATGATGGCGGATCGGCTATTAATCGATGTAACGGATGAGCTTTATCGGTCAGGTTCACAGCATAATCTATTCCGAACGAATTACCGAGCGGTAGAGAGTGAAGTGGTGGGTTTGGCAGTAAAGTGGTGATTAGATTTACGGTCAATAGGAATAGAATGATATGTACTAAGTACAGTAGTAGAAGATGATGATATACAGTCGAAAGATGCGTAATAAATATGGAAAACTGACATAGCAAATACAATAATACAGAGAGCATTGATGGTGGATGTGTAGGATAGCGTCGTTGAAGGGAAAGCCGTGAAAAGTCATAGATGCGCAGGATAGATCGGTAAATGAGAACGTAAAATGTCGGACCGATGGAGGGAGGAGTGGACACGGATCATCTAACACGGGAACCTTTGAACCAATAGTCACAGTGTTCGCAGAATTCGTTGGTACGATGTGTGATTGTTTCCGAGCGCGCTGGACCATAATACTAAGCAAAATGAAGCTAACATGAGTGTCGCGAAACGTGAAAAGACACATGGTTCTCACAATGGCACATTCACTGGAACGACAATTTGATGGATGGCGGACGGATTTAGTACATGTTGGGCGCATGCAGTCAATCTTGTTGACTGTTCTCGTCTGAGAAACTGGTGAGGACGATGGCGAGGAAGTAGAGAGTGTAAATCGACCTACTGCAACCTATTTCTATAATCAATCCTTCATGTATAATGATCATAGATGATGAAAGAACTTGCATAGTGTCCGCACCCATACTTGATTCCTTCACTGAATAACATAACACGATTATCAGCTGTTGAGCACTTGCGGGATGCAGAGGCAAACGAACGTACGTTTCGAGATTACACATGGCAGTAGGCAGTGATGGAGGGACACCGGTACGCGAGGAGTTTGTTGAAACAGGGGAATTATCTGAAGAGCAAGGAGCTTTGAGAGTTATAATTTATAGGAGAAAGGGCAAAAGATATGTACCAAATTGGGAACGAGCCATAATTTTAGAAAAATTATTTCTGAATTATTTTTCAAAATCAATTCTCGGGGAAAAGAGTGGGAAAAAGCTTCCAAAACGATCGCTTGCCAACATAGCATAGCACCGTGCGATCTCTTCGTCATCTATTCTCTGTTCATGAATGTTACTACCCGCTCCCGAACGGGCCTCTTTCTTTCATATCGTGACTCTCGAGCTCCATCCTCTAAATTCTCTCGAAAAATCAGCACTTATGATGAACCGGACACTGCTTTGGCCGACGAGCACGAAGGCCTCATTGCAAACACTCACCACGCGGTTGACCTTGACTTGCCTCCAAAATGGTTGGCCGGCCTCACTTCGTTGTCGCTGTTCTCCTCTTGTCATTAATATGGCTGTTCCAGGGTAGACATATCCGAGCAGGTACAGCTTATTCTAATGGATACGCAGGCCAAAAGTATGTATGCTTCCCTATAATCACACAAGCTTGACTGACTGTGTATCGTTAATTCCAAGTTGCTGCTCTCGAAAAACTACATGCCAAACATGTTCTTCCCGGATTTGCGGACCGGTCACTTGAGGAGCAAGAGATAGAAGCGGCAACCACCGACATTACAAAGGTCCTAATTCCTTTTAGTGATTGTCGTTCATGTTTTTATGAACTTTTCCTTTTTTGGTTTACAGGAATTTCGACGGTGTCAATCTTTGATTCAACGAATCAGCGCTCCCTCATCTCACTCGTTTCCTCCGTCCCATTCCGATGCCAACAAGTCCAAGTCCGAAATACAGGCAGCAAAGAATGTTCAACGTGGTCTTGCGGCCAAAGTACAAGACCTCAGTGCTACATTTCGGAAGAAACAGCGCGTGTATATGGAAAGTATGTAGCATGTCTTACCTTCTTTTTCTTTGTTCTACATGGCATTTGGGTGTCTTTGATAAGATGCTCTCACTCCCGCACTGATTACCGAATCATGTATTTTCGATTTAACTTCTGACTTGTCGCGTTCTTTCAGAGCTTCAAGGTCATGCGATCAAGAATCAAGACTTGTTGCTTGCCTCTGGGACCATTTCGCTTAAAGGCTCGGCAGGCATGAGTGCGGTAGATGAAGATGTTGAAGCTGCGGTACGATTCCTTTTGTTGTTCCCTTCGTTAGCTGACGTATGTCTCATCGTTATCGTTACGCTTCCAACGATCCGTCTTTCTGTAACTATTCCTTTCCATTTCGTTGCGTCATATCGATCATGATTCGAATTTTATGAAATGCATATGAACTTGGGCCGATACCTCGGGCTATCCTGTATTCAATGTATGATCTGGTGTCGCTTTCATGACCGGATTAATCTTTCTCTTCTCTGCTCTTGATTCGACGTCCTTCTCCGTCTTTGTGATATGATGTAGACGCACACCCAGTCACTTTCATTCCGTCAGGCGAATCCAACTATCGACGTTCAAACACGCGACCGCGAATTGAGCGAAATTGCAAAATCTATTGCATCGCTCGCCGAACTTTTCAAAGATCTTTCTGTCCTCGTCATAGACCAGGGGACACTTTTGGATAGTGTCGAATATAACATTGAACAAACAGCGATACAGGTTAAAGATGCCGTTCAAGAACTAGATATTGCAACGAGGCAAGTGAATACTAGTTCTGTTTGTCAACCTTTCAAAGTGATAATGGGAATCCCAGGTACCAAAAGAATACCGGGCGACGGAAATGCATATTCCTTCTTTTCCTCATGATTTTTGGTCTCATTATCGTTATCATCTACAAGCCTAAACACCATTCCTTACCACCTGAGCCTTTGACTTCAACGCCTGTCGTCGCATTGCGCTCCAATTCCCGCCCTTTCCGAAGACGCTTCCTCATCTCACCTGTTGCCTGACGTCAAGATTATCAAAAGGATAACTTTGGTATCCGAGTCAAATTTGGTACAATATTCTATCGGTTTAATCTGATATTCCTCCATGTTCTCTTTGTAATTCCTCCTGAATGAATCTCAGGCTGTACAGATTGACGGTGTAATCTTGGCGAAACGTTCAAGCTAATATTGATATCACCGTTATCTTCCTCATCAGTATATTGCAGAAGACAGTGATTACCAGGTACCGGCTTTTTCGAATTTCAGCTCATGGGATTGTTAGGGTCTAGAACTGTCTTTAACCAGAGTAGTAGTTGATTAACACGGGTATCTCCTTTCGTTCACTCCACAATTTCAAGGTGAAGTTAGGGAAAATACCCCGAAGTACCTGGAAGTACCTGAGAAGTAACATTCCGTCCTGGTCCGTCCTGAATTCCGGAGTAATCTTACAGCGGTTCAAGCTAAGTGCCGGAAGGAGGAATGGGGGGAGGTGAAGACAGAGGAAGGTTTATTGACTTCCTTCATTGTGCAGGAAACCCCCGCTGCGATCACCATAGCGATGGCGCCGGCCTGTGTTGAGACGTTACGGATCTTGCACTTTAATTTGCCAAGACGGCATTTCGTTGTACAGCTCCTTTTGATCGAACATGCAAGTAGGCCCTCATACAGGAGCATGCAGGGGGCGCGCGTCAAATCTTGCGCAATTTTGGCCTGTGTGCTTATCGATGAATCATCTACTGCCGGAAGAGAGCGGAAGATTCATTCTGGGTACACGGACGTTATCTTCACATGCGTTCCGTTGATTGGCTGCAACTTCCGAACGAATTATACGCAATGCCGAGCAATGCTAGAACGATACATAGTCATACGTAAAATAACAATAACAAGGCAAATTTTAAAGGCAGTACATACAATACCCGTCTACACCGTTCAGGTAAACGGCGATGAAAGGTGTTGAAAGTGCATCATGCAAGCTCCGGCCGCTGAGTGCATAGAACTGTAAACATGATGGTTGGGAGTTGCGAAGAGGCAAAATCAGCCGACGGGGCAACTTGCATCTTCTTGCAGCCTTTTGCAACATCTTGCGTCCAATATGCATTAGTTCGCATCGATAGGGCAGGGAAGTCACTTATCTGATCAACTCGTTCTTGCATTCATTGTCAAATTCCGATTTAAGGTATCCCGAAAATGCCTAAGCCTACTAAAACAACACGGCAATTTGAGAAGCCAACGGGTTTGAGAATATGAAGAATCTCGTGCATTGCGGAGGCCAATGGGATCGTTCTAAATATCCGCGATGTTTCTTCCAGTGGGGCCCTGCTGCAGGAGGTGGGATTGTGGAGCATTCAACAGATGTTCGAAACAGCAGAATACATACCAGGAAGTGTCCTGCATCAGAAAATAAGCGTGTTGTGATTCCTCACCTACCATGGGCTTGCGTCTTTACAATGCATCTGGGTGGAGCTTTGCGAAAGTCTCCTGTGGAAGATTTGAAGACAAGTGGTGGCTGCAATCACCGCCGAGCAGACAGACTACATGCGTCTGTTCTCACCCGCGCATATCAAGCGGACACAGCGTAGGAGGCTGGGCCCTCCTCTGCGGCCATCAGTACTTTTTTGTTCACACCCAGCGCTGGGCCGACAAGAGACCTCGAATATAATATCAGAGTTATGAAGCCAACGATCGAAGTCCGTTATTAAAGACACATCTAAGCTCAAACAAAAATCTGTTAACGGTCAGGAGGAATTGAAAGATAACATGGATAGCAACGGTTCGGCAGCAGAAACGGAAAAAAAAATAATTATGATCAGAGGGACAGGTGTCCGTCGGTCGTCCAGATATACGATACATTTATAAGATAGCATGGGTACAGCTTGTGTACAAAAGACAATGAAACATGGGTGAACTGATCGGCTATAACAAAATATGCAGAATTTTGTCCATTGGAGAAAGGAATAATAGATAACGAACCGCTGAGCAACGGCAGTGCCATGATCACCACCTACGGTTCGACGGAACAAGAACTAAATGAATGCCGTGTAGACTCTGGAAAAACCGTACTCTGGTTCAGCAATGATAATAGTACTGTGCCAAAGAATAACGCATAACGCACCATGCTGTTTCTTGAACCAATATTAAGTCGGTGTTATTTCGACGATCATTCATGGATAATAGTCATGAAACGTGGAGAGTAGATTCAGTGAAGGGCGAGGTGGTCGTCATCTTCGTCTGATATGCCTCTCTGTGCTTGGTGATTAAGACAGCAATCGTCAAGAGTAAAACGGATTCGGAAGTGGCGAACACCGGCTCTATCAAAACCAAAGCCCGTGCTACGTTCGAGAGGCAGTCGAGAAATGTGAAGACGGCCGTGAACATGACAAGCACTGACGCTGCGGTCCACACACAACCCAAGAACCAATGGCATATAATGCTAGGGATGCCCGAGGTGAGGGGATATGGTGATAGTTTTAGATGTGGTTGGAGCTGGGATTGTTTTATGATTCTTCGGTCCAGCCATAAATGATTCAAGTGGAGCACAATGGTGAGGGATGAGGCTATTGGGTCGAGGAAGAACGAATTGCCGCCCAAGTTGCTTGCCATTGAGAATACGAAGACAACGGATGAGAGGCTTAGAGAGAAGTAGGTGAGTTTACGAATCTGATATGGTATCATCCCGGAACCCAGAGCGACACTACACTCAATTCTGACCCCAATGAGCCCCAATGAGATTGGCTGTCGCAGTTCCAGGCTAGCTGTGGTTTGTCGAGTTGATGAAGTTGGGATTCAAAAGACTTCCACCTGAATATTTGAATTCTCACAATTGTAAGTACAGTATGTAAGCCTTTGTTCGTCACTGAGAATTGTATGGTCCACATTCTGACATTGGACCAGAGTTTCTAAAGCTTCAATCCCACCTCAAAGAAATAATCAACAGTGCTTCTCGAATCCTTATGTTAAGTCCGAGGACGGTGCGATCACCATTACGCGGGAACAAAATCGGGCGCACTTGTTGGAGTCATAATTCATTCTTAATGCTGGCGGCAGAGATGATAATGAGTAGTTGTATAGAAGTACATTCTGTGTATGTACCTTCCAATGGCTTGATATCAAGCCATTGATAGGTACAAGAAACTTTATTATCTGGTTGCAACCCCGTTTCCTGCGAGCAAATAAGATTAGAACAGTACAGCTTCGACACCGGCTCTTCAACAAAATCGGGTTGCCAACAGTGAGCAACAGTGCCAGGACAATCTGTTCCGGTTCCAGTGCCCTGTTGATAGATTTGAAAGTTCAAGCTATCACAGAAATTAGGTCACAGTAATTATCCGTCTTTCTCTTTTTCCACCACCGTCACGAGCAAATGTACCCCCCTCGGCCTGCTTCTTCCACTCAGCTGGCTTCTGGGGCTGGAGGATTTCGCAACCCAGATGGCTCCCAAGATCCAGAACGCGCAATTCCTAGCATGCCTCAACCTAGTCTTCAGCATTCGACTTCTTCCTCTCAGTGGGACCTCCTTAATGGCATTAGGAAATTTGAGCATTCATACGAGGAATTTGACTCGAGGAACGCAAGCGAAAGTCATCTTGTTTACGCAGAAGGAGATCTTCCCAAAAACAAGGTTCGCTTGTTGAATTTTCATATTGACTACAAAAATCAAATGATATTGCAATCTTTACTTTCAGTTCGCCAAAATGTACAACTATCTGCTGAACGTATCCATTGTGACTCGCTGGTTCCTCTTCATTGTGCCTCCTCTTGCGCTATTGTGGATTCCTGGAATTTTGGGTGCACGTATCGAGATGAAATGATGTCGCAAAAGGAAATTACTAACTTGGTTTTAGTTAACTACTTCTCCTAATGCGACAGTCTGGGGCGTAAAGCTTATGTGGTGGAGTATTTGGCTGAGCGTAATGGTGCGTAATCGATTGTGCAAGCAGATGCCTCTGTTAACGTCCTTCACAGTGGGGAGGCTGGTGGGTCGCGCTGGCTGCTGCTCGAATACTTCCATCCATCATTCGTTCCACAGTTGGTGTGTGCTTCGATTATATCTGTGCGGAAGTATCCTTAATGCATTGGTTCTAGGTATCGTTGCAGTTGGAACTCGCAAATATATCGATTGGGCCAGTGTACTTCATCGTTATGTGGCGCTGTTTGGATGGACGCTAGCGATGTGGATCACAGTAAGTGCTTCGCTCTACCATCGAAAGCGCAGCGTTGATGCTGACTTGTTTGAAAGTGGAATCCTCTTGTTGACACCCGCCAAGAATCCACTGCGTCTAACAACGACAAGAGTATCGTCAGTCTCATTGCTAAACTGTTATTTGGACTTTTTCTGTGCTCGGCCGTGCTCTTGTTCGAAAAGTTCTCTATTCAGTGGATTGCAGGCAAATTCCACGAAAAAACCTACGCTGGTATGTCTCTTTCCTCCCCACCTGCTCATTTACTCAGATTCATCTAGAGCGTATCGCGGACCAAAAATTCGCAGTCCGTTCGCTCGTTACCCTTTATCGAAACTCTTCCGATATCCCAGGACGTTCAGATACACTCAAAGCATCACATCTCAAGAATAGTTCTGTCAATCCTAAAATGCTCTTCAAAAGAGCAATCAAAGGTGTTCGTACCGCTGCAACTACAACCACCACTGCCCTTGGTAATGTTGCGGTAAGTTCCTTTGTCTCAATCAATACATGCTTTACTCATTCTGCGCTAGTCTGAGATAGCTGGCAGGTAATATTGTTCGTTTACTCTGTCTAAATGCATATCTCATTCATCAAAGTTCCGTGTTACAACCCAACTCGCCTCAAGCAGTGGTTAAAACCGCACTGGAATCTGCAAATAAATCCCGCTTACTAGCTCGCCGTATCTTCTACTCCTTCACTAAACCAGGATCCGAATACATGTTCATCGAAAATATTGCAAGGTATTTCCCTACACCAGACGAGGCAGACTCTGTCTTCGCCCTTTTCGACAGAGATGGAAATGGCGACGCGTCAATGGAAGAAATCGAGATTGCCTGTATGGACTTCCATCGTGAGCAATTGTCGATAGAACATTCCATGCAGGATCTGGACAGTGCTGTTGGGCGACTTGACAATATTTTCATGAGTCTCTATGTCGTCGTCGCCGTGTTGATCATTGCCGTCGTTTTGGTAGATAGTTTCCATTCGAATCCTAGTGAACTTCTCATTAACGCCAATGTCATAGGACGCTCAATTTAGCACGCTCATTACTTCTGTTGGAACATTGGTCCTTGGTATGCCCGATCTATTGACTTGCTCCTCTCAACCGCGTGCTCAGGTCCTTAATTTCAGGCTTGAGTTGGCTTATCGGCGGCAGTCTTACTGAGGTACTCACAAGCATTATCTTTCTATTCATCAAACATCCTTTCGATGTCGGTGATAGAATCGTTGTGGACAAGGTGGAATACACTGTTAAAGAAATTTCATTGTTGTCTACAACCCTTCTCGACGGTGATGGAGGACTAGTGCAAGCACCAAACAGCACTCTAAACGACGCGGTTTGTCGGGCCATTTAATTCTTGTGAATTGTCCCTTATCGTCATTACCGTCTTCTTAGTTCATTGAGAATATCAGACGGAGTCCCCAGGTATGTGATTCATCGCCGGGAAGATTGGCATGTATCATGATTCGTCCCATAGATGAGCGAGACATTCTCTTTTTCGGTGGCGTATAAGACAACGTTCGAAGACTTGGAGAAGTTGAGGACAAAGATGCTCGAGTTCGTCCAGAATGAGAGACGCGACTATCTACCAATTTTTGATGTTGCTGTCATTGGTATGTGTGTTGTCTGTCAAATCTGGGACTAAACTACTAACTGCTTTACTAGACTTCCCTGAGCAGACATCCATGCTGTTATCTGCTGATATTAAATATAAAAGCAACTCCCAACAAGGTGCTGTGAAAGGTTAGTGACTGATCAGGATTGAGTTAACCTATTGCCTCACCAATTGATGTCAGCTAAACGTCGGAATAAATGGATCTGCGCCCTTAAGCAAGCACTGGCAGACGTTGGAATATTCGGTCCTGCCGGAAATCCTGATGCCACTACCAAACCTAAGCAGTATACTGAAGTTCCATGGGAAGAAGTCAAGCATGCTGAACAAAACAAAACATCCCGACCCATGCGTATGCCAGCTCCCGCAGGAGGTTGGCGATTGTCTGAAAATAACCCTTCTCTTCGTAAGTCCTTTTCTATTGATTTTATGCCCATTCATTGAAACAGGAAACGTCACAGGTGATGACTCTGACAATGTCTTCGACGACGACGCGGATGAGCAGGTTATGCGAAGCTCATGGAGGTCGCCCACTGCGGATTCTATGCATCATTGAGCACACCCAGAATGCATCATGCCGCGCCGATGCCTTCGCAATCTCAACTAGCATATGCCCCCGAAGCCATCGAGCTGTCAGAGCGAAGATGATGGTTTCTACACTGGTGATTTCTGGGTGATATAGTGGGTTAGTGCAGGTCGCTCTAGAAGATCTACGAATTTTCGGACGATCTCGATTTAGGACTTGATATATACATATCTTTATTTCTTGTTTCAACTTACAATCTAATCAAACCGTTACACATCATGAACAAAGTACATAAGTTATGACAGCTACACATTCCATCCGTTTGCTTGGGCTGAAGGGCTACCCCAGCCAGCATTTGAAGGCGAAGACCAAGCATTTGCATTGCCAGGACTGGATCCCCAAGCAGCATTGCCTCCACCTCGGGAAGGGCTAGCACCTCCGCCCCAACTTGCACCACCACCAGCGCCACTGGCACTCGAGGATGGATTTCCCCAGCCGCTTCCGGCTCCAGAACCCCATCCTCTTTCACCAGACCCCCCTGCGGGTTGATCTACAAATGTTTGATCTCCGCCGGATGGCATATCCATCTCGTTTTCGCCATTTCGAACTCTCCGCAACGCCAGGACCAGTGAAGCTAGCTTTTTTTGTAGTTCGGCAATTCCCTGATTAGACCGCTTTGAATGTTCTTGTCAGGATAGACGAATGTCGCCACGCACTTTCATTACCACCTCCTGTGCGCCTAAACTACCATCCGTCTCCACGTCAAAATAAAATTTATTTGGCTTTGCGTTGAAATCAAAAGGTTCATCTTCTCTCGGTGGTTCCTCCTCCCGAGCGTTTTCCCCTAAGGGCCACTCGGCCTTTTCATCTGTTTCGAACCAGTACGACGTATGTCGTAGCTTGTTATGAGGATCATATTCAAATGCTACCGCCGAGCATGGTGACCATTTTGCGTGTTCCTTTGCGATTCCCTGCACAAAACAACTCAGTCTGTGAAGCCAGTGATTGATAATGACCGCGCACTTTCTTGGCTATACAACGCAGCTTCAGCTCTTGTCCCTTGCGGATTTTGCATATTAAAATGGGATCGGCATCGGGATCGTCTACGGAAATTTATTGCTTGATGTTATAGTCAATAATCAAGACATAACGCACTTTTCCCTACAGGAGTTCCGAAGTTCTCGGAACGTCTAACTCGTTCTTCGCCAGCTTCTTCCGTCCCTTCATTAGGATGTGGCTGTATTTCGAGCTGATCGCTGGTAATCTCCATTGCGATAGAGTCGTTACATTGAACATTGAGAGACAGAACGATTGAACAATATGCACAGTTTTCGAGGCAGTTACAGTCCTAAGATCATATGAGCAGATTGCAGAAATGGAGAGTGTAGCAGCATACGCACTCTTGTATACCGCATTGCTCCATCACAGTTCGTGCTGACCAACGGAACCATGCCCAAGCGATGCGCGATGAACTCATCCGGGAGCACAGTCGTGTTGGCCTCTATTTCAACCAAGTCAATCGCTAGTAGAAGAATGTTTATATGAGTGACCACGCAAACTAATATACAGAACTGACCAATAGTAGGTAGGTCTGCCATCATGACCCTTCGAAGGGAGTTGGCAAATCTGTAAGGATATGAGACGCGAAGACTCAGTACATAACAACGGTTTATCATACGCAAGGTCGACATTCTCGAGCACAAAATTGACTCTGTCTCGTTGATATTCCCGGATTCGGACAATAGGGTCCATGTGAAGGAGGAAATAAAAAACTTCCGATTAGTAATCGGGTGCGAGATACAGCTTTGACGAGCACAGCCACAACAACGCGTTTAAACTTCAAAACCGACTTGGTAGGTTTGTGCGGCAAGAGGACAAATTCTTGAACCATGCTGTATGTAGCAGGCCATAGCCTGCCATAGCCTTAACGCCATGCATAACTAGCACTAACCCTGTCATAAGAGTATCTTGGCTATCTCACAAGTCTTCTGGCTCGCATGATATTGCCAATGTAAGCAATTTACGATTTCCTCATACCTCAGCTTTCGCTCGCGTTTTTCGGATCCATAGCTAACTTGTGCTATATTGTGCTGCTTTGCTACCATTATGTATGCTTGGCATCGGGTTTCAGACTGGAATCAGGATGATGACTCGTATGATATGTGGCTAAATTCCTTGATGTGGGTGATCTACAACAAAATCTCAAGTCCGTTGACTAATTTTATATTCCACAGGCAAGATAGTAGAGACTCGTGCGTTCAAAGATTGTAGTCTTTTGCTCAACCTAATGAGCGATTTTTCTAGCCCTCTTAACTCCTCCTTTATGAATATATGTTGTAAGCCACGTGAAGATAACTGTGCTTCCTTGTTCTGGTTTGTATTTGTTCTCCGATCCAAAATTTTACATCAGAAGATGTCTTGTGTCGTGCAGGAAGTTCAGTAACTCGACCCGACCCAATATTACTCTGATGAAGTTCGACATACATGGTTTGATTGCGAGCAGCCGCGAAACATCTCAATCGGCTATAAAAACAGAACCGCGGAAAGTTTCTTTTCCCTCGGAAATGTACAATCTGCCATTCAATGCCATTCTCACCAACAGAATTTGTTATTCCCGAACATGATAGAGGGGTATAAAATATCCGTATGACAATGGGCTTACATCAACAGTATAAATACACAAACGGGCGGACGTCCATTTTCGACCCCAGCCCACCATCTATCGACTGCGATGAACTGGACACCCAAACGTTCCCTATCCGAAAGTAAGTTCCCGACTTGTGGTGTATCTCCTACCATGAGATTGACACTTTTAGTAGCTGATAAATTACTTTGTGCGCCTGGTCAGCTCCATGAACTTGAAACGCGCTTCGTAGATGGAAGGCTTCAACGTGTATATAAGAATCTATGGCCAACCGTCCGGGTAAGATAGCTGCACGGAACTTGCAGTTTTCACTACTAACCGAGCTTAGAGCTTTTGGTCTTGGGCCAGTGGCGAATATTCTGACAAGCCGTACATTGTCTTTGAAGGGCAGAGCCTCACATATGGGGAAGTGAATGAACGAGCACGGCGAACTGCGAATCTTTTCCACAACGTTTATCACATTAGAAAAGGTATTTGGTGAACGTGCTCCGTAAAACCCGCTGATGAAGAGCTGTAGGAGACAAGATTGGCATTTGCTCTCGTAACTGTGTCGAATGGCTGGTTGGATTTTGGGCGTCTCGTGCGTATTCGATGATTGTTTGAGATTTTGGAGTCTCATTTGCTCGTAGAAATGTTGGGAGCTGTATTTGTCGGTATAAATGCGTAAGATAGATTAGTTGTTGGATCTTATCGTGCTCTGATGTCAGGGCTGAAGATGGCTTCCACTGGACCCCCTGAAATTTTGCATTTCGCATACCGACTGCAAACTTGTTATTCTTGACGCGGAACGGGCGGAAAAGCTAGAACCCATCGTTGACGAGTTATGTGCCGAGCAAAAGGTTATTGGCATGCTGGTGGTCAACGCCCAAGAAGGAAAAGGACAATGGAGAAGGATGGAAATTTTTGACAAAGCCCTTCAAAACTCTGCGGCTGGATCTCCACCTTTGGAGGAGGAAAGTGTATTGGCCGAAGATGAAGCCTTGATCATGTTCACTTCTGGTCAGTACTACTAGTTTACATCCAGATTTCCGACTGACACGGCAACAGGTACTACTGGATTGCCCAAGGTTCGTGCTAGCACGGTGTTTATATCTAATCATCATGTTAAACTCCGGTTCAAGGGAGTATTGAGTACGCAACGGCAATTTTTGACCAATGTGCTTAATGTAAGTAGGGATCCAGTAATCTTGAACCCAGCTACTGGAACCTTCTTCGATAGACTCAAGTTGGACCTCGTCGAGCCATTCTTCGACGAGGAGAAGACCTGACACCACCTCCTGCGGGGCCTCAGAAAGGAGCACTTATAGCTGTGCCACTGTTCCATGTCACTGGTCTCACAAGCTACTCCGTTCGTAACAGTTTCTTTCTTACATCTAAATTTTTGTGTGTTCAGACTGAACGACATCGCAGATGCTGGCAACTATGGCTGGAATGAAGATAGTCATGATGCGAAAGTGGATACCGGCTGAAGGTCTGTGGATCCCAATCTGCAATCTGTTAGTACTCATCATACCTTTTTCTGCCAGCGGTCAAGTGAGTTTAGCCACTACCCCGTACATGATTCTGTTCCTAAATTGGGGATAGACTGATTCGGAGCGAAAATGTCACGCTTGCTGGAGGTGTCCCTGCTATGTAAGTGAGCTCTCGGTCACAGAACAACAAACTCACCAATTCTTTGTGTGAAGGGTCTCCGACCTTCTTGATAGCTCGCTAGTGGGACATCCTTTAGAGGGCCTTTTCTTCGGCGGTTCTCCGGCTTCTGAACTCCTCGCATCGCAAGCTCAGGTAGCTTTCCCTACTGCCCGACTGTGAGTAGACATGTTTTAAGATAGGTTTTCACTCTGACATATCTCCGCAATTTGAGGTCGCAGGCATATGGCCTTACCGAGACAAATTCAGTGGCTGTCGGTGTAAGCCTCTGATATCAAATTTTCTCCGGACATTTCCTCAAAACGACTTCATTTATTCAGATCGCTGGTGAAGATTATATGATGCGACCTGGGAGCACGTTCGTACCGGTCGATAATGTTTGTCTGAACTCTTTGAGCTGATGAAACTCTTTCAGGGGCCTAGCATGTCCGGTGAACGATATGGTAATTGTAGCTGACGATGGCAGGGTCGCTTCTCACGGTGAGATTGGGGAAATTTATCTACGGGGACCTAACGTCATGAAAGGTACTTTTCCAATCTTCTTATAATTGTACAGATCCCTGATCCACAATCTGTTACATTCGATAGGATACTACCGAGATCCAGGTATGCTTCAAAATCGAGCTTAACTGATCAGCGTGTCCGAATCACTTATCATATTCCTGATTATGTACCTACCAGATGCAACAAGCCAGGTTATGACTACTGATGGGTGGTTGAAAACAGGTGACGTTGGGACTATGGACGAAGAAGGCTTTCTTTTCGTCAAAGACAGGATCAAGGACATCATAATCCGGGTACGTTCTGGTATCAATCGAAGCATATACGCTCAAACAACTCTTGAACAACTCTTCAGGGAGGCGAAAATATCGTAAGTCCAATCGATTTGGTCTTGAATGCATACATTGACAGGTCTTTAATATGATGTTCTACAGCCAAGTCTATTAGTCGAAAATGCGCTGTATGAGGATGCAAGGGTCCGGGAGGCTGCAGCAGTCGGGGTTCCCGACCGACGTCTAGGGGAGCTTGTTGCTGCCGTTGTATCATTGAAGGCACAATATGGTGGGAAGGTAACGGAATCTTCGTTGATTGAGAGTGTTCGCAAAAGGTGAAGTCAAGATCATGTGATGTGTTCAGCTACGACTGACCAAGGACCTCAATGTGCAGCCTTCCTCCGTTTGCCGTGCCCGTTATGATATTGATCCAAGAAAAACCTTTCGAACTAACACCTTCGGGGAAAATAATAAAGAGCCAACTTCGAAAACTTGCTCGGGAGCATTGGGAATTACGACAAAAAAACATCCCAAAATCGGCGCGCGCGAATTTATAGTACACAGTCAGAC